AGAGCTGGAAAAGCGATTTAAAAAATGCAACCAGAATTACCAAGAGATTGGAATACAGTGAGTTGCCTTATCAAGAGTCAAATCCTTGATCTATCTTTCTCATCCTTGTTGACGCTTAACTGGCAGCCTCTGCTCCCAGGGTTTCAGGCCAGAGTCCTTTCCCCCTCGTGCCTGGAGATGCCATGTTAGGGATTAAACCGGGGTGCTTTTGCATGCCAAGGCTGTGCTCTGCTATGGAGCCACTTTCTTCTTACATAGGAAGAAGGGCTAAAACATTTAGGGACTGAGCTGCTGTTGCTTTGAAAGACAGCTGGGGGAGGAGAACACGATAGAGGATTATACAACAGTGCTTGGAGAGAATTTTTTCTCCCTTTCTCTTGCATTGCTAGAACTCAAGGCCACCTGCTGAAGTTGGCAGTAGATGCAAAAGGCTTGCACCGTACATAGTTAACGAAAGGAGCTGCCTGCTGCGGCTGCAAAATGTGGTGTGATGGTCACTGGCTTACATGGCTTTAAAAGAGGATTAGGCATTGTAATGGAGGAAGAGGTCTGTCAGCAGTTATTGGCCATATTGGTTAAGCTTCCATGTTCAGAGGCGGCGGCAGCGTGACATTTAATACCAGTTAGTGGGAGGAGCAGCAGCAGGAGTTGGCTTCCCAAAAACATCTGGTTGTCCACCGCAGGAAGCAAGGTGTTGGGTGAGAGGGTTCTATGCTGGCTTAAAGGGGCAAGGCTTGCTTTGGGTGGGTCTTGAGAATCCCATGGACTGCAAGAAGATCAAACCTCTCCATTCTGAAGGAAATCAGCCCTGAGTGCTCACTGGAAGGACAGATCCTGAAGCTGAGGCTCCAATACTTTGGCCACCTCATGAGAAGAGAAGACTCCCTGGAAAAGACCCTGATGTTGGGAAAGATGGAGGGCACAAGGAGAAGGGGACGACAGAGAATGAGATGGTTGGATAGTGTTCTTGAAGCTACCAGCATGAGTTTGATCAAACTGCAGGAGGCAGTGGAGGACAGAAGTGCCTGGCGTGCTCTGGTCCATGGGGTCACGAAGAGTCGGACACGACTAAACGACTAAACAACAACAACAACATGAAGACTGGGCAGAATTTAACTGGGAGAATTTTCAAATGGGTAGCCCTTGTGCTAGTCTCTTGAAGCAAAAGCAACAAAGAGTCCTGTGGCACCTTAAAGACTAACAAGAACCATCAGTAGATATGACATAATCCACAAGTCTTGTGCCACAAGACTCTTTGTTGTAACTGGGACAGAAGTTATCCAGACTTAGAAATGTATTATGAGGGGATTCCCTGTGAATGGAGGGTGTGGGCTCCCCCAGGCTCACGTCTTGAACTATTTCTAGGTCTTCATCAGAATGGGGTGATAAAAATCCCACAACACACGCCCCACCCTCAAGGCCTCGCAAGCCAGCGAGCCAGCCAGAGAAGCCTGTACACCAGTATGGCGCAGCCCCCATTGCCTCAGGTCTTGGGTGGATCAGATCGAATTTCCCAGCAGCCAGACAGCTTGGACTTCCTCAAGGTCCCAGACCAAGGGGCAGCCGGGTAAGTGCACCGTCCAATACATTTCCAATACATTTAAGTGGCTAGCTTGCTTGTCTAAAGTCAAGCAGCTGATTGGCTGAAGGGTTGTTCCTGCGTTCATGAAGTAGGTCTTCTGTGCCTGTCAGTTTCTATGAACTGCAGTGGAGAATCTGGTGTCCTGCCAGTTCTGTGTTCTGTAGAGTGCTTCATAGAGGCATCTTTTGACAGGTGGGCCCTTGATAGAGGCCGGTCATGATCCAGAGAAGCACACGTGTCAGGCCTGCTCCCCAGCTCTCTGTACCTGTTCGGGCAGCAACAGAAACCTGATCCATGCATTACTCCTAAGTAGGGTATCCTTGAGGGGTTTTTTTAACAACAACTGTTTGTTGAGTCTAGTTGCCTATGTAGGAAGGCCAGCACACAGGTGCCTCTTCACATGTAGGGGCTCCATGACTAGAAAACCATGTGTTTCTTTAAAAAGTCTATGCCAGGGCAAAGCTAAAATGCAGGCCCCTGCCCTGGGTCTCTAGGTGGCCGTGCCTTACACACAGATAACACATCCATAGGGCTAGAATCTCTCTTTATATAGAGGTTTCAAGATGTATGAGAAATCTGGCTTAGAGTAGATAACTTCATCTCATTTCGCTGTAAAATGGAACATGGGAAGCTGCCTTTATAACGAATCAGACCACTGGTGCACCTACATTGAGCATTATTACTTGGCAATGACTCTTGATTGTTTCAGAGAAGGGTCTTTGCCAGCCACACCTGGGAATGTGGGAGATTCAACTAGGGACCTTCTGCATGAATAGCATGTTCCCTATCACTGAGCTATGATTCACTCCTAAATATTAACATGCAATGTTCCCTGCCATCCTTTTCCCACCAAAGTGAACATGGTTCTTTTCCCTGCAAAGCATGTGCTATGTCAGGGAGCTACGACTCATTCTCTCGTACATGTGTATTTTTCTGTCTTTATTTTTTAAAAAAATCATTTGCAGGGAAATAATTTCAGTGTACAGAACTCAGTAGGTTGGAGATGAACGTGATTTGAGGTGGCGCAGGTCCCTACAGCCATTCTTCCTGGCTCAGATGATCAATGTGTCTCTTATCTGATTTACAGATGTGGAAGGCACAAGTACTGTTTTGAAACCATCTGTTGGGAGAGCAGCAGGAGATGCAGTTTATGCTGTGGAGGGGTTAACTTTGTACAGTGGCCAGCAGTGCCACCTGCTGTTTATTCAGAATGACTGCATGCTTTCTGATGGCAATCCACTCATTCTACCTTTAATTCATGGGTTCACATTTAATAAATTAGTAGATTGTATATTTTTATAAGAAGATGTGGAGTTCAAAGAGTCCTATTAGATGAGACCAAAAGTTCTTAGTCCAGAACAGGCATAGGCAAACTCAGCCCTCCAGATGTTTTCGGACTACAACTCCCATCATCCATGGCCACTTGTCCTGTTACCTAGGGATGATGGGAGTTGTAGTCCCAAAACATCTGGAGGGCCAAGTTTGCCTATGCCCGGTCCAGAATCTTCTTCCTCACCCCTTGGGTGCCTCTTATTCTAAGTGCCCAGGTGTGGCAATGAATTGTGGCTGCCAAGCCTAATGACTTTCCTGTGCATCTCTGCAGCGTTCGCAGGCAGACTACAAACCGGCCGCCACCTGCAGGGGGCAGACCCAAGCCACAGCCGAAACCAAAGCCTCAGGTACCCCAGTGCAGGGCGCTGTATGCCTACGATGCTCAGGACACAGATGAACTCAGCTTTAATGCCAATGATGTTATTGATATCATCAAAGAAGGTAAGGCCTCTTTGTTTTTACATTTTCTATTACCACTGGTGAGAATATTGAAAATATGTTCCATCTTCTAGAACAGGCATAGGCAAACTCGGCCTTCCAGATGCTTTGGGACTACAACTCCCATCATGCCTGACCACTGGTCCTGTTGGCTAGGGATGATGGGAGTTGTAGTCCCAAAACATCTGGAGGGCTGAGTTTGCCTATGACTGTTCTAGGAGGACCCTCCCCGCACCTCCGCTCCAGAGAAGCATCTGGAAGCTTTGTGCCTCTGCTTCTAGTTAAGCAGTTTGGTTAACCATTCAAACAGGGAAATGTGATTTAACCTTAACCGTGGTTAGTTGTGGGGCTGTTTTATAGCCAACTTCATAAACCATGGTTTAAAGCAGACCTAGTATCCAGCCAGTTAATATTAAACTACAATCCTAGTTGGACTACATGGGAAATGGTTTAACTAAAATCTAAAGCTTTCAAACTCTTCTTTGGCTCTGTGGGAGAAGGGAAGAGACCAGGAAGACTCATTCACATGCATAGTGCAAGGGTGGGGAACCTTTGGCCCTCCAGATGTTGCTGAACTATAACTCCCATTATCCCTAACCATTGGTCATACTTGCTGCAGCTGGTGGGAGTTATAGTTTAGCAACACCTGTTTTATTTATCTGATAAGTTCATTCTCACAAAGGTTAATGGCAGCATTTGCTCCCACCCCTTTTAAACCAAGTCACTCCTGACATAGACGTTTCCACAGCGGCAAGTTTGGAGAAGCGTACGTTGGGACAACCCACAGATTTGCTTCTAAACTCACTCCCTTTCTTTTCCAGATCCCTCAGGCTGGTGGACAGGCAGGTTAAGAGGGAAAAAAGGACTCTTCCCAAACAATTATGTGACCAAAGTATAATCCTGCAGCCCCCTCAAGAGGCCCTTGCGACCGTAAAGGTGCTGCCGGTTGTGCTTTTCCAGCTGCTGTGGTCTCCTTGTAAAGCTACAGTTCTGTGCAGCGATGATAATAGACAGCAGTCGCTCCATCAGTGAAATTGAAAGGCAAAAGATGGAAGAGGGGGAAGTCCCCATGTTTACTCTCCAAAAAGCCAAAGCCGATGTGTCAGCTGCCCGCGATACCAAACCAAGGAATTATTTATTTTATTGAATGCTTTTTTCTCATGAAGGAAGAAGAATGTGTTTAAATTCCATTCTTTTTTTAAAAATGCCTGAAAATAGCAAGGTGCTCTGTGATGACTTTGGAAGAGTTACATACACACTTTTTACAAGTGCCTTTAGTTGCTCTGGTGACTTTCTTCTAAATTATGTAACAAAATAATGGCATTATTATGCACATTTCCTCTGTTGATGACTTTGCAGAGGATCACAGTAATAAGTTATGCTGCTACCTGCCTTAGAATAGTAGGATTCTATTTCTTCTTGGACTCTTGTCATTCTCTTCCCCCAAGCATGTATTTTAAAAGGCCTCACAGCAAGCTTGACCAGGTTTACTTGGGAGCTACAATGATTCTGCAAGGGCACTGCGACCAAAGAAAGGCAGCCTTGTATGCTGTAAATGGTTTGTGTTTATGTTGACTTGTTAATGTGGCTGGCCCATGTTGGTTTTTATTATTGATGCATCTGGTTGGGGGACGGGACCTTCCCAAGGAAGCTTTGTGCATTTAATGAATAGAACTTATGAAATATACATTTTAAAAAATCAAATAACAGGCAAACCTGTATGAATGTACACAGCAGTAACCCACTGTACTTAATGATAAAGGTAGCTCAGTTAGGATTTTGGGGCCAGGTACTTCTACCTATGCACTATTCTTTAAGGATAAAGTCAGTGTTACAAAACCTTGATTAAGCCCAGCTGCCTTTCCCATCAGCCACAAAAGCTGTTGCTTACCCAATGCATGTTAATTTATCCATTCTCTTCTCAACCATCATCAATAAAAACATAGGAACTACCACAGCAGTGTGGGGGGCTTTTATCGCAAGTAGGAATTATGCTCTGTTAGTGGGAAGTACTGTTTAACAGTACACATTGCAGCTGAAGCATAAACGGTGTTCCGAGAAAGGGACCGCAGCGTAGTGGCAGAGTAGCTGCTTTGTACACAGGGGGACCAAGACATATTCAAATCCCTGGAGGTCTCATCAAGGTGGTCGGTAGGATGTGGCAGGTTCCGCTTGCTCTGCATCTTATGGCTGCTGGCCCATCCTCCGTGGCCAAGAGCCTGCCAGACTCTGCACCAACCTTGCCTTGTCCTGAGGGGTCTGCAGATGGAGCCAACTCCAGCCACCCTTCTCTTTGTACAGCATTAGGTCCTTCCACCATGACAGATGCCTTGAGAATAAAAACATTCATGCTGCTTTCATGCATATTTAGCTGCTTCTGCTCCAGAACAAATCTAAGCAACATCAGGAAGTTCTGTGTCATAGGACCTCTGCTCTGTCAAATGTAGTAGAAGAATGGAGCTCAGAAGCACGTAATCTCAAATCTAGCTGCAGCAAAGCACTGGAGCAGGAAGACAGAAGTGTTTTCAAGTGGCTTCCAGAAACGCTAAATTTTTAAAAGTAGCTGCTACCACCAGAAGTTCAACACACTCTGCCACAATACAAGATTTAAATGCTACAGTCAGAAATACTAAGGATGGTACCAACAAGCTTACAGAGAAAGAACAGCAAACCCCCCTCCCCGCATGTCTATCCCCTTCCCACAGCACCCTACAATCAAGGCTCAGGCTGTATTCAGACACCAAGGGTGGGAGGACTAGAAGTGATTGGGCACCTTGTTCGTGAGGCTTTGTTAATCTCCAATTGTCCCATTTTACCTAAACCTGCACACACGGAACAATCCCCCCCCCAACCAGGATTTCAGGCCATGGGTTTGACAAGATTGAAAATGATGGCTTAACCAGCCTCCGGCCTCAGCAGTAAGGCTGCTTAAACTTATTTGTAAATGGTAAAGCTAAGGCTTTGCCCAGAGCTTCTCATTTTCAAGAAGCAAAATATTTCAAATACTATCCTTTAGTAAGGTACAGTGGAATTCTTACTGATGCACAAACACAAAACCAGCCGTAACTTACAGGTATTTTAACACTGTCAGTTTTAGATCTCCTAAACTGTATAGAAGGCAAATTGTAACAAGGTGTGATTTATTCCAGATGTTTAAATTTGGTTACAAAAAATGCTGAAAATGACCAAAAACATTTTCTCTTGGCCTGTGAATGCCATTCTGGCTCAGTGCCTCATTTTCATTTGGGGGGGGGGAGCAGCAGAAGGTTGCTTCACCCTGAAGTCTTAATCAGTGTCTGGCCAAGAACAGCAAATCATTGTTGGCCAAGAAAACACACTGCAGTGAGGGGACCACTTCTGGCTCCTGTGCATAAGGAGATGCGCAACATTTTCAAGGCATTGAAATGCTGTGGAGCAGAAACAAGAAAGGAAGCTGCCTCCTGGCCCTCTTGGGCTTTCACTTACCCTGGTAAGCCCAAGCAGCACAGTGAGAAGGACTGCTAGAAAGAATGGATGGACTTGCAAGACTGCCAGACTAGCAAAGTAATGGCCTTGGTAATGCCATTATGACTCCTGCTTTTTGTTTTTGTAAAAGGACATTTTTTTTACAATATCTTTATTATGTACAAGAATATGGAATATTTGTAAGAGCAACTCTAAAGCATTCACCTTAAAAAGACCTCCAGAAGGCCACATCCAAAAACGGCATATTTTCTTCCATGTAATGATTGGGCAGTGCTCACATCAGCTGCCTGGCTTCACCCAGCAAAGGCGCTGCAAAGTCTTTAATGCTGCTGGAGTTCAGCTGAGGGATAGTGCTGATCCTCAGGAATTTGCTGCTAGAATATTTGTTCTTGACAGCCTGTCAGAGGTGTGAGGCGGGAGAAGGTTAGGTTGCAGAGAATATGTTTACCTTGCTGCAGGAATTAAGCTGCTGGTTTTGTTCCTGAGAAAGTCATCACTTACACTTGACTACTTGTAGGAGAATGTCAAATTCTCTCAACATCTATTGGTTTTACTTTTACTTTTGATGGCAAAGAAACCAAGATCTCCCAGCACCCTGCTGCTCTACTTTCTTTGGCCTAAGGGAAAAGGTTTGTGCTCATCTCATTCCAGCCTCCCAAAACAGAGCAACCAGAAAGGCAGCCTTTGCAAACATGGTGCGCTCCAGGTGTGTTGGCTCGGGCTCATTGGACCTTTAGCCTAAAACATCTGGAGGCCAACAGCTTGGTGCAGTAAGATATTGGTGCAAGTGCTCCTTGCTTGTGTTATCGAAAAGAGGCAATCAGAAAAGGAAAGAACAGTAACATTCAGACTATATAGGCTCGAGTGTCAGATGTTTCAAGCTAAAAGGGGCTTCCAGCAAAGGAAGCACACCAATACCCAGGAGTAGGAGGTGTGTAATTTTTTGCCCTTGTTTTCTATATTCCTCTTGTGAGCATGCAGAACAGCTTTTCCAGAGAGCTGCTGCCAGTCAGTGTAGACAATAATGAACTAGGCGGGCTAATTTGGTCTAAATATATAAAGCAGCTCCTTGGGACTTCATGGGATCATGGGACTGTCCCCCCATGATCACTGATGGTGGGGTGGCAGCAGTGGTAGAGGGGTTCTAACCCCCAATATTGAAGGCAAATAGAGCCAGGACCCAAATCTCAAAGCGTCTGAATTTGCCTTATTTTAAGAGAGTGGCAGTTTCCATTCCAGGCTCCCTCCCTCTTGCCCTGTTCTCTTTCCTGGGGTGAACACACCCACCCATGCCCCACAGTAGTTGCCTGTAACAGGAACATTAAGCCTAACAGCAGCCAAGGCTGCTAAAATAGGAGCAGATACTTACAAGGTGTTTTGTTAGATTCCTGTTGACTCTGACAACATTCTTGGCCATGTGCTCCATAACAGGGGTAAGACCCTCCTCTTCATATCCAGTATAATAGCACAGCTTGGGGTTCTACAAAGGAGAGGCGGCGGCGGCTGTCAAAGCCTGTCCCAAGAGCACTGTAAACCCCCACCTGCCAGGGCCACCCGTAGCAGCTAGGCAGGACCCAGCAAATCCTTTTGAGCTGTCAGTGGACCTCACAAGCAGACTTGCTCAAACATTTGTGAGTCAGTAACTTGTCTGTAGGTTTGCAGGACTGCTTTAAAAGCATCTTAGAGCAAATCGGTTTCTGACTAGGTTATGATGCCGGTAAGGCCTGAAAGCACCTGTGGCCAGCACCTTGCTCATGCTAAGAAGGTCCGGGTCAATGCCTGGAGGAGGCAAGGAATGCCAGGTATTCTCTTCACAGACTCTCCGCAGGGGCCTCTAGTCCAGTTACTTGGGGGGAGAATGTGGACTCTGCCCCCTTCCATACCACTTTCACTCAACCAAGACTCACCCACTGGCCTTCTGAGAAGACCTTCCGAGACAGGCAAAGCGCTGCAGCTGCAACCTCTGAAGGATTATAATGCACCATATTGTAGTCCAAAAGGGTCAGCTCCATCAGGTACTTTGCTAGCAGGTACGATTCAGCAGATGCCTGGCAAAACAGGAAGAGCACTTGCATGAATGCAGCCGGCCTCTAGTTTTAATGCCTACCCAGAGAAGCTCGTGTATCTTTGATTTTACTGGAACTTGTAACTAGATCTAGAGCAACCCCCACAACCCTGATACTCTCCAGGGTTCTGGACTACAATTTCCATCAATTGTGGTCCAAAATATCTGGAGGACGCCAGGTTGGCAGGGTGGTGGCTTAAGTCAAAGGAGAGTTCTTATCTCCTTTCCTAGCTGCTGTGCTCCTTTTCATGACTAGGTGCACTTGCCTTCTCTAAGAGCCCATGCTTCAGTCCTGGATCATCATAGGCACAAGTACAGTCAGCTCTTATTCATCCTGTGGTCCCTTTTCTTTCATCTAGCCTCTCCCTTAATAGCTGCTTTGTCTATGCTCCTTTAGCCACTTGCCAGAGGCCTTGAACCCGTGTTCCTCCCCAGCCCCTTGCACATTTGTCTACTTAAAGGGCAGAAACAAAAAATGGCTTTCATGGGAGCAGAGGGCTTGCACAAATTAGTGCATTCACCTCGAATCGACACATAGCACCAGGAGACTCTTATTTGGCTTGCACATGCCCCCTACCCTCATTACCAGATACTGTAGTGCCCAAATCAAGTGATGCCATGGCTGGATCCCAGACCTCCTTCCCGCTCACTCCAACACACAGGTGGACACTCCTTTCAGAAGAGGCTGGTCAGCACCCCCACCCCTCAACCATACTCAACATCCTATTACCAGACTACCCAAGCTCAAGGTACTGGCAGATGGACCTACATCAGAAACTTTGGCTATTCGTCTCAGGAAGTGGAGTGGTAGCGGTCTTCCTAAGGCAAAGTTAAGCTCCTTAAGGATCTTCTGCTCCGTTGCCCGGATCTGAGTCGGTGTGTATGCTCGGTCGGTCATGTAGACAAAATCCAAAATACTTGGTGGATAGATCTCTTCATATTTTGCAGCCAGAAGCATCGCAGTAACACCGACCAACTGGAGTTCCTTGCGGGAGACAGGCTGAGCCTAGTTTGACACACACAATACTGGTTGTATTACACAAATGTGGAGATATTGAGACCCTACCTTGCTCCTCACTTTTGCACAGGGACAGCTCTCAGGAACTGACAAAGAGGTTACTTAATAGGACCTTCTTTATAGTTCTCAATAGTTTGGGTTTCAAGTGTGATGGTGTTTTGGAATCAAGATAGACAGAGGCCACCCTGCCCTCTGCAAAATCAGCTGCACCATGGTCTCAGAGGGTGTTCTGCTACCTACAGCTTCCCAGAGATACAACTCCTAGGAGAACTTTGGAGAAGCAAACACCTCACGTTTTAAAATGGGGATGCTTCCAGAGTATGTCCACCACCTAGTTGAAGCTAAGTTGGTTTGAGTCTGATCAGTGCCTAGAGGGTCGTCATGCACACGCATGACACTTTGGGTCTCATGTAGGAAGTGGGGGGGGGGATATAAGCATACGGAAACCAAAGTTTGGCTGACTGGAATGTAGTGAGTGCCAACAACAAATTCCCAGTATACCTTAATTCAAAGCATGGGAAAGATTCCAGTCACTGTTTTTACATCCAAGTGTGAGAGATTAAGCCCATGCTTAAACCTCCCTAGTTGACAGTGTCCACTGTTTCAATATCAATCTCCCACCCAGTGTGATGATGCCTTCCGTGCCCTGATAGGAGTTGTGGTCCAAAACATCTGGAAAACACCACACTGCAGAAGGCTACTCCATAGCTCAGTCTATGCAACTAGGAACCCCACATCCATCCACCAAGCCCCCACCCAGCAAAAGCGGCATCTCAGAGCTCAAAATAGGAGTTTCATGCACAGCTCCACCGTTCAAGCTTCATATGTGCTATAAATGCCAAGCTTACTTGCAAGAAGCGATCTATGATAGCCACACACATGTAGAGAGTGTCCTGCATAAGTTGGAACCTTGCATGGAGCTGGATCAGCCAGTCAACAAGAATGGCCCGCATCCGCCCATTGATCTCTGTGCCATCAAGGTAGAAGGGAAAGACACGCTGCTGGACCTGTTGGAGAGGGTCAACTAGATCAGAGGCTTGTCCCATGTTTAGATAGCTGGCAAGGGGGGAGCAGCTAGAAGGGAGTCAGACCCAAAATGCATTTGTCAGGGTTCAGGTCCAAGGACTCCAGGGGCATGCCTGCTCATTTGTTAGCAGAATGGCAGCTCCAAGTAGGTGTGTGGTTCTAGGAAGAACTCGTGATGCAGTTGATTCATTAGTAAAAATTTACTAAGGCAAAAATAAGCTTGACAGTTCAATACCAGATCCCTGGAATGGCAATCTCTTTACAATCCAGTTGCAGCAAAATATAACAGTAAAAAACTTAAACATACTATATACACTAAGCAAGTAAAAAACAATTCAGAAAGAGAGTGAAGGAACAGCAGAGAGAGTGAAAGCAAGAATAACATGAGATCCTGTTGGACTGCATTCATAGGCAGACCTTGAAACACAACGAGCTCATTCCAGCTGCATGTCTGTTCCCTTGAAAATCTTCCAGACACTCTGGAAAATGCTCGAACATTTCTGTTAGCTTCTACAAGCTTCCATGAGTTCTGTACCTCAGAAAAGCCATCATAGCTGACAGGATTCCCCATCCAACAGCAGTAGCCCAAACACCACACACCAAGTGGGAAGGAGGATGTTTCGCTGCCAGGCATAAATACCTCCAGTTGCCTCAGGTACTGGTAAATATCCTTCACGTAGTCACTGCACATCTGGGGGTCCTCCCTGTCACCAGCATCAATATCTTCTATATTGCCCCGCAGCATCTCAGAAAAGGCTTGGCACAATTCCACTTCCATAGAGAATGAATTGGGATCCTAGTTTAAGAAGCAACCCCCCCCCCCCCCCGGACACACCCCAGTTGAAATTATTTTTAACTGGTACTTTGTTTGATTTTCTTGATATTTCACCCTGCCCCTTTTTGTATTAATATTGTTAACCACCATTTGGTAGAAAGGCAGGATGCAAGTTTAATAAATAATGTCTAAGAAAAAGAGATAGCAGAAGTGAAGCCACAACACCAAATGGGAGATTTTGGAGGCCCACCAATGCTCTTGTAATAAGCTACAGAAAGAGAGGGTGGGAGAGGGTGTTCTGATCACTTCCTGCTCAAGGTCCCTTGCACGCTTGCACTCGCTCACCATTTGCCAAGCACCTGGCCTTTGCTTTCTTCCAAATAATTATCTGGCAAGGTGGGTTATACTTACTCAAGGGCACACAGGTCAACATCAAGTCTCAAGAGGAGACTGAACCCACATGTGCCTTTCACCAAATGAGGATAGAAAAACTTGCATATCACTTGCAACAGCCACATTCCAAGAGAAGTGGTATAACTTGAATCTCACTTAGGAAGAATAAGCCTCCCCCATGCCCTCTTCATCCCCTGTCCTGCAATGCAATGCTGGTGAAACCAAGGTACTTGAAACTTTAGGGATGAAGAAAGCAACTGGATCCATTCGCCTGCAGCACCAGACACCTGCCTGAAAAGGTCGAAGGATTAAACTAGGACCAAGCAGATTCCAGCAGCACCAGTAGAGCCGGCTAGTCCTCCTCCACTTTGGTCCAAACATGCTTGTAAAAAATAGTAATTATTAATTGGGTTGGGAGAGCCAAGTTAGATGAACTGTAGCAGCACAGTTGGCCGTGAGAACATGGGAAAATGTTTGGGTATCAGACACTGAATTTGTTGTACTGAAGACAATGAATTAATTAATTAACAGGCCTCTTTACTAAACATCTGTAAACTACACTGCAACTTGTGGAGGTAGGAAGCAGAAAAGGGGAGAACATTTAGAGAGGTAGCCAGTGCTGTGGTGGAAAGAGTCAGGAAGAGAAATTTTTTTGGCTTCTAAAAATCTCCAGGCAGCACCAGTCACTCCCCGCTAGACAAAACAAAATAAAAGCAGTACGCCACCAATATGTGGTCTTCGCCATGGGACCACATCCAATCAGTGCTATATCACCTGCACTGGCTCCCAGTTGAGTACAGGGTCAGGTTTACGGTGCTGGTTCTAACCTTTAAAGCCCTCTACGACCTGGGACCCTCATAACTACGGGACTGCCTCTCCTGGTATGCCCTGCGGAGGACCTTATGGTCCGCAAACAATAACATCTTGGAGGTCCCGGGCCTCAAGATTAGACTGGCCTTGACCCCAGTCTGGTAGAATGCTCTGTCGCAAGAGACCCGGGCCTCAAGATTAGACTGGCCTTGACCAGAGCCAGGGCCTTTTCGGCCCTAGCCCCAGTCTGGTAGAATGCTCTGTCACAAGAGACCAGGGCCCTGCAGGACTTGACATCTTTCTGCAGGGCCTGCAAGACGGAACTGTTCCACCAGGCCTTTGGTTGAGGCTCAGTCTGACCCAGTGGCGGAGCTTCATGCTCTGGCACCAGGGGGGGCGGAGAGCAGGCGGGGGCGGGGCTGGCACATGTCCCGGGGGCGTGGCAAAGGCAGAAATGCAAGAGGCAACGCCCCCCACAGCTAAAGGGCTAAAGTTACCTTGAATCCTTTGGGTCTTTGGGTCACCATCCTGTTGCTGATTTCTTGCAAAGGTCCCCGTGGACCATTCAACAGGCTGCGGGTCTTGCCATGATCTACTGTCATGTCTTTCTTCAGATGGTTTAGCATCTAGAAAGTGAGAACCTAGCATTACTTCTTCAAGGGGCTGTGCCCACTCCCAGAACCCACTGATTAAGACTTAGCCACTATGTGGGCCAGCATACTAGATTCTAAAAAAGGCCCAGAACATTCTGCAAGGTCATCCACTCTCAAGAGTCTGCAAGCTAAATTATATAGTTGTAGGCACTGCATGTCTTATTGCTTAAGCAACACTACCAAAATACTGTGAAGATTTCTGCAAGTTCAGCCATAGAAAAGGTGGGACATCAGACAGGATGACGAATAAGCCCACAGTTTACATGCCGGTTACGCTTCAGGGGCCACACCTAAAGCCAAAATCACATATAGTCAAAATCCATTCGGTTCAATAGTGGGTGAGATTGCCAAAGTCATTTTTTCACAGAACCCCACCCCCTTTCCTCCTGTTTATATTATTACTGTATTTAAGTATCACACACACAAAACTGAAGTTAAATGTGTGTAAATTGTGGGATTACTGTACGCACACACATGGATTTTGATTGTCATTTCCCACACACTTCCAAGAATATATGTGTAGCCTTAGAGTTTTGATGCCAATAGGAATGAATTCTGTACCAGCTAGTAAAGCTTATGTTTTATCCACTCCTGGGATGGAATAAGAGAATTGTACAGTTTGAAGGCGTCAAAGATCATCTATGGGCCAATAAATCATGGCATATGCCCCCTATGCTCAGTACCACACTTCTACAAGATAAAGAAGCTATTGCACTGCACTGAAAAGAACGTTACCAGCATCTTCTTAACCGCAACTCCCCCATCCTCTCACAAATCCCACAAAAACAAATTAAAGATGAGCTTGCAGTACCTCCAAATCTGAGAGAGTTGTGTACAGCTATTAACCAAATGAAAAACAACAAAGCCAGAAGACCTAATGGGATACCTGCTGAAGTCTTCAAAGTGGGTGGAATCGAACTTACACAACTTCACAAGTTCATCGGAAAAATCTGGGAGAGAAAGGAGATCCCAGCAAACTTTAGGGATGCCAAAATTATCAATCTCTTTTAAAAAAGACAACAGAACAGATTGCAGAAACGATCGAGGTATCTTTTTATTGGCTGCAGCCAGCAAAATTATTGCAAGGATCTTAGCAAACCGTCTCTTAACAATATCTAAGGCTACACTTCCTAAATCCCAAAATGTTTTTAGACCTTCTAGGGGGACAGTGGACATGATTTTCACTGCTTGACAGCTTCAAGAAAAATGCAGAGAGCAAAACCAACCCCTGTATATGGCATTTATTGACCTTACTAAGGACTTTGACACTGTAAATCGTAATGTCCTGTGGACTGTCCTTCTGAAAATTGGATGCCCAGATAAATTTGTGAACATCGTTCTGCTCCTAGAATCATAGAGTTGGAAGAGACCACAAGGGCCATCGAGTCCAACCCCCTGCCAAGCAGGAAACACCATCAGAGCACTCCTGACATATGGTTGTCAAGCCTCTGCTTAAAGACCTCCAAAGAAGGAGACTCCACCACACTCCTTGGCAGCAAATTCCACTGTCGAACAGCTCTTACTGTCAGGAAGTTCTTCCTAATGTTTAGGTGGAATCTTCTTTCTTGTAGTTTGGATCCATTGCTCCGTGTCCGCTTCTCTGGAGCAGCAGAAAACAACCTTTCTGCATGACACTATGACAGCAACAATCTCAGATAACAATGGTTCTCAAAGTGAACCATTCATAGTGGGATCAGATGTTAAACAGGGTTGTGTTATCGCCCCAACTCTATTCATTATTTTCATTGCCATGATCCTACACTTAGTCAAAGGGAAACTCCCCACCAGAGTAGAAATCATATATCAAACAGATGGAAAGCTCTTTAATCTGAGTAGGCTGAAAGCAAAGAGTAAAGTTACCGTAACTTCCACCTTAGAGCTTCAGTATGATGACAATGTAGTGTGTGCACACTCAGAGGATGACCTCCAAGCCATCCTAAATATCTTCACAGAAGCTTACGAAAAGCTTGGTCTATGGCTCAACATCCAGAAAACCAAAGTGCTGCTCCAACAAGTACAAAATAACCCCTCTGCAGCACCACAAATCCAACTCAATGCTGTATCATTGGAAAGTGTTGATCACTTTTCCTACCTGGGCAGTTATCTTTCCACAAGGGCTGACACTGATGCCAAAATCCAGCATTGCCTGAGCTCTGTGAGTGCAGCTTTCTCCCAACTGAAGTGCAGAGTGTACGAGAACTGGGACATTTGCAGGGAAACCAAAATGCTTGTTTACAAAGCTATTGTACTACCAACTTTACTGTACACTTGTGAAACATGGACCACTTAAAAATGCCATCTCCAACTCCTTGAAAGATTTCATAAATGGTGTCTGAAAAATTTACACTTCACTTGGGAAAACAGATGAACTAATGCCAGTGTACTGGAAGAAGCAAAGATCACCAGTGTTGAAGCAATGATTCTTCAAAATCAACTTCTTTGGATTAGTCATGTTCAGATGCCTGATTATTGCCTTCCAAAGCAACTACTCTATTCCGAACTTAGAAATGGAAAGCGTAATGCTGGTAGTCAACAAAAGAGCATTAAAGATTCTCTCAAGGCAAATCTTTAAAAATGCAGTATAAGCACAGGTGATTGAGAAACACTGGCCTGTGAGCACTTCAGTTGGAGAACAGCCTTTATCAAAGGCGTCATGGACTTGAACTCTGGATGAAAGGGAGAAACAAGCTCAGAGGAAGGCAAACCCTCACTGTGATCAACTCCTGCCCAGAAACCTATTGCACCCCCCCCCCCCGCCCGTGGAAAGATGTGTGGGTCCAAAATTGGCCTCCACAGTCACTTACGGTCTCACTGTTAAAACCGTGTTCATGGAAGACAATCTTACTTGGCTACGAAGGATCTCCAAAGAAGGAGGGGTGGAGGAGAGAACAGTGGAAACCAAGTTTTACTCAGAGTAGACCCACTTAAATTTATGAGCATGACTATGCTGGGTCCTCTAATTTTTATGTCTCTGTTTTGAGAAAGACTTTGCAGCAGAGCACCACATTCACCCCCTTGGAATATTTATAAGCAGCCAGATATTACAGAAGGCCCCAGGGGTTTACAACGAAAATGCCACTAGCGGGCACAGAGAGCCAGTCCTAGAGGGAAACTCGACCTTCTGCGAAAGTCTGTCAAATGGAAATTTCTCTACACCCAGCAACAATACGTGACCAGCGCCGGTGGCTCTTCAAGGGGCAGCGCGTTCCGCAGGCACAAAAACGACAGTCAGGCCAAGGGCTGCTTCTTGGCCCAGCAGGGGAGGCGGCCAGGGGCGGCACTCTGCACAAGCGCCGGAACCACCCCTCGCTCCGGCCTTTAAACCCCAACGAAGCTTTCCCCCTAGACCCCAGACCTGGCCGTGGGGGGGCAACAAGAAGGCCCGCCCTCCGCGGCGGATCAATCTCGGAGCACCCAAGCGACCCTCGGACCAAGATACGCGTCACGGACCTCATGCACACGTGCAGTTGGAGCCGCGCACGAGTGGAGCACAAGCCCAAGAAGAAGGGAAGCCGGTTCGTCACACGTTGCCACCAAGCCAGTGGCGGGGAGTTTCACAGGCCACGACTCAACAGACCCCTTCGTAGCTGCGCCGCCATGGCCAGCACAGCCGCCTCCTCGCGCTTTTTCAAGGCCGCCGCCGCCGCCTCGCCCTTCTGAGGGGATCCTAGCGGCGTCGCCATTGGCTCTTCGCGTCGAGCCCGCCTCGCACAATTGGCTGCCACTCTCTTGCGCCCGCCCCTTATGCTTGTGTTGCCAAGGCGACTGCGGCCTTCAGCTGCGGGCTCCGACGCCCGAGAAGGGCGAGAGGCGACACTTTCTCTCAGGGGCCGCTAAAAGCGCGCAAGGCGACATGGGAGTTGTAGTCCTGCCTAGGAAGAGAGCAGCATCTTTAGCAGTTCTTGCAAGTCGTCGGTTCGAAACCTGCCGTTTCCTTTGCTTGGAAAGTAGACAATGGCTGCTTACAAAGATCAGTAATGAGACAGCCCCCGTCTTCAGCTTTCGAGACGCAAAGACAAAACACAAAAGAAACGGGGACTGAGAGGGAGGAGGGGAAAAGTAAACCTGGGCATTTGCTACAAAGTTCTTCTAACGATCAGCTGGAATGGAAACGGTTCAAAGGAGAGAAGCCTACAGTTGCTGGTCTCTCGGATGAGTTGATGGAGAGGCCCTGCATCCCCATCGCTTGCAAGTGATGCTTGGTCTGCCCCACTAGCGATATTTAAGAAAAATAGTTTTATGTGACCTGGTATTTGGGCCATGAATAATTATTTTAGGGTGTGGTGTGGTCCTATGGATAAAATTGCTGTTACTTTTTACATTCTATTTGATTCTGAGATTTTTCCATTCTTCTGACATATGGCTATCTTCTTACTGCTGTTTGCTGTACAAAATATTGAATGAATGTCCAGTCCAATGTGGGATTACTTTTAATGGGTTATGAAACAGATTCCTCTTATGAGATATGTCTACTAATGACTGAATTTATTTCTGGGTGCAGTTAGAATCTTCTCAAGTGCAGCTACCTGACAAAATGCAAACTGGTTTGTAAGGCCATCTGCTAGGAAAAGCTGTGCTTCTAACAGTTTCAAACCATCTGATATTCTAATAATTTAGAAAGTTGTGATACAGTAGAAACCCTCAACTACTCCCTTCATGCAGCCGTTCTGCTTTTATTCTTAAATAGCCCATGTAAAGATTGACATCTTTTGTCAGATTATTTGTTTAAACGGAAAGGAATTATATTCACAGAAGGCAAAAACAAAACACATTTTTATCACTCTTGTTATTTTTATTGCATACAAAAAATAATTTTGAGCAAGTTTTTAAAAAGGCATTCAATGTAGACTATTGAGTGTTATGTTCCAGCTCAGTGATTATACTTTGATATGTATGGTGATGGATCCAGGCTAGTTAACTCTGTGTTTTGATTCTTACTGCATGCCTAGCTGTAACTTTCAAAACACAACTGCTCCTGCACACCCACTTTTGACAATACTATGCCAGGAAATGCAACCAGCTTCTCTACTGCTCCTTTACCCACCCATGGGAGACAGGGGTGCCCAGGATATTGGTGCTGGCAGGTAAGGGAGCCTAGAAGACAAAGGCAAGGGTCCTTGAAGGACAATGTGCCAGACCTGCCTTCAGGCTTACACCCCAAAGACAAAACCTTCAGCTGATCACAGGTTAGTAATGTCAGCCTTTCATCTTTTATGTCTACCATTTTAGTGTAAGGATTGCGACATCCCTCTAGGATGAAGAGCTGTTTGACACTGGAACAGACTTCTTCAAAAAGTGGTGCACTCTCCTTCATTGGAGGCAGTGGAGTGAAGTAAAATTTATGGGAGTATCGGGCCTCCCTAAGCCAGTCAAGAGCTTCCCAGGCTTTGGGAAGGAGGTGCCAGGGAACATTTAAGGAACTAATTTAGTCCCCTAGTCCACTAACTGGACGTTATTAAAGAGCAGTTGGATGGCCATCTGTCAGGGATTCTTTAGCTGTAATTCCTGAATTGCAGGAAGTTGATGACCTTTGGGGTCCCTTTCAATTCTATGCGTCTGTGAGGAAAGCCTGGATATCACTGTCCCTTAGCAAAAAAAACCAACCCAAGTTATATGAATCTCTAGACCATGGGTAGGCAAACTAAGGCCCGGGGCCCAGATCCGGCCCAATTGCCTTCTAAATCCAGCCCGCGGATGGTCCAGTAATCAGTGTGTTTTTATATGAGTAGAATGTGTTCTTTGATTTAAAATGCATCTCTGGGTTATTTGTGGGGCATAGGAATTTATTCATTTCCCTCCCAAAATATAGTCCGGCCGCCCACAAAGTCTGAGGGACAGTGGACCGGCCCCCTGCTGAAAAAGTTTGCTGACCCCTGCTCTAGACCTTCCAAAAAGGAATTATTCATGTCTTTCAAACAATGCAGGAATTGCATTCAGAAGTTTCAAAAAACACCCACACCAAACCCAAAAGGTGTTCTTAGCATCACTCAAGAATCCATAATGTGCTCTCTCTCTGAATCCTAAATAGCTGCAGTGAATTTTGCTGGAATCATCTCTTCATTACATTGCATTGTGTTCCTTTTGTGATGCTACTATAGGCCTTGAAAAAAATTAGCTTTCTGTTGCCAGCTTCCTAACATACTGTACTAGAAAAAATCAGTCCTCATTAGAACTTGATTAAGAAAGCACAGTATGCCCACAGTAATTAACAGCTTGAAGATATCTTGATTGAGGCATAATGAATGTACACAATAACACTCCCTTGTTCACCTCAATTGGAGAGTGATATTGAAACTATAACCAGGATTGGGGGTGGGGTGGGGGATGCTTTTGCTAGCCTTAGTCCAGTAGCATTTTCTCTTTTCCTGTACTTCTCTATTCTGTCCCCCGCCAGTGGGCACAGACATGTGAGTCTCCAGGTTCAGAGGTAGCATGTCATGCATCACTGGGGGGTAGGAAGTGCTGTTCAAGGATAATAGAGTTCAAAACCCAGCCTTTTGGGCTAGTTTTATCCTAATTTGGACCGGGGCTTAATTTTGCAGCCAACATCACTGTATATAATAAAGATTTATAACCTGTGTCTTTATGGATGTTATTGGACTCCAGCTCCCCTCAGGCCCAGCCATCATGGCCTGCAGTCAGGCACAATGGGAATTATGTCATTCATCCCTCCTTGTACCTGGGGTGGCTGCCTGATCTTAGGGCAGTCGGTACAAAGCTAGCAACAGCATTAACAGTCTGATTCCTAACCCACGCCCCAAATTATGCAAATTGATCCTTAGAAACAACACAGGAGACAGGTGGATTCAGCTAACTTTATTAACTGTAAAACTAAATTAAAAAAAACAAAAAAACACCACCCAGTTCCCATGACAGGGCAAGGGACCTTTCAAAGTTCTATGAAGTCATGGATATTTGCCTTAGGAAGTTAAATTCAAAGTCTTGGTTTAATCTTTGTGGCTGTTACCCCAACCCCCAACCCCAATTTTTGTATTTTTTTATTTTTTATTACAAAACCAGCTTGTGCAGATCTTTAGATGAATTTAGCATTAAGACTGAGGAGCAAACAAACAAATAAAAACAGCCTGTCTTTCCCCCCTGTTTTCCTGCAAACTTATTTTATTCAATCTGCATGTATCTACAACCCAGCTAGTTGAAATCAAATATTTAGTGTTCATTAGAGCTGTTTCACAGCAGCAAAATATTACGTTAGAGAAATTCAAATTGCTAGACATAAGAAAATGGTACATACAATCGGACAGCAGTCTAAATGTTTTTAATATTGACATTCAAATATATCTGCATTGTGCTGAAGGTTTAAGAACATGAACATTTGATCTGAAAAGGATGATCCAATAATGGGTTATGCCATTTGAAATCAAAGGATCTGAAGATTATGTTCCCAGTTATTTATTATGGATGGTGCAACTTGGAACGAACAGCGCCTGCAGAGCTCTCACAAGGCTCCCATTCACTTTCAGGAGGCTTGTGCAGGAGAAGTGCTTGGCGTCTCTCCCCAACACAAGTATACAGCAGCTTTTTCCCCTAATTAAGGAATGTCTTAAAAACACAATAATATCCTTTTTGATCTTTATACATTTAGAACTAAAATACATGATTAAATTAAGGACTCTGAGGTTAGTATTGAGTGAAATCATACTCTGAATAAGCCTGACTCTATGTAAAAAAAAACCAAAACAAAAAAACCACACAATTCTACTTTCTAAAGCAGATAATCTTGCCTGCAAGTTTGGAGAGGTCACTAAGCCCATAACATGTGCAAAGAAATGCAATACAAGGAACCATGCAAAATGTACAGGAAAATGTGTTAAGAGTAGGGAAAACTGTACGGTCTAAACAAACAAAAGAAAAGCTTTATAAATACACTGAACTGTAGGTTTAGCATTAGGTATACCATAGAGCAGACAAACAGCACTCTAGCAGGTTCAAATGCTTCCAACATCTGCACAGGTAAGTCATGCCATCTTTGGTTGACTGCAGTACCAGGAAGGATGAGCGTGAAGGAAGAGAGCAAGAGGTTTTAGGCAAAAGGGTGTCAACTTTCGCTTGGCAGCTGAGCCTCAATGTCCACTCTGCAAATGGGGCACTTCTTGTTTGTGATCAACCACTGATCTACACACACTTGATGGAAGAGATGCATACATGGAAGACGCCTATGAACAAGAAAAATGGAAGGAGAGAGGTCAGCACTTTACAGGCAAGAATGGCTACCTGAAAACATACATCATAAAAAAGGTCCTCCGTTAAAAACAACAACCCTACTTTATTTTATATCACATTTTAACATACTGATTAGGAGATCTGACTGTCAGCAAGGTTGTGGCATTTCTTTCTAACATGATGGGCCTTGTGTCATAGGGCACCTACATTTTGTAAAAGGATCCTTAGTGCACCATCTAGTTTCTGAGTCTCTACTTGGCCTTGCAAGCTTCTTTCTGCAACCATGAAAGTCAGAACTTTTCCCCCCAAAAGGTTTGCAATTCCCTGGGTATTATATGGTGATCTGAGGATGTACTAAAAGCACACGGCCACAATAACACTAGCACCCCAAACACACTAAATTAGATGGTTCAAGATGCTGAACTGAAGCAGTACAGCAGAGCTTGTCCTAAGGTCTGTCAGTGCAGAAGAGTTGACACTGTCTGTGGCAAGGAAAGACTGTCACTGACAAAAGGGGACATAGGGGATTTTCTTCTTATCAATAGCAGAAGTATGCAGAAGTATGCAGTCTTGAAGATGGTCAAAGGCATGGGTGAGCCATGCCCACTCCTTCCTACTAAGCACTGCTCCAATCACATGCAGTGCACGCACCCTAGTTCTGACATAATCCTGGCAGCGGCAGTGCAGGCATGCATTGGCTTCCAAGCATGGTAAAAGCACAAAGGAAGTTGCCTTAAACCAAGTCAAACCACTGGTCCGTCTAGCTCAGTATTGCCTACTGTCTGGCAGCAGCTGTCCAGGGTTTCAGGCAGGTGTCTCTCCCAGCTTTACCACCTGGGACCTTTTGCAAGGTGCTCTACCGCTGAGTTATGGCCTGTCCATATCATGTTTAAGAAGTGTTTAAACATTTATGATTCCAGGTGAAGCACTACAGCAAGGAAGAGCTTTTCAACAACACTCAATGTGAAGGTGGCTACATGAAACTCAGCCTTTTCTCAGTTTTGGGACTACTATTGTGTTAAATGTTACTTTTCTGTTTTAAGTATGTTTTGATGATATGTTCCTTCTTATTGAAACATTATAAATATTTCAGTTTTTTTCACTTCAGGCCCTATAAATGTCAAAAGGGCAATACACTACAGTCCTGTTAACTGATGACCTCTAAAAATCCTGTTAACAGTATTTTCTGATGACAGTTCATTATGGCACTGCCAATGTACAGATGACAACTAACTGGGACTGGAACAGACTGAATTCCCAAATGCATCTAGAAACCCGCAATTTTGAGAAACAACATTTCTAAAATGGTTTTTAGAACGCCAGGGATTTGGTCCTGGCTTGGGGTTTTGTTTTGTTTTTAGTTATTTACCTGACATCTTCACCTTCCTCTAATATAGATAAACAAATGGTACATTTTTCCTCTGTATCTTCCTCAGTTCCTTCCTCCCCATCTTGTTTGCAGTGCAGTTTCCTCTGTGAGAACCAATCAGTTGTTACCTTATTAGCAGAGATGACATTATTGGCAAACTGAGTAAGATCTGTTTTATGCACATTTATCAGTTCTGTTATGACTGCATTGGAAGTACACACATGAAGGTTTTAACAAAATGCAACAAGCAGGTTAAGCAACCCATCCATTTCTAGCCTCCCCACAATCATTTTAACAACATATTAAACTTCAGTGATTAAATTGGCATAGACATTTGCAACAACCTTAACAAGTTAAGAAAGCTAAAGAATCTAAAATTAAAGGGAAACCGGTCCTGGACAACATTACATTAGAAAACTAAACCAATAGTGATGATGAAGTATGGGGCTCCAATCCTAAAATATGCATTGGCGTATAATCCTGGAAAAATAGTGCAACAAGCTGGCACAAACTCATGTGGTGCAAAGGCAGGCCTGATAATTGGGCTGAAAAGCTCAGATTTCAGGTCAGCTGACGCTGGTGGCTTTAGGCAACTCTGATTCCCCAACTCAATTTCAGCACTATAATATAAACTAAAACTCCACTGATAGGATTGCTAGGATTGAAATTACTACAAATCACTTTGCATGCTACACTATCAGCAGACTTGTATTACATGCCTGTTTTTGTGGCTCTACCTTTTGGGTGATCAAATGTCCCTACAAATACAAAGTGCACATCAGGGGAAAGGAGAGGTTGGACTCTCCTGACATGCCAGTTTGTACGTGCTGACATTTGATGGAACTTGTCCCTCTCACCTATTTATTAACAATTCTGAACTTTTAAAGATAAAACAATGTAAGGCTCCAGAACTGTGGATTGAGTAAGAACTGCGTTTTCAGCTCCTTAAGGAAAAGCATCCAGTAGCAGTCCTAGGCCAGCTACACTTACAAAACATGTCATTTGTCACTTTCTATAAAAGAGCAATCTAGTCACGATCTGAGGAGTACATTCTAAAAGGGATGTGTGTTCTATTTTCTATTATTTACAGATAGGTAAGTAAGAATTTGTGGAACTAATATTTGCAAGTTTAGTTGTCCAAAATGTATTCCCACCCCTCCATATGGCCCTGAAACAGCCCCTAAGACATGCTCACCTTTTTGTATTTGTGTGGATATGTGCACCTTTCAATTGTCCCTTGCGAAGCTCCACGATTCACATTTCCTAAACGTTCTTCCAGATGAATTAATTCCTGGAATCAAGGAGGAACCGAGAGAATTCAATATCTTGGTCTTCTCACTTAATCATTTATTCATTCTTCAAATGGCAAAACAGTTGTCTCAACTACTTAATTTACATGCATGTTATTTGAAAAGTAGTATGTGAGCAGTTTTCTATTTCTGATCTCCACTAATACCACAGGGGTCCTGTCAATCATCAGCCCCTCTTGCTGCGAATGGCTTACCTGCTCTGATGTCATAAAGAGGCTCAGCATGAGGTGGTTTAGTGCTTAAGGGGGTTCTTGAGTCCCTACATGGATAGGGAACCTGTAACTCTCCAGATGTTGTTGGACTTCAGCTCCTCTCAGCCCCAGCCAGCATGGCCAATGGTCAGGTATGCTGGAGTTGTAGTCCAGCAATATCTGTGGAGGGCACAGGTTCCCCATCATTGCCTTAAGACTCTGCAATCCAAGGTCTGCAAATAATCTTCATGAAACAGACCCCCTCAATCCCCTTGTCAGGGCTCCACAGGCTTTTGGAAGATACCTAGTTGGTTCAAATAATGTCAGCTCACCTTGCTGGTGAGCAGTCAGCTTAACTCTTGTGCTTATGCACAGGATGGTTTGTTGCATGTTTAATAATGATGGTAGGATGATAATAAAATGCACTGAAAAGGCTGCACTTCCTGATTCTACAACAAGAAGAGCACCAAGGCTTTTGGCTGAAACACAGTAATCCGTTTTTGGCCCCAAGAACACAACTTAAATTGAAAGCACTTCCTGAACATGTTTCCAATGTACTAGAACAGTCTCCCCCAACCTGGCGCCCACAGGATGTTTTGGACTGCAACTCCCATCAGCCCCAGAATCATACAGCCGTGCTAGCGGGGGCTGATGGGAGTTGTAGCCCACAACATCCAGAGGGCATGAGGCTGGGAAAGACTGAACTAGAACATTAAGAGTTCATTAACTCTCTGCATCCGATGTCTTAATTTCTCTGATGTGCATAACAAACTTCAGCTGCAAACGTGGCCCAGCTTCACTTAAGCAAGAGGATTGATAGTTTAACACCAACTGTCCTCCCCTTCAGCAAGCCACCTCTAGCAGTACCGCATCCTCTCAACATAAACATTTATTGCAGTACATAGTCCATTAACTGCCACCTACTGCTGCATAATAATAATAAAAAGTATTCTATGCTTTTTAAACACCAGCTTTGTTCCCAAGGCATAATTAAAAGGCCAGAGGTCATTAAAAAAATATAATCTAAAACCAGATTAGTTTACATTTAACTCTGCAATGTACCCCTCCCCCGTGTTCCCTCAAGCAAAAATCCTGCCACATAGCCAGGTTTATTCTATTACAAACCTCAAAATTGCCCCTGAAAGGGCCTCTGAATGAAGTTCCATCCAATCCCGATGAAATGTAACGAATGTGAGGGTAGCCCGCCATGTCAGGAACCTATTCAAATAGCAGAATGGAGTTAAATCTAATTGCAGAACAGTTTCGAGTATTTTACTGTCCATGTTGCAAAAATACAGAACCCTGCTGCTTTGATTCTCATCAGCAATTGACAGAATCCTGGAAGATGGTAACCCTGCCATCCCTTCTCTTTTTGCAAGGGCTCCTAGAAACAAACTCTTTCAAAGAAGGAAACTATTCTGAACCTGGTCTAGAGGATGACTTGTTCTCACCCAACCAAGGCTTAAGGTGTGAGTATTTCAGAAACATTTTGGCAAATTATGTGCCTCAAACATAGTAGACATGAAATCTAACATGATGGTGGTTATTATAACGAAGCTTGAAAATTATCTAAGAACAAGTCAAGGTAGTTCCTTAGCTAGCCAGCTTCATGCATTGTTCGCATATAAGTCAAACAGGCATATACCTTATGGTCTTAAAAGGGTAGGGACTCCGTCCAACAATGATACAACACTTAGAATAAACTGCAGTTTGAATTGACTGTTGGTGCGTGCCTCCACATACGCAACCTCACCAGGTTATTTCAGAACCTACACACACACACACACACACACACACACACACCGTTAGAAATTCCAACACTTTTTTATGGAAAGGTGAGAACAAAAAACAAACCCCAAAAGGAACACAGCAAGTCCCTTCAACAGAGTAATCCCAATGCACACTGTAAAGTCAGTAAGAATGCAGCAAGCAATCCCACTTCCAAGAATGCTGGCCTAACATTTGTGGAGCAGTATTCACCAGCCTGGTACTTTCCAGATGTTTTGGGCATACTGGCTGGGCTGATAAAAGATATAGTCCAAAACATATTGAGCGGCAGCAGGCTGCTGATGGTGAAGGCTGCTTCTGCAACATTGCTGGCTCCAGAATATCATGTCCCCTAAAAGGCCACAGAGATCTCGAGTTAAAGTCATCCCACCAAGCAAAGCAAAAATGAAACAACAGACATTCCAGTATCCCTTCATGCCTAAAGCAAGGAAGTAGTCAAAAGAACTACAGGTTCAGAGTTTTCACCACAGCTAGATGCCTATCAGATGGATTCCACATTCTGCACTTCCTCACAAGTTCAAGCAAACCCCAGTTCCTCAGATCCTTTAATTCTTGAATTAAGATGCAATAGAGGTCACTGGATAGGAAAGTGGAGACTAAATCTTTAAAACAGTAAATGCTCAAATCAGGATGATTTTCTGTCCTTCCAATGACCTGGAACTAACCTTAGCAGATTTGATGCCTTCCCACCTGGCTGACTAACTAGAGCACTTCTAGCCTACTCTTATGCATAGTAAAGAAAGCCATCAACTCACAAATCCAGAAATTTCCTGGAGACCAGCCATAACCGGTGCAACTCTACTTACACAGACCATCCTTCAGGACTTTGTAAGAAAGGCACAAATAAAAGCTTTAATTCCTTTGTCAACCATCATCTGATCGCACCTCTTTTGCTTTTCCAACAGAAATTTTCTAACGATTTCGTTTAGGTAAGACATTTAGGTAAGTGGTAGTCTCTGACATTGACAAGCTGCACAGGGTCAAAGATAGTGATGCATAAGCCACTTGCACAGTTACGCTAAGTGCTGTACGACATTCACAACATTCTCTGTAAACCGGGATGAAGAACCTGTGGCCCTCTAGATGTTACTACATTACAACTCCCATCATCCCTGACCACTGGTCAAGCTAGCTGGGTTGAGGGATGTTGGGAGTCCAACAACATGGGGCCATAAGCTCCTGTTGTAAGAGAACCTGACAATCCAGGTGCTATCATTTTAACTAGCATTTCATCTAGCACATGAAGAAGAAAAGCCAGCGACATGTGTCATCTTGTGAACCAGAATCGCAGAACGTGGATTGTGGTACTACAAGCAAAATTTTCCTTTCTAATTCAGGAGCCTAAGCAGTCAAGTAATGCCACTGGAAAAAGTTATTCAGGTACAAAGCTAGGCAAGAACTGCCAGAATTCATCAAAAGTGGTCTCTTCCTTTTGCATAAGCTGTCTTTTTATTCTGGAGTCTGTGATCAATCTCAGATTCTGCCAAATTGCACATAAAAAGTGCGTGCAGACCAGCAGCAAATAACCATCCTTGCTTCCAATATGCCCTTCCTGTAATCTCAAACCCCAATATTTGTATTAAAATAGAGGGGGTGCTAGAATTCAAAACTACTTCCACCAACCACATCAAATGTGAAATTAAACAGTAGCAAAAGTAACTAGAAGATAATCCTCTTAGCACTTTCCAGTTAATCAAGGAGTACTGTAACTTAGCCTTGCAAAGTGAGTTATAAACTAAGCAACAGCAACAACAAAATCAGATGCAGAGTGTCAATGTACTACTGGCTAATTTAATTTGGGTTATATTCTGATTTCCAAGTGAGAAATGTGGGCGAATTAAACCCAATACAAGTCCCTGCCAGTTAGGGCAGAGAAGCAGAACAGATGCTGTGGGACTAGAACTCCTGCCATCCCATGCTGGCTGGGGTCGATAGGAGTTGGGAGTCCAACAACATATGGAGAACAACAGGTTTCCCAGCCCTGGGCTAGGAAGTCCATCTTTTTCTTTTTTCACAAAAAACTTTGTATATGTCAGTGTTCCCAAGAACAAAATTTCAAATGAAATGGAAGCAGGGACAACCTGCCATGGACGCTGTGAGACAATCCTCACTCTTTTCAGAAGGGAGGAGCTGCGTCCAGTGGCTGTTGTGCAGCAGCGAATGTCAAATACTGGCAGTGGCTTCAGAGCTGTTCTCCTTACCATTAAAGGAAGAGCACCTATTTGCAAGTGGTGAAGTCGAGGAGGTGCGTGGTAGTGAGCCAAGTGAGGATGCAGCGGGCCTGGTGGGTAGGTAGCTGCAGTCACTCCTGCTTCGATTCCCAGCTCCCTATTGGGGGAAGGAGAGAGTTCACTTTTAGTCAGGCTAGCTCCTGTCTTCTAGGCAGTGAAGGCAGCAACACCTTCCTTATTCAGGGAATGAAATTATTTCACAGCAGCAATAACCTTGACTCATGCAGTTTTCTGGAGATACTGTACATAAACATTGGAACTAAGAGTTCTGTGTTGATTATCTGATATTTCTAGGCCCGGATCAAAATGCCTGTTTTCATTCAGGCTTGTTAGATGCTTTCTAAAGCAAAGCCTTCTCAAGGAGGCTTTCATAAAACGTAAAATGAAACATACCAGCCTTTCCGTACTTGGTGCTGTTGGAAGCTGTTGTCCAAAACACGTGGAGGGGCTGAGAAAGGCTGCAATATGCAATATGCCTACTCATAAAATACGATTACTAATTTACTAAACAACCATTGTGTAATGCAATATAACCCCTGCACAGACAAAAATAATAAAACAAAAACAAAATTAGTAGCACAAGACCGGTTCACACTTGTGAGGATAAAATGAGAAATCTCTCACAGTTGCTTGGAGAAAAAATAGGACACAGATGCAATAGATTAAAAACAAAGCCTATTTAAGGAGGAACTCAAAAACAACTCAAAGAAGCATTTGCAGCCTTTACAAAAAGAACTGATCTACAATAAACTAAGAATTTATTCTTGATCAGTTGTCTTTGCAAGTATGATGAACAGGGATGCTTTGCTATAACTTCTAAAACCAAAGGTTGCTATGACATGTTTTGCTGATGTAAATCAAGAGAAAGTAAGAGCTTACTAACCAGGCAGATCTCTCTGGTGCTTGACGTGGGTGGGAAGACATTGTCTGTGGTACATGAATGTGATGTCCATGGCCATAGTTGGGATGCATCCGGTGAGGATGTGGTGGTGGTCGTTCATGCGCTCTCCTGGGGTGGGGGGAAGCAGGAGTATTGAAACCTTAGGAATGCAAAGCTTTTCTCCTTTGTATATTACCTCACACTGCAGCCTAAGGGAGATAGGTTTCTCAGCTTCCATTTCTGAGCAGCCTGCTTCATTCACAACCTCCCCACCCTGTCTCAACCAAAGTTCAATCTGGTGAAGGCGAGGAGAGAGATTCCTCACTGAGAAGTACATGGCTAGTGGGGGGGGGGGGGGATGCTTGTGGACAAATAGTCCATTGATGTTTGGTTGTTGTTTTTTTCTCTTTTAACAAGTTTTTAATTTTCTATAATTTTATTGTCTGGTTTTATGTTTATATTGTTGTAAACTGCTGAAATATATTTTATTATACAGTGATATATAATAGTATGAAGGAATAAATAAATAAATAAATGTGAGAAAGGCTGTATACAGTGGTACCTTGGGTTAAGTACTTAATTCGTTCCGGAGGTCTGTTCTTAACCTGAAACTGTTTTTAACCTGAAGCACCACTTTAGCTAATGGGGCCTCCCACAGCCGCTGTGCCGCCAGAGCACAATTTCTGTTCTCATCCTGAAGCAAAGTTCTTAACCCGAGGTACTATTTCTGGTTTAGTGGAGTCTGTAACCTGAAGCGTACCTAACCCGAGGTACCACTGTACATGCTTGACACAGGATATTTTAAGTACTATATAAAAATGGCATATTTCTAAAATGATTCACAGATGTATTGAAGTTCTAGACTTGAGGTGGCCTTTGCCTGTTTCCCATTTCCTAATATCTAAGCCTCAGTTACTCGAGCTTTTTAATGAATATCAAGTGAAAAAGCCCTATCTCAATTAGCATTCCTTTCTAAAATCCAGAAACTGGATGGAGTTGCTGTGATGTAATTATTCAAAATGACAGAGGCTGACATTTCAATTAATAGCAGTTCCATTAAAGCTAAACATTTGAGTGCAGATGATAGGTTCCTGTTCTTAATGAGATTTGCTCCCAAGTAGAAGTGAGTCAACTATTTACATTCATTCATGTCTTTAGCATTCTGCTCAAATTAGAGCCCAGGGAGAAGGAGAAGGGTGGTTCAGCTTTTAGACCTTGCTGTCCTTACATCACAGCAAATACCAGTTAACCTCCCCCAGTCCCCAATCCTTTCTTCTGAGTTTCCTAAGAGTCAGTGTAGTGTCCTGATTATAGCACTGGCCTAAGGTTGAGGAGACAATGGTCCAACTTGCCGCTCAGCCATAAATCTCACTAGATGACCCTGGGCCAATCAACCACTAGCTGCACAGTCTCTTTCACAGGTTGTCGTGAGGAAAAAATGGGTGGGGAGAGAAGCAGGTCATAGGAAGAAAGATGGCATTAAAAGAAAAAGGTAACTAGTTTACTTTCAGCTGCTGTTCAGAGGCAGACTTATAGCTCCTTAGTTACCTCTTGGCAATTGCAACTAAGTGGGTGAACAGTCTTCCTCAACCTGGTGCCCCCCAGAAGCTTTGGACGACAGCGTGGGGAATCTTTGGCCTGCCAGATGTTGCTGAACTACAAATCCAATCAGCCCCAGCAAGCATAGCCAATGACCAAGGATGATGTGAGTTGCAGTTCAGTAAAATCTGGAGGGCTCAAGCTTTCCCTGATGTCAGCCCCTAACCAGCACAGCTGATGAGAGCTGCTGCAGTCCCAAGCATCTGGTGGGTGCCAGGCTGTGGAACGCAGCAAAAAAAGATCAGGTGATCTGCCTGTATTCTAAAGGATTCAGAAAGAACCCTCATCGAAGCTGTTCTGGGTATAAGCTTTCCTATATCTGAAGAAGTGTGCATGCACACGAAAAGCTTATACCCAAAACAAACTTAGTTGGTCTCCAAGGTGCTACTGGACATTTTTTTTATTTATTTCCTCATTGAAGCTGACACTCTTCTATGCCACTATGCACCCCTTGGTGGCAGCAGCCACTGCCTGTTCCTCCTCCAGGCTAAAACCTGACTTACGTTGGATGCTGCATCATTCTTCTCCTTTGGACCTCCATCCTCTGGATCACCTCGTGAGGGTGCAGCCTTTGGGCTGGAGATGCCGTGGCAGGGATGTGATGGGAAATAGACTGGTGGGTGGCTGGGAGGGGCTGTGGGATTGGGGCAGCAGCGTTGGCCAACGGGTGTGGGGGCGGCGGAGGTGGGACAGGGTGGGAAGAGGCATGCGAGGATATGGAAGGGTGGAAGGGGTGGACGGGGTGAGGAATGACATAGTCCACTTGCGAAGTGGGTTGTGGCGGCTGAGGGGGGACAGGGGGAGGGGGGTTTCCATGGGAATGGGGACATGCAGCAGCTTGATGATGAAGCGGCCGAGTCAAAGAGGCATCTGAAAAGGGGTAGCAGAGAACAACAAACCCGGTTAGTTCATTACAACTGTCTGCTAAACTAAGATCATCTGCTGCTCGACAGCACCCCCCCCAAACAAAAAAATCAGATGCCCATGGCAGACGCTTCGCTTTACCCTGCCACAAGGGAAGGCGGCACCACTCATAGAATAGAATCATAGAGTTGGAAGAGACCACAAGGGCCATCGAGTCCAACCCCCTGGCAAGCAGGAAACACCATCAGAGCACTCCTGACATATGGTTGTCAAGCCTCTGCTTAAAGACCTCCAAAGAAGGAGACTCCACCACACTCCTTGGCAGCAAATTCCACTGTCGAACAGCTCTTACTGTCAGGAAGTTCTTCCTAATGTTTAGGTGGAATCTTCTTTCTTGTAGTTTGGATCCATTGCTCCGTGTCCGCTTCTCTGGAGCAGCAGAAAACAACCTTTCTCCCTCCTCTATGTGACATCCTTTTATACATTTGAACATGGCTATCATATCACCCCTTAACCTCCTCTTCTCCAGGCTAAACATGCCCAGCTCCCTTAGCCGTTCCTCATAAGGCATCGTTTCCAGGCCTTTGACCATTTTGGTTGCCCTCCTCTGGACACTCAAGTAGGGTGAGCATCCTGCCAACTGCACCACTTTGCAGAGACCCTGCCAGCTGCCAATATGAATCAGGGCATCCTTGGGGAGCCTCCCCTGCCCAACACATACACAGACTGCAGTCATTCTTACATGACATATAATGCCGGCAGGATGCCAGAGAAGCCTGGGGTGGTGGCTGAGGCTGGGGCTGGGCAACCATGTTCGCACTGTATCCATCTATGGCAATGGGCTGGCTGGGAGTAGCACCCGCCTGGTGCCCGTATATGGCTGTTCGGGAAGAGGCTCCTGGACAGCAGGGGTCAAAGGCTGATGCTCCGTGGAAAGAGCTGCTTCCGTGGTTCCTTATGCCATTGTTGCTTAAGTCCACTGGGAGTGCCTGCTGCAAGGAGGAGAGCAAAACAAAAGATTATTTGAATATTGGAACTGTGATCAAAAGGCTGCTATAGGACAAGTCACACAAAAACACATATGCACAATGCTGTCCAATAGCAAAAGACTAAAAAAGCTTTTGTCTCTGAGTGGTATGATTAACGGTTGCTATTAGTAAATTTAACAAGAGGGCAGCAACTAGTTTTTCACCATGAAATTGGCATCTTCCTTGTAAACCTGCTAGTCAGCAGATATAAGGAAACCCATTTGATCTCCACAAAGAGAGGAACCCAAAGAGCTACTTTAGGATTCAGAAATAAGAAGTTCCTCCTTGGGTCCAACCAAGGGCTATATTGGCCAACATTCCAGTTCAAGTCAGGGCACACAAGTAGTGCTTGGGAAAAGCCATGACTGAGGCCTGCCAGCAGCAAGAGGCATGGGGGAAATCTGAGTTTCCCTAGCCAGATACCCTAACTCCAAACTCTCCCTAATCCCACTTTCATCTCCACCAGCCTTTGCCCTCCGGATGTTTTGGGGCTAACAGGTTGACTGCATACATTTACATTTAAAGCCTGGGGCCCAAATATCTGAGAGAATGTCTGCCCTCATATAGACCTTTCCTTGCCTTGAGACCTGCAGAGGATGCCCTGAGTAGCAGCCCTGAGGCAGCATGTAGCGCATTAGTATGTCAGAACATCAGAAAAGCCTGCCCACTAGCTCAGGCCAAAGGCCCAACTAGTCCAGCACCCAGTTCTCACAGTGGCCTCCCAGGTGCCTGCAAGAAGCACACAAGCACACAAGCAGAACATCAGCGCAGCAACACACTCTTCAATTGTGATTCCCAGCAACTGCTATTCAGAGGCATACTGCTACTGACAGTTGAGGCTAGCGGCCTAGTACCCTAGAAAAAGCACTCTGCACAGCACATGGAGAAACTATTATCCGTAACTCTTCACCATCACCACAGTGAAGCATTCTCAACCAAACCTGCCTGCTCATGGTACGTGGTGCCAGAACTGCTACTTGATCCTGCAGGTGCCGGCACTGGGGGAGGCCTTTCAACAGGGCAGCTGGATTCGCTGAACGATGGTGAGAGAGGGACGCTTGCGTGGGGGTTGTGGTGATGGTGATGGTGGAAATGATGGCTGTGCTGTTGGAAACAGCTGGCGTGAGGGTGCCCCAGGATGTGGTGGTTCTGCGAGGAGCCGCCGCATGGAGAATGCTGGGGGCAGCATGACGGCAGCCTTGGCATTGCAGGAGGGCCAGATTCCAGTGTTGTACTTGAGGTATTTCCTCTTGAGTCATCTTAAATTGGGGGTGAAAGAAACATGTGAGCTCAGCTGGTAACACAGGTACAGTAAAAGCCAAACCTGAAAACTCTGCAGGGTATACAAGAAACCTGAAAACTCTGCAGGGTATACAAGTGGATTAGTCATTTGCTTATTAAAGTGAGACCAGTGTGACCTGCAACAAAATGTTGCAGTGTGAAACGCTCCTGTTCACGGTACCAGTTCGTCATGCCCTGCTCCATGATACTCCCCTCCTCCACCCCTCTTGTTTTGCATGCAGAAGGTCCTAGATTCGAATTCTCAGCACCTGCAAGTAGCAGATGATGGGGAGGACCCAGAGAGCCAGTGCAAGAAGAGTAGCCAGTCTTTGGCTAGACTTAGGCCAAGGTTTCAAGCTCCCTGGTGTGGGATTCCTCTGCATAAGCTGCATTACAGGGCATTCTGAGGCGCTCTGCACTGGGCACAGAGAAAAATTTTAAGACTCACCAGCAGCCCCTACAAACTGGATGCCCTGGAATTTGCTTCAAACTTTCCTGGGGCTGCACACTGTGAGTTTAGGTACAAGTAGCCACTCAAATGTTTGCCATTACAACGTTTTCAGTAAGAAACCCCAGCATTTCCAGGAACACATGCTCCCCTACTAGGATTACAACACAGTCAAGCTGACCTCAAGAGCCTGTGGAGTCTACATTTGCTATCCCAGTACAACAGATTGACCCCAAACTGGGTAACCCTCGGATAAAAAAATTTCAATGCAGCTCCCTATACTAGACTCTCATGTCGTCAATAAAAAAAATACACAGGAAGGAAACACTGGCCCCAGAAATTCTTTGCCTCTCCAGCAAAAGCATGCACTACATTTTCAAAGTAGTAAGCACATCAACTTTGTGGTAAGCCAGCATTTTCACCTACTGCAGAACAGGAAAAAAAATAAAAATTAATACCTCCTGCCGGATTCCCTGCAGTCCCACTATTGGTGAGGACAACCAAAGGCTCTGGGGCCAAGGAGGACTGGCTGTTGGAGATGCTAGAAATTACGTCAGAGACCTGCTCTGAGGTCGTGACACTAGGGCCGCCATCGGACGTGGAATTTGCAGTCTGAGATTCCACTCTAGATGAAGTTGTTGGCACAACAGTGGGCTCTGTATAAAAATGACAAACAACATAAAGAAATTTAAGCACCTGCAGCCTGTTTAAGTGGGTTATGACTAAGAACTCATTTGACACACATCTTGGGCAAACACAAGACAGACAATGTGGGGTTGCTATGTGGCTGGCTGTGCCCAAACAGTACCCTTTGGTGCATAGAACCAGTGTAACAGTGATATATTTACAGCACCAACCTCAATAGTTCCACAGTTATTCATATCAGGATCAGTTTAACATTGTTGTGTCAAATGTGCCCATGGGCCGCAAAAAGGCTGGCAACCCCTGATTTATTCTGATCGCATCTGTGTTGTGGGACAGGCCTGCAAAAGTTCAGGGTACCAACAGTAAAATCTGAGGATGCATGTATGCAAACAGAGGAGTGATCCAGAGAGTTTTTCATGTCTGAAACATCATGAAAGGCAGCCCTGAGCCTGGCCAGACCACAAAGTATCATGTCTGCACTCCCTTATGTGATGCAAGCAGTTTTTAACATGGCAATCCAAAAGTCAGGAGTTTCAACGGCCAGCTAACACATCTTGTTTCTTTTCAGAACATTAATCGGCTTCTCACTGATGGGAGGGTCAAGGCTCTGTCATTGCTGCAACCTACCATCCTCATCCACTGTGAGGTCCACTACTTCTGCTGCATTCTGTCTCAGGGGCTGAATGACTGTGGAGATTCTACTACGGTTCCGCTGCTCCTGTGGCCGTGAAGCATGCGAGTTTGAACTGTGGCCCCAGTGGGATCGAGAATGCCCAAGTGACGATCGAGACCTGGAAGCATAAAGTACAAATGCCTGAAAACTCAAAACAAAGGTTCTCTTTTTTTACCATGACAGGTCTGGTAAGATGATCACTTCTCCAATCTGTACCACCAACAGCTTCAGATAATTCAATTCAAAACTGAGTTTTGTTTTAAGTGGTATTTTGTTTTCTAGATCAATTGTGGGCCACCTTCAGTAACATGTGCTCTATTTAGGGTCCAAGGTTCAATCCCTGGCATCCCCAGGTAGGTCTGGGGGCAGGGGCAGGCGGAGGAGACTCTTGTTTGAAGCCAAACTTAATGACTGGCTGGTGTACAGCCTTGGCTACCTGTTACACCTGAAGCAGAGGTCATGGTTTACAGCTCCACAACAAGTCACAAACCCTGGCTTGGACATAATGGGAAGTCAGGACACTCTGGGTTGTTTATCCCACTCATGCCGGGGAACAGTGAAACCAGAGTGATTAGGCAATGTACACCTACATGCTACTTGTTCACATTAGAAAGTCTGGCTCCTCAAGAGAAATGTGTAACAAATTTGAAGTTTGAAATTAATTAAATAACAATAACAATTAAAAAAAACTTAATAATAATAAAAAAGAAAGCCCGGCTTCTCATTACATGTGACCGCTTTAGTGTGGAGACAATTCTTAGCTAGGTAGCTCAGCCAGGGCCAGCTGACCCAGGATGCATGGTGAGACAACTGCCTCAGGTGGCAGGATCCACAGGGTCAGCAGATCTGGCCTCCAAGGGGCACACGGTTTACTGCCGCTGCAGCAATGGCTGAGGTGCACTCCTTGGAGGATGGATCTGCCTCCACTCCACAACCCACCCCCACGCCACAGCAGCCTCTTGGCCCTGGAGTGGTGTGTGTGTGGTCGCCATTTTGTGGTTCGCATCAGGTGCCAAAATGTCTGGCACGAGCCCTGTGGATCAACGGTCTGAATAGAAAGCTAAGGCAGGTTCTATGTCCACAAGACTCTCAACGATAGTGGCACTAACTAGTCTGTGTCAACTAATATTGAGTTTGCATTCTCTTAAGAACATACCGTGCAACAGCACATGGGCTATCTTTGCAAAATTCTAGCCCCAAGTAGGTATAGGTTGGTCCACCACATACTGGCTAGTGGTCCATGATGACCTGTCACAATCCAGTCTCATTGTCCCATGAATATGTAAACAGATTTTCTACTGCAGTGTAGCTTTGGAGAGTATTGAATTGCAGAGTGGGAGAGATTCAAAAGGACAAGGCTTAGACCGGACCTAGCTTAACTGTTAAACTGCAGGTGTGAATGCACATTACAATAAGAGTAAAAAATGGCACAAATGCTACCTTTTACATCACTAATGTACAGATCTAATGAGCAAATGTAGTGTCATTATATGCAAGAGCCTCAAATCTAAATTCATACTTTTATTATGTTTATATATCCTTTGCTATATATGAATGCTTTTTTAACCTCATTACACAAAAACAGGAAGCCACTGTAACAAAACTGAATACTCAAATAGCCTATTCAGAAAAAGCATGATGTGAATCTCAGGTTTGCCAGAGCATCTTCACTACCCTTCATCCAATCAAAGATCAAATTATAGGTACCCATTTTAACAGTAATGTTAGACTGTTAAATTGAGTATTCATAACTGCATCCTTGATTGGATCAAGAGTTTTGCCAACACAGAATTAAAACTACAAAATCTGTATTAGGAAAATTAAGAAGCCAAAAGATCAGGAAACCAAAATAACTCTGACAAGGCATAGACTGCATGGCTTTAACAACAGTCAAAATACCTTCCCCCCCTCTCTCCTCACTATCTAGCCTGATGGTGTGTGCTAGTAAATTCCAAAGCGTACACACTATTTTGTGATATTTTGATTTGCCTAATAAAGGTATTGCCCTATTACGTATTTGCAACTTTTCTTAGAGGCCAACATAAGCTACCTTTACTTTTTGAATTAAAATTAGAGCATTCTGCAAAAGATCCCAAGTACAGTGGTACCTCAGGTTACAGACTTCGCTATCCCAGAAATAGTACCTCGGGTTAAGAACTTCGCTTCAGGATGAGAACAGAAATCGTGTGGTGGGAGCAGGAGGCCGCATTAGCTAAAGTGGTACCTCAGGTTAAGAACAGTTTCAGGTTAAGAACGGACCTCCGGAACGAATTAAGTACTTAACCCGAGGTACCACTGTATACAGTCATGGGGAAAAGAAGACACCCTCTTTGAATTTTGGGGGTTTTTTAACATATGAGGACATAATAACATTCACTTGTTCTTTAGCAGGTTTTAAATTAGGTAAATACAATCTCAAATGAACAGCACATGACATATTACACCGTGTCATGATTTATTTAACAGAAATGAAGCAAAAATGGAGAAGGCATGTGTGAAAAACTAAGTACAGTGGTACCTCGGGTTATATTCGCTTCAGGTTACATACGCTTCAGGTTACACACTCCGCTAACCCAAAAATAGTGCTTCAGGTTAAGAACTTTGCTTCAGGATAAGAACAGAAATCATGCTCCAGCAGTACGGTGACAGCAGGAGGCCCCATTAGCTAAAGTGGTCTTCAGGTTAAAAACAGTTTCAGGTTAAGAACAGACCTCCAGAACGAATTAAGTACTTAACCCGAGGTACCACTGTACACCTTATGATTCATTAGCTTGTAGAACCACCTTTAGCAGCAATAACTTGAAGTAAACATTTTCTGTATGACTTTTAGTCTCTCACATCATTGTGGAGGAATTTTGTCCCCCTCTTCTTTACATTATTGCTTCAGTTCATTGAGGTTTACTGGCACAGCACTTTTAAGATCCCACCACAGCATTTCAATTAGGTTGAACTGGGCCATTGCAACACCTTGATTCTTTTCTTTTTCAGCCATTCTGTTGTATTTTTGCTGGTGTGCTTGGGATCATTGTCTTGTTGCATGACCCAATTTTGCCCAAGCTTCAATTGTTGGGCAGATGGCCTCACATTTTACTCTAGAATACTTTGGTATACTGAGGAGTTCATGGTCGACTCAATGACTGCAAGGTTTCCAGGTACTGTGGCTGCAAAACAAGCCCAAATCATCACCCCTCCACCACCGTGCCTGACAGTTGGTATGAGGTGTTTGTGCTGACATGCTGTGTTGGGTTTTTGCCAAACATGGTGCTGTGCATTATGGTCAAACATCTCCACTCATCTGTCAAAAAGACACTGTTCCAGAAGTCTTGTGGTCTGTTCAGATGCAACTTTGCAAACCTAAGTCATGCTGTCATGTTCTTCTTAGAGAGAAGAGGCTTTCTCCTTGGCAATCCTTCCAAATAAACCATACTTGTTCAGTCTTTTTCTAATTGTACTGTCATGAACATTAACATGTAACATGCTAACTGAGGCCTGTAGAGCCTGAGATGTCTCTTTTGGGGTTTTTGCAATTTCTCTGAGCATTGCACGGTCTGCCCTTGGGGTGAATTTGCTGGGACGTCCACTCCTGCGAAGATTGGCAACTGTCTTGAATGTTTTCCACTTTTGAATAACCCTTCTTACTGTAAAATGATGGACTTAAAATTGGTTGGAGATAGCCTTATAATGCTTCCCAGTTTCAGGGGCAGCAACAATTGCTTCTCTAAGAGCATTGTGTCATTTTTCCTCCTTGGCATTGTGTTAAAACATACCTGAATGCTCCAAACCAGCAAACTGCTAAATTTTCAGCTCTTATAGAAGTGGACACACTTGTAGATGATCAAATTAAGCAAGGGCATTTGCTTAGCAGCACCTGTCTGCTACTTAGTCCCTTAATTCCTAGGAAAGCAGTAAGGGTGTACTTAATTTTTCACACATGGCTTCTCCATTTTGGCTTTGTTTTTGTTAAATACATCATGACGGTGTAATATGTAATGTGATGTTGTTCATCTGAGGTTGTATTTACCTAATTTTAAGACCTGCTAAGGAACAGGTGATTGTTATTATGTCCTGATATGCAAAACCACAGAATTCAAAGAGGGTGTACTTTCTTTTTTCCATGACTGTATATCAGTATTTTACAACAATGTCAATAAAGTAACCAGGTACACATTAAAGTTGCTGTTTCAGCATTTCCAAGTCTTTAGTTCATTCAATGCCTAGGTCAGAGCTTTCCAAACTTTTCATGTTTGTGACACACTTTTTAGACATGCGTCGTTTCGCGACACAGTAATTCAGTTTAACTAGCAAACCGAAGGTTAAACTAACCCCTTTCCGGCCCTGGGAGGAGCGTGGGGAGCGTTCACGTGACACATACTGCAGCCGACACACTAATGTGTTGTGCAGGGTGGATTTGATTTAAATCAAATCGATTTAAATCACAATTTAAATCACTAGTCAGTAAGACTTGATTTAAATCATTTTTTCACAGAAAGACTCATTCTTGCTGGTATAATCTTAATATTGACAACCAGATGAAGGTTTCATTTTTGGAATAATAAATTCTCTGAGTAGTTTTCATAGTTATATCAAAAATTACTGATTTGGTTAAACTATCAGAAATACATAGATAACTATGAAATTATGGTGAGGTTTAATAAGTTAACTGTTTATGGAAGACACAAGATCTACCCACTCTGGAAGAATGGCAGATGAAGGTGATGGACTACATGGAACTGGCGGAAATGACTGGCAGAATCCGAGACCAGGGAGAAGAGTCGGTGGAAGAAGATTGGAAGAAATTTAAAGACTATTTACAGAAATACTGCAAAATTAATGATTGTTAGAATGATGTCAGAATGAAGTTAAGTGGCCTTAGCAACAATGTTATAAAGGAGTATGTAAAAATGGATTGTTAACAGGTGAGAATCAGAATCTAAAGTTATAATATATTAAGTTAAAGGATTAAGATAAAAACAAAGAGGGAAAGGACTTGCTGAATGGACTAACTGAACTGGAATACAAAAAGGGGAGGTGTGAGGAGGTCAGGGAAGCAAGTAAATGAAAGACAAGACATGGAAAGATTGATTTGTTTTTAAGTGTTCTTATTTTTCTGTATTTTTTCTTTTTTCTTTTTTTCCTCTTCTTTTTTTCTTGTTTTTGTAACTTTTTCTGAAACTTTAATAAATATTATTAAAAAAAAAATAAGTTAACTGTTTATATTTGGACAACTTTTCTGCTGCACTTTTATTGGAAGGAGAAAAATAATCACTTCCTTAATAACAATTTAAACAATTTATTTAACTGAAACAATAACATTATAGCATATGTATCCATGTTTGTTAACTGATGTGGTTAAACGGTTTAAAAAAAAAAAACTTAGACTGAGTTTTAGCACACATGAAAATCTTAAAACAAATCCTTATTTCCTGATGAATAGCCTTTGGACTATAATGTAACTTAAATAAAAAACTATCTTTAGAAAGATTTTTCCTCCAAAAGCATTTTATTTTAAAAATCTGATTTAAATCAAAAAAATCTGATTTAAATTTTTTAAAATCCGATTTAAATTAAAAATAAAATAGAAACCATTGATTTTTATCCACCCTGGTGTTGTGACACACAGTTTGGAAAGCTCTGGCCTAGGCTGACCATGGCCTCATGCAAGTTTCTTTTGATTTCTCTCTCCTATTTTAAAACTGATTCCAACTGACTGAACCAGTAGGAAATTGGACTCCTTGATGAATCCAGTGCTTGATGAATCCATGGACAAATGAGTGATACTCATGCTGGGCATAAAACTGGGGTGAAAACTACAGTTAAAATAATCTTTAATAACAAACGTGATCCCATGATTTTAGACAGGCAACAAGCTGGATATTATCTTTAATAACAAACGTGATCCCATGATTTAGACAGGCAATAAGCTGGATATTATCAGCTGTGATCAGGAATCTCTGCATGCTGAGGGAAGGGGCTTAGGGTGGCAGAATAATTTTAGACTAGGAAGGGATTGGGGTTTTTTTTTTTTAATGTACGTATTGTTAGAACTAACGGCAAAGCTCCCATCAGTTCTACTGGGTGAGGGATCCATACATTTTGAGAGTCTGAAAAGGGAGGAGACAAGACTTTGTTTGGGTCTCTTCTCATTTGCTGAGGAGTCTGAATTCAGAAGGTTTATTCATTTATCTTTGATCAAGGCATCACGGCATCTATCAGCAGAGTTTCATCCAGGATGACACTTTAAAGCACTGCTGCAAGATGAAAGACCAAAATAATTGACAGCTTGAGAACTATATGCATATCTCTCCCTAGTACAACTACAGATTATTCCTGCAGTTAGATGGAAAGAGGCTTTCATGTGCAGCACAAATAAAATAATAATATATGGTTTAATGAAGCAGGAGCAAGGAAGATGGTGAGGCCTAGAGTAAAATGAGAGAGAAAAGAAAAAAGGAACCATGTATTAAAAGTAAACTCACATTTGTTGACTTACTTTACATTCCTATACAATGGCAGGACCAACTTTTCATATGCCTGAGGCACAGGAAGGACTCACACTGGAAAGCTATGAAGTAATCCTATTAAATGAATTGTGTGGTAACTGGTTGTCTGTGTTGAGGCAGATATATTATGAGGTAGCTGTAAATATATTTGAGAGTAACCATAGAGCAAATAAATTGTGTTTTCAGCCTGAAGTCATGTACTGCCTTGTTTAGTAAAGCTCCGTTTTGAACCCAGGATGGCAGCTAGAGAAACGCAAGACCTGGAGACAGAGCAGCCAAAATTAACAAAATATTGAGGTAAATAACTGAAAGGACAAACTTCTGCAGCTTTGCCAGTAGAAAGCAATGTTCTAGTTTAAAGGTAGCCGACATAAACAGCTGCTATAAACCATGTTAGGCCACTGGCCCTGCTTGCTCAGTGGGATTTAAACTGACTGGCAGCGTCAGATAGGAGTCCTTTCCAGCCTTATCTAGAGATGCCAGGAATTAAACTTTGGGCCTTGCAAAGCAGCTGGTTCTCTGTGGAGAAACAGCCCTCCCTCCCAAATTCTTTTTTTTTTAAAAAAACTGTTTTTTATTATGTTTTTCACAAAATAAAACAATCTTTTATAGTCATCATTTTATGTCATCTTATTTACACTGCGTATATTCACGCCCTGACTTCCTTCCCTGCTTCAGTTTTCTTAAGATATATCTTCTCTTGCAGATTCTTATTCACCTTCTATAAACATCACAGGATTTATGTTAACCCTGCTAGTTTTTAAACTTCTACAGTTAATTCTTATGTGTGCAACCCACTCTTCTTCAAACTTTGTCCCTTTTTGGTCTCGAATTTTATAAGTCATTTTAAATATAAGTCATAATTCTGTATACTCAAAAAAATTATCCTGCCATTCCATTACCATTGGGATCTCCTGTAATTTCCACTTTTGAGCCTCCCAAATTCTATTTCTAAGGCAAAGCCTTGTTTTAACAGAATGCGTAACAGCATTCACACTACTGAACGTAAAGCGAAATCTGTACAGTATATAAATGGTCCTCATTTTCATATACAAGGTATACAAGGGCGGCTGGCTGTTTAACACTGCATCGACTCAAAATAGCAGTGACTCTGGGAGAAGGTACATGAGGGAACGAAAACTGGTCAAATCTGATTTGTCAAGTTATTGGACATTGCATCTCATCCCACTGAACAAGAGCGGGATGAGCACCGCCGACTCCATGCAAATCTTACTAGTTGGGAAGATACCCTGGTTGGAAAGAAAAGGGGTGTCTCAAAGAGGCAGTTAATGGCTGGGCCGGGTATAAATAATAAAATTATTATTATTATTATTATTATTATTATTATTATTATTATTATGTAGATCCGTTAGAAGAAGTCTGTTGGGGGGAGTGGTCAGCCAGTAATCAAGATGGCTGCAAAACTCACGAGTTCCTGCCCTCAAGTATATAATTTCTTTTCAAAACAGCCAACTAACTGGGAAAACTTGAAAACTTTTACCCGAATTCAAGAAATATGCTGAGATAAAAACAAGGGGGTATAATTAACTTTCTCATGCCACGGGAACACCAAGAAGAAGCCAGGGCAATGAGCCAGCAAAGAGTGAACATGGCGCCCGAACCAGTTAAGACGGCAGAAGCTGCGGCAGAAAAGGGTGCAAATGCAGACCTGAGAGGGGACAACATGAAGAAAAGCTTTGAAAACTGCTTCACGAGAATATGGATATAAAATCAAAGAATTTTCAAAACAGACTTAAAGGGTTAATCTTAGCAGGGGCTTTGTAGAAGGGGCAGAAAGTGACAAGATAGTGGTTTAAATTGCAAATACCTGCCTTGGAACTATCCCTAGGGGATACAGTGGTGCCTCGCAAGACGAAATTAATCCGTTCCGCGAGTCTCTTCGTCTTGCGGTTTTTTCGTCTTGCGAAGCACGGCTATTAGCGGCTATTAACGGCTTAGCGGCTTTAAGAAAAAGGAAACAAACTCGCAAGAACTCGCAAGACGTTTCGTCTTGCGAAGCAAGCCCATAGGGAAATTCGTCTTGCGGAACGACTCAAAAAACGCAAAACCCTTTCGTCTAGCGAGTTTTTCGTCTTGCGAGGCATTCGTCTTGCGGGGCACCACTGTACTGAGTGAGCCCACAGAGCCCTATCAACTCGTTCATGCGTTTCAGCCCCTCCAAGAGACATTATTATATATAATATATTTACACAGATTTTAGGAAAAAAGATATGGAGAACGCTTAGGAATGTGGAAAATATAACTTCTGAAAATCAACCAATTATGGTTCTCCAGGATCTATCTCAGGACACCTTGAAAAAAGGTGAGAATTTCACCTAGTAACATCTAGATCAGGGGTAGTCAACCTTTTTATACCTACTGCCCACTAATGCATCTTTCTTGATGGTAAAAGTTCCTTACCGCCCACCAGTGCTCAATGGAAAGAGGAACCCCCTACCACCCACCTAGAATCCTGAAACACCCATTAGTGGACGGTAGGGACCAGGTTGACAACCCCCGATCTTGATTATCAGAAGTGGGAATCAGATTATCACTGAGCATTCACTTTCTGTCTAATATGCAACAGAGGAAATTAAGTTTTTTTGGCTGCAAACCTCTGGGAAGTAGCAGAGCTTTTGCAACTTCTGGAGTTGGAATGACTCTCTGAATTGCTAAGCTTTTTGCAACAAGGCAGCACTGACCCAGGAGAAGAGAACCCAGTGGAGTCTACCTATAGTAGATCTTGTAGCACAAAGATAGCACAAGGAAAAGCAGGCCAGGCTTCTCTACTCTCAAGCAACTAGAAAATGAACAATTAAGACCCTTCTCTGAGGTGTTAAAAATAATTTATTCAAGATGAAGCCATACAATTGGCTAGACAAAGCAGTAATTATAGCACATGTACCCCTTGAAGTTAAGATCTAAGCTAATATTTAAAATGTACTCATCATGTGTACTTATGGTATGTTCTATACCCCAATGGTGCAGGAGTGCCCTCTAGTGTCTATAGAGGACACATACAGAGTTGTATTTTACTGTTTTAAGTTGAATGTTGAATTGTTTTTTAGTTGTGGGGAAGGGAGGGTGTATTTACAAATAAGAAAGCAAGATGGCATCAAATAAGAAGAGTGGAAGTATAACTATGATTACCTTGAATTTAAAAGGGATGGGAGATCCAATAAAACATGTTCAACTGGTAAAATATCTTTATAATAGGTAACCAAATATAGTGTGTTTACAGGAAATACATGTGGATCAGAAAAACACCTTATTTAATTAATCTTGGGTAGGACGATTCATAGCAGTGGGGTCAAATAAAAGAAGACGAGTTGTGATCTTAGTTCATTCTCAACTTAATTTTCAGGTCATTAAAGTACTAAGAGATCCAAATGGTAGATCTATTGTTATAGAAGGAACCCTCAGTGGGACATGTTAGGTAAATCTGGATTCAGTTTATGTGCTGAATACTGGCCAAATGCCATTTTTACAAAAACCTGTGTCACGCCTCAATGAATTTTTCTTCTTATGATTCAATAATTGGAGGAAGATTTAAATTGGAGTGCAAGTAGCCTTTCACATAAAGACCTAACTGATTCTGCATGGAAAAAGCAATGCAAAACAACACTGGAGTTTAAAAAGGGCAAGGAACAACTGAAATTGTTGAGAACATTGTAAGAGTGGGGTCTATGGGATATATGGAGTGAGTGGAATCCAGTGGCTACAACTCATGTTTGTCTCCCCTGTTCATAGCTCACAATCTTTAGACTTTAGACTAACCTCTGCCCAGTGTCAGAATCTCATATATAAAAGCTAGGTGCCAAATGGCTCCTTAAACCAAGGTTACAGTTGCCAAAACAGAATGTCTAGTTGCCATTTTAGGGCAACATGGCTCTAAAGTCTTAATTTTTCAAATGAAGGACTGACTGTGATTGATTGTTAAACATCTGGCTAGTTCAGATGACAACCCTGAGCTGGGTTAAGATTGAGGACAGTCCACATATATATAGACTTATTCCTACCTCTTTTTCTTAATGGTGACATGGGCCATTGATATCATAAGAATATTCTTCACAGCTGAGAGCAGGACAGTAAAGACAAGCTACAACAATTAACTATAATGTTGTTCATCGCTCCTTCTCAGGCTGCACAGAAAAAGCATTTTGGTTCCTGAAATCCATTCTGATTGTGCAGTTAAAATACAAATGATTGAATTATCCAGTCCAGATCCAATGATCCCCAGACATGCACCTCCAGATGGTGGGGAGATGTCAGGCACCATCCTGGGGCCCAGGCAACTTCACTTGGTCACAAGTAGCCAATTAGTGCAAAATGCGCCTGGCACCTGGCTAATTTCAAACTCTGCCTCCTTTTTAAAGGAAGTGCAGACAGCTCATATTGGTGAAATTAACATAACAGAACACACTCGAGTGAGCGCACACTTCCTATTAATTCTGTCAGAAAATGTGACCTGTATTTGGTCTTTTAGTCCTGTCCTTGTAACCAATCAAATGGTAAAAGAAAAACTTAATGCATCATTGGAACAAAAACTAAGAAAAATAATAGAAGGATTGCTGTGAGAAACAATAAAGGCAGTGTTTAGAGGAGTATGTTTCAAGAAAAATCAGGACTGAATAAAATCTACAGGACACAAAAGATGCAATTGGAACAGGAAGTCTCTTCCCTAGAACAAAAGCATAGGACAAGAACTTCAAAACAAGTTTACTAACTATTACAAATTAAGCAAAAATAACTAGAAGCAACATAAATAGATAAAACAATGGTACAATTATTGTATTTAAAACAAAAATATTATTACTATTTTTGCTGCCAAGTTGCAAAAAGAGAAACAAAGCAATAACTACAGGTATAAAAATAAAGGCAGGAGAAAGGGTTTATAGTACAAAATTAATATGTGCAGAGTTTTTCTCCTTTCTGTACACCTCCACCTCTCTCTAGAAGAAATTAAGAAATTTTTAGACACTACAGCAGGGGTAGGCAACCTAAGGCCCGTGGGCCAGATCCGGCCCAATCGCCTTCTCAATCCGGGCCGCAGACAGTCCAGGAATCAGCGTGTTTTTACATGAGTAGAATGTATCCTTTTATTTAAAATGCATATCTGGCTATTTGTGGGGCACAGGAATTCGTTCTTTTTTATTTCTTAGAAAATATAGTCCAGCCCCCCACATGAGCTGAGGGACGGTGGACTGGCCAACGGCTGAAAAAGGCTGCTGACCCCTGCACTATAGCGATACCTATAACTAAAGGAGGAGGACAGTAAATGTATGGGAAAGGAGGAGATAAAGGAAGTAATTAACAATGGTATTGTAATGATATTTTAGCTGATAACAGACTTCGTGCAACCTGGAGACATTCAAAAATAGTAGTTATTCCCAAGCCTCGCAGGGACCATCCAATTTTGAGTCACACAGACCAATCTCTTTCTTCAATGTTGACCAATCTCTGGCCAACAGATTAAAAACCTTTCTTGACAATTATAAATACCCAGACTCCTAAGAAGAGGGGAGAGGAGAGGAGGCTGAGGGAACCCTCCACAAGGGAGGGTGTTTGAAAAAGGGTGGGGGGCTGCCAGCTCTGCGGGCAAGGGGTGCCATAACTGGGCTCCTGAGCCCCACAGGGGTGTCGCAGAAAGAATGTATTTGGTCAAGGGAGCAATGGACTCAAAAAGGTTGAAAACCTGTGCTGTATGTAATTAAATGCATACATCTGAAGAGAAGGGTTCTCTTGTTCTAAATTTAGAATCAGCATCCAACTGTTGCAGAGGCAGAAGGACAGGGACTAGAGAATATCTGTACCATCAGATGGTGAAAAGAAAAGAGCACAGCTAGGCAGAAGATTTAACACATGACAAAAATGGCAACGATCTGGCCCATACCAGGGGCTGCCTATAGCTAACTTGGAAGTTCCAACTACAAGAGGGTGAGAGAAATCAATACAATGAAGTTTAAGCAGTGTTAGAAATTGGGATAGAAAAGCTGGGGCCAAATGGCTTCTGGAATCTGGGTTATAGGCACAAAATCAGAATGGCTAGTTGCCATTTTCCCCCAGTGCAGCAGCACATTCCATTTATTTTTGCGAAATAGGTCTATGACATCAAAATTCTTGGAAGAACAGGTCCAACAGCATAATCCTAGCCATTTCTACACAGAAATAGATCCTACTGAATGAATTCAAAAGGGTTTACACCAAGGCAAATGGGAATGAGATTCTACATGTGAAGAATTCTTCTGAATTCCTGGCAAACTGAGATCAACATTTGCAATCACCTAGAAAACTTTCCTTATCCATCAATTTTCATTAGACAAATCTCTATTTCACAATATGGAATTCTGTACAGACCAATTCACCCCATGAGAAAAATGCATGCATTTAGAATGCATTTTACATTAAGTCTTTAACAAAATGTTACATGGGGGAATATATAATAATTATTTCTTTTTAAAAAAAACAGATATTCTACTAACACTATAGGTTTTCTGTTTTAAAAACCAAATTTCGGCAAAAAACTAATTCAGGCGTGTTTAATAACATGAAATAAATGACAGTTTAGAAGAAATTTTTAATACAACTATGTGAACGTCATAGCAAGGGCGGGGGAATCCCATAATGAAGGCTCTGCTAATTCCAACTGCAAACAGTCTATCCACCAATTTCCCTAGAGGAAATTGGTTCCTGAAACCAATTTCCAACCAACAAAGACAGCCTGCCAGGGGAAGTTCACCTGGAACCTTCACCTTTAGGTGCCAGGCAAAAAATGGTTCCTCTTTAACCAGGCCTTAGGCTGATTGACATCCAATGCCCTTTTAAAATGTGTTGGGTTGTTTCTATTTTTAATTTGTTTGAGTATTAGCATACTTGAGCACTGCTGTCTATGGCTTCTTTAAAGTGCTGAATACAGAAAACAAAAGTGTGGTTTTTAAAAAGGCGGGTGCATATGTAGCCCAGAGAAAACATGTTGGAGTTGTAGCCAGGGGTTGAAGTCAGGCCAATTAAGAAAGGTGATTGTTTTAAACTTTTATCTTTTTATTTAAAATAAACAAAAATTATCCAGGAGCAGCAAAAATGTAATGTGTTTTTTAAATCAACTGTGATGTCTTAGCATTCTAAGATCAGCAGTTAATAATGTTTTATATAAATTGGTATAAATTAGGGAGAAATGAACATGTGAAAAAGCCCTAACTTACAATGAACACAGGAATTCTGAAGCTCATCATCAGTAATAATATTTCCCCCACTGAAAACATAAGCTCTCTTTCTCATTACGTCATATATAATACGCAGCTCTTAATACAAAAAGAAACATAAAAGGGAGCTTATGTAGTAACTTGGTTATATTTTGAAGTTCGAATTAAGTGCATTGTAAAAAATATTCTCCTTCTAATCATTTCAACAAAAAATATAGCACCCAAAGTAGAAAGCCACAGTTATACATCTCTGAATTATTTCAAAAGCAAAATACCAAGCCTATGGAAGTACACATATACCTTGGGCAGGAATTTTTTTAAAGGTGAACATACTGTGTGTGCTATTACTTAATCTAAAACAGAAGGACTCAATGTTTATACCAAATTATATAAAGAAACTAACGTGTAGTGATTTTGTCTCTTGATCACACTCCACATTTATCAACATGATTTGCCCTGAAAGGAAATAACTAACTCTCCAGACATTCATTAGACCTCATACTGTTTTGAAGAGACTTCAAACATTAAACTCTAACCTGCCTGGCGGAGAGGGGACTCCTGCTACTATGTGGGAAGGGCAGGGAGCCATCTAAGTTATGTTTATCCTGGATGGCTCCCACATCCCTTTGCATTTGAAAAAAGCTTTATAACCAAGACTTTTGAGTACTCTGACTTGTTGCCACTGTCCTGTGTCCTCCACTGATAGCAGCACCAGCTTACCTGTGTGGGGAGAAGGTGACAGTCCTAAGTCACCTTCCAGTCCCTCCCAGCAGCAACAAAGTCAGATCACTAATGTGTTGATTAGAATGCTCTTTTCAAATGCAAAGGGCTGTGAGATCCCTAGTTGTGTTTCTGTTGTGCTATTGGCTGGGAGGCATTTTTCCTCCTGTGCTCTCAGTGGTCAGTTGCACCATTTGAATGGTTCAGCAGCCGAATACTAGAACTATGCATCAGGACGTGATCTCATTCAGGGAATTCTTAGTTGCAAAATGCACTCCGCACCCGCTTATTATGAACCCTGACTTTAAGGAACAGCTGTTCAATAAAGTCCAACCCTTATTCACAAAGTTATTATCATATTCCAAAAGAAAAGAACATTGGCCTTACCGGTAACTTTCTCCAACTGTTACAATCTCTACTTCACTGTCTGTTGAGGTAACATTGATTTCTTCATTGGCAGTGACTTGGGGGGTGGAGGATGCTTCGATCACCACCACATCTTCATCAATACTCCCTGAAAGGCAGAACGCAAAGGAAACAGAAGACTGAAATAAGTTGCATTAGATTTGAATTCCACAAGGTATTAACTATATATGGTGCAAAATGGAGGCAATCAGTAAGTGTTGCAGAAGATGTAACTTACAAAAAGTAATAATACACCTCTTCTGCGCCAGTTACATTTAGTTTTAATAAGACTGCAGCCACTTTCAGTGGTGCCTGGAAGCAGCTTTGGCCCAAAATAGACCAGGAGCTATTTGATGGGTCAGGAGCAGATTAGAGCTACCAAATTGTTGTTCTCAGATCAGAGTAACTCAGCATTGTTTAATTTATATCCCGCTTTTCTGTGAAGTTCAAGGAAAGACACATGGGAGATTGGAGCACAACCTCTCATCCAGGCACCAACTGACTCAGTGTCAGCAAAATGCTTGCCTCATGTGCCTTCATACACAGGGAATCTGCAGCCCTTCAGATGATGCTGGACTTTCTCACTGGATCCAGACATAAGAAGATAAGATGATCCCTGCTTGACCAAGCCAAAGGCACATCTAGTACAGCTTCCTGTACTCACAGTAGCCAACCAGATGAGCCAAATGAGCAAGAGCAGGAGCACAACAGCATCTTGTTGACCTGCAATTTCCAGCAAGTGGTATTTAGAGGCATTATGCCTCTGACAGTGAAGGCAAAGCTGGTAGCATGGTCAGCGGTCATTAACATCATGGTCAATGGTCAGGAGTTGGAAGTCTAGAAATATCTGAATGGCTGCACATTCCCTGCCATACAGTTTCAATGGAAAGCAGATAATTGAGAATGAATTTGTAACCTCGGAAACTGTATTTTATTTTCAAAGCTGTGACTAAGCATGCCCTGAAAAACATTTCTAATTCCTAAGCATGCCCCAACACAGTAGGCTTTTACAGACTTTCCTGGATTGTGTCGTATTTCAGTTTAAACTCAAGAGTCACTGAACACGTAAAATAAAGCTTTGTCTTGCAAGTGAAGTCAGGTCCTACGACTGTCTAATTTCTGCATGTACAAAGAGAGAAGCCATACAGTGCAAATGAATGGTCAGCAATACACACAACACATAGTTAAGATATGGAATTTGCTATCTCAAGATGTAGCAACATAGATAGCTTTAAAGGGGATCAGACAATTTCAGTGGCTGCTAGTCATGAGAATTGTGTATTACCTCCAGGATCAGACACACCATACCAATATCTGTCACAAAGAAACGTTGGGCTTCCCATTAGGCCATTTGGTTGGGTCCCAGAGGAAACAATATGCCCGCCTATGCCTCTGAACTGATCAAGCAGAGAACTCTTCTTATGCTGAGGCATCCAAAAGATGAAACGCTATAGTAAGGTGCCTTTTACTACCCTCACATAGACTGAGTGCAAGTGCGTTGCAGTCATGACAAAAAAGTACCATTTCTAAATGCCTGCCCTCTAGAACAACAATCATGGAACCAACCGGAGGGGCAGCAGGAACTCTGGATTCAATCTTAAGCAATGTAGAGGTGTTAGATACAAATGTTATTGAACTGACTGGAAACTGTGGCTATAGTGCTATCCAATTCAATATATATGTAAATGGAACAATTTCCAAACAAAAACAAAACAATCACATTTGACTTCAAAAGAGGTAACTGCTTTTCAGCTTCCTTTTCAGCAAACTCAAGAGGATCAAAACTCTCCAAAAAAGATTGGGAGTTGTTTAGAATCACAACATGAGAAGCTCAGCTGGAACATACACCAGATAAAGAAAGGTGTACACACACACACACACACACACACACACACGTGTGTGTGTGTGTGTGTGTGTGTGTGTAAATATAAGATATAGAGGAAAAACAGAGGTGGAATTGAGAAAGAAACAGTTTATTAAGTATAGAAACGGACCTGCGTTGAGGGGGAAGGAAGTCAAATACAAATGAATAAGAACTGAAATAGGGATGTATGTGCATTATTTGTTGTGTGTGTGTAGTTGTATCTTTTTGTAAGTTTGTCTTGTGAGTGACATCTGTGTTGGTGTTGGTATAATAACCTAAGAAAAGCATTTTAAAAATTAAAAAAGAAAGAAAAGAAAAACAGATAAAGAAAGGCACCACCAAAGCCTAGAGGATGCTAGTGTCCTTAACAAGCAAAGAAACTATTAGAGACATGAGGGCTTCCTTTAGAAAATGGAAGTCTTGTCCAAACGAGGCGAACAAAAAGGAACACAAACTTTGGAAAAATAAATGCAAGCAGACAATATAGGATGCTGAAAAAGAATTTGAGGATCACACTGCTAAAAACATTAAGACCAGCAACAACAAAAAATTTTTAAATAGTTGTAGGGAACCAGGGAGGAAGGTGGACACTTTCAACGCCAATGGAGTCAAAAGTCTGACCTAGCAGTCTCTCTTTGTGCTCTTAAGCCAAGACTGGCTGAAAAGCCTATACTGTACAGAAATTACTCCCATGAAAGAGTTTGGTCATTTGTGGTCCCTTGTGGATGGGTTACCACTGTGAGTTTTGAAAGAGGGAACACCAGCCATGAGTGGGAGAGTTAATGTCTGCATCCCAATTGCTGATTCATACAGTTTTCATGTCTCTGTTTCATAGTAACAACTTCTTGCATCTTAAAGACCAACAGATCTACTGTTAAAATGAAGTTTTAATGTAACGGACCAGGAGGTGGAAGGGGCTATTCAGAACATGCAACTAGGTAAATCTCCAGGACCAGATGGTTTGACTTCAAGATATTACAGATCTTTGAAAGAATGGTTAATACAACCACTGAAGGAAGTCTGTAATGAAATATTGGAAGGGAAAAAGGCACCACTGTCATGGAAGGAAGCTTACATTACACTTATACCGAAAACAGAGACTGAAAAGACACAGCTCAAGAACTACCGCCCCATATCGTTGCTAAATGTGGATTATAAAAATTTTTGCAGATATTTTGGCTAAAAGATTAAAAATGGTGTTAGTAGAAGAAATTAATAAAGACCAAGCAGGCTTTCTCCTGGGCAGACATTTGTCTGACAATATGAGGAATATAATTAATATTCCAGAAAAACTTCAAGTGAATATTAATACTAAGGCTGTCTTGATATTTGTGGACGCGGAGAAAGCCTTTGACAACATCTCCTGGAACTTTATGAAGAAGAATCTACAGGGGATGGGGGTAGGTCAAGGTTTTGAAAACGGTATAGGTGCAATTTATTCAGAACAAAAGGCAAAATTAATTGTGAATAATGTAGTGACAGAAGAGTTTAAGATTGAGAAAGGGACACGACAAGGTTGCCCAATTTCTCCACTGCTTTTATTTCGGTCCTTGAGGTTTTGTTAAACATGATAAGAAAGGACCAAGAGGTTAAAGGTATACAAGTGGGAGCTAAACAGTATAAACTGAAAGCATTTGCTGATGACTTAGTATTGACCTTACAGGAGCCAGAATCCAGTACAAAAAGGTATTGGAACTGATTCAAGAATTTGGACAAGTAGCAGGTTTTAAGTTGAATAAGACAAAAACTAAGGTTTTAGAGAAAAATTTAACTGTGAATGAGAGAGAGAAGTTTCAGGAAGAGACAGGACTAACACTGGTTAAGAAAGTGAAATATTTAGGGGTTAACATGACTGCTAAAAATGTGAATTTATTTAAGGACAATTATGAAAAATGTTGGATTGAAGTCAAAAAGGATTTAGAAATATGGTCAAATTTGAAGTTATCATTGTTAGGCCGAATTGCTGTGATAAAAATGAATGTGCTGCCAAGGATGTTGTTTTTGTTTCAAACATTACAAATCTTGGATAAGATGGACTGTTTCAAGAAGTGGCAGAAAGATATTTCCAGATTTGTTTGGCAGGGCAAGAAGCCTCGAATAAAATTTAAGATATTAACCGATGCTAAAGAAAGAGGTGGATTTGCCCTGCCAGACTTAAAACTTTATTATGAATCAGCGGCTTTTTGCTGGCTGAGAGAATGGCTACTTCTGGAAAACACTGACGTGTTGGATTTAGAAGGTTTCAATAATGTATTTGGTTGGCATGCATATTTGTGGTACGATAAGGTCAAAGTACATAAAGCGTTTAAAAATCATATTGTCAGAAAAGCATTGTTTAATGTTTGGATAAGATATAAAGATTTCTTAGAAAAGAAAACCCCAAGATGGTTGTCACCAATGGAAGCGAAGGCACAGAAAAAAATCAATATGGAGGCCAAATGGTCGAAATATTGGGAAATTTTGGAACAAGATGGAGACAGATTAAAATTGCAGAGCTTTGAAAAATTGAAAAATAGAGTGCGAGATTGGCTCCATTGTTATCAGATAATGGAGGCATATAATCTAGACAAAAAAGTTGGCTTTCAGGTGGAAAAATCAAAATTGGAAACAGAATTGTTAGATTCAAAAAATAAGAATTTGTCCAAAATGTACAACTTGCTGTTGAAATGGAACACTCAGGATGAAACGGTGAAGTCAGCTATGATTAAATGGGCACAAGATGTTGGACATAACATAATGATGGCTGACTGGGAACAGTTATGGACCACAGGTATGAAATTTACGGCATGTAATGCCCTAAGAGAAAACTTAATGAAAATGATTTACAGGTGGTACATGACACCAGTTAAGCTTGCAAAAATTTACCATTTGCCCGACAATAAATGTTGGAAATGTAATGAGACTGAAGGTACATTCTTTCACCTTTGGTGGACATGCCCAAGGATTAAGACATTCTGGGAGATGATTTATAATGAAATGAAAAAGGTATTTAAATATACCTTCCTGAAGAAACCAGAGGCCTTTCTCCTGGGCATGGTCGGCCAATTGGTGCCAAAGAAGGATAGAACCTTTTTTATGTATGCAACAACAGCAGCAAGAATACTCATCGCGAAGTATTGGAAGACACAATATTTACCCACTCTGGAAGAATGGCAGATGAAGTTGATGGACTATATGGAACTGGCGGAAATAACTGGCAGAATCCGAGACCAGGGAGAAGAGTCGGTGGAAGAAGATTGGAAAAAATTTAAAGACTATTTACAGAAATATTGTAAAATTAATGAATGTTAGAAAAATGTTGGAATGAAGTTATATGGCTTTAGTAGAAATGTTATAAGGAATTAAGTATAGATAGGTTAATAGAGCATTAAAGGAAAAAATAAGGTTAGAATTTGTTAAGATAATTAAAGGATAGAAAGCAGAGGAAGATGGAAAGGAATTGCTGAAATAATTATCAGAAGTGGAATACAAAGAGGGAGGTGTGAGGAGGTCGCGGAAATAAGTGAGTGAAAGATGGGATAATGAAACTGTTTGATTTATTTTATTGTTTTTGTTTTGTTTTGTTAATTTAATGTTTTGCATTGTCTTTTTTTTAGTGTTTAAGTTTCTGGAAAAATAATAAATATTATTTAAAAAAATAAAATAAAATGAAGTTTTAATGGACTAGAGTCCATTTCATCAGGTGCATCAAGAGTTATCCTCAGTGGACAGCTATATACAGGAGCAGAGAGATATATACACGTACGCAATGCTTTTTTGATTAGAAAAAAATGTGCTGGTACTCACCATGAGTTGTTACAGTAAGTGCCACACTTTTAACCTTGGGGTGGGGAGGCACTGGTACTGTATACCCTTGGGTATCCCCAGGGGGAAAAGCACTGCACATACCTGCCAAATGAAAGTAAACCTTTGTGCATCTGATGAAGCAGACTCTATTCCACAAAAGTTTAGGTACAATACAAAGAGATCTAAGATACTATGAATTCTTTGGTGTGTGCATTGAATTCATATCCTATTATTCAGATTTTACAGAAAACCTCCATGGGATCTTCCTGCTGATATGAAAAAGCATATTTACAATGATTGTCCACCCAAAGATGAGAAATATCAAAAACAAATGGGCTCACTAGATACATGCATCAACTTTTGTTCTAGTCACGTGGAGCTGTTTCACATCTTTGTCGGCAAGAGGCAAAGAGAGACACCTAAACGAAGGCAACAGGAGTGTGCAGGTAGAACACAACAACTCATGGAGCAAAGTCTTATGGAAGGGGCAGAACCTCTACCCCATCAACTCAGGAGTCTTTTGCGGGCAGTGTTCACACACTTTCAAAACCACAGGTGAACTGGTACTGTTACAGGTGCCACACAATATTCATTCTGAACTTGTAAGTATTTTACTTTTTCTTATAAACTACTTAGAAGTTATGTTACAATCAAATGGTATATAAATTTTGTTAAATAAAAATAATAAATAAATAGCAACAAGAAACATACTTTAAAATTAAAATGATGGTTTTGATTAATACTCCTATTCATAAAGATGTGAGTGGTACACCAGTTTCGAGACAGAGCCACTGAAAAGTTGAAATAAGGGGACTTCAGAACACTGATGAAGTAGGGAACAAATATTGCTGAAATGGCCAATGTATATGCTAGTATGGGCCAGCCTACTTCAACAAAGTTAGGTAAAAGGCAAAGGTAAAGGACTCCTGGATGGTTAAGTCCAGTTGAATTTGACTATGGGGTACGGCACTCATCTCTGCTTTCAGGCTGAGGGGGCCAGTGTTTGTCCAGACATCTATTTCCCGTTGCAGCGGTACCTATTTATTTACTCGCACTGGTATGCTTTAGAACTGCTAGGTCGGCAGGAGCTGGGGCAGGAGCTCACCCTGTTGTGTGGATTCGAACCGCCGACTTTACAATCGGCAAGCCCAAGAGGCTCAGTGGTCTAGACCACAGTGCCACATGCGTCCCTAAACAAAGTTAATGGAAAATTGGTGTATTACATCCATACATCATGGGCTCATTTTACTCTCATTCATGGAATGTTTCTACAGACTATAGTACAGCAAAGGCTAGTAGAAAGTGGGCAGTCACAAGAGTAACCTATGCTGAATTTTTAGAAACAATACTGCATGGGCTTAGCAAGTTGTGTGAACCAGGCCATTGTGGTTCTGATTATACTGGAGATCAGGGATGGACACAGGAGATTATGTTCTTTTGGCTACTTGCAACCCTGTGACATTCTGTCTATGCTGACTATGTGACACTTCTAAGGTTATCAGAAGTTTGAAACAAGACTGTTAGAAGTGTGTCTCTTTGCCTGGGCTTCTGCATGGCCAGATATAATCCAGGATCTCTCATACCTAATTCATGGTACATGCAAGAGATGTTCTACAAGAGGTACATAACTGTTGAAAGACCCTATAGATTAAGGGAAATGACGCTCACCCTTCTGAGATGGGTTTTTGTGTGTGTGTGTGTGTGTGTGTGTGTGTGTGTGTAGTGGGAGGTTGACTGCTGTAGTAATGGGACTTGTTGGCAGGCCACTTTGGGCAACTAAAAATTTGGCACACCAACTCGCACTCCCTTCTCATAGAAGCCTTTGGCTGAAATTCCCTCCCAAGACTGAGTCACTTTGCCCAGCCGTGGAAAAAGAACTCAAGAATCTGGGCTGCAGCCTCCTCTCCAATCATCTCCAAAATCCCAGCACCCCAATAAATGCATGGCCGGATCCCACATAGAAACATATGAACCACCTTCTACTGAATCAGAGTTCTGGTCCATCTGGCCAACATTGCCTCCCTGACCAGCAGTGGCTCTCCAAAGTCTCTTGCCCCACAGCCCTGAGAGCCTTTAGCTGAAATCCCTGCAGCCTGAACTGAGAATCCTCCACTCACAAAGTGCATGTGCACTATGTCTTAGCTATGGGCCCTCCAGCTAAGCGACCAGAGCTGCAGATAAACTATTTGAAAAACTCTATGAAGAGAAGCAGCAGAACACAGTTATTTGACAGCAAGGTGGTTTTACCTGAAGGAACAGCAGTACTGTTTGGGTGGTTATCGCCAGTCGACACAAAGATATCTTCCTCTCCTTCAGTGGATGAGCTAGAAGAGGAATCACTACTGATGTCATTCTCACTAGAACTGCTGGAGCTGGGCAGCAGAGCATACTTCCGCCGAGCCAATACCTCCCTTTTCTTCCGCTGCATTAAAATCCGCTCTTTTTGGTTTTGCGTCCGCTGGGAGGAGCTGGTTTTCACAAACCGCTTCCTATAAGGGAGCCTCCTCAGAGTACTGCTGCTATGGAAACAGGGCCTTTTCATCAAGAGCCCTGGAACAGACTCTGTCTCTGTCCGGGGCCACTTTTGGGGCCGAGTACCATGAGTTCTGCTTGAAGCATTCAACACCGGCCGAGCATGCCTCACGGGGGCCGCCTCCTTGTCCTCCTCCTCAGACGTTACCGTGTCAGAGTCTCCAAAATGCAAACTAGATGAAGGTGAAGAGACACAGTCACTAAAAGATGAGTCATTGTCTTCGCTTTGCGTATCGAGGCGCTGCCTTAACCCTAAAACCCGGGGGTTCTCTTTTCCGCCACAGTTCTGAGCATAGGAAGGACCAGCCTGCTGGTTTTTACGCTTCTTGCGCATGACTATGGTTTCTTGCTCCGGGCGATTTCCGTTGAGGTCCTTCTGCTTCTGAGAGTCACCACAAAGGTGAGAGAATTCATCCCCAACTTTGTTGGCAATCATCTCAACTTCTTCAGGGAAGCTTTTGGCTGCCTCAATGGGCTGAGGAGGGTTCAAAAGGATCCCTTTCAGGCTCTCCTGGCTCTTTGGTGCACCAGAAGAAACGTCACTCTTCATATCCGCTTCGAGGGTATAGACTGTATTACATTTAGGAGTCCATTGAGACATGGGAAAACGGCAGGGAGGGCCTGGCAGAAATAAAAACAGAAATATTAGAATAATGAACAATGCAAACACCAACTGTCAGAAGAACTTCCCAATAACTAAATAATTCATTTCTTCCCCTCCGTAAGTTGCAGGAAAGTCTGTGGAAATCCAGTGTTTGGCATCTACCCTCACAGGAAGTCATGCTGTGTTTTAAAACTCTATATTTCACAAGCTTTTGAAACTAACCGGGCGCCAGCAGCGCCCCCTAGCAACCAAGTGGAGATTTCTGGTCGCAGGAAATGCAACTTGAAATCTCCACCACTCACAAAAGCTGAAAAGCTGTTAGCAGTTATTGAGCTTCTGGCATTCCCTTGTTACTCCTCATCAAGCCTTTTGCATAAGTAAACAAGTAAGCTCCTCTTTCACCATCCCAGAAACAATGCCATTTGGAAGGCTGTAGCAGCTACTTTTTCAGCCCCACCTCCCCTCCAGAGCAGCCTGTTTTTAAGCCTTTGCCTGTTTTTAATACAGGTTTCAGCTTTGCTTTAGGTTTCTGATGAATAGGCGAGGGATGGATTGGTACTACTGGAGTGATACTGCTCAAAAGTAACAAATTAGGTTGCAATCCCATTTGCCTGTGTGGGTTAAAACACAGAGCCTAGAACTTGCTGAAGGTCGACGGGGTGAGCTCCTGTTGCTCGGTCCCTGCTCCTGCCCACCTAGCAGTTCGAAAGCACGTCAAAGTGCAAGTAGATAAATAGGTACCACTCCAGCAGGTAGGTAAATGGCATTTTTGTGCACTGCTCTGGTTTGCCAGAAGCGGCTTAGTCATGCTGGCCACATGACCCAGAAGCTGTACGCCGGCTCCCTCGGCCAATAAAGCGAGATGAGCGCCGCAACCCCAGAGTCGGCCACGACTGGACCTAGTGGTCAGGGGTCCCTTTACCTTTAAGCCCTTTTGAATTCAGTAGGAACTATTTCTGTGTAGAAATGGTTAGGATTGTGTCTCTCTTTCAAGAATTTTGATATAATAGAATAGACAGTTTCTTGCCTTTTAGTATTTTTCTTATTCACTGTTTGTTAGTGGCTTGGCAAAGGGGGCTTTATGGTGAGGAGTAGATACGTAAATCTCATTGATTTCAATGGGAGCATTTCAGCCTGATTCAGTACATGTTTTCAGTACATATTTTCTCTGAAGTAATTTCCTGTTTATTAAATAGAATTTACTCTCAAGAAATCCTGTGATAAGGATTACAGCCATAAGCATGTCCTTGACTCTTGCCCATTGAAAACAGCACAACCAAAAAGTACTTAACTTTAGCTGGATGGTGCCCAGGAACTAGAATGTTCTCTTATCCTATATAGTATCATAGTTCATTTAGCATTTACCGGTAATTGCTGTGTTATTGTAAATGAGATCACCACATTCTGTGAGAATGAGCATTAGTACACCTGTTCTGTTGGAAAAACTGAAATACCTTGCAGCTAGTTGTTTTCTTTCTCAAGAAAATGGTGTGGAAGATGTAGTTTTGATTTTTAAATACTGTAATTAATTTCCAGGTCCGTAATTTTCTATGCCATTGTAATCTTTGGTTTCCCGATGCATAATTCTGGGCATGAACGAAGCCCAAAAAAGATGCTTGTATTTCTCTTTATTTTAAAATGATTTTTTTAAGTACATAAAAAAATCATCTGTAAAAAAAATTATATCAACATTCTACACAATGCGTCTCAATAGATATATCATTGGTTTACCTACACAATTTCATTTTGTGACATTTCCTGAAGGCTCCAAGATGTAATAAATATTATAAGAGGACAATTGGGTGTGGTGGCTTTTTTAAAATCCCATGTCATTTTCCAAACAAGGAGCTTCTGAATGAAGCACTGGAAATCACTATTTCATTGTGAAATGTCTCAAAGAATATGAAATGACGACAGCTGATCCTGAGCACCCTAAGATGTAGTGTGAAGCTTTTTAGTATAAACAGTTCATATTTTAAGATGCATTGTTTATACTGGGATAGCCTTAGACTATACTTATCATCTTCCTACCTGTTTGCCTTGCCAGTGTAAAAATAACAAAATAAACATATGAATGTGGGTTGCAGGAAGGGCTTTCATGTTTGAAAAACACAGATGCACACTTCACTGCTTTGCCATTTAATAGCATTTGTACACACATTTCCAAGTTTTAGCAATAATCATGTGACCTGGAAGCTTGCTATTTATTTTTATCTATTTTGAATGCTCAGAATCTTGAGAATTCTGACTTAACCATTCTATATTGTCATCAAAAGGGAACCAGCTGAGGTCAAGAAGCTATGCAGGGTCTGTCTAGGATGCTGTGCTTTAAACACCCTTGCTCTCAAGATAACAAATGCTTCTGCTGTTGCTCATCACTTTTCCAATTAGTAGTTGATAGTTTAATAGCCTCTCAGAACCTGGGCAACAGCAGAGAGAACTGGAGAGCAAGAAGTAGCAAATTTGCACGTTGCAACTGCTGTGAAAACTGGGAGGGCTAGCAAACTCTAATTCACTAAGCAATTAGGTTCTGAATATGTTAACAAGTTACCTTCATTTCTTACGCCCTTGTTGGGATTTTGTCAGCTTGAACAAAAGTTTCCCTGCAACCAAAAACACCCCACTCCTGTGATACACATTCTCTTCTTGCAGCTATACAACAAGGAAGCCTTTGCCAACCTGGTGCTCTCCTGGGCTTCATAGGGTTCTACTGGTTAGGCCTGATGGCAGTGTTAGAAACTGGGATAGGACTGCTAAGAGCCATGTGGCTCCTGGGACCTAGGTTGTGGGCGCCAAAACAAAATGTCTAGGTTTGTGTGTTGCTGCCCTGTTACCAGTCCAGGCAGCCTCACAGCAAAATATAGATTTATTTATTTTTTAATGCTGCCAGGTGAATCGGGGTCTGCAGGGTATCTTTTGCTGCCGCTCTACCCCACCAAACACCTGATTCACGCGGCAGCAAAAAAAAAGGACACATCTTTTGCTGCAGGGCAAATCAAGTGCTGGACGGGGTAGTAAAAGACGCAGCCAAGCAGGTGGAGATGCTATGTACCAAGGGTATCTCCTGGACATCTCCATCCAGTTGAAAAGGCTGATTGCCAGTCGCAAAATGCGCCTGGCGCCTGACTAATTTCGGACCCTGCCTGATAGGAGTTGCAGTTCAAAATATCTGAAGGGCACCAGGTTGCAGAAGGCTGTCATGAGGGATCTGGTGTATTTGTCTCGGCTGTAAAAAAAAAAAAAAGAGGGGGTGAAAGTACAGATGTAGCTCCATGTACATGTCCTTTCACATAAATGGCTCAATAAAGCTATGCGAACAGCTTCTTTATGGCCAGGCATTTTCACATTCGAAAACTAAAGAGGGAGTGCAGAGAACTGTGTATTAACTAACAACACAAATTGAAACTGGCCTCCAAGCAAACACAGTTCTAGGAGGCCCATGTTTAGAAGCATGCTTATCAACAGGACAATGCTCCATGTTCCCCTAACATGCAGAAAACTGGCAGGGATGGCTGTGGTTATTGCACTGCTTGACACAACCAGGAAAACTGCATGATGCTGGCTGTTTACAGACAAGCAAGGAAGGAGGAGCATTTTGAGAAAGAGCAGCACTAAAGGAACTAGGGAAATGCTGAGGCAGAGGCATAGCTGGAGGGTGGGTGGGTGGGACTGGGCGGCACTTACCACACCCGAGCCCATGTCTCTCCTGGGAGTGACATGGTGGCTTGGGCGCCTGCAGGCTCTGCATGTGGCACTGCTGTGCTCAGGGACAAACTCCTACATAGGGGGACTTCTTCCTTTCTTTGTCAACGAATAGTAGGAGAATCACGATCAACCTTGGTGTTGCTATGTTTTATTTTGTACATTTCTACTTTACCTTGTCAACAGATTATTTCTAAGGTGGCTCACAAAATTGCAATACTTAAAAAAATACAAATATTAAATACATCATCACCATAAATGTTTTAGCAGCAGGGATGTAAAAATTACTTATTATTGCATCATTTATAATTTATTATCCATCTTTCCACAAAGGAGGTAAAGGCATCATTGTATATGGCTCTCCCACTCCACATTTTACCCTCACAACAACCCTGTGAGGTAGCCTTGATCTGGTGAGATGAAAGACGGTGACTGGCCAGGTCAAAATCACCCAGTAAGCATCATGACTGAATGGGGATTCAAACACTGATATTTCAAGTCCTAGTCTACCACCCCAAGCACTGTAAAAAGGTAAAGGGACTCCTGACCATTAGGTCCAGTCGCGGATGACTCTGGGGTTGCGGTGCTCATCTCGCTTTATTGGCCGAGGGAGCCAGGGTACAGCTTCCAGGTCATGTGGCCAGCATGACTAAGCTGCTTCTGGTGAACTAGAGCAGCGCCGTTTACCTTCCTGCCGGAGCGGTACCTATTTATCTACTTGCACTTTGACATGCTTTCGAACTGCTAGGTTGGCAGGAGACCACTGTACTAGACATCAAAGCAACACAACGAGTAGGCAGAACTAAGAACACTACAATTGTGGGCAGATGTGCAAGTAGCACTATTATTACCTGGCACTAGCGAATTCTGAGGACCTAAACCTCAGAAGCATTGAAAAACAGTCACCACACCCTTGACCACAGTAGGTAGGGATTTCCAAAGGGTCACCCCTGACCAAAGGGAGGAAGGTTCATGTGGGACTAGGTGGCTCTCAAGACATTCTGGTCCTGAGCTGTGGGGCTTTTGTAAGTTAATGCCAACAGTCTTGACTTGAGCCCAAAACCATTGAAGGAGCCAGTGAACCTTTTCCAATACCCCCACCCCAATCTTCTAAACATCAGGAGCTGACTGAGCATGGCACTCCAGAGAACATCCTACATGATGTATGACAACTCTCCTAAGCAGACATAGAAACATACTCCACTCTGCAGCCAAGGCTCAGATTCTCTTCTCTCTATCATACCCCCTCCTATCAGCAGGGGTGGGAGACCTATTTCAGCCCCAAGGCCACATTCTCTCATGCATAACCTTCTGGAAGGCTGCTGCATATGAATGGTGGGCAGGGCACAAAAGCAGGTGTGGGCAGAACAATAGACATGGCTCTTCCCTTTATACCAGGGATGGGCAACTGATGGTCCTGCTTGCTGATCTACAACTCCCATTATCCCTGGCTGGGCTGATGGGAGTTGGGAGTCCAACCACATATGGCTCCCAATCTCCTCTGCTTTATTCATTATGCTATATTCCAGGCAAGCAAAAGTCAGAGGTTTCTACACCTACCCTCATTTCTCCATCCAGATAAGCAAGAGGCGTCATTACAGTTCAAAGACACATTTCAGCCAGGCAAAAGCACTCAAAGACACAGAGCAAGGGCCGGTGAGAGGTATGGTCTGGGTAGGCCACTCAATTTAAAGTGCTGGTATGAAAATTTTAGAGGAACAAATTGTATGAGGAAACCTACCTGAGCCCCAAGATCAGCTTTGGAGTTTAAGATCTGACTGGCAGATAATAGGGAAAGGGCCTTTACTGGGGGCAGTACAGATGCATAACTCCCTCCCTAGTGATATCTGTCAAACCCCTCTCTTGCCCACTTATTGTAAAGACCTTTCTGTTCAACGATGTATGACCCACCCCTTCCCAAACTGGGCAGCAGAGGTCCAGAGACTCATTCAATGATGTGAGGTGGCTGAGGCCCAGGAGAGTCTTGGATGCCAAACCATGCACATTGGCAGTGATACTGGGTGGTATCTGAGCTTTACTCAGAATAGACCCAATAAAATTAATGAACATGAAGTCAGTGCCATTAATTTCAGGTCTACTTTGAATAAAATGCTTTGGATGCCAAAGAAGAGTAAAAACACTGTGAAGTTAAATAACTAACACTGGAGACTACAAGAGGTATTGCATAAGCCATACTTGTAAGCCAGTTGTTAGCAAGGGTTCTTTATAGGCCTTTCCATGGGCAATGCCTCCATAGAGATTCATTCCACAGAACAGCTGCAACCTCTAGAGCAGTACCATTCCTAGTAGGACATGGAATTACCTGGGGGGCAGTAAGAGGCAAGGGGGTGTCAGGGGAGTGCTGGAGGTAACTGAGGCCAAATCTGTCATCTCTCTATTTTACTTCAGAGTTAACTCTATTCAAGTGCAATGTAAGGTGTTGCACGCTGTACCAATTTCCAAACCTGTCTGAGCTAGAAGAGAAAAGTGGGATGTTGTTGACAGACAATGGAGTGCGCCTCTGGGGGTGAAGTCAAACTGCTGTAAGCACTGAAGTGACCTCTCTGGGATGCAAGCCTGGGCAGTATGTATGCAGGTCCTGGGCTGCCCAAACAACAAGACCCCCCCCCCCTGGCCTCACTGATGTGGTTCAAAGGAAAGCAGAGCAATATGTTTACAAGCTTTTTGTCACCATTTGGATATGCTGTGTAAGATATGTCTAAGTGATTTGGGGGATCTTCCTTTGATAGAAATTCCGTATTAGAAATCCATTTTCAGATATATTGAAGAAGTTGTGGTAGTGGAGAAAGAACTACCTGAGCTACAAAATGACTGAGCTGAAGCCAAAGTTTAAGAAATCATACAAGTTTTGGTTACAAAAGGAAATTTCTGATTGCTCTCTACGCTATAGACAGAGGTTAAACTCCTTGCTGAATTTCCAACATGAACCTTGATGGAACACAGTTTAGTGCTGTTGTCCAACTTCTCCCCAAGCAAAGAAATGGACTTCCAGATTACTAAATGTAGTGATTTAAGAAGACTCCTAGTATGTGACTTTAGACCAGAGAGTGGGAAACTGGTCTAACTTCATCAAGCCCATCCATTGCATTCAGAATTTATGGAACAGTGAAAGAGTTACTAAATGTGATAGCTAAGAAATGACTCTCAGACTTTTAAAAGCTGGTAGCACTGGATCAAGATGACAAATTTTGTTGAATTAATTAAACTAGTTCTAACTGGATTTCGAATAAATGTGCAATTAATTGTTACTGCGTTGAATTTTATTGTGTTTTCATCTTCCTTAGGGGTCATGCACACTGCTATTCTGAATAATGCTGTTTATATGGTAGGGAACACTGAGTTTATGGAACCAAGAGGGTGGTGGCCCCAAAACCACTGATCTATAAAGTTGCACGGACATGTGTGGGAAAGACTCCTGCAATCAGCCTTGGCCAATGGCCATGCAATTCCAAGCCTTCAAGTATTACAGCTGTGCTGTGGAATGAACCCACAGAAAAGCAGTTTCTACAGCAGTGTAAAATACGTTAGGAAGGCCCCGCATATTCATGCCACTGTGTGACGGGGACTACCTCTGAAAATTGATTATGAACACGGATTTTCCATTTTTAAAAAAGCTTATTTTAAAGGGCACCAATAACCAGAAATGAAAGGAAAATTTTACCGTGAATTTCTATTCCCAGAGACTCCTGAAGGACAGCCCTTCCATCTGGGATGACTCTTCCCTCTCACTGGCCTACCAGTGAGAGAGAAGAGTTATCCCAGATGGAAGGGCTGTCCTTCAGGAGCCTCTGGGGAACATAGCTTTCTACTGGTATGGAAGAAATCAGCATACAACAAGAGTTAAAGATAAAGAAGAATTGGCAGCATCTACCAGGGTTTCCATTTGAACTCAGACTTTATAGTTTGTATTGCAACAATTCAGAGTATTGGCCTAGAGCAGGGATGGGGAATACGTGATCCTCCACATGTTGCTGAACTATAACTCACATTATCCCTGACCAATGGTCACATACCGGCTGGGACTGATGGGAGTTTGGAGTCAAGCATGTGGAGTGGCACAGGTTGCTCACATTACTGGTGCTAACGTCACAGATGAGGTTGATGCTCCCACTTCCTACACCCTCAATGGGCATATTGAAGAGGAAGGGAAGTGGACTAATTGTTACTGACTAGCACCACAGTAATTGGTGCTTCTATTGTGCTATACAGTAGCTTGTTGCTGGGTAAGAGACATTATGATCAGGGTGGTGGAGTTGCACAATTGCTGCAAACTCTGTAGTGGGCAAGTCACAATCCCTGTGCTTGGGACTTCTGGCAGCATTCCTATGATTGCATGGCTGGCTAAGTTCAGGATATTGAATGCAGGACACAACAATATCAGAGGCTCCATGTTACCCATCTTGGCTGCTCATTCAGACATAAAAACAGTTTTAATGGTTTGCTATCCCCCTACACTTCCTATTGCCTTCTTTCTGTTTCAGGTTGGTGTGTTGGCTGCTATCCAACTGATGCTTTTATTAGTATTCATGGATAATCTGTTTTGCTCTGCTGTGTTATGTTTATATTATACTGCTGTTTTTAGAAGACTTGCCATGTCAACTCTGGTAGAAATGTGGCGTGCACAATTTTGATTTTTTTTTTTTCAATTTAAGGACAGCCCAATTTTCTGATCTTACTGATACCCCAGTTGTTTTCCCCCTACTGCCATTCTAATAGTAGCAGTATTCAGAGTGGTATATTAACAAGTACTTCCATTAATGTACTGAAGACCAAGCACCACAGCAATCCTCATCAGTTCACATTGGAGAGAGCTGCTCATATATCACCAGGATTAGTTAGTAGCACTGCAACAATAAATTCTGATTGATAGATAGATACCACCAAATGGCACCTTAAACCTGGGTTATGGTTGCCACAATGGAATGGCTAGGTGCCATTTTTGTACATTTGTTTTTGTTTTGCGGTGGACTTCATTATCATCATCATCATTCCTTTCATTTCTATACCACTTTATATTTTAAAGAACAAATCTCATCAAAACATCAAATAAAACAATCCAGAATAGAACAAAGTGAAGCTTCATTGACATATTTCAGATCCTTCTCTAAGTGACTTTTTGCTTTCCCCAGCCACCATCCAGAGATTTCCACCTGGTTGCAATTAGACCTGTGCCAGTCGCAAAACATACCTGGTACCTGGCTAAGTTTGAACACTCCGATACAAACTATACCAGCCTTCCCCAAATGTTTTGGGCTACAGGGGAAAAGGTGGGATATAAAAAAATATATTACAACAACAGCTTCACTCAGCCCCAACAAAATCCAGATGAGCCAAAGCATCTAGATAGTGGAAGGCTGGTCTATAGTCCTATATCTCCTGCTATGGACCCCTTAGGATACTGGGGTGGTAGCGGGGGGTGGGGGGGAGAGAAGATCGCCACCAGCCGTTCCAGTTAGCATCAGGGGATCTCTTACTATCATGTGCAAGATACAACTAGACTATCATGTCACCCGGGGAGGGGGGAGCTTACCACTTGGGAGATTCATTCACATGAATGACACCCCACTCAACTCTGTAAAGAGAGACACGATACATTAAGTCCTTGTTAACATGATTTCCTCACCACTGTGACCCACCATTTCAGGACAGACCAGTTGGCATATAGCCAAAGTGTGTTTAACTAACAGCAGATCCACAACCAGACACTAGTTCTCTCATTCCACTCTATGCATATACGGCATATGTTGTGTATATAAACACAATGCTAGCTCTTGTAATTTTGCCCTTCATAATCTTCTCACCACCTTCACTCCCCCAATCGCATGTAAAAATTGAACCTCAATTTACATTAAATTTACCTCAACCTGCCTGGTAAACAGATTTCACAGTACAGTTAACAAGTGATTCCACAAAATATATACCCTGGGAGGACAACAAAGCTTGCCAAGGTTCAGAGTTGCCACATACTCCAACTTGCTACATGGCCTTTGACAATGTACAAAGATACCACCAGATATTTTATTTTGAGAGGGGAGGAGTTAAGATTGAAATGTTCTCATCCTCTTCCTGTCCCACTACATTTAGATTTCTGATTCCTGCCCTGTTCCCATGCTGAAGTTGAGGCTTTCCATGTAGTCCAGGCACTGACCCACCCCAGACCAGCTCAGATTCAGCAGGGTAGGTCCATTGCCATTTGTTCAAATCAAATTTCAAGCATTAATAGAAGGGCTACACATTGATAAAATAAAGACTCCACTTCACAAGAGTACTTCACTCCTCTCCAACCTGCAGACAAATTGTGAACAACATTTGGTTTGTTAATTTAGTACAGTATACCAACCATAGCACAAAAAACCTTAAAACAAATTGCAGAGCAATCTTCAACCACTGCAAATATGGTCTTCCATCTTAGTCCTACTAGAACCCCATACAACCTCCCCAAGTCACAAATCCTGTTCTCCTTTTCTTCAGGCTCTCTTCACATCAGGGCCATATACTTAAGCTTTTACTGTCCATTCATCTGAAGTCCAATGCCACATCCCTATTCTGTTTCAGGATCCATACTCCATTCACAAGCAAACACTTAAGTAGGGGGAGAGTGTCCACTCTGAGCATGAGACAGAAATAAAAGGGGCTGTGTTGAAAGTGTGTTAAGAGATAATGAGTCCACATTAAGGCACCTTGGGCATATTTTCTCTAGGGATAGCATACAGCAAGTGATCACCCTAAGTCTTGCCCTTGGGTCATTCCTTATCAAGTGATGCATTTTTCCCCCTCATGTCATCCAATTTTTGTCATATTTTGTACACTTGTTGAATGATCAAAACTAAGTTTAATTTTATTTTTTTAAATCTCATCCTGTTTTTGAATTATGAGGGTTTGAAATTTCAAAAGATGGCAATTTTGGCCTTGCGGGACTACACAAAAACCTTTAAAATTTCTTCAAAACTTCATGGGCTTTAATGTGATATGTCGCATGATAGGCTTACTTTAAATTTTAAAGTTAAGTTACAAAATTGAAAATTTTAAAAATTGTATTTAATATTTCTAAGAGCTACCTGCAAAATTTCTTATTGGTATCTCAATGGGATCACACTAAAAGAATGTTTTGTACATACATGTCTGCCGTATGGGGTTCTATTTAGGCTAAATGTGTCTTCTTGGAGTAAAATATAACAGAATAAACAAGATTTCAAACTATAATATAATATAACTATAATATAATGCCTACTTCAGGCATTTCTTTAGAAAGTTATTCAGTTAAAAGGTATCTGAAAACTAATCAAGTTTTTCTTTTAAAAATGCGTTCCAAAGCGGAGTGATAGCTTGTTGTTGCATGACAGAATTAACACTTTAAAAGAATTATTCTAAGTGCTTCATTTCATGAACATTACAACAAAATACATGGAGGGGATATATCCAATGTAAATGCTGTATCGAAACTTTTGAATAAATGTTTTTAATTAAATAAAAAATAAATGCTTCTGATCAAGCAGAAATGTCAAATGAAGAGAGGCATTTATCCTGCTAAACACACTCATTCGTTTGAATGAATGAAAGACTAGCAGCCTTATGTAGTGATCCCATACACACTCAGAAACAAGCACTTCCAACAGGTATTTTCACAAGTAAACCTGCACAGAATTGAGCTGCATGCATGTTTTGTTTGCTTCAGCCACTTTCAAGCAGATTCCCTCTTGCCACCTTTTTATGCCATCATATTCTGTTACCTTTGCAACTCATCTCCCCACTCCAACCACATTCTAGATGTAAGTTTCTAAAAGCAGAGGACTGCCTTTTGTTTGGGTTCCCGTATAAAGGTGCCATGTGCACCGATGGTGCTGTATTATTAATCAATCAATCATCACACGTCATTATCGAAATGACATAAAAGACAACAATCCAGGACACATTTCTAAAGCTCTATTTCGTTTCTTCACCCTCCACTTCAAGCTTCCACCCCCTTAAGGGGCTGGAAGGGGAGGGGCTGCTGTGGCCCTTACAAATCCCCCTCTTTCCACGCCCCTCCAACACATGCAGTAAAAGAGTCTAAATTTAGATTATTAACTTCTCAATGCAGGCACTTGCAGTTTTTTTACTCATATCGCCGACGTTCACCAGACCCTCGAGGGTGCTAGACCAGGGCATAGTGATCACCAATAATTCCATTTCTTTATCCCAGATCGCACAGGCCCAGCGCGGGGAGGAGGAAAGCGAGGCGCAAGAGGCCGGCCAAGCCCGAGCTGCCCCTATTTTGCCTTCCCTCCTACCCCACAAGCTCTCACGCTGCGTGGAGCTGCCACCCTTCCGTCTCCCCCAACCCAACCCAAACTGTACGCCTCTCGGGACAGAGATCTGCCGGGAAGGCGGGCGGCGCTGCACCAGTCGGGGCCCTCAGCCCACCGCCGCCTATTCCTCTGCGGTCTCGCACCTTCCCTTCCGCCGTGAAGCGGGAGGAAGCGAGCGGCGGAGGCGGCGGGCAGCCCCGGCCCAGGGGAGCCCCACACGCAGGGCGGCCTCTCGCCCTCCTCCCACTCCCGGGGCCCACGGAAGCCTCCAGCGCGTACCTGAGGGCGCTGAGGGGGGCGAGGGCGAAGCGGCCTAGCCCGGCCCAGCTGGCGCCGGACCCTCCTCACGGCTCCGCTCGGCGCGACGTCCTTCCTCTCGCCCGGACCCCTCCTTCCCTCCCCGGTTCGGGGCCGAGGGCGCAGCCCCGAGCGGGGGCAGTTGGCTTTGCTGCGCGGCCCCCGCCCCCCGGTCCTGCTTCTCCGGCCGCCGCCGCCGCCACCTCCCTCGTCTCCTTCTTCTGCTTCTTCTTCTTCTCCTCTGCCAGCCGCTCCCTCCCTCTCCCTTTCCCCCTCTCTCTCCCTCCGCGGACGCAAAAGCGCGACACTCGGCGACGCTTTACGGCCAAGCCGCCAAGCGCCACCGGGCAGCTGCCTAAAGAGGGTGCGGGGCTCTCCTCGCAGCGCGCACTTCGGGAGTGCGATGGGCGACTCCACGTGCGGGTGCAGGGCGGGGAAAGACAGGGAGGGGTGGTTGGTGGGGGGTTTTTTGTTTAGTTTTAAATAAGCCTAGTTAAAGGATGGTGGTCTTGTTTATTTTAATGAGTTAAAACAAAAGGGAACCCTGACAAGATCCTTATTTCATCAGACTACCTGCGCCCACAGGCGGAAGGCCACGCTCTCCTCGAGCAAACATCGAAGCCGCGGAATGAATGCACACCTTGGTTTTTGCGTGCGCGTTTTTAAAACGACTGAATAAACGCAAAACGCATTTGCCACCCCTTTCTACGCCCCGCACATGGAGTCCAGCCGAGGCATATTAGCGAGCCGGAAGTGTTTGTAGGGAAAGCCGTTAAGATTGCAGCCGCTTTGTCATCACCAGAGAGACGCACTAACGTCCCTCCCCATCCCCCCCCCCCGCTGCCGCTCCTATCGCCGCTGTTCCTCATTATGGGCGGCGCGCCACCTAGTGGCCGGAGGACTACGCAGCGCCTTGCTGCAGAGGATCAGCCTGCAGGAAGGGATCCTGTTTGCGCCTCGTTGCTGCTGCAGGACTGCGAAATGGGTGGCGATGGGCCATTGTAGCGTCACTCTGGCCGCCCCGCACGCTTCTCAGAGCCGGCTTCCCAGCAGCGAGCTGCCTAGGGTCCATGAATGGGTCTTGCTGGTAGCCCCCCGACCAAAGCAGCCTCGGCTTTCCTCCAGATGCGGGGCGGAGTAATGCTACCTAACCCACCTCGCGGGGTTGTTGTGACGCTCCCAAACGATCCAAGAATTGTAGAGTTGGAAGGGGCCACCAGGGTCATCTAGTCCAACCCCCTGCAATGCAGGAACCTTCTGCGCAGGCTGAGGAAGCCATTTGCAGACCCAACATGAACCCCTGAAATAAGTCGAGTCCACAGGTTCTGACAGCTGGATGCTAGAAGGAAACCCGTGGGTGTGTTCAGTGGGACTCCCAAGTCAACAAAGCGTCCGCCACAATGGAAATGTTATTTTCTAAGACGCCTCAAAACCCTTCGGGGATTTGGATCGAGAGGGCTGCAGCCCTGCGCTGCCTCTGGGGGGCAAAGAAAAATGAAAGTATCCCCAAGTTTCAAAACTAAGGAATTTAAATAATCGAAAGTGGGCCCGTAGAGGGGAAAAGAGGGACGTGTAGAAACTACTTATTTCTATTTTAAATTTTAGCTATTAATTTCGGAACTAGCGAACTTAATAACCTGCACTTCCATTATCCCCACGTACCAAAGCTTTCCCCCCGACTGCGTAGCCTTTTCGCACAAGGCTCCATGGAGTTGGACACAGCTAAGCCTGCAGAGAGGAGGCAGAAATCCGCGTCGGTTTGCGCCACTTCAACTGCCCGCTTTCCCCCGAAGAATCCTGGGCGTTGTAGTTCGTTGCATGTCCGGGGAACCGAGTTCTTCCAACCCCCGCACGGAACAAACCATGACAACAGCTCATCCAACTGTGCATACTGAGAAAAATGCGCAGCCTTCCTTAACAACCCTAATTCCCACCCCACGTCTGCTCTGAAGCACTAGTGAATTTAGAGGGGGTTACTCTCAGGAACTGGAGTTAGGATTCCCACTTTAGGGTTTTTTTGTTTTTTTAAAAAATGCTTTCTTGGTTGTTGTTTTTTAAACAAAAACAAACCCATAACAAAACAGAAAACCAGATCAAACAGTATATAACAATCAACAAAAAAATCCAAAATTAACACTCCTCGCATACCAAAAAGAAAGACACAAAATTAAGTTCATCCTTTACTAATTCTAATGTGACTTCTGGTCCCCCCATTGTGGTTCCTAAGTTCCCTTTCAATGCACACTTAATTTTGTCTCTCCTAAATTCTCTATCACTCATATTCTTTAACAATCTCTTGTTTTTAAGGATTTCCACTTCAGGAGTAAACAAAAGGGGGTTGTTTTTGGCAATGTAGTTCACATTTCTTTGGAAGATTGTTAAAACATATGTAGTATTTGTGTGTGCATTTGTGTGTACGCACACACACTTATATTTATTACAGTGCCTAACAAAACAGAGATTTTCAATTCTTACAGCAAAAGGTTTCGGCTACTGCCTCCTTCAGGTGCTCTGAAGTGAACCCAAGGGTTCTTTAGCCAAGGTGGCAGTTCAAGGAATATTTGCAAGTGCACCCTTTGCTGTAGCTTAGCAGTGCTGAGCTGGGGAGGTTTTCCTCGTAGGGCCATCAGTAAGGGAAGGTGCAAGGAGCCATCTCCCAGAGTGACCCATCTCACCTGTAGCACCCCAGTTATGGAACACCACACCCTTCAAGTGTCCCTATTTCCCAGGGACAGTCCTGGAATTTCAGAAGCCATCCCGGTTTCTGATTTGATCCCCAAATGTCCCACTTTTCTTAAGATATCCCTATTTTCATCGGAGAAATGTTGAAGGGTCATGCGACCCCTGAGCCAAGGAAGTAACTATACAACTTTAAGAAGACATCTGAATGCAGCCCTGTATAGGGAAGTTTTTACATGTTTAATGTTTTGTTATGTCTTTATAGATGTTGGAAGCCGCCCAGAGTGATGGCATAAATATTATTGTTGTTGTTGTTGTTGTCATTATTATGGTTGTTGAATAAGACATCCCTATTTTCATTGGAGAAATATTGGAGGGTATTGAACACACACCTCCCCTCCTTAGAAATTCAGTTGACACAAACTTTGCTTTGTTTTAGGTCCCAACTGAAAAAGTGTCTTTTTGCCTGTCCACAGAATGCAGTGATTTGACAGTTAAACTGATTTTAATATTGATTGTTGTCATTGTTTTCCCTTTGTGCAATTCCACCCTAAGGTCTACAAACCAAACCAGGTTGTTGAAAAGTTGTTTAGATTTACTAAACAAGTATTAATTCACTTACACAATGCAGAATGTATTAGTACATCATCATATAGCATCATAACACTGATTATATTTTAATTGCAAACCTTGTCACCATTATGGTTTATAGAAATAATTATCACCTATGAAAATTACAATGGCTCAGCCAATCTGCTATCATGCAAGCAGGGGATTTTTCATAAAGAAAACACTATACAGTGGTACCTCAGGTTAAGTACTTAATTCGTTCCAGAGGTCCGTACTTAACCTGAAACTGTTCTTAACCTGAAGCACCATTTTAGCTAATGGGGCCTCCTGCTGCTGCCGCCGCATCGCCGGAGCACAATTTCTGTTCTCATCCTGAAGCAAAGTTCTTAACCTGAAGCAGTATTTCTGGGTTAGCTGAAGCGTATGTAACCTGAAGCGTATGTAACCCGAGGTACCACTGTATACATATCAACAATTGGCCCTTTTTAAATCCTCCTATAATAATAAGGTGCAGTATATTCCTAATCAAAATCGCCTCTCTTTCATGTTGTCTTGATTACAATTGATATAAAAAATGCAAGCTTCATGATCAGAACCCCCCGAAGTCCGCCCAAAAATTTATAATTTGGTAAAAAATGCAAGCTTCATCAAAATTATCTTCAAAGCGAAAAGAATATTGTTAACAAATAATTGGGATTAAATTACTTGGTTTTCAAATGTGGATTAAGGCCTACTAGTGGGTCATGGCCTGTTCTAAGGTGAGTCATAACAGCAGTTCTACCACCATACAAACATATGATAAAAAATTAAGAAATGGGTCCCCACTTTAAAGTTGTATATCAGCTGGAGATCAAATACAAATAATTGCCATTAAAAACGTATCTGGATAGGAATTATTTGGATACCTATTAAAATCTACACCTGCATATATTATTTGTTCTACCATTTGTGTTCTGCTTCTAGCCAAAAAAGGCTTCCAGTTTACACACAGTTTGATCAATTTAAACAATAGATTGATCATCCTTACCTCCAGGGTTTATAATCCTACAAGCCTATTGAAATCATGCACTGTACTCTTTTCGGCACCTGCTGAAAACAATATTCTTTAGACAAGCCTACCCAGATGCTTAGAAAGTTGAGGTAATTTAAATCTGCTTTAGTATTTTATTTTTTGTATGTTTTAAAGTATGGTTGTGAATTTTTCTCATTTTTATTGCTCTCTCTTTTCATCAGCCGCATTGAGGTTTGTTTTTGCAATCAAGCAGCGTATAAATTTTATGAAATAAATGAGCAATAAATGATAAAAGTCAGGGCACAAAAGGGGGGGAAGCACAAAGAAGGATAAAAACAAAAGCAAACTCAAGTCTTAAAGTTATGTAGTAATAGTTCTTATAATACGCTGCTGAAATGGAAGCAGCCCGATGGAATCAGCCGAGGTGGGAGACCTGTGGCGGCACTCATGATGCAGAACTACAACTCCCAGCACTCCATGCGGCCTGGGTCTAATGGGAACATTTTTGAACGCTCAAACGCCAACGGCCCCACCTCCACAATAAGCCCCGCTTCCTTTCTCTCTCTTCCAATAAAGTTCAAGCTCCTGCCTTCCGGCAATCCAACTAACCAATCCGCATGCTTGGAAGAGTAAAAAGAGGCGGAGCCGAGCGCCCCTCGCGGTGTGCGAGAGAAAAGGCGCAGCGGAAGACAAGGCTCCCTCCAGTTACACGCATGCGCTCAGACTCGTGCACGGCCCGCCCGCCCCGCATGTCCGCCCGCTACGCAGCCTCGGCGTCTCTTCCATCCGGGTCCTTCCTGAGCGCTGCTCGCCAATAGGCGAGGAGGCGAGAGGCGTGCGCGTGCGCGCTGGAGGGCCGGCCTGGCTGGTTCCGAGGCTGAGGGGGAAGGGCGCTGCATTGTGCGAGCTGCAGAAGCGGCAGCAAAATGGCCGCTGCGCCGTCTGGGGCCGCCGCCGCCTCCTTCGCCTCCCCCGCCGCCTCGGCTACCGCTGCCTCGTCTTCCTCCTCCTCTTCTTCGGCCAGCGGCGCCCCGGGCCCCAACCAGACGCCGACGGAAAGCAAGAAAATCACGGAGCTGCGGGTTATCGACCTCAAGTCCGAGCTGAAGCGCCGCAACCTGGACGTGGCCGGCGTCAAGACCGTCCTCATCGCTCGCCTCAAGCAGGTGAGGAGGAGGAGGAGCGGGGTAGGCCGCGGGCCCCGCAGCCAAGCGCCGACCTGGCCTGGGGAGGGAGCGGGGAGGGCGCGGGGCCTCCGTGGGCGCCCGGCTCGCCTTGCCTCCGCGGCCTCTCCCTCTCCCCGCCGCTCGGCGTCCTTCCTCTTAACCGCCTTCCAACGGAGAAGCGCGGCGGGCGGAAGGCTTTCCTGCGTCCCGTGAAGGCTTTTCTTCTTTTGCCCCCCGGAATTTGCAGGCTGGTAGCGCATTTCTCGCTTCGGAGACGCCGTGGGGTTTGGTAGGGCTTAAAAAACAGAAAACTATTTCGAGGGAACTATTTGTCGGCGGTTCTGTGGCAGTGGCTGTTCTGTATCCTGCCCTGAGGTCTGCTATAGGGCAGCCGATAAAAAATGTGCTTAATAAAACAAATGGGCGAGATTGAAAGTGAGGGAAGGAGGCGGGAAACCCTCAGCAGTCAGCGAAGGAGGGCGTGTGTGGAGTTGAGCTTGTGCTCAGCTAAGTCACGATGCATCTTCGATTTTATTCTTTCCTCCAAGGAGCTCCGGGTGGTCTGCATAGTGGTTGTCTCTCTCTCACCCCCCCCCCCAAATACAGTGGTACCTCGGGTTAAGTACTTAATTCGTTCCGGAGGTCCGTGCTTAACCTGAAACTGTTCTTAACCTGAAGCACCACTTTAGCTAATGGGGCCTCCTGCTGCCGCCGTGCCGCCGGAGCACGATTTCTGTTCTCATCCGGAAGCAAAGTTCTTAACCTGAAGCACTATTTCTGGGTTAGCGGAGTCTGTAACCTGAAGCGTATGTAACCCGAGGTACCACTGTATTTGCTCCGCACAACAACCCTGTGAGGTGAATCAGACCAGCAGTTAATGACTGGCTCAAGCTCTTCCAGTGAACTTCATGGCTAAGTGAGGATTTGAACCTGGCTAGGCTGACTGGTCAAACCATTGTTGTCTCCTGAGAATCATTGCATATGGCTGTGCATTTATCATTCAGTAAATGTTTGTGAAGTTGTCTTGGATCTCGCCTTCTAGAGGGTTGCTCATACTACACTTATTTTGAAAGTTCTGCATTGGCTGCCTTATCACTTCTGGGTTTAGCTTAAGGTGTTCATGGTGTTTAACTTTTAAAACTTTAAAAGATCTGGGACGCAAATTCATGAAGCAGCATCTTTTCCCATACCAGCCTACCCATATCTTAAGATCTTCTGAAGAGGCCTGCTCCAAGTTCCTGCTTTTATACTATGCTTCTACAAATGAGATTCACAAACGAGAGTGATATTTTCTCTGGTGGTATTCCAGATTTGTAATGCTCTTCCTATGGTGCCAATGTTACAGGTTTTTAGACACCATGTGAAAACATTTCTATATGCTTGGGCATTTTAGATTAGATTAGATTTTTAAAAAATCATGTCCAGGTCTGTTTTGGGGTATTTTGCTTTGTTTTATTGGATATTATTGAATATTATTAGGTTTCCTTTTAGTTTTAAAATGGATTTTTATATTGAATGAAATTTATTTACTCTTTCTACACCACTGTGGAATCTTTTAATGAAGGGTTGCTAAATATTTTAAAGAAAGTAAAATCTTGTTTGTTAGGTTTTCGAAGGCCTGTTGTAGTTTAATGTTTGTACAGCACTTATAAATGTTGGGGGCTTCCTAAATAACCAGATTATATCTGGAACCCTTGGCATATTTAAGAAAATCACAGTTTGTACTGAGATCCATGACAGTTATCCTGCTATAAGTTGTTTCTGGTATCTGCAGGCATAATGTAGTGAAAGTTTTGTTAATCACTAATTTAATGTGTTCATGACAGACTTTTAATTTGCAAACTGTTGAATCCTGTACTGCTGCACCCCCATTTCTTCACGGTTGTTACCCTATTTGCAGATGTCATAATTCCCGAGTCTTCGTTCTTTTGCCCAAGGCACAGAACAAGAGCAGCTTCATAGGTTGAGTGTTAGATTTCTTGATTCATTTAAGAACACTTTTAACCCATTCTTCATTGAAAGGCAAACTCAGAGTGGTGTACAGTAAAACAAATTAAAATTGCAGATAAACAGCTTAGTCTAATCACAGGGTAGGTAAAACCAACACCTGAGCATTAGTAAAACAAGAATCGAAAGAAAGAGAAATAACCCTCCTACTTAACAAAACCTGTGCAAACAAATAATACTTTTAGCTGGCAATGAAAAAGAATTGGTGCCAGCCATAACCATGGATTCTACAACCATGGCACCACTACAGAAAAGGTCCCTGTATGCTGTCTGTATGGCATAATCAACATGTGATAGAAGTGAGCTGAAACTCAGTGACTTGCCCCTCACTTTTGAACACAGGTCATATATTGCTTTCAAGATGAACATGGATAAACTGTGATTAAAATACCAGATTAACTGTGTTGGGTATGGCCAGGAGATTTAGTCCCCCTCCCCCCTGCTCCTCCCATGCATTTATTGTTTTCTGCCCAGGACTACAATTGTTTCAAGTACATACTAGATTGGTTTAACTTTGTGGGCACAGGTGTCTAATGATGCATATATTGTTTGCATGTCATCATTTAGTATGGAGGACTGCTGCATGACGTGTGCAGCTATCGTGTACCTGTGGAATTGCTTGGACTGTACCTGGGTCTCATATCCATGCATAACAGACTCTCAGAACAATTATATTAGGTAGTCGGTCTGCTCAGTCTTGTTCAAGTTCATTCAGAAGTCTCACTTCTAAGCAGGGATGTGGGTGGAACATTTTCTCAAAGGAGTAATTTCCAGAGCTTTATTTTTCCACGGTAAAAAAATACTTAAGTTCTTTGGTAACAATGAATGGTTGCCATTTGCAAATAAATTTTAGGCAACCTTGGCAATTCCAAAGTTTTTTGTTTGAGTACAAAATGCAAGTACAGTGGTAACCTCGGGTTAAGTACTTAATTCATTCTGGAGGTCCGTTCTTAACCTGAAACTGTTCTTAACCTGAAGCACCACTTTAGCTAATGGGGCCTCCTGCTGCTGCCGCCACATCGCCAGAGCACGATTTCTGTTCTCATCCTGAAGCAAAGTTCTTAAACTGAAGCACTATTTCTGGGTTAGCGGAGTCTGTAACCTGAAGCGTATGTAACCCAAGGTGCCACTGTAAAATATCCAAATACTACGGGGGTGGGGGTGGGAGGAGGCTGTGACCATTGTTCTTGATGATTGGACATGCAGACTGGGGCTTTAAGGGGAAACATGCTGTGCTTGTATTATTTAATTATCATAATTATTGTCATTCTGTGCTACTTTTCCTCTTATAGGAGGAAGTGCAGTATAGGGTAGTTTACAGCATAATAAAATTTGATCTTAAGAAATCATGTTAGATATTAAAGCTACATAGCTAAACAAAAAAACCTAACTCATCCCAGGGACATTTAAATTTCTTGTGATGATGCTGGTATGATCCTGTTCAATTAAAATTTCTGTGGCAGTCAATCAGTGAGGTCTCTCAATTATCCCTCTATATATTTTCACTGGAATGAAATCCAAGGATACTTTGCAGGAGAAACTGGAGAAGGAGAGAAACTTGCACATGGTTAGGCAGCTTAAGTCACATTGAACTCAGTGACAAAGGTGTATCTAGGGTCCTTTGCACCCTTGCCAAGGAGTGATATCTGCACCCCCCCAAAAAAAACTTCACCCATGTTTGATCTCACCACTTATTGAACATACATTTAACCTATAATTATCACTGACTGGGGAAGGGACACCAAGGGTCGTTTAGTCCAACCCCCTGCAATGCAGGATTTTTTATTTTTGTATCTCATTACCATTCAGCTCCCATTTTATAATTTTCTCCTTTGTATGCCTGTTGGAGGGGTGTGAGGAGATGATGAATATTTCCACCCATACTGTCTGAAATTGTGATATTCAAAAGTAAGGACAGCAGGGTTGAGGTTTTATGACCTTAGTTTAAAAAAATCAGCATTATGAAATTCTTTAAGATACGTGGTGACAATAATTATACACAATATTCCAGGAGCAGCTACAGAATAGACTTGTATAAGGCCATTATGATATTTCCATTTTTTTCCAATCCTTTTCCTAATGGTCACCCATTTTGCTGCTGCCACAACCTGGATCAACTTCTTGAGCTTTCCACTATAAACCTAAGATCTCATTCTTAGTCAGTCACCGCAAGCTCAGACCTCAATAGCATATATGTAATGTTAGAATATTTTGCCCCAGCATGCATCACTTTACATTTGTTAACACTGGACCAGATTAAACCATTCACCCAGTTTGAAGAGATCCTTTTGGAGTGCCTTACAGCCTCTTTTAGTTTAAACTACCCCAAACAACTTGGTGTCATCTCCAAGAAGGGTTAGAAAGATGCTCTGTCTCATGCTGCAGACGTAGGTTCAAAAAGCAGATGACAACACATCCAGTAAATCTCACTGTCACAAATGGGCAGGACTGGAACAAAGAATTAGACCAGAATGGGTTTCTTATCTATTTCAAAATAGAAGCACTTACACTGCTCCCTCCATACCAGATACACAAAATCAAACTTCAGAATGGGCAGGCACACACGAAGGACGGCCCACCCCCCTGCAAAAAGCCTCCTTTTTGTCATAATTTCCAGTTTGCTCTCCCCACCCCCATGCTCAACCTGCATTCCTAGAAAAAAAAGATGCAGCAGAATCCAAATAAAGGGATCAAACCTTTGTTTTTCCAGGCAAGCCAGCAAAAATAATACTATGAGAAGAAATAAAAGGCAACATGAGAAAAGCGGCATTGCTTTACTGCAAGGTGGATTTGATTTAAATCAAATCAATTTAAATTACGATTTAAATCCCTAGTCAGTAAGGCTTGATTTAAATCACCGGTCAGTAAAACTTGATTTAAATCTTTTTTTTACAGAGAGACTCATTGCTGGTATAATGCTAATATTGACAACCATATGAAGGTTTCATTTTTGGAATAATAAATTTTCAGAGTAGTTTTCACAGTTATATCAAAAATTACTGATTCGGTTATACTATTAGAAATACATAGAGAATTATGAAATTATGGTGAGGTTTAATAAGTTAACTGTTTATATTTGGAAAACTTTTCTGCTGTACTTTATTGGAAGGAGAAAAATAATTATTTCCTTAATAACCATTTAAACAATTTATTTAACTAAAACAAGAACATTATAGCATATGTATCCATGTTTGTTAACTGATGTGGTTAAACATTTTTTTTTAAAACCCACCTTAGACTGAGTTTTAGCATGCATGAAAAACTTAAATCCTTATTTCCTGATGAATAGCCGTTGGACTATAATGTAACCTAAACAGAAGACTATCTTTAGAAAGATTTTTCCTCCAAAAGCATTTTATTTTAAAAATCCATTTTAAATAAAAAAAAAATCTGATTTAATTTTTTTTAAAAACCGATTTTTATTTTTAAATCATTGATTTTTATCCACCCGGCTATACTGCTAGATAGGGCTGGGCCAAGTCAGCTTTTCAACACAGCGATGTATCACCAGCCAAACATCACAATGTGGCAATACATCACAGTGTTGAGATGAAGGGGATGCAACACACACACACACCCAAGTTAGAAGAGGGGAGGGATGAGCGCCATCTTCCTGCTTTGTGTTGCTCGCTAGCCTCCCCAGCACCACAATCTCTTCCCCTAGGATAGCTGCTTTCCCAAGGAGCCAAATTCTCCTTTGGGTTCCGCTGTGCTCCTGTCTGATTTCAAGCATCCTTCACCGCACACCCAGTCCTCTGTGCCCCATCACCCATCTACCCCCCCCTCCCCGATTTCAAACATCCTTCACCACACTCCTGATTCTCCGTGCCCCACAGAGGCCTAGGAAGAGGATGCCCCCAGCCTTAGTGGCCCAATGGAGACTGGCCAAACGTGAGGCCAGTACCTTACCTTGGGCATTGCTGGGCCTGCATGGCAGAAAGGCTCCCCTTCACCAGGCACTTGGCTCCCAGGCAGGCATTGCACACAGCAGGCACAAGAAAGGCCAGAGCAGTGCTGGCCCGCATGCCCGGCTTCCTACTTGTCTGTCCGTTCCCAACGGCAGGGGCTGGTGGACTGGCTGGCTAGGTAGGCTCCCTCACCCAGGTGTTTGCTTACTCCAAGGCTGCCTCTGTTGCTGGCAATCAGCACCCACTGGCCAGCCCCAGAGGCACCATTCGCCTGTGGAGCTTGTAGCCAGGGCTGCTACAACATACAGCTACACAAGCTTTTGGGAGGCAGAGAGATGAGAGGGCATCAGAGGGAAGGAAAGAGGGACTGAGGTTGGTGTTGCCCGCGGCACCCCTGACCACCATTCAAGGCACCCCAGGGGTGACTTCTCATTATTATAAAGTGGTATTAGGATCTTCCTCAAGCACCTCACCAGAACTATGCAATATGAATTACATTTTGTCCTTTGCAAAATGCCCTTAACTTGAAGTTTATTGTATCAGTGCAAAAACTAAATTGTACTTCATGAGTAAAATGTTTGTATAACCCAGTCCTGTGTTTCATTTTGTTAGGCTATTGAAGAAGAAGGAGGGGACCCGGATAATATTGAAATAGCTGTCTCAGCTGACACTCCAAACAAGAAACCAACCAAAGGAAAAGGTCAGAACTTCTGTGAAAGTAAACTTTATGAAAATGGTGATGTTAGTTAAAGAATCTGCTACTGAATTTTAAAACACATTTCTACAAGTAAAAGGTATCCTGGTATTTATTGAGATACTAATTAGCTGATAGCCTTGTCTTGATCACATCAGTTTGTTTGAAGCCTGTGACTACACTGCCCTTTGTTCCTTTATAGTACAAATGGCTAATTTGCTAATCTCCAGATGTTACCAGACTCCAACTCCAGTTTTTGCCATCCTGGCCATAATTGGGGCTTCCGGGAGTTCTAGTCCTTCAACATATGGTAGCCACTCTTTCTTTCTTGGCTCAGTCAACATTTAAAATGTATGCCTTGTTTTTCTTAACATAAAAAGCATAGCTATCAGTATAGTTAGTGGTTCAGCTGAAAATTTTGACTGAAATTATTCTTCTAAATGCATTTGATTCATCATCATGAGTTTATTGTTCTAGCCAAAAGCCATGACAAACTTGTAAAATCATACAGAACATAAATGTATAATATAAGAGAGAAAAGGTACCAGAGGCACAAACAAGCTTAAATCTAACTTAATTTCATATTACACCTCTCTATCACCAAAACAACTCATAGCAATTTTATCTAAAACACATTTTTCCTGAACTTTTTAGCTTCCAGTGTGTAGAGGGCCCCTCCATTATTGTCATTCAAAAGAAACTCAACCATTTCTGCCAGAGTGTAACTGTTTGCTCGAGAGAACAAAAGTTTCCGAAAGTGATCTCCTGGATCTCTATATAAAGAGCAGTCTAACAGATAATGCGTGATGTCTTCCACCACAAAGTATTTCTGCATACGGGACCTTGTTATGGTAATGGCCATCGAAGGTTGCAGTTGGCGTCACTTGGAAACACAGCTCAATAAAGGCATTTGGTCAGATAACTAGCTCTGAAATGCTTTGTTGTCAGGAGTGGGTACTAAGGAAGAAATATGGTTTCAAGTCCTTTCTGGATTCTAGCGAGAAGAGCCAATCTCTTAATTGACACCAGTGTTCGAAATTAACCAGTCGCTAGCCTTTTTTTTGTTTTTTTTTTTTTTTTTTTTTTTTTGCAACTCAAGACCACCACCTGTCGACCAAGTTCAGCTTTTCGGTCGCATGCTCTGCAGCTGGCTGTGCAGGAGAGCTGAGGGGAACATCTTTGACTGAATTTGCTCTGAGGACTGCTAGGAAGCTCCAATACAAAAAAAAGCAGGCCACCAAGCCAGCCAGCCTTCCTTCAGGTCCTAGAGAAGGCTGCTGCATGCTTATTGCAGGTAGCACAGAGGAGAACAAGTGCTGCTCCTAGTTGCAAAAGGAAGCATCTTTTACCTCAATAAGCCAGCCCCTGCTCCCACAAGCTGAAGGCAGGAGGGTCTCTCTACCCAAGAGGAGAAGGTCGCCCACTAATGTTTCCCATTTTTTTATGTCAGAAGACAACCCTCCCAATACCACAAATTGCAAAAAGAACCAATTTTTTTAAACAAAAAATAAATAAATAGAAAGTGCTGTTGCATTGGGGGCAGGGAAATGGTGACTAACCATTCTGTTTTTGTGCCCACAACCCAGGTTCTAGGAGACATTTGGTGAATAGTTTTTGCATCTCAGTTTCTAACAGTGATTGACAGTTATTCAAGGTCAATGTAGAGTTCAGTTCTGGAAAATAATAATAGTCTAAAACACCTTGCCAAAGTTAATTATCACCCAATTCCGTATAGCACGGCACAGAAAAACACTCAATTGGCATAGTAGTGATTCTTTTAATATATTTTAACTAGATGCAGTCCGCTCTTGCCTCACAGGTTGACCACTTGTATTCTATACATGGATATTGTGCACATTTCCCAAAACTTTAATGGAGTTGAAACAGACCCACAAATTTCAATGCCATAGGGCATTTGAGTAAGCACTGCTACCAAATAACTTTAGGGCAGGTTCATTCAGCTTCCCTCCCTTATTGTAATAGAACATTTATCAATGCCCCTCTGATTTTCTAGGCTTGGACATTCCATTTGACACTTCCAAGAGCCAGTTTCTCTAAAGAGTACACCCAAGTATCTAAATGAGGCAGTTTGTTCTATAGCTTGCTTCTCCAAACACCATTTATACCAAGGTCTGTCTTTGCCAAAATCATAATCCTGGTCTTATAGCAATTCATAGATAGGCTTTCCTGTTTACAGTATTTAGTGAGCACCTCCAGGAGAGTTTTGAGTTCCAGTCAGGAAAGTGAGAGGAGCACTAAATCATCTACTTACATCAAGATTGAGATCATTCTGTTCCTAATCACCAGAAAGTTAAAAGGCCTGGGAGCCAGTATGCAACCTTGCTTTCACTCCTCATGACATTTTAAAGGCATCAGTCATACTACCATTTAAACCTACTGTGACCCTCATTTTTGTGTTTCTGCATAGTTCTTGAATCAATAGCAGAAGTCTATAGTCGATGTTGGCAATTTGAAATTTCTTGCACAGTCTATTGCAATTAATATAATTGAATGTAGCAGACAGATCTATAAAGGTTGCATAGATTATTCTTAATGTTCTTAGTATATTTCTTTATAATATGGTTCCAAGTAAAACATTGATCAGTGGTACTGTGTCCTCTGAACCCTGCTTATTCTTCATGAATAAAGTTACTTTGCAGCCAGTTTGATAACAACCTAATTGGCTGGGCCCACCTGTGCATAAGTGAAGTGCATGTAAGTGGAGAACACCCTGGAGAGTCCTCATGGCTCCTGAAGAGACCTTTCCCAGAGCCCAAAGAGGACTTCCTCTTCAGGCTCTGGGAAAGGTCTCTTCAGGAGTCGTGAGGACTTCGGAGCCAGAGCCCAAAGAGGAAGTTCTCTTTGGGCTCCGTGGTATCCTTGCAGAGTCCAGAGGGGCAGCAGGGCTTTGTTGAGACTGCTCTGCCTCCCACCTAACAGCTGATTTGCAGGGTACTACAGCTGCAGGTGCTTCCCTACACATCAGCAGAGCAGCTCAAGAAAGTCCCACTGGCCCTCCAGCTCGTGAGGACACTCTCTCCAGAGCCCAAAGAGGACATTGGGGAGTTGCCTGTATTTAAAGAGTGAAAAAAAATGTTCCCTTATTTCCAGGAAGTTGTACTTACATAAATTATGTAAAATTTCAGCTTTTCCCATCACAAGTTCTATAACAATGAAAGTTTAAATATAATTTAACATAAAGAGCATGCTGTCATACAAGTAGCTTATGTTGTGCAGTAAAGATAAAACTTTGCTCAGTAAATTTACTGAAGATTTTGTTTTGTACTATTTGAGGGGGAAACCAAAAAGTTTTTTTAAAAAAGAACTTTCAGTTGAAAAATTACAGGCCAAGCTATGAATTTGTGGAAGCACAGCTGCTGAAAAATAAATCACCCATTGCTAAATCAAATTGAGTGATGTGATTCTCTGCTCAACTGAGCTAAATAAAGATATTCAAACACTTTTTTTTGCCCAAATTGAGTGCTTTTCAAGGTGGGCATCTTGAGTTCCAAGGAATAGTGTTTAGCAAAGTGGCTTTTCTGGAAAAATCTGAAACTGCCACGTTTCCTTAATATTGTGTCGGCATCATTGTTACTAATTTACTTGTGAAGTAAAAAAATTTCCATAGAAAAATTAAGAATTGGGATTTTTTCACTTTTGGAAACATTTGTTCAAATCATCTTTAGTAGTATGGGTATTCTAACCCCACAGGAACAGTGACTACTGGGGCATGTGAATACTACCTGTTCTTTGTTTTTAGTGGTGTACATTAAATTTACAAACACCTTAGAATATTTGGCTGTGGCAGTTGTTTGGTTAGTAAAAAAATTGAAAGCATTAAGTTGGTTTAGATTCATTTATTTTAAAGGGTCATTCCATATCATGTCATCCAATTTTCTTAATATATTGTACACTTGTTGAATGACCAAAACTAAGTTTAAATCTAAAATGTTTATTTTTCATATCATCCCGTTTTTTTAGTTATGAAGGTTTGAAGTTTGTTTGTTTTTTAAAATGGCAATTTTGTGTATAATCCTCTAGATTAGGCTGAGAGTTGGTGACTGGCGGAAGGTGAGATTCATGGCCAAGTGGGCATTTAGACCCTGGTTTCCCAGGTCCTAGTCCAACTAACCGCTGCACCATGCTGGCTCTCAGACAGATAAGGATATGTTGTTGATGATGATAAAATTTATTGTTAAACCCCGTCCATCTGGCTGGGCTTCCCCAGCCACTCTGAGTGGCACTCACATGGCACTCAAATATATCTATTGAGGGACATGAATGCTCTACTCATGTGGAAGCCTTAACCTCTAGTAGAATTTACAGATTAATTTGTCTGATGTTGACGTCACAACCTGGGGCAGCAAATGTACCCCTCAGCTTTTTGTGAACTCTTAACTCCTTGAACACAAATGTGTTACTTGATGATACCTGTTTGGAAGATTTCTTTGGCTAACAAGGAGAGTTGTATAGATACGCAAGTGACAATGTGATATGAAAATATGAGTTCAAGCCATGTGTTACTTTCAAGAAGGGGGTATTCTGTGATTCCTGTGGAGCAGGGCCAAGTAGCAATGCATGATCCTAGGGCCAGTAATGCAGCCACACTGCGCAGTAGAATAACACATGAAGGGGATGTTAATGATGAATTTCCATAACTGAGAGGCAGAGATGCTCACTAATTCAAATCTTTTACTTGATTGCAGGCAATTGCAGAAGACTATCAATCTAGATTGTCACAGTATATATTTAGATGAAGTTGATTAAGTTCTGTCTGCACCACAAGCTCCCCCCCCCAAAATTTAATGTGAATAAGGCTTCCTACAACATTCAATATGTTGTTGCTATGGTTTGTTTCTACTTGGGGTAAGGGGCTAGGTGATTGGTTGTATGTTTTTTGGTTAGATTGTTTTTCTGGAGTGCCTTATGCGTTGAGGGCTTTCCTGAGTCTTGTGGTGAGAGAGACACTTGAAATGGAGCAGATACAAGCTTGTCATTGGCATATCATGTCTTTTAGGTAAAAAGCAGGAAACTGATGAATTAAGTGGTGATACTTCAGTGGAAGATGATTCCATGGTCAAGGTAATTCTGCTATGAAAAATAAAACTGGGGATCCAGTCCTAAGTTTTGCCAATTCATTCTCACTTCTAAACAATTTTGACTGTAAACCGTCTTTGATACTGAATTTGCAGTTTATTGTTATTCAGACTAAGTTAGATGCTCTTGGTTCCCTTTGATTTCAGTGGGAGTTAAGTCATCACTAACACGTCCCATTGAGCTCAGCTTCCTTCATCTGCATACAGTTCTATGAGACCTTGCATACCAACTGTAACAAAGTATTGTTGGGCAAGTTATCTGTCAAGGAAGCATGAACGCTTTGTAATTTGATGAAGAGACCTTATGTTTAGTTAGAATCCTAGGTTTTAAGGCTACTGAACTCAAGATACAAGCAATTTCCTTCTGATATATTAAGTTTAAGTGTTGCTCCTATTGAAAGGAGAGTGAACTGGAAGCTCAAGATGCAAGTGACCAGGATGGAAATGATGAATTGAAAGAGTCGGAAGAATCTGCAGAAAACGGAGAGGAATCCTTGAATTCTAAAGCGGTGCCTCGTGTAGACAAGAAGAAAACTCATTCAAAGCAGACAGAGAAGGACTTGGAAATCCAGGTATACTTCAATATAAGCAAATTATTAGGATGGCGCCTACAACTTTCCTTTCAAAATTTGTTCCATTAAGATTTCATAAATTCACCTTCTTCCTTGCCCATGATGATTGCCTGTCTCGTCTTGGGTCAGTGCCCCTACTTCCACAGCAACATCCACCTCGTTGCTGTTGCTGCCTCATACAAAAGTCAGGCCTTTCCTCCATGAACAAAGTGGAGAGGGAAAAGGGGTACAAATTCCCTCAGGAAGGAGCAATGATGGAAGCAACAGAAATAAGTGCTTTGTTTCCATTTGTGTATGTGCTAATCTGTTGCCTCCTCTCATCCACTGTGCAATGTGAATGTTTAAACCAATGGAGCTCTTATGCACCAGCCTGAACCTCCTCTGCAGCTATGCTGGCCTGGTCCAAAACTGGGAATATAATTCTAGCTTGCAAAGCAGAGCCTTTGGAAGACAAGTATGAAGCGCAGTCTGGCAGCTGGTCTGTGATTGCTAGTTTTATTTTCAGTGAATTGGCAGATTCACAGGTGGTAAACAAGTGCTGGGAGGATTGCATCCAAGGATGGGTGGGTAAATTGGTTTAACCTTGCTTCTCCCTTCTACCATGCAGTCCTAATTATCCCCACCTTAATCCCAAATGCACTCTTCAGAGAGAGAAAACAAAGGCAACATAAATGGAGAAAGTGCCATTTTAGAAACCCAAGCTTAAGTGAGCAACAAGATGTAATTTCTCCTCTCCTCCAGTTCAATTGTGACATTGGAAAGAGGTGTCATCTGAATTACTCATGGTTGCTTCAGGTTCTGTGCGGCAAAACACACTTCGTTTCTATTTATCTGTCTTTCAAGGCCCCTTCTGTGTGATGCCATCACTCTCATTGGACATGAGAAGAGCTGGCATTTATGAAGTTGTTGGTGGGATCAAGATGTCAGTGTGAACCTTTCCCCAACCTATTCCCACTTACTTGGGAGTAAGTGCCATGGAACTCTGAGACTTACATATGACTAAGCCTGCTTAGAATCAAGCTGTTAAGAACACTTTCCTAAGCTAAATATAGCAAGGGAGAACAGTAGTAAAATAAAATAATTCCATTGATCCGCCCATGCAAGAAGATAAAAGTCCTGAATAGGATTTACTGCCATGGGAAACAATTAATTGTCCAAATTTTGATACAGCTACAGAACTTGTAGTTCTTTGAGCTGAACAATCATAACAACCAACACATATTTGATTAGACACAACCTCTCTGTTTGTCATCTTCCCTAAATCTTCTTTTGGCAGAAATGTTTGTTTGCAAGTGATGCTGGGATGAGTACATTGCTAGAAAATGATTGGCCATCAGTTCCAGACTCAGTTGATGCTAAGATCTAATTTCCCTTTGCTTCTTGCCTCTTGCTGCAACTGTGTAGTGTAAAAAGTGCATTAACTGCCAGCGAGAGTGTTTACCATTTGTGACAGTTTTTCTGGGGGAACGGAGCTCCTTGCTTCCCCATATGTCTCCAGAGATTGGAGTGGGGAAGAGAAGCCTTTCTGTCCTGTTGCAAGGTATTGTGGTGCTCTCTGGTTCATGGAAGAACCTTATTAAGGCGAAACCTTCGCATGGCACTGTTGACAGTAGCTCAATTTATGGACAGTTTGTGACTTGTCAAATAATATTGTTCAGTAACTTTAATATATTTGGAAATGGAGACTGCCCTTTGTAAGCTCAAGAAAGGACTTGGTGTGGTTTTCATGGGTCTGAAATTTTGGTTGCCCAGCCACAACTGTGCAGAAGATGAAACAAAGAGAACTCAATGAGCTTTGTTCGGCTGGTCAGCATTCTGTTAGACAGGTCTGCTCCACTGCAGGAAATTATGGCAAGGTAAAGAAACTTGCTTAAGCAGAGGGTTGTAACATTACCAGCTGTCCCTTAGAAGGCATCTTCTCGTTACTGCTCACCTCCCCAGTGGGAGTGAACCACACCCAAGGCAACTTGTAAAAAGCAGTTGTCATTCAAAGTGCAAGTTCTTGGTTAGTGCATTTGCTTGCTTCTGAAGTAAGCCAACTTACTTAGGCTGTCTTTGTTTATTTCCTCATGTTAGGCCAGCAATATTCGAGATACAGAAGATGAAAGCTTTTCCGCTAGTCATGTAAGTTTCTAAATTGCCTTCTTAAACCTGATTAGAAAGCTGATTATATTTGAATTCAGCTAGAAGGAATCTATAAGGACCACCTTTAAAGTGTCAGGTTTAGTTGCATTGTAGAAAGACTTTGTATACCTTAATCTCTGTCATCTAATTCCACAAAACTACTGAAATAAATACCATGTGTTGTGGACTATTGATGAGATTATGGCTTGCACCTTACTGTCTCAAACCAGACTACTTAACTGTTCCCAGAATATTCCAGGATATCCCTGGGTCTGGTGTAGCACATTGTGCAAACTAGTGCCTATGCCCCCCCCCCCCCCCATTTTATTTTATTTTTAAAATATTGCCCTGCATTGGCTTTGCTCAACAGTCACCACTGCTGGAGATGGATTCTTCCTTCTTGTGTAGTGAAAGAGCAGCCTTCACTAGAGTTAGTTACTTGCTCTGAACCAACTTTTAATAACATCTGAAGGAAGGTGAACTTGCCTTGAAACAAGGGTTTGGGGTGCTATTTAAGGGGCACCACAAGGGAGGGAGATGAACCATTAGCAAGTTTGACAGCACTAGTTCTATTGAAATGTGTGGGAGCAGGATAATTTCATAAATGAGAAGGATGTCTCTTGGGTTGCTGTACCTCGGTCACCAAAATCTTGCGGAGTTGTGTGGTCTTGGATTACATATATAAGACATTTAAAAGGCTACCACTGGAAATTTTAGGACTTCCTGAATAATAGTCAAAAGGGAAATGGCAGTTCCTTCCCTAGATCTCATAGTATGTTTTTGGAGTTTCCATATCGTAGACAAATCATTCTTGGAAATAGTGGAAGCTATGGACCATCCACTAGTACTAGCTTAGAATGTAAAGCCTAATAGATTTCAGCTGGGCAGATATCTGTTAATTGAGTCTTTGCCTTATTAGAACAGGCACCTCAGTTTGTTCCTCTAGATTGCCACTAGTTTACTGGCTCTGTTTAAATTGAATCCTAATCTGGAATGCTTATTCAATTTTTATTTTATTTTACAGGATGGAGATGAAGAGAATGAGAGAGGTATGTTAGAAGTTCAGTAGAGTTTTGAGTGTTCTAATATGCTTCAAGTTGCCTTTTGTAAATGGCAGGTGCACCAGTTGATTCTCTATCAGGCATTTCAGCTATATCTGTGCCTTTGCAATGAAGAGTGGTTGGATCCATGCTCTCTGTTGGCTTTTCTGCTTTTAAATTGTGCATGTGCCTATCAGTTACTTCAGTGGATGTTGTTACATGCATATGACCACCACATTCCTTTAATGGAACAAAGATCCCAGACTCCGTAGATCTGAATCTTTTTTCTCTTTTTTGGGGAGTGGGGGGTACGGTAAGTCTTTATGTCTATACATTCTCTTGCACTGCAGTAACAGATAGGTGCCAGTTGAATATTACGTATTCTGCAGTTTGCAAGCCATTTGAACTACGGGCCACATTCTGCTTCCACACATTGGCAATTGCCACATCATGCTTTACAGCCTCACATGACATTTTGGAACAAGTAACAATGGAATCATCTAATCAGCATTGCCTTTAAAAGCTACAGAAACCCACCCTGGCTTCACATTCTTGCTAAAGAAGACTTCTAGAGAGCATGCTAAGGACCTTGCATGTTGTGGACTAAAGGACATGGAATCATTGTGACTGAAGCATAACAGTGGAAATCTTGAAAGGGCACTTGTGGGTGTCAGCCACAGACTTGTGTTTGGAAGGGATCCGAAGGCAGAAGCTTTTGTGGAACGTAAGAATGCTGATGGAAACACTGTTAACAGAACTGAGAGTATTGACCCCATGGACACAGGATGAAGACTCCGCATCCTTTCTGAACTTTGGCCTAAGTTGGTGCATGAACAAGAACAGCCGACACCTGCGACTTCACCATGGCTGACAGCAAGAGTTGGAACGCAGAGGACAGTGGTTATGCAGCTATGAAGGATTCGTCTATTGAACTATGAGCCATTAGAAGGATATTGGAAGACAAAAAGACTTGTCAGTGGAAGTGTAGATATACTGACAAGCAGTCACTATTTGGTCATGAAGAAAAACTTCTTTGTACATTAATGTCAACGGTGGAAGCCAGATACTTGTATTGAAGAACAGGTATCTGCTGGATGGAACCTTTGTCTAACTTCTGTTCTATTTTGGTATTTATGTCTAGAGAATTTGTTTGCCATGAAGAATGAGTGATCCTGGGTAAAGGATTGGTTTATATGTTAATGCCCCTTATGCTTTCCTCCCCCCCCCAACCTTCCATCAGTTCTAATAACTGGCTTTGTATTTTCTAGGTCCTCTCTTCTAGCTTATACATATGCAAATGTTTAAACTTCTTGTTTTGCCATATTTATTCCTGTTAAATCCTCTTAGATAAAGCAGGTTCTGGTGATGGTACACAAGAAGTATCTAAGCCTCTTCCTTCAGAAGAGAGCCTAGCTGAGGCTGATCACTCTGCTCAGGAAGAGATGGAAGCTAACGTGTCTGTGAAAGAAGCTGAGGATGATAACATATCGGTTACAGTCCAGGCCGAAGATGCCATCACTCTGGATTTTGATGGGGATGACCTTCTAGAAACAGGTAAAAATCTGAAAATTACAGATTCAGAAGCAAATAAGCCAAAAGACGGACAAGATGCCAGTGCACCGAACCTGGAGAAGGAAAGCAAGGATTATGAGATGACAGAGAACCATAAAGATGGTAAGAAGGAAGACTGCGTGAAGGGGGATCCTGTCAAGAAGGAAGCCCGAGAAAGCTCGAAGAAAGCAGAATCTGGAGACAAAGACAAGGATACTTCGAAGAAAGGTCTCTCGTCTACTGGGGCCTCAGGTCAAGCAAAGAGGTTTGTCTTTCTATGTCAGTTCTTTAAGATACTGCCAGCATTCGATAAGATCACTCTGCATTAAGGGGGTAGCAGCAAGAAACTTATAATTAGTATCTTATGCTCCTGCCTATAAAATGTTTTGACGGCCATAAGTTACCTGTGTGTTCCTTAAAAAAAAATCGGGATCTTCATATATGCTTTGTCCTGCTGGCTGCATTGGCGAATTGACAGCATTTTATTTTTTATTTTTTCAAATAGTCAAGTTTTATGTATCCTTGTGATGATGGTAATGAACAACTCTCAGTTCTGAGAAACACCAGTATGAAGTCAAGTCCCAGTCCTGAAAGGTGGAGAAGATTACCATATCCACTGAATAAAATTGTCAGAAAATCTAGATCTTCGGGCATCTTGGGGAAAATCAGTGCAAGAAAACCATGATGAGGGAAAATCACTTTTCCTCAAATAACAGTCCAGCCCTCCTTTTTTTTGTTTTTGTTTCCTTTTTTTGAAATGACTTGCTTAATAATGTAAGATTCTGGACAAGCAAATTCTGCATGTTCAATTTTCTTTGATTTGTTCCTCCTTTTAGCTCTACTAAGGAATCTAAAGAAAGCAAGGCTTCATCAAAGGATGAAAAAGGTAATGTGTCCTTCGTGATATGTTGCTATCTTGGATCTGGCAGCAAGGCCATGAGACTAGAACGCTTCAGGGGTGTTTCTGCCTGTCCCGGAGGGGGTGATGCTTATGCCCTCCTCACCTTCAGGTTTTTTCCTTTCCGCTATACAGCCTGGCTTCAATTAGCTGATTTGAAAGGGGTTTTTTTACACAGCAGGCTACTTCTAAGTGGGGTGGTATGACTGTACAGTGGTGCCCCGCAAGACGAATGCCTCGCAAGACGAAAAACTCGCTAGACGAAAGAGTTTTCTGTTTTTTGAGTCGTTCCGCAAGGCGAATTTCCCTATGAGCTTGCTTCGCAAGACGAAACGTCTTGCGAGTTCTTGCGAGTTTGTTTCCTTTTTCTTAAAGCCGCTAAGCCGCTAATAGCCGTGCTTCGCAAGACGAAAAAACCGCAAGACAAAGAGACTCGCGGAACGGATTAATTTCGTCTTGGGAGGCACCACTGTAGTTACTTTAGATGACCAGATGTCAATCTTGCTCCACTGCTACTTTTTATGCTATTGAGTGAGTGGGGAAACATTGTAGAAGCAAAAGTGTTCCTTCCATTGCTACTAACTTGTGCCTGTGTCTTAACAAACGTTTCCCCAAGCATCTTTGTGGAGTAGGAGGATCCTACTGAATATATCCTTAGTTGTATTCCAAATATTGTTTGTTACTCGAAAAATGTGTCATGCATCCAGTTGATGATTACATTGCTCTGTTGTATTCTCATCCTAGAAAGAATCTATAGATTGTTCATGCTAGGTAGTAAAGTTAATTGTAAATGAAATTTTAAATAGAAGACATCTTCATTTGAGACAATGGTCTCCTTACAAGATGGCATCTGAAATGAGGTGAGAAATCCTAGGCTTGGGCATTTGACTGGTCAGGTACAGTCAGCAAATAAGTTAACTTCTTTAAATTTAGTGGATTACTATAACTTAACAGTTTTTGGTAAGGTTTTTGTAACTGAACAATTTCAGTGGGCAGTGTCTTTAGTTTCCCCCCTGGAATACTTAGGGCGGCCTATCATTATACTTTTTAAAAATGAATTTCAAATAAGTAAAACAAAATAACAGCACAATAAAAAAAATCAGTTGTGCTAATAGAGCCAATTCTTCAAGCATGAGCTTCATTATGAAGGAGATGCTGCCTGGTTTCTGGAGTAAGCAGGATTGAGACATAGGCTATCCTTGGCAAGGGCATTTGCCACTAACTGCTTATATTCCTATTTGGAGGAGCCTGCAGTTACTGCAGCCGGTCCATAGAAGCAGCTTTGCACTGCTCCTGTGTGTTTGCCCCTGACTACTGCAAGGCTTGGCTGCAAACTGCCTTTTCTGCCTCCCTTGCTAACAAATGGCACCATCATGAAATAAATGCAATATAGTGGCATTCTGAGTTGCATGGAATATTTGACAAGTCTGCTGACTATCCTGCAAACCTAATAGATCAGGGGTCAGCAACCCTTTTCAGCCGTGGGCCAGTCCACTGTCCCTCAGACCATGTGGTGGGCCGGACTATATTTTTGGGGGGGGAAATGAATGAATTCCTATGCCCCACAAATAACCCAGAGATGCACTTTAAATAAAAGGACACATTCTACACATGTAAAAACATGCTGATTCTCGGACTGCCCACGGGCCGGATTGAGAAGGTGCTTGGACCACATCCAGCCCCCAGGCCTTAGGTTGCCTACCCCTGTAATAGATCCTTGCTTGAAATATGTCCTCAGCCAACATAACTTGATGCAAGAATGCTAACTAATGGGTATTTAAAACAACAACAACACCATGAAGTTTGTAAGGTGTAATTTTTAAAAAATGGAGGCACATACCTGTCTTTGTCTTCTCAAAGGTATCTTAGAATAGTCTGCTTGTTGGGACCATAGAATAGTAGAGTGTTGACTAATCTGAGCTGTGGCGGTTCTCTAGGAGCTCGTGAGAAAAGGGTCTTTCTCGTCACCTGCTATCTGAGTGGTTTCTGGATGTGCTTGCTTTAGAAAATCTTTAAAAGCGCATCGTAAGTGTCTTTGCTGCTGTAAAATTGGTGGCACAGATTGCATACCCTCCAAATCTCCCCTCTTGCTCTCTGATCTTGGTCTTTGTGCACCGTTTGCTTATTAAAAGAAAATTGTGGGTAGAAGTCATCTTCCAAAACTGCACTTTACCACTTGAATGCTAGTTTTTAATATTGACACTGAAATGTTCTGTGAAATTTGTTTTAGGAAGTGCAAGCAGTGGGAGCAGCAGCAGCTCTACTAAGAACTTATGGGTTAGTGGCTTGTCTTCTAACACAAAAGCCGCTGACTTGAAAAATCTCTTCGGCAAATATGGGAAGGTATGGTTCCGTTTAACAGTATCAGTTAATGAATATGACGTTGACTGAGGTTGCAAACAGTGTTCACACACTTGGGAGTGGTATGGCTTTAAACACAAACAAACAAATAATAGTTTCACTTAAAATAGCCTAGATTTGAATGTATTGCTTAAAGTCTGCACATCTCAGAACTGAATCTTGACTGTTGAGCTAAAACCTACTTTTCTATATAAAAGAACAAGCCAGAAGCAAAAAAATAAAGACTTCATACAATAACCTATTATGTGCAAACTATGAGTACTTGGACATTCAGCCAAAGAGTGTGGAGACCTAATTTTCCATCTTCTGGAGAGAAATGCTATTTTGTCCAGCTACCAGTCTTTTCTTCTGGAATGTATTTGGCACTTACTCTTTAAGAAACTGATCTTACGTAGTGTCCTTGCATGTGAACAGGAAGCCGGGCCAAAATATTTTAACTTAAAATTGTTCCCCTACACAGTGTAGTAGGCACCAAAGGCTTGTGGGCTATATAACCAGAGGACTTGAGAGCATAAGAGCCCTTCTGGTCCAACATCCTGTTTTCACAGGGTGTAGCCGACTCACCCCACTAACTGCCCCCAATTCAATACAGCAGGCCCACTGCACAGTACGCGAACAAATTTCTTCCATTTACCACAGGCTATCTTGTGGGGGCCTTGTGTGAGGGGAACTTTGTTTCAGGGAATCTCAGGCAGGAGTTGATCAAACAAGGAAAGTTTTATTTACAAAAAGAGATTGGTGAAACAAAGTTGGGTTAGGAAGAAGTTAACTTTTACTTAAACTAAATATAAAGATGTCACAGGCTTAAACACAGTAGTATATGCACATCTTTTCTTAAACTTCAGTTGCTAAATATCGGTTGCTGCACTTGAGGTAAATGTTCCAGTTTCTAGAATAGGTGGTGAAATGCTTAACTCAGTTTCTCTTGTTCCTTTACTTGGTTATGACAGGTCTTTTAGTTAAATACTTTGGACACGGCACAGCTTCCTTCACGGCTTAATGCTCTGTTTCGTGATCTGTTTCATCCTTTACCCCCTCTCTTAGCAATCCCACTTCTGAGGTATAAGAGACTTTGGAATCCTCTTAGCTGGCTTGGGAGTCTTCTTTTCCTAGAAGAGCTCTCCCTGCCTGACGGGAAGGAGACGCAAGGGAATTGTAGTCCCACAGCTTCTCCCTCCCCTGCTTAGACTCAGCCCTCCAGGCAACTCCTGTCTCCTCACACGGTCCTCCTCTCTTCAGTACGAGGCTCCTTCCTCTAGCTACAGATATTCTCCGCAGAGCGGATGCTAAACTCACATTTGAACCACTCTCTTGGACAAACCCATTCCTAATCCCTTTCTCCCATCTCAAACCAAACTAAACCCTGTCTCGCTCCAGCTCTTTCTCTTCTCTATCCCCATCTCAAGGCTTCCTCAGAAGCTGCTCCTTTTATGTGCCCCCCATTCTGCTCCTCCCCCCTCTGTGGCCAGCTGACTTTGTAGCCAATCAGAAAGAGGCTTCAACCCTCTGGTGGAACTCTGAGGGACCTCCCATCACGTAGGGGCCAACCAAAAGCCTATATGGGAAGCCTGCAAGCAGAATCTGAGTGCAACTGTGTTCGCCTCAGTTATGCTTGCCAGCAACTGATGTAGTGGATTGCATCCAGTTAAATTCTACTCAGAGTAGACCTATTGAAATGGACACACCCAAGTTAGTCATGCCCATTAATTTCATTTAGTCTACTTGGCGTATGACTAACATTGGATACAACTTGCTGCCTCCAATATGCTCCCGGGGAGTAGAAAGTCTCTAGTTGCAGGTGGATCTTTAATTTTGTTAAAGTAACAGGTAAGTGTGCATGCTCGTCTTGTTCAGAAACTACAGAAATTACAGTGGTACCTCAGGTTACATACGCTTCAGGTTACAGACTCCGCTAACCCAGAAATAGTGCTTCAGGTTAAGAACTTTGCTTCCGGATGAAAACAGAAATCTTGCTCCGGCGGCGCGGCGGCAGCAGGAGGCCCCATTAGCTAAAGTGGTGCTTCAGGTTAAGAACGGACCTCCAGAACGAATTAAGTACTTAACCCGCGGTACCACTGTAGTTTGGAGTCCATCACTGTCTGGAGGCCCAGCAGTTCCCCATCCTGACTTTAATACTACCTCAGGGAATGTTACTAGCTAAGAAGCATATTTTCTTCCCTTCCTTTTAAAAAACTGTTTGCCCCATGTTCTTCCATGTACACTCACCTTCAATTGAAGAGACTGGCAGGCCGGGTTAGCAAAAACTGAGTTCCAAGCCTGGCTCCTAATGGTTGAAAGTAAAGCAGATGCCACACTAAGTGGTGGCAGCAATTGATGCTAAAGTAAATTTTGAGAGCCAGCAACGCTAACCTGTTGAAGTTTCAGGGAAGGAGACAGAGAGATGCCAGTGCTCTTTTCTTCTCTACCCACTTTCCAGTAAGGGGCATAAACTACTATTCATGCCCAGCCTTTTCAGGTTATGACAGTCAAAAATAGCAGGCTATCATAACACTAGATACAGGAGGAAGAGGATATGGGTTTGTATGTTGGAACAAAGATCGTACATCTTGATGTAAACGAGCAGCAGTTAAGCAAAGGGATGAAAATAGTGACCTCTTTAGTAATGCAAGAGGATCTCACACTTGTCAAAGTGTATCTCACCATTTATCTAGAAGACAATTTCTAAACTGCCAAGTCATCTAAAATATAATGGCATTGTACAATATTATAATTAATACGTAAGATCAGTATTTACAGTGCAAATAGCCAATTCTGCATTCAATTAATCTCTAAAAATGCTTGGCAAAACCGACAGTTTCAGCAGACAACAGACTATCACAATCCTCAGGTTTCAGTAGAAAGTGTTCTAAAGCCCTGGAGCCACTTTGCTTTATTTAAAAAAAAAGAAAAGTATTGGTTCACAAAAAATAAACAAGTGATAACTGTGTGACAGTCGGTAGGGCTTCTCCAGATGATGGTAGTGTATAAGGGACAATGTGGTCCTTCAAGTAACCTGGTCCTAGGGTTTTTAGGACTTTACACACAAACAGTGGTATAGGCATAGGAATTGTGCACATGTGCACAGTGCTGAACCCAGAAGTGACCCGAAAAGTCACTCAGCACGTCACAGAAAGGGTGGGGTGGGCTTATACATGCATGGGTGCTGGGAATGGAACCTCTGTGCAAAATGCTTGCCTACTGTACTTTGAATGTAGCGCCATAATATACTGGAAGCCAGTGCAGAGCTTTCACCACTGGTGTAATGCAGCTGATGCAGAGCTAGTGTAACCAGAAGCCACACCCAACATTCTGCACTTGCTGCAATTTCTGAGCCAGCCTCAAGCGTAGCCCCACATAGGGCATAATACAATAGAGGTTACCAAAGCCCACATCACTGTGACCTTAGTATCCATGTCTGGGAATGGTCATAACTCAATCTGAGGAAAAGCACTTGGCCACTGAGGATGTGGTTTTTGCCATATAAACTGCCTAAAATGGGCTCGTAAGAAAGGTACATTTTAGCAGGGCTGTTCCCCTACCAGCATCATGCCCAAGCTTGCATGTATCATTCATGCATTCTGACCACTTTCTTGGTGCAACAGTAATGTTCACTTGTTTTTCTTTGCAAGAAGACAGGTGTCATCATCACACACACACCTCGACTAAAAAGCTGCTTTTCTCCTGGCCAGCAAACCTGATGTTGAGGCATACAAATTGCCAGGTCTAATGTGGCATCAGATCATAATGACATAACTTGTCTGTGAATTTTTCTCTGGCTGTCCCAGTGCATGAGATGTATGCAGCCTAGTTGCTTACTGATATTTAGGTATTGCCTCAGGATGTAGAGTAGCAAATGATGAAGATGTCAGTTTAAAACCATGACTGTTTCCATTTCTTTTTCTTACAGGTTCTTGCTGCAAAAGTGGTGACCAGTGCCCGGAGCCCAGGAGCCAAGTGCTATGGCATTGTGACCATGTCATCGAGCACAGAAGTGGCAAGGTGTATAAGCCATCTTCACCGTACAGAGCTGCATGGGCAACAAATTTCCGTTGAGAAAGTAGGTGTGATGTGCGCTCTCTTAACAGACAGGGGCAATATCTGTGGAGGGGAAGATGCATCTCTTCAAGAAACTGGGAGGGAAGAACTTATCCCTTCAGAAGAGGGATGCCACCTCCTTGACTGCTCATTGGGCCTTGCTGACCTGTTCCAACCTTGAGGAAATGGGCTGGGTTTAAAGTAGATGCCGTTGGAAGTGAACTCAATCTGAAACTAAGCCAGGCTGCACATTTCATATCTAGACCAACAAACAGTTGGTCTGATTTGGGAAGGGAAATGCTTTAGCAGTTAGGCCGGCATCCTACTGAATTATAACAGTGTTAAATAATTTGGAGCAAGTTCTTATGTGACTCTCCTCCTACAATGTATGTATGGGATGGGCTTCCAAAAATCAAAAAGGAGGAGCTGGAGCTGTATTGGAATTTGTTATCCATGGTTTCTCCAGGGTGCTGTCCTGTGATCTTCTGTTTCCTCCTCCGCCTCATACTCTTGAGTAGCAGTTGGCTGGATATATAACAGAAAGCGATGACTGGTGGCAAAAAGAAATGCATCCCGTTTAAAGTTTATTTTAGTCCGTTGAGAAGTGGCTCTATGCTACACGTCCTGGTTGGCAGTCAATGTGTAACGTACTTACTTTTAAAAAATAAATTGCAGGTAAAAGGTGATCCTTCCAAGAAAGAACTGAAGAAAGACAATGATGAGAAATCTGGCTCTGGTAGAAATCCTGGAGAAAAGAAGATGACTTCAAGCGACAAAGCCAGCAAGTAAGAGCCTGATCCTGCAACTTTTGTGTAACCAGAATTTGTTTGGAAAAAACATGAGCCCAAGTGCTGCTTCCTAGCATGGCTATGTGTTCCCTCTTTTTAAAACAAAAATAAAAAAATGGTTCATTAGCAAAAGCTGGATTCGGCAACCTATATAAAGTATGCAGACTGAGGAGATATGCATAATACTGCTCTTGCTAGACAAGACAAGGGGCAAGGAGCTGTGTAGCATGCTAAATACTCACTCCCACCTACTAAAAAACTTCCTTAGTCACCTCTCTGGTTTGAGATTTCAACCTTTTCTGCCCATGTGCATTCAAGCGTATTTGATAACCATCTATCAATAATCCATCAGAACCAGAAACTTGCTTTTTCTTCAAATTATAGTTATACAGGCAACCCTGATTTTCTCAAGGGTTGTGTTGTTGGTCCACACGCACATTAGCGGCACACATAATCCTGCCTCGTTTCACTTCCATTCTGCCCTCTTCCAGGTCCAAAAGGACCCACACGTCAGTCACCGCCTGTATATAAAACATGCAGTAACAAAGTTATTGTGAATTTTACTTTGCTCACTAACTCAGTCCATAACTCATAAATTTCAATCCATTTAACTTTGTAACTTTAATGGCTATCCAAAGTCCTTCCCACTACTAAACAAAAAAATAGTTTCTCAGAAAGTGAATTCTATACCACCCCTGTTTGTTACCTTTTTTAGGACCCTCTCCAAAAAGGAGGATAAGAAATCTGACAAATCTGAGAAGAAAGAAAGCAAGGATGGGAAGAAACCTGAAGGCAAAGAAGAGAAGAGTGACTATGGATCCAGTTGTCCTGCTCAAGACCCTATGAAAACGGCAGAAGAAAAAAAGCGAATAAGTATGCATTGCAGCTACTCTCCTTACAAACAAATCTCGACCATGTACTTGGGTCCCTACTATATTATGCTATTGCTTTTTATGCTAATGCTTTGAAAAGGATTAGGCTGTATAGTCATACATTTTTCAGGCAGTGAACTGGCATTTTAACAGGTATCACCTAGAGTTTCTCTTAATGTTAACAAATCTGCTTTGAATATTTTAGAGTGGAGTAGTGTTAGGCTCACTTGACACAAAATGGTGGTGCAGGGGCAGCGCCAGTCAGAAAATGGTGGCATATGAAGGCAGAATTTGGCAGTCAGTTGAAAATTACTGATGTCACTTTCTAATCTTACATGCCTTTGGAAATTGCTAAATTCTTTGTCGCAGTGTTTTCATTGTAGCAAGGAGTTCTATGGTTCAGCTTTCCTCAAGTTAAGAACAGACATTTGCACTGGAGGTATTGTGATTTAGCCTCCCCCCTTTCAGCAGAATTTGCTGATCCAGAAGTTCTAAATGGGGAAGCCCTTTTCTTTTCCACTCTCACATGCTCTCCAAAGTGTTTTTACCCATCTCCTGTAAATTCTTCTCCCATTGCCCCCTTTCTCTTGTACTTTATCCACATGCATACTGTAGTGCCAGCTTCTTTCATCCCTCCTCCCTGATTTTTTACTTTCACTTCTTCCTTCTATAGCAGCTTCCCTATCACACCCTCTTCCATTCTTATTCCCGGTTTGTTTGCTATTATTTAATAGCAAACTTTTCTCTCACTTTCTAATTTCCTTCAACACTTCCTCTGGCTCTTTCTTCCCTCTTCTCCCTGCTCCTCTCCCCACCCTGCACTCCAAACACTTCTGTCTCTTGGCCACTTTTACTCAGCATGCAAAGAGTTGCTGGTACTGTCCTTGTTCCAGCCAAAAAGCTGTGGCAGGACTGGGAGGCAGGAGAGGCAAAGAAAGAGGTGTTGGGCAGGCTGTGGCCCTTAGGGCCAACCTAAAGATATTCCAAGGCCCACTATTTAAGAACCATGGATCTAGAACAATTAGCATGGCTTCTTGTAAAATCCAAATCCAAATTAGTTGGCCTTTACATCAGAAAAATTACCTTTAAAATCTTTTTTTACATGTTCCTGGAACATATACAGACTTAGCAAAATGGCTTTTGTGTTTTTTCTTATGTGAATAATTAAGCATGTAATTTATCTTCCAAAGGTGTAAAAAGTCCAAGTCATATGGTAGTCCTAGACCAAACAAAAGGAGACCAAGTTCACACCAGGACAATAAGAAGGGGACGGTTTGAAAAAGTAAGTATTGCTCAAAACATTAGTCTGTTTAGGCCCTAATTCGGTTTTTGTGAGAGTTGGTTTTAGCTGAGACAGAGGAGTGATGGGGTGCTGTGTCACAAAGGAGACTAGCTAACCACAATTTGACTTCTTTCTGAAGCCTAGGCAACTATAAGGCAGCTCTCACAGCAGAGTTTGGAAGTTCACTTACAAACAGTGAATTTTTGCAAAAGTCTTGATTAAATGCTGCAGTCAAGATTGCTATGCAAGCATCACTCCTACCTCCTATGCAATTGGCTCTTCTGGAGAAAGATTTGATGGGGGTCTGGAGTAGGAGGCACTTCCCACTTCCTCTTAGAGCCAGTCTTTCTCTTGCTGCCTCTGTAAGCAAACTTCCGTTTCACCTAAGACCCTGTTATAAACTGTTCTTAGTGGGAGTTTGTTCTTTATTTTACAGAGAAAGGGAGCTCTTGGGCATTGGGACCCTTCATAGTCTCCACAAGAAGCCAGATGACTCTTGGCATGCTGTAAACATGTAAAAGTGTCTCTAATTCTCATATTTATATAAAAAAAACTTGTCTCCAGCCACCTATGTTAAGGAACAAAGAGCGTTTTCTTCAAGACAAAATGAAGTTCAGAGACTACCGGGGCAGAAAGGACATACTGCCTTTTGAGAAGATGAAGGAGCAGAGAATGAGGGAGCACATTGTTCGGCTAGAGCGAATTCGCCGTGCTGTAGAGTTACGAAGGTAGGAGGGATGCTCGACACTTTGTCGCCATCAAGCTTCTCAGGTGCTTGGGGAAGACACCACCTTGAGGCCAAAACTAGACTCTGGCAGTTGGACTCCTGTTTCCAGGCATCTCATTGGCACTGAGAGAGGCAGGGATGATCCGCAGGATGGAAGTGGTGAATGGGAGGAGGGGTGCTTAACCTTTTTGTCCTCCCAAGTTCTAGACAGGAGAGTTCATGGCAAGCATGTAGTCCTATGTAGCTCCACCCTAATATGATGGTTGCTAGTGGAAGAGGAGAAGAACAAAAGGTGACACCAGTGAAATGCAAGATGCTTCAGAAATCATTACTCACAATGATGTGGGAGAGAAGAGAGAAATTGCAAAGTTTTCTGCACAAGTGCAGTTACCCCCACCCCAAATTGCACACTCTGGAGGAACCCCATGCCCCGTTATAACAAACCCCAGAGCATCCCTCAGAGCAGGTTGATGTTACTGCCATTGTCTGTAGAGAGTTCTCCGCCCATCTTGCTCGCCAAAGCACAAGAATCTGGCAAGTGTATTCTGCAGTAACTTTTTCAGCGTTGCCGTAACCATCAGTTGTGTGACTAACGAAGGAAGTCAAGTCCCAAAGGAACACCTTGTTCACTTGTTGGCCTTGGGCCTAAAAAGGCTGCCTGCAGCTGCCCCACCTTTGAAGCTCCCGCTTTTTGCAGGCGAAGAGAAATTGCCGAGCGAGAGAGAAGAGAGAGGGAGCGCGTCAGACTCCTCCGTGAGCGTGAAGAGCGTGAGCGTTTGCAGAGGGAGAGGGAGAGGCTGGAAATTGAGCGGCAGAAGCTGGAGAGGGAACGGATGGAACGAGAGCGCTTGGAGAGGGAGCGTATCCGTATTGAGCAGGTGGGTTTCCCTCTCTTTTATTTTCTGTTGCTTGCAGTCTCTAGCTTCTTTGAAGGGTGTTAGCACTAGTTCCCTAGTAACAGAGACTCCCACCAGGTGCTTTCTCTGTCACGTAGAGCCCAGGAACTTGTCTGCTTCTTTACATAGTTGAACTTTCTGGGATACGTTTTGGTGCTAAGGTCCAGTTTCTGCCATTGCAACAAAATATGCAAATTGAGCCGAGTCTGCCTAGTCTTAATTAGCACAACTTGGTCCATCAGTAATGGCATGATGGGAGGAACCGATGGGGACCATGAAGAAGGATATGAGTGCAGCTGAATACTTTTTAGTATTGGATTGTTAGGTTATGTGGTTTCTGAGGAGGGCTGGTAACATCAGCATTGCACTTTGTGTTGAAACCCTTTCAAAACACCAGGCACATCCACTTCGCTGCTCCTTTGGATCACTTTGAGCTCTTGTATAGTTGTCGGTGCTAATTCTGCTACTTTCCCAATTGTAGCTGAAGTTCTATGGCAGGGATGGGGCACTGGTGGTTCTCCAGATGCTGCTGTACTACAACTCCCATCAGCCTCTGCCAGTATGGCCAATGGTCAGGGATGATGGGAGTTGCAGTCCAACCTCTGGAGGGTCACAGATGTTCCCCATCTGTGTCCTCTGGCCTTCCCAATGGGTTAACTTCTTCCAGTGCTCTTTAGAGATTCTTTCTCTTCTCCTGGCTAGGAGCGTCGCAAGGAAGCAGAGCGGATTGCTCGCGAAAGAGAAGAGCTTCGGCGCCAGCAGCAGCAGCTTCGTTATGAGCAGGAGAAGAGGAATTCCCTGAAACGGCCTCGGGATGTTGATCACAGGTAGTGCTTTTTTTCTTTTCAGGCTGGATGCCTGCTCCTCTGTCCCATCGGCCCTGACAAAGCACAAAACAAATAAATGTGTGTGGCAGCTTGGAGTCCTAACAGCCGTGTGTCTCTTCCCCACCCCATTAGGAGAGAGGAGCCCTACTGGAATGAAAGCAAAAAGATTTCCTTGGACACAGATGCACGTTTTAGCCATGGGTCTGATTACAGCCGGCAGCAGAACCGCTTTAGTGATTTTGACCACCGAGACAGAGGGCGATACCCAGAGGGTACCGCAGTGCAGACTTCCTTTGACAGGTATGCTTGGGGATGATGGTCGCAAAAGTACATTCTGATGTTGTCATGATTCAGTAATGGAAGGGTGGCCTCAAGTGGAGCAGACTTCCTCAGGAAGTTGTGGACTCTCCTTCATTGGAGGTTTCTAAGCAGAGATTGGATAGCCATCTGCCATGGATGCTTTAGTTGAGATTCCTACATTGCACTGGGTTAGAGTAGATGAGCCTTCTATATCTATGATTCTAAGTGCCCCACAATCATTTTCATCCTGGGATACAGTTTCCACCATTCAAATGTGTGTTCCCTTAGTTAGAGAGGACAAGGTATTCTGATTCTTGAAGTGTGATCTCAGAAATAAGTTATTATTACAGCTGGGAAGTTGCTGTTTGTTACACTAGTGCCGGGGTCGGCAACCTAAGGCCCATGGGCCACAAGCGGCCCATGGGGGTCATTTAACTGGCCCATGTACTCCCTCCGCCCGCTCGGTCGGCTCCCATGCATGGCGCAGAGCAGGGACCGCCTTCCGCAACGATGGCCAGCTTCCCATTGGCTGCAGGAAGCTCCTGCAGCCAGTGGGAAGCTGCGCACGCCTCCTCCGCACCAGAAGGAGCGCCGGAAATAGCGTTTGCACATGCACACACACACTGACCCACCGCAGCGTCTGCGGGACCGTGAACTGGCCCAAGCCACAAAAACTTTGCCAACCCCTGCACTTGTGTGTTCTTGGGTAATGGGAAGTGTAGTCCAACAATATCTATAGCAGAGATGGGGAATCTGGTGCCTTCCAGCATTGCTGGATACCAGTTCCCATCAGCCCCAGCTAGCCTGGCCAGTGGTCAAAGAGGATGGCAGTTGTGCTCCAACGGCATATGAAGGGCACCAGATTCCACATCCCTGATCTTGGGTAAGAAATAGAAATCAACATGCTCTGAATAAAACATAGTGACTGCCTTGGGATCTTTCCCCTGTATTTCTGCTGTCTTTTGTTTTCAAAACTGTTTTTGTGGGTCTTTCAACCGTAATAAAGAATGTGTGTGTGATCTTGGGGGCACCATATTGGCTACTTGTGCTAGGCTCTGATTTTCAAGATGATAAGTTTGCAGTGTGATCTGAAGCATGTTTACTCAGGTGGCAGTGGGATTTACTCTGGGACAGAGGAGAGGATCTAGTAGATTTCTGCATGGATTGGCGAAAGTGACTCTCAACTGTTAAACAATAGTAGCAACACAAAAGCTCCCCCCTTCTTAATTACCTTAGTTCTGCTAGTATCAATTCTGTGATACTGAAAATAAATTTCTGGGCTGAGCATGTGCTTACATTGCTCCTAAATACTAGCTCTTAAACACCCCCCTCCCGAGCCCTGGTTGGTGGATTTCCGCTTGCAGGCTCAACTTTGTGCTTTACTAGAAGCCCTAGAAGTCTGCCCACCCTCAGGCTACTCTGGTTACTTGCAGCTGTATCCCTAATATCCTCATAATGATAAATCAAGCAGCAAAGCACCTTGGGGTATGGCGGGCAGATGCTGTGCCAGACACAGAACCAGTTTAGGGAGTGACCCTTAATCTGAAAAACTCTTGCCTTTCTGAACAGGCGGGAACGATTTGTCAACCAAAGTGATGGGAAAAAAGCTCGGCCAACCACCAGAAGGGAGGAGCCTGGGTTTGAAAGATACCCAAAAAGCTTCAGTGAATCCAGAAGAAATGAGCCCCCTCAGCCCCGAAACGAACTCCGTGACAGTGACCGGCGGGAAGTGAGAGGAGACCGCGATGAGAGGAGGACTGTGATAATCCAGGACAGACCTGAGATCCCTCATGGCCGTCACCCACGAGAGGCTGGGACCAACTCATCCCGGCAGAGTTCTTGGAAGGGTGAAGGAGGCATCAACCCTGACAAGCGAGATGCCAGGTGATTCTTCAGCCTGGGTTAATAGCTGGGATGTGCAGGTTCATTCCTGCCCAAAACTTGGGGTGGGGATATGTATAGGTGGCTGTAATTCACCAAGACAGAACAGGTATGGCTCTGTTGCCCTTTCTTCAACTGGAAATTCTTCAGAGTGTGGGATGTGCTGGGTAGAGAGGGAAGATCTTGCTACTTTGCCCTGGCCCATTTGCAGCCTGTCACTTGTGCATCAGCCTGGCTGTGTAAGAATCGGAGTGCTTTTCCTCAATATGTTGGGTCTGTGCCTGTTCTATAAGAGGCCTTCAGGCTCATTATATTTTGATCCTTGATATGCTCCAACGCATTAATACTTAATTTCTAACCTAGATTTCTTTTAACACACTTCTTTGGGTGCCATTCTTGGCAGTGAACAGCATGACTTGCATGTGCCTAAACTGAGCAAATGCCATGTTAAATGACTGGGATTCCATGTCATCTTCTATTTTGCATACTGGTGAGCAAATGGACAATATAGGCCCTTCAAGTCACAGTTAGAAAGAACCCTCTTGAGTGAGGTGATGCTTGCCTGGTCTGCAGATTTCCTTGCCAAGCAGGGGCGATTTTCTAAACCTAGTTGGGACAGGCCAAGCGTTACTTTCCTTCCCCAGTCAGCAGGAGGCAAACTAGATTGCTTTATATTTTTGGCACATTTAGACTGCAGCCAGTCAGCTAATGGAAACACATATGGGGTTGGCTGGAAGTGCACAGATAGTAGGAGAGAATTGTTTGCACTTCCACAATTTGAGGAAGGCAACTTTATTCTAAGGTGTTAAGAGCAATGAGTAAAATGGAGCCCCCCCAATTCAAGGTGTGAATTATTACTTACTGTACCGTGTTGACTCTTTCCTTCCGCAGAGAGAGGCCAGAAAGATCAGGCCGAGAAGTCTCTGGACATTCTGGGAGTCGTAGCAGCACATCTGGCTACGGAAGCCGGGAAGCAGAGCGCAGTGTGATGGAGCGTGGAAGTGGGGGGCAGGTAAATGGAAGGGGGCCTTTGCTCACTTGGTGGAACGTGGCAGGGGGCCATAATTAACATGCATATTCTGATTAGGAATGTGGTGATTGGTCTTTGTTGCATTTTCTGTAAGGTCACTTGCGCAGAGGGAAAGGCAAGGTAGTTTTCGTCTGCTAATTTGGGGTCTAGTTTCACTTCATTTGTATACCACCTTCTGGCCAAAATATTTGACCCTTTAGGCAACTGATACTATATTGCTACTACATTCTTTAAAAACCCATCAAAATAATGAAAATGATGAATCACTAAGAGAAGCAGAAAACTGTTCACTTAGTAGCATGACAAAAACAGAAGTATCAAAGCAAAGCAGTGAGGTAGCCAAGTGGGTTGATGATACCAAATGGTTCGAGATAGATGAAATAAAAAGGGATTGTGAGGCGTTCAGAAAGGCTCTCTCTAAACTGGCTGAATGGACAGTAAAATGGTTAGCCTAATTCAGCATAATCAAGTGTAAATTGACAGGGGGGGGGGAATCTTAACTCTGAATTAATGGAGACTCTTTAGGAATGAATCCCTGGGATTGTAGTGGATAGCTTGAAAATGTCAACACTGTGGCAGCTGGAAAAAGTGGATTTCCTGCTAGGAGTCATTAGGGAAAGAATTAAAAATAGAACTGCCAATATCATACTGCTGTCATGCAAATCTGGTGTGACCACATATGGAGTACTGTGTACTGTTCTGATCGCCTCACTTCAAAAAGGATATTGTAGAGTTGCAAAAGTTTCAGAAAAGAGCAACCAAAATGATCGTGAGGATGGAGCAACTCCTTTATGAGTAAAGGTTACAGCAAGACAAAAAAAAGTACTTCATATAGTGCATAGTTAACTGTTGTAGTGATGGACACCAATTTGGATGGCTTTTAAAAAGAGACGTAGACAAATTATTTTTGTGTTCTGCCTCCCCTGTCAAAAGCATTATGATTCTAAATGCCAGTTGCTGAGAATCGTAAGTGGGGAGAGCACTGCTGCACTGAGGTTCTGCTTGCTTAGAGGCCGCTATGAGAACAGGTGGCTGGACTAGATGGGCTTTGGGTCTAATCTAGCAAGGCTCTTCTTATGTTCTGTGCTCCTGGTGAGTGAATGGCAGCTGGGCCTGGCAGACTTCGTAGGGAAGAACATTGAGAGGATGGACCACCAGTGAGGGAGCCCTGCTTGACGCAGCCACAAGGGCAGCCTCTAAAAGCTGTTCTGACTCAAGAGTCTCCTGGGGTGGCCCCCACAAATGGGGAAGTCATTTTATGGAAAAGGCTTTTCCAACTTGCTGTGCCCCCAGATTCTTTAGGGCTGAAAAGTCAAGAAGCAGCATTGCAAAGTTTGTCTGGCAACCAGTACAGAACGCACTGTTTCTAAAAGCCAAGCTGCTGCCTTTTGACAGGCTGGTGCATTGGGGTGGTCACTGAGCCCAAGCTGGTGACTGCTGTATGATCGTATGATTGGTCGATTGCATTTATATCCTACCTGCTTCTCCAAGGAGCTCAAGGTGGTGTACATGGTTTGCCCCCACTTCAATTAATCCCCACACAATAATCATGTGAGGTAGGTTAAGGTTGAGAGGCAGGTCACCCAGGGAGCTTCATAGCCAAGTGGGGATTTTAACCCTGGTCTCCAAGGTCCAGGTCTGACAGTCTAACTACTACACCACACTAGCTCTCATTTTTTTGTGAGTAAAACCTTGTCTTGCCGGGCTGATGTTGTCTGCTCTGTGCTTCCTGCCTTCACTTGATTTTGGGAAGCGTGATTATTGTACAGTAGAGTCAGAGCAGATGGAGGGGAACGCTTCACCTTTTCCCTGGAGAGCCACCTTAGGCATCACACTCTGAGGAGAAATCCTCAGCATTAGCGGTTGCTTAACATGGAAGGATGGGTGTCCAGTTGAACAGAAGCCCTCTTTTCCCATCTCCCCACCCACCATAGTCCCTTTTGTTCTTCAGAGAAAAATCAAGAACAGAAATGTGTATTCCTCCTAATGGGCTGTGCAAAGCGCTTTGCATGCTAGCCTCTCGTTATATCCAAATTTGAGGTTTTCTTAGTGCAACATCCAAGACACAATGCATGCAAACTCAGAATATCGGTGCAAAAAGTGTACCTATGTGGGTGTTGTCCTTTATAGTCCAAGGGCTGAACTTGAGACAAATTGAAAGCCCCTGATGTAGAACATGATTTGCAGAACATTTCCTGCTTTTGTTGGCGCTGCTCCTCTGAAGTTCTTCCGAAAGAGCTGCGAACCTTCCCAGGATGCACATCTAGAGAACGCTGTACTGGAGCCAAGTGTGTGCAGCTGTTCTTCCTTTGGGTCCGTTTAGGAAACACAAGTCAAAAGGTGGTGGCGCTAGCAGAGTAACCTCCCGTGTCCCTTTCTAGCATTATAATGAAGATCGCCACGTGGTTGAGCGGCATAGCCGTGACGCTGGACCAAGGAAAGAATGGCACGGGCCCAGTTCACAGGGCAGCAGCTATCACGACACAAGGCGGATGGGAGATGGCCGAGCAGGAGGTGGCATGATGTCTCCCCACTCAAGGTACCTGTGACGCTTCTTGCTTCCCCACACCCTAAAATATCACACTTCTGAGGTTGCTTCTAAAACTCAGCTTTACATATAGGGCTGAAAAAGGTCACATTCAGATTCAAGGAGCACCCACCTGATTGGTGTGCTGGGGTGCCCAAGTTTCCATTAGGACGGTGTATGCCACCCGCTCCCCATAACTGGTTCGGAGCCCACTTTGAATTGGCCCTGAGCTCTGGATTTCAGTCTAAAAAAGAAAGCTTCAGGAACCCCAGCAACTTGCATTGAGACACCAAAATCACCATTTTCTTTACATGGGTGTGAGGAATTTGGAGACATGGTAGCCCCTATAAGAGGGGTTTAACTCTGCCACATTTCAGGCAGGTGGTTTACTTTTTTACTCTGGATCACCCCGGATCTCTGAGGCAATGCCGGATTGGGTACTCTGCCCCCACTGCTGGCACAAGTCTGAGTTGCCCTGATTGAGGATGGGATTCAGTGCAGACTTTGGAACTCTGTTCCTAGAGAAGTTGGACTGGCTCCCTCCTTGTCCTTCTGTCAGCAGGTGAATACATTTTTATTCCAGCAGATCTTTAGGAACTGGCTGTTGAAGGAATGGTTGGTGCTGTGGAGTTTTTAATGTTGTTATCATCTGTATTTTTAGTAGTTTTTATATAGGATTTTTTCTATTTGTGTTCAATTACTGTTAAATGAATATCTTGCCAATGTTTTTAGCTTTTTATCTTTAAGCCACTTGAGTCCCAGTCTAGGAAAAAGATGGGATAGAAATAAATGTAATAACAATAATTCCTACGACTCAGTGGAAGCTTGGCAGTACAGTTGAGTAAGCTTTGCAGAGAGTTTCATGACCGCATAGAATATTGTCTGAATCTAGTTGGGCTTTGGAAACACATGAAACTTAACTACTCATATTGTTAGTTTGTAACCATGATGCCTGAGCAGATAAAGCTTGACCAGTGAGGAAATTGGACAGAGGCCCTGGGCCTGGGACCGTCTCCCATGTGTGTGAGGCAGACATAGACATTTCCTGGGCAGCATCTGTATAGGTCACAGTATAAGATCCAGGAGTTCGGTTGGGCACCTTTTTAAAGCTCTCTGCACCTGAACATGATTACGCTGAATGTTGTCCAGCATGGGTTGCTAGCTCCCTGATGCACACCAAGGAGTGTTCTGTCCCCAGTCTCAAAAAAAGTAGCTGCTGTTCTCTCAGTAGCCTGCCAGTCTCAGCGCATGGTTGAATGGGAGCTCTCCAATGTGTCAGCCTTTACACCTGTAACAAGATCAGGTTGTGAGAACTTTGCCTTGCTCAGCACTCTGGATAGTGAGATGTTAGTTCCTCTGAAACTTCTTTTTAAATCTGCTTCTTTTTCAACTTTTATTCCAGTAATTCTTCGCCCATTAATAGAGTTGTACAGATTACGGGCAATTCCATGCAGAGGGGAAGTGGTTCAGGATTTAAACCGTTTAAGAGTGGACCACCACGAAGATTCTAAGCCTGCTGACCTGCTTGCCCCCCCCCCCCCTTGGTTTCAAGATAACTTATTGGAAATCTTTTATGAACGAAGAAGCCTTGGCTAAGAGAACTTGTCTTTTTTTAATTTTACCATAATTACTTTTTCCTCTTTGTTGGAGGCATTTTAAATAAGTTAGGCTGTTTGGATTTTGGATAGTTCATTGTACTTTTTTGATGAGCATTTCCCCCTGTAACACTAGGAGCTCTGAAATTAATTGGAACCAAACATGTGAACCGCTGTACAAAGAGATGATTTGTTTTGCACCCAGTAGTTTAATTTACAATTTAGCTCTGTGATGTCAGGCTTGAAAATTAGGTACTTACCACAAAACACACAGATAACCCAATTGTACATTAGAATGGGTAGATAATAAGGGTTGGGTTGGTTGTTTGATTTCTGGGTATTATGTAACCTATTTTTGGAGAGTTGTTAAACTGAGTGGATCTGTATCCTGGCCACTGTATCCTTTTGAAATAAAGCTTCATAATCTGTATTGCCACTTGTACAGTTTGGTTTGTTTGTCTGGGAAGCTGAAATCAGCTGCTCCTATGCAGTAAATCATTCCAGGAGTAACTCTTTTCTCTGTTCCTGTCACTGAGGTAAGATCACAGTAAAAACAGAAACATTTAATTAAGCAATGTTGTAATGACATCTGAAAACTTTGTGTGAAAAGTGCAGAATAAGAGTCTTCCTCTTCCTTGGCCCCTGCCCCGTTTCCCTTCCAGCAGCCCCACTCATGGCCTGCAGTAATGGAAATGGCCAGACCCAGATGACATTGCTAAAAAAATTAAGACTCCATTTGCAGCAGAGCATAGTGCCCTTAAGATTTGGCTGTGTTCTGCTCTTGGCCTTCAGCAGCCAAGCTGGGGAAGTGGCTGTTCACATATGTCCTCTTGAAATCTGCCTCATTCTTAAGGTACATCCCATTTTATCTGAAATATTTACTTGGGTGATATACAGAAAAGTACCCATAGTCTACATTTTTCAGTATTCAGTGCTGCAATGTCCATTGTCAAGGAAAGCTAGATTCTCTACCCTGTGTAAATTATGCATATTGGCACTTTTGTCCAATTTTACATTTGTTTTTACTCTTTTGCATAAAAGCACAATGATTCTGGAGGAAGGGAACAAGGAACGCAACAAAGCACCATTGCTAACTTCTGGTCTAGAGTGTTCAGGCATTTATTCAATTTTAACATTTTATATACTGCCCATAACAAGAGCTCTTTGGGCAGCTTAGAATTTTAAAAAAGTACAATCAAAGCATAAAAATAGAAATACAGCATCAAATTTAAGTTATATAGTATAACAGCAAAGGCATTGTTCAAACTTTTGAACAAATCTTAACCATGAACACTAGAAACTTGAGCTTAAAGTTAAATGAAAACTGGAATGTGAACCATCTAATCAGTATCCTTTTCTCTCATTTGTCTGTACTTCTTTGATACCGTGGCATGTACAGCCTTACCCTGATTGCCATTTTCCCAGAAATTAAAAAATATATATCACGTGTTTCCATTGGATGACATTCAAGCAGGCTAGCAACAATAAAACAAACTTAAGCAACAGCAAAATAGTGCTAACAGAGTCAATACAAACAGCAATTTAATTACACCATCTCACATTCCTTTAAAGTGCTGGGTTCTTGCTGTTTGTGTGTTTAAAACTAGTCAGGTGAACACCTGTAGGCGCTATTGTAAAAACCAGAACCTGTCTTGTGTTCCACTTCTTCTGCAGCCATCTGGATTTTATATAGGAAATTATGTAGGTGGGCCACTTTGTGTGGAAGGAGATGGTTTTTAAAGAGCTCCTACTTGCAAATGTTTAGGGCCTAATTATGCCACGGAAAAAGCAACCCACCTGTTTTCATTCAGGCCCAAGTTCTTGCATACCAGTATGCTGCTTGTAAACAGTGTAAAATACCTATGTAACATCCGGGGGGGGGGGGGGACAAATGTTCTATACAATTGGCCATTTTCATTCCTAAATGCCACTTGGGTAGACCTCTTAGACAGCTGCAAAAAAAGTGTCCTGTGATATAGACATAAGCCCACATCAGAGGCATGTCAGGTTTGTGTCCATTTATTCTTAAAAATTATTCCATGAACCAAGTGTGTACTAACTTTTAAAAAAACCTCACATTTGGCATGTTTAGCTGTGGCCTCTGCCCTGTACAAAAACCAGCAAACACTGTGTTAGCCATATCTTCAGTTGCACAATAAAGGGGCTATCAAACTTAAGGCAAGTAAGATAGGGGTTGAAGTGCTTACATATTTAAAACATCAACTCCAGCAGCTTTCATATAGTGGCAAGCTCACAGGAAGGCAGTGGCCCTTTCCAGTAGCTGAAACATTGCCTTTGCCCCTGAACCTTTGTTGTTTCAACATGAAAGGTGGAATGTAACTATTTGATAAAATACGAATTGGTTTGGATCCATTTTTAAACCCTTCTAAGATGACAGACATTACCACACACATCTTGTGGCAGCAAACACCATAAAGCAGCCTTCCCCAATAATTATAGACACCATCTCCTACATTCTGATGGGAATTGTAGTCTGAAAGGAGAGCACCAGGTTGGTGGTGTCTGTAATTACGTTATTGGGGCATTAAGGAAGGTTAAATTTCCTGCTAATTGATCCCAGTTTCAACAGAATATATATGTATACGCACACATCCCCACTGCTTTCTGTACCTCATCCATAATTTTATAAACCTGTTATGAGCCTTATTTACTTTTTCTCAACAAGAGTTTTGGTAAAGGACCCCTGGACAGTTAAGTCCAGTCAAGGGCGGCTATGGGGTGTGGCACTCATTTCGCCTTCAGGCCGAGGGAGCTGGCGTTTGTCCAGAGACAGCTTTCCAGGTCATGTGACCAGCAGGACTAAACTGCTTCTGGTGCAACGGAACACCATGATGGAAGCCAGAGTGCACGGAAACACAGTTTACCTTCCCGATGCAGCAGTACCTATTTATCTTGCTTGTACTGGCGTGCTTTTGAACTGCTAGGTTGGCAGGAGCTGGGACAGAGCAATGGGAGCTCACTTCATCGCAGGGATTCAAACTACCAACCTTCCAATCGGCAAACCAAAGAGGCTCAGTGGTTTAGAGCACAGCACCACCCGCATCCCACTAGTTTTTTTTAGAAACAACAACAACAACACCACACACCATCTAGTGATGGAAAACACAGTGGCTCTTCAGTTGTTGGAGTCTCTCATCCACAGGAATCACTGCTAGTGGCCAGGGATTAGTAAAGAGGCATAGCTTGCTCATCCCTTCTCTAATAATTTTGGCTGGTATCTATGCCAACTTCGGTTTTCTGTCTTTTGGCATGTCTCTGTCCTTTCAGTGGAATGTGTATCAAGGAAAGCCTACTGATAACTGAATATGAACACAGCATTCAGCACCCTGCAAATTACAGCTTTGCCTTTTCAGAAAAATATTAAGGCTCTTGCCAGACTTTGGGCCAGCAAGGGAAACTGATTTCAAGGAATGTTTCTACATGCTGTAGATGCAGATTTTCAGCTAAAGATCTACCCTCTGCTCTGTAACACATGTGGCTATAACTGGGAAATTAATCTTGAAGGCAGCCCTGTATCGTGAACTTTTGGATGTTTGACTTTCCCCCCTTTTTTTGCTGGAAGCCTTGCAGAGTGGCTGGGGAAATCCAGCCAGATGGGCAGGGTATAAATAATAATATCCTGCACCTGCTGGCAGCTACCTAAAACTAGAGCTGGATTGCATGGTGGGCAAGGTCTTGTTTATGGCTGCAAATTGCCTGTAAGGGAAGCTTGATTGCTTTTGAAGCTACAGCACCCACCCCTTGGAGCTACCTTTTAGATCATAGGATTGACATTGTTCCACAGGTGTCTCTGACCTTGTTTGTGTAGGTTCTCTTTGGTTTTTAATAGTTCCGTTGAGGAGGATGTAGGCTGAAGCAATAAAACACACAATTAGCAGGATGCTACAGTACAAGTTCAGCAAGGGCAAACCAGACTGTCCCCCTATGGGTTTTGTTCTTTGCTTAAATACTCCATGAGTCATTTCAGCAGTTGAATCAATTTTTATTACATGAGGAAGTCACTTTTAAGACTATTAAAAATTATAAATATATATATTTAAAAATTAGAAAGAAAACAGTGAGAATGCCAACAGTTGTCAGCTCAATACATCAAAGTAGGTTGACAAGATCCAACAGAAAACAGCTAGCTGCTGATCACAGTGTAAATCCATGCAAAGTATCTGATCAACTAGAAGCCAGCCTGTGGCTGAGATATGTGGGTTGGAATCTAAAGATGGACAGAAGCCAGGAAGTGCTGCTGTATTTGCTGCCTGAAGGTTGCACATACGTGTATTTACGGAGTAAGACAGATACCGCCCCCCGCAACACACTAACTGAGCAAGCCATATGGGAAACCAGCTTTTAGTGGTTCTACCCCACGCAGTGGGAGCTTGTGTTTCTGAATACTGCCATTGCAGGCAGAGGTGAACTTGTGTGCTATTTCCCAGCCAGTAATAAAGAGAAAAATCCATACGATTGGCCCCAGCCACAATGGTTGCACAACATTCACTCCCGCTCTACAGCCATAAGCCAAAAACAAAAAGAAACAGCTGCAGTGAAAGAGAACTAAGACATTCTAATTGTTAAAGGATGCCATTTAGGACAACTGTCATGATTTTTTTCAAAAGCAACGTCTTACACATAAGTGCCTTTTACAAAATTATAAAAGTATTTGGCAGTGCTTTAAGTGGTGACATTGATGAATCTCTGCATTTATAACATCAATTACATAGCCACAGCAAAAAAGAAAAGATCCTACACTCCTGCTCTACATTATTAAGCTTTGATAAGGCAAAAGCCTGTGTTCATTAAGGGCCTTAAGTCTTTCCACACCCTTCACTCTACATAATCAAGTCTTCTGGAAGTGATGTGATGTTTTGTTTTTAAGAGGCAGCAGAAGGGAAGTACATGACAAGCATGTGTTTTTGTGTTAAACTTGATTTTGCTTGCAAGTTAAAAGCCTAGGCTAAGTCTCTGCAGGAATGATCAGGAACCCCATCAATGGCAGCAACCTTATGGAGAGGTATGCAGCCTTGAGCACCAACAACACAGCATGGCCCCTATTACTATGCCCCCACCAGCTACTCACAAATGCCAGCAAATAGACCTGGGGCTAAAAATTGGGTTGTTATGGCTAGAAGACATAGATACTCCATCTTTCCTCTCCGCAGCTTCTAGGAGGCTACTATGAGGCTCTCAGAACACCACCACCAACCACACAAGTCTGCCAACAACCTAAATGGTAAGATCATCCTGTTAGGGCAAATCCGCATCTTGAAAAGGTTCTGCATGCTGCACCAAAGTATGAGATTGTCAACATAAGGCCAGGCATGACCTCAGAGCTAGCCCTCCTCTTGCCTAATGGGAGGAAGTCATAGCTCATTGCACACAGCAGGCCCTCCATCTGGAGCTTTCTGACTCCACAACACCAGCCACATCATAGAAATCTAACTTCCTTGATATTCAGATAAAAGCAAGAGAGTCATACCCTACTGTAAATGAAGAGGGAACAATGAATAGGAGCATCAGGCATTTCTTTCACTATGACTGACTATTGCAATTGCCAATGTAAAAACAGACTGGAAATGGAACAAACGTACACTTAATGTAAACACCTTCGCATTGTTTCTGCAAAAAGAAAAGCCTTGATACAGCTTTGTGCTAACGTATGTGTTAAAATCTCATCCATAATGTAAGATGGCACTATTGTCTAACAGAGGGTTAGGGTAATGTGCATATCTGAAATAAGATACTCTGAAGTAGTACAAGAAGAGATACTCTTTAAAATGTTATGCAATACAAGGGTAAATTCAGTTCTGAATAAAGCCATTCTGTTTGTTCGCAAATTTGCCAGAAATGTTTACCTTTCAGACCAATGGTTGAAGGCCAATATGTTAGACTTAATTTAAAGGGGACAAATACACACACCCTGTCAAGCAGTAGGCATCTCTCATGGAAATGACTTTGGCTAGAACTAACTTCAGGGCACGGCCTCCCCCTCATCTGAGACTTAAGGTATTTTGGTGCTGCTGCAAAATGGAAGTTAGAAACAGGGTATCTAATTATTAGACTGGACTCTCTGCTCCTAAAGGAACTTCAGGGGGGTAAGCATCCAACCCTCCCATTTCAATGGCACCTTGTTACCAACCACCTCAGTAGAAAGATTGCCACACTGAATGTTAGGCAGGGATGAGGTTTGTCTATAGATGCAATTATCCAGGCTTTGTGATTGTAGCAAGTAGCCTCTACGGACTGACATATAAAGTTATCAAAAGGATGAAGGCCAACGCCTTCCTGGTGAGGATGGCCTGGAATTTCCTCCCTCTGACAGTAACATTCAATACTATCAGTACTATGAGAAGTAGCATGTTCATTTGTATGCTGTCCTCTATAAAATGTGATTCCCCAAAGTTCTACTTTAAGTGTTTACAGCCAAGTATCTTTTCCAAATATTCAATGCTCCTTCCCTCCATAACTGCCTTGTAAGTCCCACCAAAATCCAGGAGATTCGTTTGCATATGCAGTTAGGACCACAGCCCCAGAGCATAGTGGAACAATTTTCATACTCTGTGGAAGTGTGCTTTAGAGCTGCATGCACATAATACAGATTATCTACCTACAGTTCACTTGATAAGGCATATAATCACACACATCCTCATATTACTCATCCAAGGTACTTTGGGTGAGGGGGGGGGGCGAGGCAAGTATCAAGCAATTTTAATTCCACAGATTACAGCACATCAGCTTTTCCTTCCAGTCACCTACTCCTGCATAGAGGAGATCAATAAATAATAGAACAGCTCTGGTCTCACTCATCTGTATTGAACAGAAAAGGGCCAAGTACAATGGTGAGCTTGACTCAAATATGGTACAAGCCTCCATTTCTCTTGCCATTTCTGAGTAATCTTAACCAATACTTTTCAGACCCAGGTCTCACCTAGGTTGAAGACAGCTCAGGGGACACCTACCCAAAAGCCAATAAAACAGGTGAGCTACAGGCTGCGAGATGCCCAGAAGCCTGAAAGATTGCTTTCACACCATAAATGGTCCTCTTGTGGCAACTGATGTACAGACCTCTGGCAGAAGCCCAATATGAGAACCACTTAACTCCTTTCATCACAGAGACAAGCAGATTTACTAAGAAATATTTTGAGTTAGTTATGTTCCAACAGGTCAAAACCTGTGGCAGTGTGGACTCCCCCTCCACAAAGGTGGTTATTTTCTCACAATGCATTGAAGGCAGAGGCAGCCTCATTCAAATCCCTCTGAAAGAGAGTGTGCATGACTTCAATGGTCTTGGGGGCACCATCCTCTGTGGGGCTATCAGGCACAGGCGGCATGTGGAGCTTGGAGTCCTTAGAATTCCTTGTTTGTGTTTCAAGGATATGTGCTTGGGTCCAGGTAGAGTCCCCCTCCTGTTATAGAATGGCACAGCTGTTCTTCTCTTTCTCTCGCTCTTTTTCTTTCTCCCGAGGTTCTTTTCTTTTCCGCTCACTACTCCCAGATTGTCTTCCAGTTGATGGAGACGCAGCTCCTTGCACTTGCTATCAATAGGAAAGGGGAGGGGGAAAGGCAGCTTATTTATTTGAAGTATTTTCATCCACTGCTCAGGCAAAGAAAGGCTCAGAACAGATCAGCCAGGCATCATTTATGCTTAGAAACACTCATTAAGGCCAACTAAGAGATACTGTCCACACTGGGCCAAGCACTGCTGAACATCAAATGGTGACCAGCCAGCCAAGTTCATCATTGGAGGGGGGACAAGGGAGTGTAGTATACTGTCCCCAACTACTCCCCACCCCATTAGGAATTTTCACATTTCCTTTTCTGGAAGATGGAGGCCCACCACTCACTTCAGAATTCACTCCGTGTGAACTTGTTGCAAAGAAAGTGATTCTTGTGCCACCATAAAAACAAAGAAAGATAGCCTAACAACTTTGTGTTCCATTCCTAGGAAAGGTGGCTTGTCAGCTTCAGGCAGGCCTTCATGAAGCAGATTATCTAGATCCATTTCATGAAGTTGCCTTTACTCTTTTGTCTGTTGCCTCACATCTTTGTTCGCAGCACCACTGCCACACCTGTGAGCTATTTGCTGAGTTTCTGTGGGATAAATGGCTCTTAGCAGTTTGTATGCAGCTGGACAAGTGAGCTTTGCTGTTTTTGTTCTGTTTTGTAATTCCCAAATGTACTCTTAACTGTATTTTCTAATTGTATTTTCAGAATATGCAGGTTTGATTTTATGCTATTATTTTTAATTACCGGTACTTTAATAAATCTACCATTTCAACCGTGATGTAGCTTTTTTGGAAGCCTTATTACTGAATCCAGTTTTCATAGCTACTGAACAATTTTTGTGGACCAGAGGTACAGAACAGACAGTCTGGTTTTTTGCTCTTGTCCCAGTGTATGTCATGCGATATCTGGTAATGTTATGGGAGTTTCCTGGTTCAGCCTAGTTGGACCAGTGTCATGGTGGCAGCTGCACTACCTTGCAGGGTTGGTTTTTCAACTGTGGTTGCTTGGCACCTGCTAAACCAACAAGGGCTGGTTCCCGGGGTTTTAGGAGTCCAGTGCTTGACACTAACTATAAAAAATAGTACCTTAATCCCCCAAGATGGTACCAAACACCCCATGTTAAAGTCCATGTCATTGAAAGAAAATATGCCAATAGATGAAAAGGGAGGGGAAGCATTAGTTTACATTAGGTTACCTCAATAGATATGTGATCAGTGTCAGATAGCAGGCTAAATTAGGAATATATTGGTGTATAACATGCAGAAGACAGACCAATCCTCAGCCTCTAAGAAACAATTTCATCCATAAGTGAAATCTAAAAAATAAAAATTTCCCTCGCATTATTTACAGATTTTGCACTGTGTGTTCCGCATTTGTTCAGTAATCATGTATGTTTTTCAGGGTGTGAAACCTACAGCTACCACCTGATTTTTACATATTGTCAATTATTTTTGATGTAATTAAGGATTGATTTATTTTTATTGAAAACTACTCATTGCCAGCAGCCAACATGGCTGATCATTTTACCAGGGTCACTGCTTCAGGCCTATGCAGGCATGCCAGGCTCCCCCCAACATTGTGGAAGCCCGGAACGTGCAATGTCACACCGTGGGAGGAGGCCTGTCGTGCCCAACAGGGCTTGCTGTGGCTGCAATGCACTCTCTGTTGGGCCCTCCCACCACTGCGATGGTCTCCAGTGGAGCTCGCCACTGCAATGGGAAGGCACAACAGAGCCTGCTGCTGCTGCTACCGCGGCACATTCCATTGGGCCCCATTTACTCCCAAGGGAGAAAACAACCCCTGAGTGTCCACTGATTTGCGATGTGTGCATTTGCTGGAGAAAATTGCAAATGGGCCTTGGGGATACAGGCTCTAGCAACTCACATTTATGCCAAACAATGGCAGGCAGGCCTGGTCCCTGAAGTCCTCAGGAAGGCCTCTCAAAGCAGACCCTAATGTATGTTCTAAGGACTTCTGCCCCAGATGGAGCCATACTTCACATCAGCTGTCCAGCTACAGAATTCTTTGGATAAATTTATACCTCGCCTTTCAGCATTACACTTCCAGAACTGTTAACAGTTAAAGTCAGATCTCTGGTCCAGTGAACTCAGTATTGTCTACAACAACTGGCAGGGGCTCTCCGGGGTTTCAGACAGAAGTCTTTCCCAGCACTACTTTCCCAGCTCTGTCGCTGAGCTACAGCCTCAACCAACTCAACAGGAAAAGCTTCCATGTAAGCATGCAGAAGACAGGACTATGAGGAAAGTTGCTGGCAGAATACAAGGGCCACCAGGAGCCAAACTTCCGTACCTGAACCTGAGCAGCAGCGGTGGCAGCGGCAGCTTGCTCCTGCTCCTGATAGTACTGAGAAGCCCGTCTGTCCTCCTCTTCCTGAAGTTTCTTGGCAAGTTCAAGGTCACTGATTCCTTCTGGTATCTGCTCCCAATTAATGTCTTGGCTTTGCTGCTCTTGTTGCAAGGATAATGCCATCAGATAATCCTATTATGTAAATCCATGGTGAACACTGCTTTAGTTGGCACAATACAATCAACCAGTGAGATTGTATCCACCATCCAAATTTTCAGCTTTCCTCCATAAACAAAAGAAATATCACTTTCAGCAGCTGCATGAAAGCTGATGTGTGAAGCCTCCTTCCACAATGAACTGGGTAAAAAATTGCTGGGCACCATGCAGCCCTGACTTGGTTACAAGTTGTAACTGCTGGATCACTCAGCAGCTTTCAGTGTACAGAATCTAGCAGGCTTTTTGTCCATCCTCAACTCATGCTTCCAGATATCATGGACAAAAGGCATCCCTCAGATACTTCCTGCCTGCCCTCAAGATCTCAAGGACGGAGAATGATATTTCAAATAATCCAGTGTCCTTATAGATGTCTTTAAAAGGGCATTAGACAAAGTCATGGATAGGGTTCTCAATGGCTAAATGTTACTGCATGCTTCTGGGTATCACCAAATGTTGGAAGACAGCAGTGCAGAGGGCTGTTGCGCTCTTCATGGGCTTCCCGGGGGCATCGGGTTCACTGTTGTGGGGAACAGGATACTGGAAGAGGAAGGGCTTTCTGTCTGATTCAGCATGACTCTACTGAGGTTCTTAAGAAACGTAATGTTATGCTACATGACTACATAATTGAAGCAGACATTGAGTTCTGCCTAGTTTATTCTGCTTTCAGAGAATCAAGAGGGAAAAGGAGGCTGACACAAGGCATGATTTACATACAGTGCTAGTGGGGAAATTGCATCCATCCCAAGTACTGAAAAGGCAAAGCAAATCTACCTGGTCTATCTGATCTTGCTGTCCTCTGTATACTGTTTCTGGATCAGATGGAGGTCGTAGATGGAATTCAGAATCACAGAAGTTTCCATCCCCATCTACATTGTGTAAGCTTTCCCAAACAACTTTGTCTTCTGTAAGGAAACCCTGATCTGTCACCAGGAGATAAAGCTGGCCCTAAACGAAAAGGAAATTCTTTTACACATGTGTTGTTGGAAACTAATTTGGATGGGGGAGGGAGCGCTGATTCCTGCTAATACCATGTCCATTGTTTGGGATGAAGTTAGTGACCATCTCCTGAGTATTTTTAGCTTTAGGAGCCATACTTGTGGAGTCTGCAACCTTGCTGCACAGTTATGCAACTTTCCATGGTCAATCATCAGTTTATAGCTATCAGCTAAAATTTCACATCTGCGACTATTTCATGCATTATTATACTTCCTCCAGAAGCGCAGCTTGCCATAAGTTGTTGGATTCCAACTCCCATCAGCATGGCCAATGGCCAGGGATGATGGGAGCTGTATAGTCTAACAACTGGAGGGCTGCAGGTTCCCCACACTATAGTCTCTGAATGTACCCAGCAGAGATTCAAGGAGACATAGCACTATCTAATGGCATAACAGTGTGCAGATGTGGATATCAACTTAATTCATTGGCTGTACATTTTGATACACAGGATTCTAGTAAAAGAAGGGTGATCATCATGTCACAGCTACAACCCTAGAGAGAAGAATTAAAACTGAACTACTTGAGCATACATGTATGTGGAGTTTGAAAATATGCCAAAGGAAACACGTTTAGAAGCCAACACACATTCCTCAATAGGAAAAGATCGGGGATGCCAGCATAGTCAGTGACATGGGACAATGGGACTAGTAGTTAACATATTGAAGGCCACTGGTTCCTTATCCCTGTTCTCGGGCAAAGCAGCCACATGACACTTTAGAGGCAAATGCACATCAACTAGGAGCAGGCCACAAACTCATGAGCTTCATTAGTTAACAAGCTCAGATAAAATACAGAAACTGTTCACAGCCATATACCTTATGTTTGGTCATGGTGCTAAAGTGGTTGTTTCTAAAGAACACACATAGTTCTCCTTCTTGAACAGTGGAAGTCAACTCACATAACCCATGGTAGGTCAACTGAGTGGCTGTGTTGTTTAGGAACTGTTCTGCTATGGAACCTGCGAAGAAAGGTGGGTTACTGAAATTTAAAAATGCAATATTAAAATCAGTTTAAAACAATTACAGTCAAGAAAATAGGGTAGATACACACACACACACACACACACACACACACACACACACACAAAGGCCTGTGTAAAAAGGTGCTTCTTCAGCATATGGCTAAAACTATACAATGCCAGAGACACCTCTTATAAACTGCCACAGAAAAGACCCTCTCCCAGGCCACACACACACACAAAAATTATGAAGGGTAGTGGAAATACCAAGAGGAACCTCCCTGTTTATCTTCAGTACAGACTCTTGGGTATTAAGGAGGCATATTTCAGATATTTGGGGCCTAAACCTGCTGTACTGTAGTACCCAGCTAAGCATGACATTTATCTGAAAATTGGAGAGTGTCAGCTTAGAACCGCATGGAGGACAAGACAATTTCAGTGTAAAACAGCTGAGTTAAGGATGGTTTGCTGATAAAATAAAAAGGAATTCAATTACTACAAAGCCTGCTAGACTCAAATGAGATGAAGAGGTTAATTGTGAAGCAGAGTTACAGGCTTGCTTCTAGGTTAAGTGGCCCCTGGATTGCAGTCACAGACTATTCAATACTAGTCCGACTCAGAGCACACCCATTTAAGTTACTGGACATTAACTGTTCATTAATCTCAGTGGGTCTACTCTGAGCAGGACTTAGTTGAATTCTACTCAATAGGTCTATGCTTAAAATCAGAGATTTCCCCCCAATACGCCTCATTCATGCATGTGACCAAGATGGCTTTATAACTGTGGAAGCTGCTAAACAAGCGGGTGGGGCCATTGCCTTCATGCTCTGCTTGTGGGCCTCCCAGAGACATTCAGTTAGTTACTATGGGAAACAGGATGCTTGGTTGGATGGGCCTTTAGTCTGCCCCAGCAGGGTCCTTAAGTTCTTATGGATTCTATTCATGTCAGCTACCAGTTGCTGAAGAATGACAGCATTGTCTTAATGCTTCTGACTGGTCCATGTTTGAAAAAAGGATGTTGGATTAGTTGGACATTTGATATGATCAAATAGTGTTTTTCTAACATTCTTAAGCAATTCACCCACCTTCATCAACTAGCTTAGTGTTGTCTGACTGCTTACAACAAATTATTTTCTCCACCAGCTGATTGTAGCTGCAGTTACCAACTGCTTTCACAATGTCAGCAGTCTGTGGGGGAGAGAAAAGGTACACCAAGCTTGACTGATATTTTGTGTCTATTATGAAAAAGACAAGTTAATGCTGCCAATAGTTAAAAACACACTACTGTGATGGCACACACAGGTGGAATGATATAACGTTGTATTTTCCAGTACACAATGATGACTAAAACAATACGCAACTGCCCATCCACCAGTATCATTCTTTGCATGATTCTTTTTTAGGAAGGGAGCTGGGTGACTACTGGAAAGGTTTTTGCTGTGGTGGCACCCACACTCTGCAATTCCTCAAAGCCACATTTTGGACCTTCCATGCTATTTCTTAGTTACAAGAAGGCAGCTGTACTGATGCACTTTTAGTGGTGTTTAGGATCTGTAAAAAAGTTAGTTACTATATTTATCTTTGTGTTTATCCGTTGTAGCTTTTAAATGTTCACTTAAGTTCTTATATGAACTTGTTTTACAGGCCATCCTCTGAGCTGGGGACAAATTCCATAAACCACACCCATAGGATTAACACATCCCCTCTCCTTGCTTACCTGGGGATCTACTAGCCATCCATGGTATAATGGAATATCAAGAAGGTCAAACACTATGCATTCAGGTGTGTACTCAAACACTCGTACACCAGTGAACCTCACATTCACATCAAGACCTGTCTGAAGCTTATGCAAGATTGCCATTGCATCACTCATATTCTGCCAAAAAAAGGAAAACTTAACTGTTTGCATCAGTCAACACACAATACCAGTATTAATAACAGTATTTTAAAAGCAGATTACAGAAAAAATCTGAAGCTGTTGAGTTCTTAATGCTGTATGAAGACAGTAGAAAGTATAAAAAATTATCATTTACAGTAGGATGAGACTTGACCAATAATCAGATTATAACCTCATTTACCAATATGTTAAAACATTGCCAAAGGACATAAAGTGTCCAAATCTTATAACCATAGTTTCTGAGAGCAATAATATCCACGAGCTTTTAACAAATAAATAACATTTAACACATTTTACTGATTCATATTGAAATCTACCAAGGGTTAGCAAATGCCCATCATTAAAAAATTAACTGCTTCAGGTTTTTCAGGAGAATCAGGAAATTCTCAACTCACTGCAAATTTCTTATTGGTAATTTACTCCCTTCAAGTTTTTTATTACTTAAAAACTCTATGAAAGTAATGGAAAACAAACTTATTACAGAGAAAAATTAAGCCATCCTATCATTTGTTAACTAGACTTTAGCAGAAAGAAGAACTGTAGGTTAATTCACTAAATAATTTCATCTCACAAACAAGATAAAGAGTGTAGCTCATGTTGCTATATGTAACGCATAATTCTTTCTTTAATGTAGCAGTCTGTCTTCCATTGATTTACTCTTGCTTTTAATATGATTAAACAGATGCTTTAACTTTACAATATGAATGGGGAGGGGGAGAGAGATTAAGTGGTTTAATTCACTACTAGAAAATGCCACTTACTCTTAAGAAGAGCTTGTTATTTATTACCTGCTCATAGTTTAAGCGCTGAATTTCAGATATTTCTTTTGGTTTTGCATCAAGGATATAGTCCCCTATAAGAAAACAAAAGATTCTAATTTGAAAGCTGGAACTTTATAATCAAAAGCAATCTAATCTTGTTAAAGCTTTATTGGTTCTTTCACAGGGGGGAAAAACTATCAATTAGAGGAGATTAGTTGTGAGAGGCTGTAAAGATGCAAGCAAATACCCAAAATTAGAAAGCTGCTGCTTACTAGCATGAGTCAGCTTCCTTTCAGGTATGCCCTGAAAGACAAAGCTGGAATTTATGAGACAAATCAAGGAGTGTATTTATATGCTGAATAATCTGTTGCAATAAAATTAGTTTTTCTAAAAACCTGTACTTTGACCTGCCAATTTCAACTTTTGATTCATTCTGGTAACTAGAATGTTGAGCCTTTTGTTATTAAATGGTGTGGTTAGATACAAGAAGAGTGTCCAATACTTGTCCTCCAAAGGTGTGCAAAAGTGATTATTTCTGCCTTGATCAGATCACATCTGGAGTACTGTGTCCAGTTCTGGGCAACACAATTTAAGAAGGATATTGACAAGCTGGAATGTGTGCAGAGGAGGGTGGCCAATACGATAAAGGGTCTGGAAACCAAACCTTCTGAGGACTGCTGCAGGGAGCTGCGTAAGAGGAGACTGAGAGGAGTGAATATAGCCACCTTCAAATATCTTAAAGGCTGCCAGAACCAATGGCTTCAAGTTACAAGAAAAGAGATTCAAGTTAAACATCAGGAATACCTTTCTGACAAGTAGAGCTGTTTTGACAGTGGAATGGACTCCCTCAGAAGGTGGCAGACTCTTGTTCAGCGGAGACTTTTTAAGCAAAGCTTGGGTGGCCATCTGTCATGGATGCTCTAATTCAGGCATCTCCAACCTTCGGCCCTCCAGATGTTTTGGCCTACAACTTCCATGATCCCTAGCTAACAGGGCCAGTGGTCAGGGATGATGGGAATTGTAGTCCAAAACATATGGAGGGCCGAAGGTTGGTGGTGCCTGCTCTAGTTGATATTCCTGCTTTGGGGGGGGAATGGACTAGATGATCCTCAGTGTACCTTTCAACTCTACAGTTCTATGGTTCTATGATTAACTCAAACAGAGAGAGAGAAATGAAGTGGGAAAAACATTAAGATTCAAGCTAACCTTCATTAGCCTGGAGCCCTCTAGATGTTTTGCACTATAACTCCCATCAGCCCCACCCAACCTCAACATGGCTCTGCTGGCTGCAGCTGATGAGAGTTGCCCTCCAGATGTTTGGGACTGAACCAGGTTGGTGAAGCCTGGATTAAGCTTTGGCAAGAGAGTCATTCTCCCTGAATCATGCTTGCCTGAGCTTTACATTCCCCACTCAACTTTGAGTGGCTTCTTCTTGTTTATATCAGCTTTAACATCTATTTTAACACTTCAAACTGTTATATTCTTCAGTAACATAAAATATTTTAAATTGCGCATTCAAGATTTTGCTTCCAGCGTATCAACCTTTTATCACCAATTAGCAACCACAAAAATAAATACTACCTAAAGAGCAACCAATAGATTACTTCTTCTGTAACAAGTGTGGAGAGCTGCCAAAACATCTGGCCCATGGTGCATTCCCTTCCTGCTTTTAGTCTCTCCTCCTCAGACCCCCCCAAAGCCCACTGTGCTGCCTTGCAGGGCAGCAAAGAAGACACCTCTCTTCCTCCTCCAGTACAGAAATACAGTGAGCTACTTGAAAGAAGTGACTGATCTTCCCCTTTTCTGGCAGCTCACTTCTTCCTTCCACTTCTTTTCCTCCACATTCACCACATAAGCCAGGAGAGAATGGGTGGCCCCACTTTCTTTTGGCTCTGGACCAGCCCATGGCTAGCATGCAGCCCAAAAGGAATTCCCACTCCCATCCCATTAAAGGGAGCAGAAAAGGTTCCCTGCCCCTTGCTATAATATTCCTACAGTATATATCAATCAGTGTATCCTATATTACTGAGTAGCATCCCTCAATTTTTAGCTGTTAAATTATTCCCTGGAGAGACAACCAAACAAGTCTATAGTATTCTGAAGTATTTAAGGGCAGAATGAGTCATGGCCCCTGCAAATCCATTCTATGAAATTAAAGTGGAGCCGCTGAACTCCCTCTGCAGAATGAACCAATACATTTCAGGACTGCTGGACTGTGAATGCTGCTTCTAGCCTACTCAGTTCCATTTTAACTAAAGAAAAATCTGATTTCCTATAGAAATCATGCCAATTGTAGTAAGTGTTGGAGATATTTTCCTTTTCAAATTTAAAGAGACAAAATGCAAGAACAGAAATAACATTTGCAGTCTTACATCATCCAAACTAACCAAATCAGTGAGAAGGATAGGGTACAAATCCCCAGGCCCTTGTTTCCCAACCATGTGCCAAGATCCAAAGTGAAGGGCCAGTGGGAGGGGAGAGAAATAATAGTCCTTAGTAGGCAAAGGTGAGCTAGTTAGTATAAGGTAAAGGAACCCCTGACCATTAGGTCCAGTCATGACTGACTCTGGGGTTGTGGTGCTCATCTTGCTTTATTGGCCGAGGGAGCCGGCGTACATGTGGCCAGCATGACTAAGCCGCTTCTGGAGAACCAGAGCAGTGCACGGAAACACCGTTTACCTTCCCGCCGGAGCAGTACCTATTTATCTACTTGCACTTTGACGTGCTTTCGAACTGCTAGGTAGACAAGAGCTAGTTAGGGCCCCAATAATTAGAAGCTATGTATAGCTTCTAGAGGAGTCCCTCAGTGTCCAAGGATCATCTCACTCTAGCATGGCCAGGCTTCTCCAACCCACAAGCTGACTACACCCATGATATTTTAAAGTTAACAACAGGCTCAAGGCTAATTTAAACGTTCAACTACTGCCAAGCAGGCTATCCTGCCAGATTCTAAACAATCCTTGCTTAGGAATTAACCATTTTTCTCAATACAAATTACACATGCAGTGTTATTAGTACTAACCTAAGTATTCCATCAACTGCTCAGCAGTTATGATTTCCATCATTGGTGGCAGTTTCACCTGTGAGAGAAGAGAATTTAAGCTCAATTGTTTTTCCACAGTACTTAAAAGACAATAAAAGTTTGTAAGAGTTAAATATCCAAATTTGCACTGTAGATGTACAAGAGCCAGATATTTTTGTTACATGTAGAAATAAGCCTGCCTATCAACTATTGGAAACCATATTAAAAATCACCAAGAAGTACAAAGGTCAACTCCCCAAGTGAGAGAGACACATTTCTCTGCTGCTTCCAAATTCCTACATCTAGGAAAAGCTGCAGAAGATATTATTCTTTTGATGACTTCTCTTTCCATGGATTGTTTTTACTACCACAACTTAAGAGTTCTATATACTTCAGAAAAGCAGTATTAGTATTTAGTTGTCCTTGATATTGAAGCACCTCACAAGTTTAGGCTCCAAAATAAGTCCCTTGGTGTTTATGTTTCAGTCGACAGAGGTTACTCATTTATATAGAACTATGTAAGCATACTGCAAGTGGTCAGCAGCATTAGCACTGCATACCTGTTTGTTGCTTTTTTATGTGATTGCAAAGAAACATAAATGTCTCCTCAAATGCAGAAGCTCACGAAATCATTCTGATGTGCAACTTTCAGCAATTTATATATAGTCTGCATCAACACCTGGTACAGAATGAGACCCAAAGAGCCTTACCAGACTGGAATAGAGTGTGTGGCTAGGTCACTGTGCAAGTGATATTACGGCAACATATGCATAGGACTGTCTTTCAGGAAGACTTGAATTTCATTGGGTCTCTTGGTGGAAACAAATCCCAGCATCACTTAAGATTCTGAATGCTGGGCTACAGATGAAATTATCTGAGCTGCTGAACTGCTATGCTTCTCAGAGCTGTTAATGTACGTTTGAACTACTGTTCAAAGCTACATTAACAACGCTGAGAAGAATAGCGAGGACACAGATTGCAAATGGAATGTTTCAGGCAGCAGTAAGGTTAAAGAAGATGCATTAGTTGACAAAGTAATTCTCTCTTCCATGGAAACTTTCAAAATGGAGAAGTTAATGTTCAACATAAAAGGATGCCATATGTACACATTCCTTTACTGTATATGGAGACCATAATTACCGTATTTTTTGCTCTATAAGACTCACTTTTTCCCTCCTAAAAAGTAAGGGGAAATGTGTGTGCGTCTTATGGAGCGAATGCAGGCTGCGCAGCTATCCCAGAAGCCAGAACAGCAAGAGGGATTGCTGCTTTCACTGCACAGCAATCCCTCATGCTGTTCTGGCTTCTGAGATTAAGAATATTTTTTTTCCTTGTTTTCCTTCTCCAAAAACTAAGTGCGTCTTATGGTCTGGTGCGTCTTATAGAGCGAAAAATACGGTATTTCCATTTCTGTAAGATGCTGCATGCATTTCCAGAATGAGATTTGTTTGGCAAATAACTTGGTTTCCAAGATGGAATATATCACATTTTGAATCACATTGTTTGTAACAATGTTGTTTGGCAACGGTTCTCTGTGTTCTGAACAGTGCTGTCTGAGAAACAAGCTTGATTTAGGTTTCCAGCACCTTGCAAATAGATATACAGAGGTGAAAGGAATTTGCACACTCTTGCCCCATGCACTAGCCAGGGGACTAAAAGTCAGTAGGTTCCGTGGGTTTAGTATGTGTTTTCCTACTATACTACACCTGCAACGTTTTGTGCAACACTACCCCCCTAACTCGGCAGGTAACAAATACATTATTCTTGAAAACAATAGCCCAACAGGAAGCCAATGTTCAATAGTTCATGTTTTACTTAATGAGAAAGTGTAGGTGCAAAGAAACTGTTTGTGTGAGGCTTGCACAAACAGCACAAAAATGAAATTTCTCCCTGCTGGAATTCTACTGCCAAATCCCCAGCAAAACATGTGATTTTTACCACTAGGATAATAAACCCTTTTTAGACCAACCCAAGTTAATCTAATAGTAGTTGATCAAATTGGAGATAACATGAAAAAACCCTTCCCAAATGAGGAGCTTATCATTTGCTCCCAGTTTACCACTCCTTTCAGGATCTTTGGCCAAAGGAATTCACAGCCCTTCTCAAAACTAGCTACTCTCTTGTCCCCAAAATAGTCATACTAGATTACTTTATTTTGAGAACACTTTGTAAGCTACTTGTAAAGCCTCTCGGGTCTAAACAGCAGAATATAAAATAAATGTTAGCTTCCTTCTGTACCTAGACAGCCACCTAGCAAGAATAATACTGTCAGCATATTCAACAAAAATTTAAAATTCAGCTAAATATTTGGAGTTTATTATGTATTGGTATAATTTGGAATTAATGTGATATGATTGGTTTGTCAATTGGAAATTTAATAAAAATTATTTTTTAAAAAATACTGTTAGCATATTCTAACTGGCTGTCATTGTCTTGGGTATTAAGGAAGCAGACAAAATTCTTTGCAGAGCCCGGCTTCAGCTGGGGAGGGCGGGATATAAATAAAATTTTTTATTATTATTATTTTAATGGGAGGTCAACCTGGAACCTTCTGTAATCACTGCATGGAATCAAAAGCTGAGTTATGGCTTCTAAAACAGAAGGAGAGGTGAGAAAACAGTAATGGTGTCATTTCACACCTCCCAGCACCAGATTTAGGGTGGTACAGGTGGCTCCCCACAACAGTGCACCAAACCAAGGGAGCAAAAAAATGAGGCAATCCATAATTGAGAAGATCCATTTGGGGTGCCAAATGTTGGCCTTGCACAGGGTGCCACATTATGAAAGATTACCAAAGTCCATCCCTGCGCCTCCACAGAACTTATAGAAGAAGAAGAGTTTGGATTTGATATCCCGCTTTATTACTACCCTAAGGAGTCTCAAAGCTGCTAACAATCTCCTTTTCCTTTCCTCCCCCACAACAAACACTCTGTGAGGTGAGTGAGGGTGAGAGATTTCAGAGAAGTGTGACTAGCTCAAGGTCACCCAGCAGCTGCATGTGGAGGAGCAGGGATGTGAACCCGGTTCACCAGATTACAAGTCCACCGCTCTTAACCACTACACCACGCTGGCTCTCTCATTGCTTGCCTTAGACGGAGTCAGCCTGTTGGACCACTACCTGCTATTAGCTCCTCCAAGTGGCAGCAACATTCGGAGTCATCATGTCAGGGGCTGGCTGGCTACAATTATGTTGCAGAACACATACATACATACATGCTCTTCTGCTTTTAGCTACAGGGGCATAGTTTATAGATCTCTGTCAGATGAAATTGCCCAGGACTATAGATGGACAACGGGTGTGACTGTGCCTAAGACTACTTGCTTCATATGTTCTTTGTATGGCTTTCTGTCAGTCAGGACTCACAGAAACTCAGTTCCAGCACCTCAGGAACTCAGGCATCTCTCAGGTGGGTGCCACTGCTATTATTAGAGAAGGGAGGTGTTCATTGTGAGTTCCAGCACCTCTTTTTCTAGAAAAATAGCACTGGTTCCTTTCAACATACTATATGGGGGGAAACCTCACCTCAACAGCAAATACAGCTTTACAAACAAAAGGTCCCACTTTCAGCTTCCTACACCACAGGTTAAAAAGGGTCGGGCGGTGGGAATAAACCTTCTCCCATGTCTGAGAGGCTGCAGCAGGCATAGGCAAACTCCGGCCCTCCAGATGTTTGGGACTACAATTCCCATCATCCCTAGCTAACAGGACCAGTGGTCACAGATGATAGGAATTGTAGTCCCAAACATCTGGAGGGTCGGAGTTTGACTATGCCTGGGCTGGAGGGTAGCTACCAGTCACAGCAAACAATACTGGGCTAGATGGTATAGAATGCATTCACATGTAATGCTATGGGCTTAGGATGAATGTGTGGGCTCCCATGGAGGAGATCACAGCTGCCTTGCTCCCCTCCCAGTCTTCAGGTCAGTGAGGTGCATGTCACACCTAAACTTATGTTTGGCTTAACACATTGTCCAAACCCAGACTCTTGATACAACTTTGAGGTTAAGAAGAGAGCTTAACTGTGAGCCTGGGTTTAGATGACATGACAAGCCAAACCTTGGTTTAGCAGCACACTGCACTGAACTAAGAGAACCAGGGAGAAGCAAAGTGGGTCTGAGTTCCTTTCTGACAGCACACTTGTGCAGGCTCAATAAACCATAGCTTGGTTAACCATGTGCAAACTAGATCCTATTTAGTATGAGACTGAACCTGGGACTCTCTACCTTCCCAAGATGAACTGCGGAGCTGTAGAAAACTTCCAAAGGAGGGGCACCCTGCCAGGGCTTGCAGCCTGAGGCAAAGGGAAAGACCCCTGCTATGTACAGAAACAACTAGCAAGACTGAAGTACAGTGGTACCTCAGGTTACATACGCTTCAGGTTACAGATTCCGCTAACCCAGAAATAGTACCTTGGGTTAAGAACTTTGCTTCAGGATGGGAACAGAAATTGTGCAGCGGCAGCAGCAGGAGGCCCCATAACTAAAGTGGTACCTCAGGTAAAGAACAGTTTCAGGTTAAGAACAGACCTCCAGAACGAATTAAGTACGTAACCAGAGGTACCACTGTAAGTTGCGCCTTACTTCAATTCTGGCAATGAGGCAGTGTCATTCCAGGAGCTGCATCGCAGGATAGGTCCCAGGTTGTGCCTCCAACCTCACAGCATCGGCCTCCTAAAATGGCTATCTCACCTGCATTCTGCCCATACCCAGAGAGAAATTCACCTAGGCAGTTGTGCCAACTCCAGGAGGCCCACTCAGTATCTGTGGGCAGGGTGCCCTGCCCGTTGAATGTTAAGGGGGCATTCGCACTAACCCGTCTCTTTGATTGCTGACAATCTCAAAGGAACCTGCCAAAGTGATGTCACGCATGTGCAACCTGCACCCCCCAAATAATGTTGGGTGCAACTGCACCTCTGCACCTAGGGTGATCAGTTCCTGGGCATGGCAGACAAGGGAAGACATCCACACATGTAACAGAGGAAGCAGCCTTACAAGAGGGATCACACTCATCCTCTAGACCAATAGTTCTCCAGGATGCCACTGCGAAAGTGCTTCCCAGCCCTACCTGGAGGTACCTGGGATTGAACCCACGATCTTATTGAATGCCAAATGCAGGTGCTCTGCCCCTGCCAGGGGGCCCTTCCCCTGAAAGGATAAGGAAAGACGACAGCCCTCCTGGCCAGTTTATCTAGGAAGCTGCCTGTCCCTCGGGAGGCCAGCGAGGCGTGCAGCTGGCCTGGTCCTTCTCCCCCAGCCCCGCCACGCACCTTCCAGGCCAGGAGCAGTACGTTCATGATGGCCAGGAGCGGGCAGGGCCCGTTCTCGTTCTGGGTGATAATGGGCGTGTTCTCCTCCTTCCAGCGCACCCACTTGATGTGGTAGACCGACTGACCCGGGAAGCGCTCCTTGGCGCCCGGCGGGAGAAGCAGGAGCGGCGATGGCGAGGCGGAGGAGGACGACGAAGAGGCGGCGGCGGCGACGGAGGCAGTTCCTGCCGCAGCCCCCTTGCTAGGGCTGACTCCATCCTCGTCGTCGTCGTCTTCTCCGCCGGCGACAGGGGCTCTCCTGGGCGCCGGCGCCGCCTCCTCGGAGTCGTCGTCGTCGTCGTCCTCGCCACCGCCGTTGAGGTCGGAGATGCTGGCCCCGTCGCAGGACGGCAGGTTGGAGAAGGAGCCGAGCGAGTCGGCCAGGCTCGCGGACTCCTCGCCGCCCGCCGGGCTCAGCGAGCCGGGCCCCGAGACCCCGCTGCTGCCGCTGCCTGGGGACGGAGCCGCGGTCGCCTCAGCCTGGGAGGGGCTTTCGGGCGTCGTCGCATCTCGGGCGGCCACCGGCCGCGGCTCTTCCAGGCGGGAAGCGAGGGACGCGGCCGCCTCTGAGAGGACCGTCGAAGAGCTTCCCGCCCCTCGCTGCTTCTCCTCCTCCCGCGTCTCCTCAGATGCCGCCGCCGCCGCCGCCTCGTCAGGCTCTGAGGCGATTCCCGCCTCTTCCTGAGGGGAGACGCGACTCGCCTCAGGGGCGCCGCCGCCCCGCTCGAGGGCGCCCAGGGGGGCGGGAGGAAGCAGAGCTGGCGGGGGCGGAAGCTCCGCCAGGCCCTCCATTGCCCTCGGCGGACAGCTCCCCTCCCTCGGTCAGCGAGGCGTTTCCGCTACAGGCGGCGGCAGCATGAGCAGCAGCAGCGCCGCCGCCGCCGCCGCCGCGATCGGGACGGCTGCTTCTGGCCCAAGCGGCCTTCGGACGCCATGACAGGCAGAGGCCACGCCCCTTCCCCGCCCTGCCCGGGGAGGGGCTGGCTGCGGGGCGCATGCGCGTGACGCGTGCGAAAAAGGGCGCGGTTTGGTGGGGAGTCCGCTGTCAAGGGGGCTGATTGTCAAACACAGGGGGACCGTTTGTGGGGGAGACAGACAGACACCCCCACATAGACACACACACACAAGGCCGCAGCTTCCGCCCCCTCTGTTAGAGTTGCTGTAAGTGAGTTCCCTGATCTGGACCTTGTGCAGAGCAGAATAGAAATGAATTTGCTCTCCGCCTCAATAAGCTCTGTGTGTCCAAAGCTTTACTGGAAACAGTCTTAAGGTAGTTACAAATAAAAGTTACAAAACACAGAGCAACGCATTGGTTTTTAAACAAACTAGCGATGCTATCCAAGTCTTCTTTGTAATCCTTAATGCAGTTTGAAATTAAAAATTGAAGGTCTTACATACATAATAAATGTTCCAACCAAACACATACATAAATATATAAACCACATGTCTGAAGCAGCACAGGAAAACAGTCCTGAAATCATTTTGACTCCCAAGCTGACCAAGTGTTTCTCTGCAAGGAGGGAGGGGGTGAGGGAACCTTCCCATTGTCTCAGGAATTAAGAAATCACCATCTCAAAGGAATGGCCAGACTACCAGGAAAGGCAATCAGATAAGGCAAAACAACAGCATTCAAATTTCTGTTGTAGACCACCTTTTCTGTGATGTAGGTATGATGTTTGTGGGGGTGGTCTTGGGTTACACCCTTTGTGTGATGTATGTATGATGTATGGAGGGGTGGTCTTGAGCTCCAGGGCAGGGAATTTAAAATGTCTATATAAGGGCAGGCACACCTTGGTTCTGGGTCCTCCTCCTTCTCCTGCGTGTGAAGGGGACACCCTGTTGCAACAGTTCAGTAAAGAACAGGCTTACTAGCTGCTTTGCTTCTCAATATTCTCTGGTTGGCCTCTGTTATTTTCTCAGACTGATGGAAAACCTACAAAGGACTCTATAAGGGCTCTTGTGTCCCCCATAAGGGAACAAGGGCAGATTTTTGTTTATTACAAGTTCAAAAAGCTTTCCTCTCTCTGGTCCCAGATCCTAAGTAACTTACTTGTTAAAACGGTTAATTTCTACTCCTGCTGTTGGCTCCATCCACTGCTTGAGACGTTTGTGTTCTTAGGGTCCATCTTCCTTCTGTGAGAGATCTCTGCTAGACTTTCTAGTACAGTGGTACCTCGGGTTAAGAACTTAATTCGTTTCGGAGGTCCGTTCTTAACCTGAAACTGTTCTTAACCTGAAGCAGCACTTTAGCTTATGGGGCCTCCTGCTGCCGCCACACCACCGGAACATGATTTCTGTTCTCATCCTGAAGGAAAGTTCTTAACCCGAGGTAATATTTCTGGGTTAGCATTTCTACAAGCATAGCATTCTATGCACAATAAATTTATATGCCCTATGCCTGCCCCACATTATAACTGCTTCCTCCCATACTGCTATCTCCATCTGCACTCTTACTTAGATTATAATTCCCTGTTATCCACTGGATTTCTTATACAGGCAATACTAACTACCTAAAGTAATGTACACATACAGAGGACCAGGACACCTATCTGCACTAGATGTATCCAGCGCTTTTTTCAGCTAGAACTTGCCAGAACTTAGTTCCAGCTCCTCTCACATGGGTGCCATTGCCATTATAAGAGAACAAGGGAGGAGTTAATGGTGAATTCTGGCACCTCTTTTTCTAGACAAAAATCAATGGGTGTAACAATACCTCTTGGGAAAGCCTGGTGGCATCTCACAGAGAAAGCTCAAGACAGCTTGCCATGTCCAAGGCGAGCCAAGTTATTTTGGCACTTGAGGCAGATTCCCAAAGGTGCCTCTTCCTGGGAGAAAATATACACAAATACCGGTAACTGAAATAGCACAATTTCCTGCCTTCCAGTGACACGCAAAGCCAGGTGCTGTAGACAGCCCCCTCACTTACACCCATATAAAATCTCTGTAACAGTGTGGTGCTGTTAGTGTACCAGACTAGACCTGGGAGACCCAGGTTCAAATTCCCACTTGGCCCTGAAACCCATCACTCCCAGCCTAACCTTCCTCACAGTATTGTCCTGAGGGTGAAAAAGGGCTCCTTGGGGGGAAGGTGGAATATAAATGAAATACATACATAAAACATGAGTAGGATTCCTCTCAGGGAGGGAGAATCCAAATATCATCCCTGTATAAAGACCTTTCTTTTCCTTCCCCTCCTCTCTCATTGTCCCCCCTCATGGTAAAACTGTTGATGTAAGCTCCTTGGGGCAGGGACTTCTGCTTGGATTAATCTGCACCAAGACCTAAAAGGAAGTGGTAAATTCTGAAGTGCAGGTGTTCACCTAATAGCCATCATAGCCACAAGCCTTCAAAGTATCAGCTTGGCTTTTCTCCCCCCTCTGCTTGGCTTATTTTGTGAATTTCTCTGTTGGGGAATGAAACTTTATATTTTACATGCAGAATATTTGCAAAAAGTGCCTCAGGAGATGACAGGCATGCCCCTCTAGTGAAATAAAAGGCAGGGCTTCCTGCCCCGCCCCACAACACCTCTTTGTAAAAGAATAAAAATACATTAAAGGAATATACTCATCACAGAGGGCTACATGAGACAAGCCACAGCTGCATGGCACTATGGGACAGCAAAGCCAGAAACTGCCTTTTGTTTTCAACTTCATCTCTGTTCTCTGGAAACAGCTGTTTCCTGTGTGCAGTCAAAAAGGACACAATTGTGGAGAGGAGGCCTTCTGTGTCAACAATACAGTGCTTCTCACATCACTCGGTTCAAAATAAAGCCTTTTAAGCAGTGTAACTTGCTTTCAATAACACCCATTAGTTATTTCCCCCCCAAAGTGCCAATCATATTCCAACAAACATGCATACACATAGCAAAGCATTTCAAACTTTCTAAAATGTTATGCAGCCCTTGAGTGAACTCCAAAGTCACATACACCATTGGTTTGATCTGTTGTCCATCCAGCACAGATAGCAACTGAATAAAACCCATGCAGCTGCAACAGATCAAAGGCCCATCAAGCCAAATATCCTGTTTCTACCAGCGGCCAACCAATATCTAGCTCTGCCATTCAGACTCTTAGACAGGAGACACCTGTACATTCTTGCTAGTGCCAGAGGAACCTAACTCATATATTACAAATATTTTCATACCACAGTGTTCTAAGACACTTCTATGGTTGTATTTATATTCCACCTTTCCTCTAAGGAGGTCAGGTGGTTGCCCGATTTTCCTTGCTCCCCTTTTTATACAGTGGCACCTCGGGTTAAGTACTTAATTTGTTCCGGAGGTCCATTCTTAACCTGAAACTGTACTTAACCTGAAGCACCACTTTAGCTGATGGGGCCTCCTGCTGCCGCTGCGCCACCGCTGCACAAACTCTGTTCTCATCCTGAAGCAAAGTTCTTAACCCGATGTACTATTTCTGGGTTAGCGGAGTCTGTAACCTGAAGCGTATGTAACCCGAGGGACCACTGTACTTGCAACAACTCCATGAGATAGGCTAGGCTGGGCTGAATGAGAGCAACTGGCTCCAGGTCACCCAGTGGGCTTCATGGCTAAGTGGGAATTTGAATCCAGGTCTCCCAGACCCTAATCCAACAGATGTGTGCAGTGCAGTGCAGTGCTTGCGGTTGTAATCTTCCACCCCAAAAAATAATTCCATCGTTTACTATATGCTGTGTGAAGCAAAACTTCCTGAAGTCTGCCCTGAACGGAGGTGTACCTAAGCTCCCTTGTGCCCTTGACAAGGAGTTGTATTGGTGCCCTTGTCTCTTGGGCCCTTAGCAAGGAGATGTATTGGAGACCAGGCCAGCAACCGGATTCCTCTGCCAAGATGCCCAGAGGAGCCTGTGCACCTCACCCGGTTGCCCAGAGCAGTGGAGGAGTGGCCTTGGGAGTGTGTGAATGGGGGCGGGTGGGCTCCTAGCCACTCCGAGCCAGTGTGCATAGGCACAATACCTGACTGAGCCCTAGACACACCCCTGGTCCTGAATCTTCCAGCATTCAGCTTCATTGGATGCCCCAAGTTCTAATATTTGGGAATTCACTTTCTTAATACCATGCATAACATTATATCTGTCTATCGTGACACCTCTGACTTGCCTTTTCTCTAAACTAAAAAGTCCCAAATGTTGGAACTTATTCCACATAGCTTACTAGATCCATGCTTGGGTGGCCTCAAGGTCAAACTGTTACATTGTGCTCCACATGGGACTGAAGACAGCCTGGAAGCTGCATCTAGTGCAGAATGCAGTGGTCAGAGTGCTGATGGACAGAGTGGATTGAACCCATACATACTGATCAAGGGAACTTCACCGGTTGCCAATCCACATCTAAGCCCAATTTAAGGTGACATGTAAAGCCCTACAATGACTGGAGACCCAAATATCTGAAGAAGGGCATCTTTACATATCAACCTCCCCATTGATATGTGGATGGGTCTTCTCTGTGGTGGCTCCCTGTCTCTTGAATGACCTCCCACCCACATTAATATCAGTGAACCATGGCTGGGAACCATTTGCACTTTCTGCAGCTTGGGAGGCTGGGGCTCCATACTTTGTTCCTGTTTGGATGAAGCAGCATGCTTCCTTCTGTAGATATTTGTAAAATGGCTTTGGTCCCCACAATTGGGGCATGAGACTCCAGAGATAGGGCAAGGCTTTGTTTTATGTGCACTGCCACATATCTTGCAGGAATGGCCCAGAGCTGAGGAGCTGTCCTTAGGAACTGCAGACCGCACATAAATAAGTCTTTGCCTCCTGGTGCACTGTGTGCCTTTGATTGTTATTTTGAGTGTATACAGGCATTGTAAGTTGTAAGGGCTTGAGCTCTGAAAATGTTTATTGCTTGAAAAGGTGTGAGACTGGAATGCTCAGTAGGTTTCTCTTTTAAGTTGCAATCAAAGATGCTAAAAGCAATTTTGTCTCTTATCATCACATCCTCTAAGGCTCCAAACTCACAGTCCTGAGCTTTGTGCTAGAGTAGCAATGCCTTCTGTTTCATTAAATTTGAGCTATCCAAACCGATAACATTCAAACTCTCTAGTGTCACAATGTTATTTAAAGGCTGGTGATGACTCCTTGACCGTGACTGCGAAGACTCCTCTATATAAACCAGGGGTCGGCAAAGTTTTTTGTGGCTTGGGCTGGTTTATGGTCATGCAGATGTTGCAGAGGGCCAGAGTGCACGCACACATGCATGCGCAAATGCTATTTCTGGCGGTCCTTCCGGTGCGGAGGAGGCGTGCACAGCTTCCCATTGGCTGCAGGAGCTTCCTGTAGCCAACCAAGTGGGTGGCGGGGGTCCATGGGCCGGTTAAACGACCGCTTGTGGCCCATGGGCCTTAGGTTGCCGACTCCTGATATAAACCTGATATATATAGAGTGGTGCTGATAATGCCAAGGTTGCAGGTTTGATTCCTGTATGGGAGCAGCTGCATATTTCTATGGACTAGATCAGCGTTTCACAACTGGAGGCCATATGGCCCCCTGCCCCCCCCGGATATTACAAGGGGGCCACAGGTGAAAATTGCACAAATGGGGGGCCTCAGCATGAGACTAGGGACCACAGAGGGAAGTGAGAAGTGAAGAAAAGTAACCAAGAAAAGAAAACAGAAAACAGAGAAGTACCGTGGTACCTCAGGTTAAGAACTTAATTCGTTCCGGAGGTCCTTTCTTAACCTGAAACTGTTCTTAACCTGAGGTACCACTTTAGCTAATGGGGCCTCCTGCTGCTGCCGCCACACAATTTCTGTTCTCATCCTGAAGCAAAGTTCTTAACCCGAGATACTATTTCTGGGTTAGCAGTCTGTAACCTGAAGCGTCTGTAACCCGAGGTACCACTGTAGAGTGAACAGAGAAGTGATGGTGCTTCCCACGCACATTCTGCGGCAACGTCGCTTCCGCTTCCTTCTCCCTCCCACTTCCGTACTCCACTGCTGCATGCACCAAGCTGTCCACATTTCGTATGTCTCGGGCAACGTGCGTGGCTGCAGCAGTGTTAGTGTGTGGGGTGCTGTTTCTTTATGCAAGTACTACTGCGAAAGGAGGTATGTTACTCAGCCTTGTTATCTTCCACCTGTTCTGCTGTTGGGACTTATTGGATCATTCTTTGTCTAGCTCCTCCCCTTTGACCTTACCACCTTGGGTGACCATGCTGGGAGTACGAGATTCCTGATGGTTCCGCTCACAAGGATCATAGAACATGCAAGCCCATTCCCCACAACAAGGTGATGATCCCACAGAAGACAATCTTACTCAGCTATGCGTGATTGCCAAAGAAGTTACTCAGCCTAACACAGAATTGCCTTAACATAATGGACAAAGGTGATCTTCGGTTATCCCTGAGAGCAATCAAACCAGATATAAAAAAGCTTGTTTCTGCACAAGGGTCACATTGATCGAGGACAAGGGTCACATTGATCGAGAAATACTTAAAGTATTTTTTTTTTATGTAATTGCATTTTGTATAAATTATAAAAATTATGATTTTGTTTGTTCTGTTTACAAACAAAACATTTAGATAGCTACCTTTCTACTGGTAGGACAGGCTGCCACAGGAAGGAAACAAGGTTTGGGAATTGGGAAAAGGTTGAGAAACACTGGACTAGATGATCCTCAGGGTCCCTTCTAACTCTACAGTTCTGGTTCTATGAAAAACTGTTATGGTTTATTGAAAGTGAAGGCCTACTTTGACACCATGTGGTATCCCACTGGTTTGGGAAGCATACCGTGCAACCGTTTGCCCTAATTCCAAGAAGCTGGAGTCAGGAAAGCTTCAATACAAGTACAGTATTTCTTCATAAACAACAGTTTAGCAATTCAACATAGCAGCTAAGGTTTGCTACATGGGCAAGACTAAGGTTCCAACACCTTTTCGGTTGGGTTACTATTGCATGTCTTTTTAAAACAAAAACAGGCCACATCCGTTATATTGGGGGAAAGCCTCAGAAAGCTTAGAGGTGATCCACTTGCAAAACCTTTGTGAGATTCTGTAGAAAAGATCACGGAATAGACGAGATCCTCCCATGTAGTTTTTGCTAGAATGTTTTTCTCCCCAAAAGGCCAAATATGAAGGGAAAAAAATTGCACTGCGAAAGGATTTGCAAATACAGCGGGTTAGATCTGCTGCACGCCGCTGCCCCAGCCATGACCCAGCCGCCACCTTCCCCTTTAAGGAAACAATGATGGCAGGAAAAAACAACGCCCCTCACTCCCGCCCCAGGGGAGGGACTCACTGCGCACGCGCCAGCCGGCTCCGGCCAAGGCCTCCAAGTTAACAATAACAACCCCGGGCCACGTGATAGACAGGAGGCGGGCTTTTGCCTTGTGCCGGGCGGGAAAGAAAGGAAGAAAACACGAGACTGTAAGGGGCGTGGCCCCAAGCAACGACCGCCGGAGGGCGAAGAGGCGGGCCTAAACACAGCCACGCCTCCTTTCGCCTCCCCGGCGATCGCCCAGCGCTTGCGTGCTCGGCGCCGCTCACCTCCGTCGCCCCTGAGTGGCTGAGCGGAGGCGGCCGGGCGCGCGCGCGCACGGAGAGGAAGAAAGAGGGTAGCGGCGGCGGCCGGGAGGGGGAAGAAAGAAGGACTGAGGGAGGACGGGGGGGGAAGTGCGCGGGTGCGCGCGCCGGGCGCTGACTGGACTCTGAGGCGACCGAGGGAGCTTGTTCCGAGGCACTTTCGGTGGGCGCCTGAGGCGAGGCCGACGGGAGGCGGAGAAGGGGAAGGAGAACAGCAGCAGCGGCGCCGCTCGGCTCCTCCTCCTCCCCCTCCTCCGGCCGGGGCGGATGCTTTGTGGGTAGGAGGAAGAGGAGGAGAGGCGGCCGCCTGGCTGGCTGGCTGGCGGCGGCGGCGGCGGGGCCTTGCGGAGAAGATGGTGCTGCTGAGGGTGCTCGTCGTGCTTTGCTCCTGGGCGGCCGGAGCCGGAGGTGAGGCGAGGCTAGGCCGCGTCGGAGGAGGGCGAGTGGTTCCCCCCGCTTCTCCCTTCCTTTTCCCTCTCCCTCCTTCCCTCGCCCCGGGAAGCAGCCACTTAAGCAGCCGAGGTTCCTTCCTGCCCCCGGGGGCAGCTTCCCTCACGGCTCCCGCTCCACTCCGGTTCTGGGTCCCCCGCCGCTCTTTCCTTTCCCTGCCCCGATAGCGGCTTCAGTTCTTTTTCGGTGTGTTTTAATTGTTGGATTGGGCCCATTTTGAAAAGGGAGGGTGGCGGGGAGTCTCCTCCACACTCTCTTGTCTCTTCCTTTCACTCCTTTCTGCCGCCGCCACACTATTTATTTCGACCCCTCTCCTGCTTTTCTGTTTAAAAGGACAGCTCCGGGCTCTACGTAAAAGAAGAAACTGTAATTATGAAAAGTATAACTATACAGACACACACACACACAAACACACACATGCAAAGGTGGCCGTTTGACCCATTAAGGGGAAAACCAACAAATAAAAACCCACGGTTGGGAATCCTTTTACTAGAAGCAGCCAAAAATGTCACGACTGTGTAGCAGTCGTTTGAGTTCTCTAGAACTCTTTATTAGACAAGATGTTCCACAAAGCCCAGGTGAAACGAGGCGAAATAATAAAAATACAGTAATGGGGAAAAGTGCAAAGCTTGCAGCCATGAGGTCAGCTTAGAGACTCCAAGATGAAGCTTGCAGGCTGATTTATTTATTTATTACTGTTTTGATAAAATTTATATACCACTTGATTGAAAAAACACACTCCCTAAAAGCAGTTTGCAAGTACGGCTCTTTTACAGTGACACTTGGAGGAGACTGTTTCTCCTCCACTTAGTCTTATGTGCATACAGTAATTGCTTTGGGGTAGCACACTTCCCCCCAATAACCGTAAAACATTAGAAAAATATTGTATATACATGCCTTCATGTCTTTCCTGCCTTTTCTCTACCCTCCCCACCTAAGTATCTGACTTTGCCCTCTGAGATTTCCTCTCCTCTCCTTCCTGCTGCCTCAAATGAATGGAGGGGGGGGTTGTGTGAAAAAGGGGAACAAGGCAGATACATGTAAATATGCTCTCTGCACTCACACCTAGTATGGGGTAGTTTCCAGTGAGTCTTTTGACTTCCTGTTGTGCCATCCCTCTTTCTCACCACTGTCATAGGCCTGGAGTCTGATCCAGTTGGGCATCAAGTCAAAAGAGCTAGAAGACTTTCAGGAGGGAGTAGGCCTTCTGAAAGTTGTATATTGTATCTGATACCTGGAAGGAATGATACATTAAATGAGTTTCTAAAGCAGGGTGAGGTATTTCTGAAAAGAGGAAGTGCCATATTGTTGAGATTTGCTAAAATGTTAGTTGTGATTTATGGCAGATCTGCTTCTTCTATTTTATCTTTTGCTAGCATTCTGTCTGTGGTTCACTATCCATATTTTGAGTAAGCTGAATAATTTTGCTTACTTAAATCAGAAAGCAATTCTTGTGGATCAAAAATAGAAGTCCTCATCCCATCATTGCAACTTACTGTGAGTGCTCAAGAAGCGGCTTGGGATTGTGGCTTTGTCTTTATGCATAACATCCCTAAAGTGTCACAAAGCTTCTAGCACATTTATTCTGTCATTATCTTTTGTGGAACTGTACATGATGAAGGGGGCCTCTTATTGTGATTCAAGTTTTCATAGACATACAATGCAGTCCTAACAATGAATACTCAGCAATAAATCCTATTAAATTCAATAGGTTATATGACCAGCTAAACAAGATTAGGATTGCAGCCTAATCTATTAGTCCAGTGGTTCCCAATTAGCTAACTACTGTGGCTTTTCAAAGGCCAAGTCATGAACCCACTACTTTTGAAAATGTTGATGATAGTTATGTGGGTGGGTTGAGCAGACCACCAATTGGGAACCACTGTATTAGTCTCAAACATACATGGGGACTTTTTTTGCTCTGTGCTGTAGTGGCAGCTACTCTAAAATTTTGATATTATGGAAGGCAGAATAAACACATTTATCTTATAGTATCCTGCCATTCAAGGGTGTTTTGGTTTTACTTGCTCTTTGACGCAGGTTGGAATCAGAATAATTTTGTCTGAATGGTGACAAATTCCTCAGTTGGTTACCAATTCCAGACATGCTGCTCTGCTAGGAAAAAAACAAAAAATAAGTCTTTTAAAATACATTTATTGTGGTGCAAACTTTTGTTGACGAGAGCTGTGAAGTGGGCTCTAATTCACCAAAGGTATGTCACAAATGAGGCACCACTGTTTCCCCCCACTTAAAAGTGGCAAAACATGTCTTCTTTGGAAGGGCACAAGGTGTGGTCCTGATGATGTCATAGAACTTGCTTATGAGTAATTCTTATCAGGAAGTGCAGTAGGGCGTGGATTAACAAGATTAACTAACATTTCAACATCACCGGTGTAGTATGGTTTCAGTTAAGATCCTGACTCTTGGAAAGGGCCTATTTAAAAGTAAACCACTTTTACATTTCACTAAGTTCATGCAGAAGCTTTTGTGAGTTAAATAGTGTTTTTTTTCTACTTAGGGCAGTGGTTCTCAAAGGGTGTGGCATGCCACACTAGTGTAGTGGGAAAGGATGGCAAGTGTGGGAAGATTCAAAGACAATTGGAGAAACATTTAAACATTTCAGTGTTGTATAGTATCAAAATAATCTTTTTTTATTTGCAGAATAGGGACATATCTTTTCAAAATGAGAGCAAGAGCATCAAGTGTGTGGGAATGATTGTTTTATACTCTGCAGTGATTTCATAGAATCATAGAGTTGGAAGAGACCACAAGGGCCATCGAGTCCAACCCCCTGCCAAGCAGGAAACACCATCAGAGCACTCCTGACATATGGTTGTCAAGCCTCTGCTTAAAGACCTCCAAAGAAGGAGACTCCACCACACTCCTTGGCAGCAAATTCCACTGTCGAACAGCTCTTCCTAATGACAGAAGTTCTTCCTAATGTTTAGGTGGAATCTTCTTTCTTGTAGTTTGGATCCATTGCTCCGTGTCCGCTTCTCTGGAGCAGCAGAAAACAACCTTTCTCCCTCCTCTATGTGACATCCTTTTATATATTTGAACATGGCTATCATATCACCCCTTAACCTCCTCTTCTCCAGGCTAAACATGCCCAGCTCCCTTAGCCGTTCCTCATAAGGCATCGTTTCCAGGCCTTTGACCATTTTGGTTGCCCTCCTCTGGACACGTTCCAGTTTGTCAGTGTCCTTCTTGAACTGTGGTGCCCAGAACTGGACACAGTACTCCAGGTGAGGTCTGACCAGAGCAGAATACAGTGGCACTATTACTTCCCTTGATCTAGATGCTATACTCCTATTGATGCAGCCCAGAATTGCATTGGCTTTTTTAGCTGCCGCGTCACACTGTTGGCTCATGTCAAGTTTATACTTTCTGGGTGTCCCGTGATCATATTTTAAAGTAGTTGTGTTCTGTATTATAAATGAAGCACTGCTAGTTGTTGTTTCTCTCTCTCTCCCCCGCCCCAATGTATTTCTTATCAATTAAAAATTTGGTGTGTCACAAACAAATTTTTATTTTGAAAGTGTAGCCCAGAGGAAAAAGTTTGAGAACCACTGACTTGGGATGTTCACATATGAGTATGTGCAGACCAGTGGTTGCAAATGATTGATAGCACACTTCAGACTTACTCAGTTATCAACCTTCTGTTGTTCTGCACTTAAAAAATAACACCATATTAAAGGTTTCAGTCCTTGCTTCAGAAATTCTCAATTGGAGTTAGTGTTATTAAGTGTTGGAGGATTTGCAATCTTAAGTATACTGTACTGAAAAGAAACTTTGTCTATCAACATACTTTTAGTTGTTGTCTCCTCAGAGTCTGAATCTAGTTGTGAGACCATATAACCTATGCTGTTGAGATGATTGGTAGGGTTAATGGCATGTTGGGTTTTTTTTTTATAATATATAGTAAACTTCAACCTACTGTCCTTCTAAGAGAAAGTCCATGATTGCATTTCTGCATGTGCATTTTAGCATCTTCTTAGCCTTTGCAGTCTCCAGTATACTTTAAAAAATGGGCATAAAAGTGGCTTCATATAGTGCAAAAAACCCAGAACCTAGTTCAGGATTGGGAACCTGCCGTCCTTCAGTTGTTGAACTCCAATTTCCATCATTTTTGACTATTACCCATGCTGTTTAAGTAGATGAGAGTTGGAATTTGTCTGACCTAGTCAAAGCTCAGAACTTATAAAATTCAAAGTAATTTAAAAACTCAATTATTGTCAGTTAACTAGAGAGCGATTCATTAAGTCAGGAGATCTTTATAACTGTTTCAGCATTTTACATGGAACATGATGTATTCAAGCATCACATTTGCCTGGTTAAGATATTCACCGAAACTTTGACTCAGATGACCTGAAACTGTCTATGACACTGCCCTCTCTCTTTTTCCTCTATGCCTGAGAAAGAGTGGCAGCTTTTGTTTTTATGCTGGAACTAACTACAGTTTCATATTACATTACATCTGAATTGGGAAGCAGAGGATTAAACAAAGTTAGTTTAAACAAAAACCGGATGAAAACACCTCAGTTCAGATTTCAGCTCTGCCATAAATTTGCTATGCGGCCTTTGGCAAGCTTCTGTATCTGCAATATGTGTGATAATAATGCTCAGTTACTTTATTGGGTTGTTGTAAGTGCATGTGAAGTATGGTACTTTCAAGTATTCAAAGTGATGTGAAAGGGCTATATAAAAAGCATTATTATCAAACTGGTTTCAGATCTTGGTTTAACTAACTTTAATTTGAACAAACTGAGCTCTCCCAAGTTTAAATGTAACATGGAACTGTAATTGTTCCAAAGTGAAAGCAGAAGCATTAATTCTCTTCCTCTTGCACATAAATTAGTACTAAATAAGGTGAAAAGGAGAGGCAGCATAAGTCTGAGGCCTACTGCCCGTTATTTCCAGTCACTGAAACAATAGATTCAGTGAGACAATAGAACACGGCCCCTATTTCATATATCTGTATTGACTGATTGTAGTGTCAAGCTTTGTGTTTACTGCTATAAGAGAAAGTAAGGTTGTTTGACTTTGTGGCTAGTTTAATGCCTGGAAATTAAAACTTTCAAGATAGGGTCATTCTTTGGAGCATTTCCTAAGTTTGATCTGAGAATGGAAACCCATTAACTTTCATCCAAGCAGTCAGCAAAATGATCCAACAGTTTGCATATTCTTTGAACCACAGACATCTGGAATAATTGCTGATAGTTGCAGGCTGGGAGGTAAGGTGTGCTCCTGGTCCTAAGTTCTAGTGTTTATTAACATGGTATGTTGATGAAAGTGAAATGTTTACTGTAGATGCTCTTGCAGATTACATGAATCTAGGAGTACTTATGTACTTGAGGCTAGTATTTACAAGGCATGTAAATGTTCCTGTTCATTTTGGTTAGTCTGGTTTTCTTTGGCTATTCTCCTTTATGTTAAAAGGACAGGCAAGTGTTTGCTTGTATGGTGGAGTTGCCAAGCACCATTTTGATATCTTGGAAAATTCCAGCTTCACATTATTCTTTATTTTTGTTTCCTATCATATGCAACTTACTGTTGTCCAAAGTTATGAAGTTTATGACAGTTTTCTTACCTTAATTGTTTTTGAATTAAAACAGATTTTGTATTTACTTGCTTGTTGGACTTACAGGGCTGTCTAAAAAATACTTGCAGAAATATTATGCCAGTTTATATGAAGCTTTTAAACTTGTTCTTTCTGAAAATCCCTATTTAACAACTTTTGTGGAACCTGGTATATAAAGAATAAGCTATTTTGGAGCTGCTTAATGAAAAGTTAGATTTTTGTGGAAGAATGGAAGTCTTTTTCAAAACATTTAAAGAAATATTATAGTATGATGAATTCGTGAGCAGTGTTTGAACTATGAGCAACAGAAGGAATCAGAGATTATTGTATGATGGTTATGATGTAAGGGAGAAAAAATAAGGGGCAGCAAGGGGAAGAAATTAAAAACACCGTGGAAAACGGGAGGGGAAGTTGAAAAAACAAAGAATTTTTTAAATGCTTTGTTTATGTGAATTTTTTGTAGTTTTGAATTTTAATAAAATATAATTATTATATTATTATGCTGCTCATTTATTCCTCTGATACTGGTTGCTGGGGAACATGAGTGCAAGAGTGCACTCTTGTCCTTGTCGGATTCCTGTAGCCATCTAATTAGGAGTCTTAGAAACTGGGATAGAAAAGGTATTTGCCACATGGCTCCCTGGAACCTGGGTTATAAGTGCAAAAACCGAATGGCTACTGTAGCGGCACTTTGTTTATTTTTCCATAGAGAATTTATTTGGTTTATTTTGCAATTTGTGGTATTGGGAGGGTTGTAACCAGCCATAGCAAAGCAGGTCATACAGAGAGCACAGTGGGGCTTAAAATTAGGTGTGTATATGACAGTAACGCCCAGTGAACTTCATGGGGATTTAGCGTGTCTAGTCATACAGTCATATACCACACTGCTTCTCAATAGGAAGAACCTTTTTCTTTCACTTTGCAAAGTCACAGCTTCTGCCAGTAAGGGACCATGTCTCATTCTGTACAGTCATGCCCACATAATGTGATTTTCAAAGTTCTAATGTTTTTATTTCTGAAAAGGAAAGCACTTCCCTGTAAATGGTACAGGAGTACTCATGCAAATACATCCTATTTTAAAAAGTAGGATGATACTCCACCAGTTTGTTTTTTTAAAATCCAGCATTATGATATTCTTTAAGAGACACGGTGATGAGAATTGCACACAGTATTCCAAGCGCAGCTGCATCACAGACTTGTATAAGGCCATTATGATATCAGGAGGCAGGTGGCGCTGGGCTGTCTGATCAGAAGGTTGGCGGTTCAAATCTGCGACAGGGTGAGCTCCCATTGCTCTGCCCCAGCGGCAGGAAGGTAAATGGCGTTTCCGTGCGCTCTGGTTTCTGTCATGGTGTTCTGTTGTGCCAGAAGCTGTTTAGTCTGTGGACAAATGCCACCTCCCTTGGCCTGAAAGCGAGATGAGTGCCGCAACTCCATAGTCACCTTTGACTGGACTTAACCGTCCAGGGGTCCTTTACCTTTTTTTTTACCTATTATGGTATTTCCAGTTTGTTTTCAATCCTTTCCCTAATGATCCCTAAAATATATTTCCCCATTTTATTGCTGCCACAACCTGGGTCAACTTCTTAATTGAGGTATCCACTATGACCCTAAGTTCTTGATCAATCACCACCAACTCAGACCTCACTAGCATATATGTAATGTTAGGATTCCCCCCCCCCCGCAGCGTGTATCACTTTGCACTTATTAACACTGGATCAGATTTATCATGTTAATGCTCATTCATCCAGTTTGGAGAGATCCTTTTGGAGTGCCTAACAGCCTCTTTTAGTTAAAAGCTACTCCAAACAACTTTGTGTCATTAGCAGACTTTGCTAACTCATCTCCAGGAAAGGTTAGGAATGCTGCAGACTTGGGTTCACAAAGCAGAAAACCCACATCCATTAAATCTCACTCACTGTCACAAATGGGCAAGACTGGAACAAAGAACTAGACCTGAATGTGTTTCTTATCTATTTCAAGAGATAATAATGTTTATTCGACTTACACACCTCCCTCCACACCAAATACACCATCAGATACACAATATCAAATTTCAAAATGGGATACACAGGAAGGAACCCCCCCAACCCTCCTTTTTATCATAATTTCCAATGTGCTTTCCCCACCCCAGTGCTCAACCTGCATTCCTGGAAAAAACGACGCAGTAGAATCCAAATAAAGGGTGTAAACCATTATTCTTCTAAGCAAGCCAGCAAAAATATTATTATAAGATGAAATGAAAGGCAAACAAGAACAGATGCTCTGCTTTACTGCTAGAGCCATTTCACTTTTGAGATGCAAGGTTACCATTAGAAGCATTTTAAATAATCAGGCAGCACAGGAAAAAAAACATTTAACCTGCTTGTGTTTGTTTGCAAACTACAATGTGCTTTCTACTCCACCCTGCCCCCGCCCCTGCAGGAGATAAACAATTAATTCAACTGTGTGAAAAAACTTTTCCTGTTTGCTTACTTTCCTACAACAATGAAAAGGTTGCCCTTCAATGATTCCCCCCCACCCACAAGATATCTGTTGCAAACCACCAGACTGGAAATCTCAACTTGGCCACTGGCTGGTGCTCCTGAATAGCAAAACTGGCGATAGAGTAATTTCAAACGCTGTGTCTGGACCAGCGGCATAGCATTGTTTGCTGGTGCCCGGGGTGGGAGTGTGCAGGCTGGGTAGGGGCTAGGTGTGGAGGGCGAATGAAACCTGCTGCACCAGCCTAGTGGACGCCACCAGGCAGATGCAGAGTGTGAACGGAACCCGCCATGCCAGCTCAGCCCTTGCCACCAGAGCCAAGGGGGGTTCTGCTGCACTGCCCACCCATGCAGAGGGGAGCCTGGCCAGCCAACACTGGCCTTGGTGGGAAAATTTTCCCCAATGCCTGTCAAGAGGAGCACTGGGCCGGGCTACGCAAGGGTTGTCCTTTGCCTCCGTCCCTTCATCTGTGCCTGCTCACCGTCTGAGCAAGGAGCAGGCCACTGCTGGCTGGGTTCAGCGAGCGGGCCAGGGACGTGGCAGTGGGGCTAGGCCAGGTTCTGGGGCCCAGAGACCTCAGACAGCAAGCAAGGCGCAACAGGTAACCCTGCATGGGGGTGCCTGGTTCGCGCCCCCTCAAAATTGTGTGCCCAGGGCCACGACCCCCGGCCCCCCACGCTATGCCCCTGGCATGTCCGCCCTCTGGGGATGTTTCGTTTTGACTGTTTTTACACACTAATACCACATCCTGTAGAATTCTATCAGTTACCTTTTATCTGTACAATAAAAATGAATTTAAAGATTCCTAACGCTTTTTTGTGCAGCTTGAGCAGGAACAGTGAACAGTGTTATAGTTACCAGTAATTGTTGTAGCTTGTCTTTGCTTACCCTACCCCTCTGCCCAGCTCACAGTTCTGAAGAGTATTATTACATTATGAATGGTCTGTGTCACCATTAAAAAAAAGAGAGGTAGGAATAGGCCAATATATATGAGGATATCTTGACAGGATATTGTTAAATTCTCAAAGTTTTTAACCTAGCTCAGGGTTGTTATCAGAACTAGCCAGATGTTTAAATCAATCACAGTCAGTTCATCATTTGAAAAATAAGACTGCCTTGCCCCAAAATGGCAACTAGACATTCTGTTTTGGTGACTCTAACCTTGGTTTAAGGAGCCATTTGGTGCGTAGCTTATATACCTGAGTTTCTAACACTGCTTTAAAGCCCTATGGCCATGGCCCTGTATAGCTGAAGGAGCGTCTCCACCCACCTTGTTCAGCCCAGACACTGAAGTCCAGCTCCAAGGGCCTTCTGACAGTTTCCTCACTGCGAGAAATGGAGTTACAGAGAACCAGGTGGAGGGACTTCTCCATAGTGGCATGCACCCTGTGGAATGCCCTCTTGTCAGATGCCAAACAGTTTAAAAATTATGTGACTTTTAGAAGACATCTGAAGGCATCCCTGTTTAGGGAAGTTTTTAATGTTTGATGTTTTATTGTGTTTTTAATATCCTGTTGGAAGTCACCCAGAGTGGCTGGGGAGGCTAATAATAATAATAATAATAATAATAATAAATTATTTATTATTTTATTGACCACCTTTGGCACATTACAGAAAGGTAGGGTAAAATGCTTTCTTTAATTTTATTGAAACTATTACAAAAATATTCAGATTTAGATGGAGCTGCCTGCAGCTTGAGCTGGTAAACAAGCGGGGGGGGGGGGAGAGTTAAAAATAAAACAAAAGCTAAAATCTGACATTTTGGTAGACAAAAGTTATGGTTACATAATTTGGGCATAACAAAAATAGCATGTACAGCCCAAATTTTATGTAGAAACAAAAACCACAATTTTCGGAGAAAAAAGTTGAGAAGAGAAAAGAATAACCATAGGATTAGTTCTTTCTTTTTAGTGCTGGTCAGTGATATTTTATTAGGTGCCCCATAAACCTTCTGTTCATATCAGTTGGAATATTATTTCCCCCACCCCACCCATAGGTTTTGCATCACTAGTTCAATAAATGGTTTGGTTTGGTTAACTTGAAAAATGCTAGAGTGATTTTGCAGCTCTGTCTGTATTTAAGAGCCAAGAGATACAAAAGTGATCATTTTTCTAGATTGGAAGAAAGTGAAGAAGAGACCAGGAAAGGGGGTTGCTAAACCTTTTTAAAAAGCTCATTATTCATGTCCACTTATTACTATTTAGATCAGTTCCATATCAGTGTGTGCTTGCAGCTCGCTATCAAACCAGGTCTTGGATGACTTTGCTGTTGGTGGGTGGGTTAGGGGATGGGGGGGAGTTGCAATTCCACAAATCAAAATGGTGTATCATGATAAAACCATTGTTGGTAAGAGTGCTGTCTGAAATGCTGTTCACCCTAAAAACTGGTGCTGTCTTAATCATTGAATTGCCTCCTTTAAAAAAAACCAAAAAAGACAAAACCCCTTATAAAACTAAAAATGTACAGTGGTACCTCGGTTTTCGAACGTCTTGGAAGTCGAACGTTTCGGTTTTCAAACGCTGCAAACCCAGAAGTAAATGCTTCCATTTTCAAACGTGCCTCAGACGTCACACGGCTTCCACTGAGTCGCGCCCCCCCCTTTCTCTATTGAATTTGCAGGCTGCCCTTTGCGCCTTGGTTTTTGAACGTTTCGGAACTCAAATGGTCTTCCGGAACGGATTACATTCAAAAACTGAGGTACCACTATATTTGCTAAATATCGCCTTGTAAGTATTTTGCTTTGGCCCTCTTACTCAGTTGTGTCAGACTTATGTTCTAGTATCGTCCTCCCTGTTGACTGGAAGTAATGGAACTGAGGTTCCTTTTAGTATTTGCACATGTTTGGGGCCATGTGCTGTGAGACCAGTTAGGGAGGAAGTGGTTGCTGAGGCTGGGCAGTGAAGCGTACACCAAAGCAGAGACTGTTAACAACCGAAAAGGCTCCCAGAGCAGTTTGCAAAAATCAGTAAGTCAGGTTTGCAAATTAAAAGACACAACCCAAAAAGAAAAGGGCTTGGGAGACAGGCGGGGGAAATGCAAACTTGGGCATTTGTTTTTAGTCATGAAGTTCTTACTACCATCAGTTGGTTTGGAAGCAGTTCAAGGAGAAGAGGTGCCAAACATTGCTGGTCTCTCAGATAAGCTGATAAATTGGCTGTACTTATCATCTCTCCCTGGATGCTGCATAATGGAATGGCTGCTTCTGGATGACAGTTTTGGGAAGACAAATGCCCAATGGGGTTGGCTTCATTTGGGCAGGAGAAAAATAGTGTTCTAGCACCTTGACCACCAATATATGAACATAGGAAGCTGCCTTTGGTCCATCTAGCTCAGTATTTCTAGGATTTCAAGCTGGGGACCTGGAGGGGCTGAGGATTGAACCTGAAACCTTGTGTATGCAAAACAGATGCTCAACTACTGATCTACAGCCCTTTGTTATATGGCTGCACGTATACTTCGACAAGTTTTGTTTCTTTTATAAAACTCCCTGTGTTTGGTTCAAAACTTGTCGGATGGAAATGCACACTTGAATTTGAACTTTGTTTCAATTCCATATGATGCCTACTCATTTCACAATTGGTGTTCTCCTTAAGCTCAATTCTCCCATGAAAAATATCCTTAGTTCTTTTCACTCTTTAACGGTCTCTCTTGTTTTTTGTCATAATCCTTCTTACTATATTGGCTCCATTTTCTTCTGTCATCTAACCCTGGTTAGATTTTTCATTTTTTTCAGTTTTATTGAGCAGTTGTTTTTAATTAGCGGGTTAACTCTTTTAGTAGATACAGTAGTCTATTCAAACTGAGAAGTACAAGCATAATCTAGTTCTCAATATTTTTAGGAAAAAAATAATCTTGGAAAGCTGTTTTCAGGCCAGATTATAATTTATCTGTACCTGTGGTAGTGGCCTTCCAGATTCTGAAGCAAACATCTTTCCCATCACTTGATACAAACCATGATTCATGATACATTGCCAGGACAAAAATTATGAAAGCAATATCACATTATGGACTTTAAACCGGTTTTGGGCGATATATTGCTCAGCCCCAAGACTAGGAATTTAATTTAGTGATTTCTACATGCAAAGCATGTCTTCTGGGTCACTGAGCTGTTGCCCCTCCCCCCTTAGAAATATAATTTCATTAAAGTGGAAGTGTCTAACCCCTAAGAGGTTCGGCTGATGGAAAGAGATTTGTCCGTGACTCTCCTTTCAGCTTCAAGTATGGGTGAGCATCTGTACCTTTGTCTTCTGCGTCCACTTCTAAAACCTGTTCACTCTCCAAAGGAAGTCTGTTGGCTTTGCTCTGCCCAAAACAGAGCACAACTCAAAATGCTAATATTTATCAGTTTAATAATAAATTTCCTAGTTCTTCACTAGCAGATCCAGGGAAGGTTAAAGCAATTCAAAATTCAGAATTAAAAACATTTAAAATAGTACAGTCTCAGGCTAGGGTAAAGAGGTAGCCCAATGTGTTTCAGTCTAAAGGTTTCTTCAGAAAGGGAAGTTAGTGTCCCTGTTTCCTTTTCTCTTTCTTTTGGTGATTGGCTTCGTAGGTACTTCCTAGTGTGTATTTTTATAGTTCTGAAAAGGGCAAGTTATCCTGACTGTCTATTGAAAATATTTGATATTTCTTAATCTGAAGTAATAGTGTTTGGAATCAAAAATATAAGTTATAAGCAACATCTTAAATGTATTTCAACATGCTTTGGAGTTACAACTGGTACATGCAAGAATATCGCTACCATTTGATGTTGAGTTTGTTTTAACAATCTCAATTTACTTTTCTAAGCAAAAGGTTTAGAAAATTAAAGGAGAATGAAAATAGAAATAGTTTGGGGAAAGAGCCTTTCCCTTATTTCTGAAATGTGCCTGGACTGACTGATTTATCAATCCACTGTTTTGTTCACAGGTCAATACGGAAATCCTCTAAATAAACACATAAGACATTATGAAGGCCTGTCATATGATGTGGATTCATTACACCAAAAACACCAGCGTGCCAAAAGAGCAGTATCACATGAAGACCAATTTTTACGCTTAGATTTCCATGCTCATGGAAGGTAAGTATCAGATCAAGCTTATTACTTTATATTCCTTAAATTTCATCAAATATAAAGGAATGGTAAAGAATTAACTTAATATTAACATTGCATTGTACTTATAGTTATGGTTCTTGGCTGTTGAATTCCTTCAAGTTTTTCATTCAATGTGTAAAGGCACTTAGCACTTTGCACCTTTTTTCGGCAACCTGTTGGCTTCAAGACTTCAGGAACTGGACAGACTTTGACTAATCTAGTTTACAGTCTGGGGCACAGTGAAATCTCCTTTGTATATACATAGCTGGTTTTTCATCTGTTAATGTTCAAGGCTGAGGTGCTGAAGGAATGAAGGATAAATTGCTCCTTGCTGCATACATTTATAAGCCAATGCAGCTACATTGTTTTTTTAAAAAATAGCTGAAAAAAATAACACGTTTGTTCTCTTTTCCTTTACTCTTGCTTTGCACACCACTAGCTCTGTTCTACTTGCATTTACCAAAACTTTCAGAAGTTTATCTTACAAAATTCAAGTGAATGTAATTTTAGTGGATAATTGTTTGTGTAGAAACCGGTTGTGTCTCCATCTAGCTCTTAAAAGTTGTATATTTATAGTATTTAGAAATCGGTAGTTTATTCCCATAGTAGTAATCCAGGGATAGGGGACATCTGACCTACAGAACAAACTTGATCCACAAGGCAGTTTTCCTGTGACAGGTGGACTGGACAGCTTGACATCAATATTAAATGAAAAGCGAAATTCATTTTGGGAAAGCCTTTACTCTCTTGCGTGGTTCCAACTGTGAATTTCCTCTCCGTTTTATGGTCTGGGCCTGCTTTTCTGTTAGCTTAGGTTTTTTTAGTTAGAATTACTAACAAGCAGAAGTAGATGTAGGCCCAGCTAGTTAATAGACCGGATTACTGCAAAAGAGCTTTATCCTATACTTGGCTTCTTGCCGGAAATGAAAGAGCAAAGAGAAATTGCCCCGCTCTAACTAATAAAAATTTATGGATTTCTCCAAGATTTCTGGGTTTTGGAGTGAGAAAAAGCTCGCTGCAAATTGTCCTGCTTAGACCTGACTCCCCACCCCCAGTATTTTGTCCCCTGCTTATAAGATTTTGCCAAGTGGTACTGTCTCTTGCAGCTTTAATCAGAGCAGTATTCCTAATGTGTACTTCTAGGCAGGGGGCAGATGTTTTCCTATAAGTGGTTGAAATAGGAAACCTAAAGATTATAATAAAGGAAACTGGGAATGCATGGCTGCAGTACCAGATGGTATTTTGGGATAATTGGGCTACATTGATGGCCTATGAATATCAAAGAAGGAAAGTATTTAACAAGATTCAGGATGTTCATTCTCACTCACACTCTTAACAGCTCATGTTCTTGAGGTATTTTTGTAATTGAATATGGCCTGTAGCTTAGTAGTTGAGTACCTTGTTTGTATGCAGAAGGTCCCAGATTCAACACCTGGCATCTTCAGATAGGGCTTAGAAGAGAATGCCATCTGCAACTTTGGAGAACCCCTGCTGCCCAGTGTAGTCAGTATTGAGCTGGATGGACCCAGTTGTCTGACTCTGTAGAAGTCAGCTTTGTATGTTCCTTTGTTTACATTTAAGTTCTGTTGTCTTCCCTTTACAGACAATTTAACCTTCGAATGAAGAGAGATATGTCTCTCTTTAGTGATGACTTCAAGCTAGAGATATCAGATAAAGTACTTGATTACGATACCTCCCACATATATACTGGGCACATTTATGGTAAGTTCAATCATTTTGTATTTAAAAAGTTTGTTGTTGTCTTAAGTTAGTGATAAATCTGTTTTAAGTGTAATAGTGAACAATAGATCAGGTCTCAATAATTGAAATATTTTTGGAAAGTCCACCTAAAAACTGCCTCTAAAAGTTGCAAGTAATGTGGATTTAAGCTGAAGTGCTCTCTTTCCATTGGTTTTTTCAAATCGCATAAGCTAAAGCTACTTACCTCAGGCGAGCCTCACATCTGGCCTACTGCCTTTAACTGAAGGTGCACTATGTGTGCATCCTGCCTGCATGTAGCACCCCCTCACTGTTTTGACTGCACCCACTACTGGAGGACGACCTTCAGAAGATTGGCTCTGAAGGAAGGTGGGCCTTGGGCTCAAAAATATTCCCAACTTCTGCATGAGACCTTTGCACCAATGGAGAAAAGGTGTAAGTCATCTTTCAAATTAAAGCCACTTCAGCAATATTTAGATGGCCAAAGGTTTCTGAACTACAGCTGCCATTATCCCTGGCAATTGGCCATGCTTGCTGGGGTTGATGGGAGTTGTCGTTCAGCAACAAAAGAAGGGCCAAATATTCCTCAAACCTGGATTAAATAATTTATTTGTATGAATTTATATGAAGTACCTTTGTTGCTTGTGTTAAAATTCAAGCATGGATCCCTGTTATGCCTTTGAAACTAATAAAGCCACACAAATAAATGCATATAGCACATGCTGCACTCACACACATGCAGATACTTTGCATGTGTTTTTCAACCCTAGTTGTTGAAGGGTAAATGATCTTTATGGAGATACACCTAGGGAGGATTAAGTGATCAATTGTTATCATGCATAGATGGAATCAGGGCAAAGGTTTTTTATATATATATAAAAATTAGGATCACACTACATGTATCAATTGACCTACCAATGCTAGGATGTTTGCTTTTACCAAAAAATAAAAATAAAATAAAATAATAAAATAAAAAGAGTTTATTGGCCATTGTTAATGTAGCTATCACCTTCTGTACTTTCCTGCATTTAATTTCTTTCTGATTGCACTGTTTACAGTTCTACCACCACTACCAGCTATGTGTTTATTTTCCTGTAACACTTGAAGGCATCTGAAGAAGTGGACTGTAGTCCATGAAAGCTTATATCATAGTAAATTTGTCAGTTCTTAAGGTGTCCCACAATTTGTTGTTTAGCTATAGCAGACTAACATGACTTAACCCTTTGGAAATTATTAGAAAGGTTATTATTCCTTCATAGCACAAAAAGTCAGCAAATCAGTAAGTGGCTTGATGGTGTCAGAAATATTGCAGGACATCTTGTTTGCTAAAACTCATTATTTGTGTATTGACAAATAATGTTCACAAAGCTAATGTTACGAGTCTTTTTATGGATAATTGAGACATGTGTTGTTTTTTAAACTTTCGGAATAAGTTTAGTCAACATCTATCAAAAAGACATCCTTTTCATTTTTCTGTGACTTTAAGGAAAAGGCTTGTTAAGAGAGTGGGAATTTAAACATTAAAGAACTGACCCTGCTAATGATGTTTTCACTATTTATTAAAACTAATGATAAACTGGAATTGTACAGTTATGTGCAGAATGGTGTATTACTTTTTTGACTGTTTGCCACCTGCTGAAAAGTGGTAAACAATTTCAGCAAGATTGGCCAACCGAACTATTATTTTCAGAGGTTAAATCTGTGACAAAACCTCATGGTAGAGGTTTTATAATAAGCTGGTTAAGCATTCATATAAGGGTCACATGGTATTTAATACAATATTTTTGAAGCAACTGGGATAGCTCTGCAACTTTCCTGCTTTGAGCAAAGCATGTTAATGGTGGTTAAAGGAGAAGGCGGCTGGCAGGGGAGGGTATCAGCTGTTTGCAAGCATAGTTTAAGAAGCTTAATTATTGGTGGTTGATGCCTGAGTATGAAAACTGCCAGTGCACTATTTTCTTTAATCTTTTATTTCTCCTCCAAAGGTGAGCAGGGAAGCTTTAGCCATGGATCTGTTGTTGATGGAAGATTTGAAGGATTCATTAAGACTCACACTGGGACCTTCTATATTGAACCAGCAGAAAGATATATTAAGGACAGAGCCCTGCCTTTTCATTCAGTCATGTATCACGAAGATGATATTAGTAAGTATTTCCGTTTATCATGTACCTTGAAAATAATCAGTACAGCACAAATATGTGCGACACTTGATTTTTTATGAAAGCAAACCACGTGAAAGCTGTTCCCATACTCATGTAGGCATTCGCTGTTGTGCTACTGTGTAAATATATGATAAAAACCATAAATCTCTGACTGCAAGTGTGGGGATGACAGATGCCTAAGGGCTAACTTATGGTGGGGTACAAACAACAACAGCAACAACACCACATGGGAAGTGATATTACACATATATCCTTGGTCTGGGATACCAAAGTGTTAGGGAATGCATGTAACTGAAGAGTGACATCACAGCTATAAATTGCCATAGGTATGTTGCCTTGGAATGTTATATCAGATGTGTTTCTTAAGCAATAACTATTAGTATCATACAAGATAAAGGGTGGGCAAGACCTGCACATATTTTGTAGGTTTTGCAGAAGCAATTTTCCTTAGTATTTTAATTTATTGGATGTGTTGCACTGGCTGTCAGTCTCTGAAATTAAATGTGTGGCTTAGCAGTTCTAGTGATTGTCCGTGTCTTGAGGATAGCATTAGGGAATCTTGGAAGGACTTCTGCCAGCAATAAAGCTTTCCTTTGTTGTGTTCTGCTCTCTGTCCCTTTCCATGACCCCTTTGTTGTCTTAAAAAAGGACCAGCCTAGTCTCTTCATTAGGGAGGACAAATTGGTGCTAGTGTATGCTGGGGCCATTGCTCTGGCTCCTGCCAACTTTGGTTAAAAAGCTATCTGTTCAGGCAGTGTGCCAAGAACTTCTGGGTTCAAGTGAAAGGAATGGGTAGTACATTTCTTGAGATCATATTATGGAAAATCAGTAGCCCAAGTTGATAAGGATAATTAAGAAGATATAGCCAAACATAGTTCAAATCAGCTCCTATCTTCCACCTTCATCAACTTCTCTGTTGTCTCTGCTTTTTATTAAAGCTTCCTTGAGGTTCCTGTTTGTCTTCAGTTACCTCTTCTTCTGGGATCCCTTACCTCAGATTCCTTCACCTCCTTACCTCAGATTCCTTCCCAGTTCACAGCCTTCTTTGCAAGGCCTCTGCCCTTAAAGTCTGTATTAGTTTCTAATCTCAGGCATTTTCACCTCTCCTGGAAAGTGCATGACCAACATTCCATCAGCTTTGAGCTTTAGAATGTTTATGAACAGCCCTTGCCATCCCAGCAGCTTAGTTAATACTGTTAGTCTTCACTCATGAGCTCAGATACATAATACAATCAACAACCAAAATTTTCATTGCACTGTTCTCATTTTGCAACTGGCAACGGACCTTTTGAGATTGGTTGGAGATGTCCAGGATCCACCTTTGTGCCTAGCATCTCCAGCTGCCTGTCTGCTGGGCACCACTCTGCCCCGCAAAACACCTGATTCGCCAAGCAGAGCAGCTGCAAAAGTCTCTCTCTCCCCCTCTCCCTCTCCCGAAAGGGCTGGGTGGGCTCTTCACAGCTGCTGAGCTGGCCGGTTCCATAAGTTTGAGCCGGCAGGAAAGAGGGCACTATCCTGGCTGGTTTACTTCAGCTGCCTAGAAGGAAAAGGAAAGGCGTCGAAGGGGAGTTTTATTTCTCTCTCTCTCTCTGGGAGATTTTCTTCTCAGCATGCTGTGGGATTAAAATGGCCAGAACTTTATTGAATTCAGGTGTAGGTAAGCCTTGGCATAGGCCAGGCTTCCTCAACCTCGGCCCTCCAGATGATTTGAGACTACAATTCCCTGCTAGCTAGGGATCATGGGAGTTGTAGGCCAAAAACATATGGAGGGCCAAGGTTGAGGAAGCCTGCTAGGCATTGGGCGTTTGTCACTCTCCGCCCCCTGCTGAGGTTCTGAGGCATGACAGGGTCAGTTAGGGGAAGAAGGGTCCAACGCAAAATGCGAATTTATGCTGCCGGACCCTCTCCAATTTGCTGAAGGGAGCTCTGTGGCCTTTCCTCCATGCACTTCTGACACTTGGACAGACTCCCCTCATGACCCCTCTTACCCTGTTATTGCCACCGCCCTTCCTTGCTTTCTTCCTTCCCGATCACAGCAGCAGCGAGTCTTGCATTAACAATGGAGATGTGGGGGGCTTTGGACAGGGAAGTGAGCACTCACTTGCTCTCTGAAGAGCTCAACAGCTATTCTTGGGATAGCAGTGCCTTGAAATCTTTTTAGAGAGAGGGGGAAAGGGGAGGAGAAGCTGGAGCCTTTGAGGGGAGAGAGAGCCAGGAGCAGCCACTTTGCCTTGAGATCTCACATCAGTACAGGCAAAGAATTTTTCTCAGCTGCAGAACCTCCCCCACCTTTACATCTAACCCAACTATACCTACTCTGCTATTAGTTTAGCAGCTGGATTGGAAGCAAAGTATGGAATTGGCAAGGCTACAAAGGAGAGGTAGAGATAGAAGATACTACTGCAAACCCAAATGTATGGGAGCAAAACAGCTTGATGTTCCTGTTTAGGACATTCATTTTGGAAAACTAGTTTTTATACAAACAGACCACCTTGACGGTGTCCATCATTTTGTCTGAGGTTTATCAGATCAAATTCAGCTGACAGAGAATAAAGTGAATTTAGTGAGTGAGTGATTGTGAGAAGTCTTCTATCCTGTGCTTTGAGGCACTCTACACTATGGGAAGGTAACAAGACAGGCATCAGCTGAGAAGATTGTTTGAGATAGACAAAATATGTATTTCTAATGGATGAGCCTGTTGGTTGCCGGATCTTTCAGTTTTTGGCAGGAATATCCTTTTAGCGGCTTTTCAGGCACAACAATGCAACATATGTTTAGCATCACAATGAAGTCTTATTCAGAGTTTAAACAAAAGCCTATTCTGCAAGTGGGGATCTTCTTGTCCACTTTCTACAAAGCCCTTTGTCCATGTTGCAGTGAAATTGGTGGCCAGTAAAAGGTGACCTTTCTATTCTAATTTCAAAATAGGGTGAACTATTTTAGATTCTTACTCTTGGATCTTGATTCATACTTTTTATGTGACTGATGTTAAATATGTAAGTGATAACATAATTTCTTTTTAAAAAATCCTTTCTATTCTGTTTCAAGATGAATTGTCTTCATTAACTAGTACTCGTTCTTTGCCGTAAGCCAGTGGTTTTCAACCAGTGGCGCGGCACCCTGGGGTGCATTGAATGATGGTCAGGGGTGTCATGGGCAATTTTCCTTCTCCCCCCCCTCCTCTAATGCCCTCTCCAATCTCTGCCTCCCAAAGGCTTGCACAGCTGTTTGTTGCAGCAGCCCTTCTGCCACCCAAGATAAGGTACTGTGCTTATGTTCACCTTTGGCCAGTCTCTGTTGGGCCACTAAAGCTGGGGGCATCCTCTGCCCAAGCCCCTGTGGGGTAGCAGGAGCAGACACCTCTTTGGGGGGGCAGCTCAGAGACCAGGGGTGGCTGCAGCGGCTGCCCAGAGGACTCCCGAGGAGAGGAAAGGAGGCTGAGGGAGGGTATTCAAAAAAGGAAAAGAGGCTGTCAGCTCTGCAGGCAAGGAGTGATATAACTGGGCTCCTGAGCACCACAGGGGTGTTGCAGAAAAAAGATAGTTGGTCAAGGGAGTTGTGGACTCAAAAAGGTTGAAAACCTCTGCTGTAAAGTTGTGTTACGAAATGCAGAAATCACTGACAATTTTCTCGTAGAGCAAGATTTGCAGTTTAATCATGGCTTTTTAATATACTATTGGTGCTAAATAAATGGTGGGTGGTAGGAAATGGGACTGCTTTGGGGCTTGTTGGCACATTTGATTATACCCCCTTTTCTTTCATATGTTCAGATCAGAATTAAAAGCTGATAATACAATCAGAATTGTAGAGTTGGAAGGGACCCTGCGGATCATCTACTCCAACCCCCTCCAATGCAGGAATATACAGCTGTCCCTTATGGGAATCGAACCTGCAACCTTGGCACTATCAGCACCATGCTGTAACTAAGCTACCCAGCTGAAGAAAGTTTAAAGAGAAAAGAAACTATCTAGCAGTAGATCTAGATCAGCACCCATTCGAAGCTGTGATATTATGAAGAAAATATTGATTAATTGGTCAAATTGCAAATGCAAAAGCTGGTATATATCTAATTTTAGCATTAAGTAGTACTTTGTTAAATATTTTCTAAAAATAGCTTGACTGAATCCTTCCCCCACCAAGTGCCTTGGATTTGCTTTATATAGGAATGCTTGTTTTGTTTGTTATGTCATAGTGTTTCTTAATACATACCAGGAAAATGAAATAAGTCATAATATAATACAGTGAACAGCATTCTTGTGAAATGATATTTTTAATGAGAGAAGATGTGCATACTGGAGCTTTCAAATTCTATTTTTACTACTTTAACTGTATTTCACCTTACTGTAGAGGATTGCAGTTGGGAAAATAGCCACCTGGAAGATTGTGCTTGTTGAGACTAGATTTGGTCTCGTGACATTAAATCATGTCTCAGATCTACAACCATGTTTCAAGACAGAAAAGCTCCCACTGAAATCTGGGCATTTTGCATAAAAATTCAATTTCCCCTGAGCTTCAAGATCCAAGGTTAGGGGCAGGAATGCATTGAATAAGGTGAAGTGTGTCCTGCTGAACTCTGTGCAAATGTGACCACACTGTTTTTTGCATCATCGTATAGAGTAGTAATGGTGACGCAAGTAACCTCCGGCCCTAGAAGTCATAGATGATGTGTATATTATGTATTATAGCATCATTTACTTAATTGGGATGAAAAAAATAAACCCCAAATTAATATATATTGCTTCTCCTTCTTTGACTGAGTTCAGGTCCAAACGAACACATGAGTAATGCCAGTGTTCTTCTAGAGCATGAGTTAGGCATCTTACTGAAGGGCTGGCTAACCTTGCAGACGCTCCTGGACTACAACTCCTATAATGCCTGGCTGTATTTTTTAAATTTATTATTAAATTATTATTTTTTATTGGCTATGCTGCTTCTTTGCCTCAAGAATGCTACCTGAGAGCCAGTCAGGGTATATTACCTGGTCACTGAACTCCATGCTCTGGTAACCTCCCAGTCAGACTTCGCAATGTGCACTATGTGGGGCTGGCCTTGAACATGATTTGTCAACTTCATCTTGTCTAAAATACTGTGGCCATGTGATCAGCTGGGGTTTCATGTAAAATGTACATTATCTCTGTTTTGAAACAGCTGTATTGGTTGCCAGTTAGTTTCTGAGCCCACTTCAAGATGCTGCCATAAAGTGCTAAATTACTCAGGCCCCAAATATCTGAAGAACTACCTCTTTCTTTATGGATTCTGTCAGATGTTAATATGTGCAGAGAGGGCCTACTTGTTAGTTTCATTGCCCTCAAGAATCATGGGGAGGGGGTTGCAGCCCAGGAGGGGGCATAATGGGTGATCGCTCCTAGTGTCAAGCAGTTTTCATTGTTTGTTGAATACACCCCCTTTACCTTGGACTTTGACAGATGAGATTTTTGTGAGGCCACCTGTATCGCCTTATACATATCTTTTGGTTTGTTTAAATTCCTTTATTAGCTTCCTCTAGACGAACCATGAGCTTGTAACCAAAGTCTGCTTTAGAGTTTACAGTTCATGGTCTTGTCCATAGTGAGACAAACCACAAGCCAAAAAAAATGGATAACATTTTAAAGCGAAACCATGGCTTAACCTCACAGGAGGTCCAGAGGAGGAGCACAGTATCCACACACACTCACATTTATAGTAAACCATGTTAGTGTTACATGTGAATGAGTCCTCTACTTGTGCAACCTGCTGGTAGCAGTGGCATTTGGGCCTAATTATTGCTCATATCAGTAATAACAAAGTTGCAGCTGGAGGCACTATTTAACATTAGAAAACAGTTTGTAAATAATTGCAGCCTTCTTGTGAGCATGCGGTATCAAACCATGAACATCTCTTTGTTGGCTCCTCTTTGTACATACCTACTACCTGATTCTTCTGTGCCTCTCCAGTATGCAAGCTCTTAAACGCTGCATAGTCAAAACTGACATAGTCCTAATAAGGACTGACATAGTCCTAACTGTTCATTGGCATTAGTTAACTCTTTCCCCCCTTTTTAGTTACTTTGAAATCACTGTAATCTTAAAATAGGATTTGTTTGTTTTAAACTTGGAGGGAAATGGATATCTTAAGTTCAAAATGGCTTATGTGGGAAGCATCCAGATTGTCTTCACTAAAAAGATTTGATAGTAACTTACAAGTATTAGGCAGATCTGTCACTAGTTTCATAATTAAGATCCAACTAGTCACTTGCTTTGTGTTCTAGGATACCCACATAAATATGGACCACAAGGTGGCTGTGCAGATCATTCCGTATTTGAAAGAATGAGAAAGTACCAAATGACTGGTGTAGAAGAGCCCATGAGCCAGGTATATAAATATAATCATTTACTCCTGACCCCCACTACTCCGTATTAGGATGCTCATAGCTTTGTAAAGGAACTTACACTCTTTAGCCAGAAGCCAAAGAGCTGTTTACTGTAGCCATGACCAAGGATCATGCCTTGTGATAACTATGTCATTATTGCAGACTCTCCCCCTTCAGTTTCAAAAAGGAATTGATATATGTCATAGGAGGACTGTATGAGAAATACAAGCTCAAAGAACCCTTGATGGCACAAAACTAGTTAAACTGTTACTTGGATCTGAATCATATTACCTGATAATGCAGTTTACATTAAATTTCCTGAAGCTTTACAGTCAAGAACATGGATACCATTAAGCTAAGTTGATTTATTAGGTTTTCTGATTTTGATTAAAAGTTAATTGCAGCTTTTAAGAACATTTTAAATACCTGTCAGTAGCAGGCCTAAAAACTTGGCTGAAAATTTCCTCAGGCTGCAGAAATGTGTCTTTTTTCATTGAAACTTCATTCATGCATTCAGCTGGCTCATGAGCTATTTTATTTCCTCTTAGTCCTTAGATAAACTTTGCATGTGCCAGATTAATTGGAGGCAAACATTTTTAAGAGCCAAGTCACTGTGCCAGTACGTATGGTAATAGGGGAATGTGGCTGGATTCAAGCAACTGTAATTGTGGACAGTGCAGAGATGTGTCAGACCACTCTCTCACTAAAGAGGACAGCCAAGTCCTGCATGATGGAGGATAGAAGCTTCGGTGTTGAACACATCTTTGCATATTACTGCATCAGAATTTATCAGCCAATACAAATTGTTAGTCACCACTTGCCCACAGATACCTTCTACGTGTTGGAGCCCTGCTTGATTTGAAGGTTCTTAACAGGCCTTATTTTCTCTCATCCTTTCCCGCCCCCCCCTCCCCCGTTTTTAATGCAGATTGTCACTATTGTGTTACAGTGCATAACGTTTTTCGTTGTGTGTAACTGAGGCTGCAATCCTAATCCTACTTACCCAGGAGTAAGCCCCACTGAATTCAATAGGATTTACTCCTGAGTAGTCATGGTTAGGATTGTGCTGTTGGTCTCTGTATTCTTTGAACTGGAAGGCTGTATAGAAGTGTTATTTATCTATATTGCTAAGCTCCTTGGCTTTGTGTGCTACAGCAAAGTTCAGAGGAATCTGCCAATCATGGCCCAGAGCTTTTAAGAAGAAAACGAGCTGCTCAAGCTGAAAAAAACACTTGTCAACTCTATATTCAGACAGACCACCTATTCTTTAGATATTATGGAACAAGAGAAGCTGTGATTGCGCAGGTAAGTGTTTAAGCTATTGCTTCAAGTGAGAGTTTTCTTTTAAAGGAGGTGAAAGGAGGATGTCCTTTATGTAAAAAGTCATCTTAATGTACAACTGCCTACATTGTTCTTTTCTGGGAAATTGTCATGTATACAACTTTTTGCACAACACATAAAAAGGACATTGTCAGCAACAGAACCTATAGTTACTTGTGGATGTGCACTATGGGTATTTATGTATCTCTAGAACGTACGATAAATGCCCATGCAGGGGGTGGACCCTGAAATTTCCCTGGGATGTGGTAGAGCACATGCTTCTTAATATACAAAAGGTTCCAGGTTCATCTCCAGGTAGGATTAGAACCCTAGAGCAACAGCCTGTTATTTTGTACTGCTTTTAATAGTTTTTAAACTGCTTTTATATTGCTGTACATGGCCCTGACATATTTATGAGGGTGGTACATAAATACTTCTTTAAATAAAGAAGTAAATGAACCAAATGAATCAATGGTTTAAGGCAGCTCCCTTGACATTTTGCCTCTCAGAGAACTACATGCACAGATCTTTAACCTTCTTCTGTTTCAGATTTCCAGCCATGTTAAAGCAATTGACACAATTTACCAGTCAACAGATTTCTCAGGAATCCGAAATATCAGTTTTATGGTGAAACGAATAAGAGTAAGTACTCTGTAATTTAATTTTTAGAATTTCTGTTCCTTGCAAGCTCTAGCTAACTTAGCCATTCCTGCTAAATAAAGTGTTTTCAGTTGCCTATTATTTATTCCAGTAGTCCAGTGCTGGTGAACATACTGTTAATTCTTACCCTATTTACACTAATGGAATAAAAGATGTGGAGGCAACTTTTGAATCTTCGCTACAAATGAAACCAGCAACAAAATGTTGCATTGAGAAATGTTCTTGGTCAGGGTGCCAGCCAGCCATACCTCTTCCAGACTACCCATTTCATTCCTCCTCCCGCAGCTTGCCATCCTCCCCCAAACACATTCAGTCTTCCATAGCCGCAGAGCAGCGTGAAGTTCTTCCCTCTTGTGTGTGGTACCATTTTGACTAACATAAGCATTGAGATTCTCCTCCAAATTCCACTAATAGAGGGGTGGACTGAGTTTCTGAAAATCTCAAGGAAAATCAGTTGGTGAAATTAGATTATTTACTAAGAAGCCCTGCCTAGTATAGTGGAGAAGTTTTGGACTTTGCATTTGGGTCTGAATACCTGCTCAGCTTTGGAACCCGCTGGTGGGCTTAGACCTAGTCACTTTGTCTCAGAGAGATTATATAATGGAATATTAATAATTTAGTGCTCAGACTTGATGACATGAAAAACAAACCTTACGGGTTTGAGAGCAATAAGAGGCAAATGTTATTTCTTTCCACCCTTTCTTAAGTGTATGATAGGCTGTCCGTGTGTGCAGAGTGATGTTGACAATCTGACACTCAGATTTATTTATTTTTTTAGTTTCAATCTTTCATTCACTTGTTTCCATGACCTCCTCACACCTCCCCTTTTGTATTCCACTTATATTAGTTGTTTCAGCAATTCCTTTCCATCTTCCTCTGCTTTCTATCCTATAATTATCTTAACACATTTTGACCTTATTTTCCCCTTTAATTCTCTATTAATCTATTTATACTTAATTCCTTATAACATTTCTGCTGAAGCCATATAACTTCATTTCAACATTTTTCTAACATTCATTGATTTTACAATATTTCTGTAAATAGTCTTTAAACTTTTTCCAATCTTCCACCGACTCTTCTCCCTGGTCTCGGATTCTGCCAGTCATTTCCGCCAATTCCATATAGTCCATCAACTTCATCTGCCATTCTTCCCGGGTGGGTAAATCTTGTGTCTTCCAATACTTCGCGATGAGTATTCTTGCTACTGTTGTAGCATACATCCTCTGACACTCAGATTTTGGGTGTGATATTTTATCTCCATTTTCTGGCCAATATAAATTTTATGCCACTCCATCTGTACTATTGGGTGATGGTATTGAGGCCCTGAAGCTTTCCTATAACTGCAAATGTTCTTTGATTCCAATTACATTTTCCCTTAGAGTTCAAGGAATTTCTCCTCTGCATTTGCTTCCTCTTTGTTTAAATTTACTAGCCCCTAGGAATTGGAGTACATCTGTTGAGCTTATTACATTGTTACCATTTACTTGTTGTCCTTGGGTGGTGATTAAAGCAGTTCCTTGGCTCTTGGCAAATAATCTTTTCTCTGGTCCTGTGTCACTTCATACCATGCCTCTTAATGACTGCAACATCAAGCCACAAATTGCATGTGTTGAACTGCTTTTGCAGATCAAGCACCACAGAGTTTTCTTTCCCCCTCTCAATGCTTTTCAGTGGGTACTGTTCATATAATTCATTTCTGAGTCACTGAATGTTAAACTGGTGAGATTGAGTAATGTATATTATTATATCTGTGAATCAGTCTTTTGCAGTGTGGATTCTTACAGTGAGCATAGGTTACATATTTGAAAAGCTGCTACTTGGCTAGCAAGAGTTATTTGACACCGCAGAACCTTTTCTTTTAGATCAACACTACTCAAGATGAAAAAGACCCTACCAATCCCTTCAGGTTTCCAAATATTGGTGTGGAGAAATTTTTGGAACTCAATTCTGAGCAGAATCATGATGACTATTGTTTAGCCTATGTGTTCACTGATCGTGATTTTGATGATGGTGTCCTTGGCTTGGCTTGGGTTGGAGCACCTTCAGGTAAAAAAAAAAAAAGTTTATGTTGCTTGAGTGAAGTATAGAGGGCATCTTGTGTGTTTAAGATCTTAAGATCAAGACCAATCTGGCATCTCCAGTTAAAATGATATCTATTAGCAAGGATATCTATTTACCTGTATCCTGGAGAGCTGCTGCCTGTCAGTGTTGTGGCAATGGCCTGGCTCTATACACAGAGTTCCATCATGGCCAAAATTCTTAAATGGTTGTGTTGCCTAGTTTAAATGGTTAAACTCCTAGTGTTACTGAAAGGCAGCATACCTTGCTACCTGGCAGGCTTGCCTGACTGAGGTGATACTTCTTTTCACTTATACTACGTAGTTGTCATGTGCTCCTTACTCTCACAAGAGTATATGAGGCAAAGGAGATTAACTTCCACCCTACAGCTGAAGTGTTGAAATAAATCTTAACCAGCCAGAAAAAAAGTTACAGCTTTTCCTAACCTGATGACCTCCAGACATTTTGGACTACAACTCCTATCAGCCTCAGCATCATATGGCAGTGCTGGCAGCAGCTGATAAAAGTTGTAGTCCAAAATACCAGGAGGGCACTGTGTTGGGGAATTCTATGCTAGACAATACCAGAACAACTGCCATTTGGTATCATCAGTGCCCATTTAAACTGTGTACAGTGGAACCTCTGGTTATGTACCATCCTCCTTACTTTGGGTAACGAGCTCCGCTAACCTGGAAGTAGGTGTTCTGGGCAGCAAACTTTGCCCCGGGATGCGAGTGGAAGTCACATGGTGGCAGTGGGAGGCCCCATTAGCAAAAGCGTGCCTCAGGTTAAGAACGGTTTCGGGTTAAGAACGGACCTCCGGAACAAATTTAAGTACATAAACAGAGGTACCACTGTAGTATAAAGGGAAGAGTCTTGCTTTTCAATTAAGTGTCTAAAGCTGCCCTCATTGCAGTTAACCAAAGTGGAAGGATCATCTAGCACAGTCCAAGGCTAGAAGGATGTGAAACTCAAACTAATTTCAAAAACCCTTTGCAAGCAGTCAGTTCAAACCTTTGGCAAGAGTGGCCAGTCCATTCTGCAACAGTCTCTGGGATACAGAGGAAGAGGAAAGAGAAGGCAGTAGTAGAATGATAGACTACAAGTTGTTTTTCCCACTGCTAACTGTAGCCCATTGACAGAAGACAGGTTGCCTTGCTCATGTCTGGTCTTTGGATAGAGGTAACTTCGCTTGTTTACTACTTAATGTCCAGGTTCTGCCTAAGAGCAAGTGGCAAAGCAGATCTGCTTCTGTTTCAATGGGCTTAGGGAAAGGCTATAGTTCAGGGGCAGAGCACCTGCTTTGAATGCAGAATATCCCAGGTTAATCCCAGCATCTCTTATGTAGGGCTGCGAAAGGCCCTGTCTGAAACCGGAGACTTACTGCCAGTCAGTGTGTAGACAATACTGAGTTAGATAATTGGCATAAGGCATTATCCTGTAGTCCTTTTCAGGCATTGTCATTAGGATTTTCCTTTTTGTACTTATCCAAGTCACCTTCGGGGAGCAAGCCTTAAACAGGAGAATGTCTTTTGAACTGATTATGGTTTGAACTCACTAACCACTATACAGGTGACTTATGGGTGTTTCACTTCAGGGCATTTAGGTGCATGAAATACACTTTAGGGCATTTCTCTACACAGCATTTGGATGGCAAAAATAACTTCTTTTTTAAGCTGCTTTGGGAGTCAATATTGACTGAAAAACAACATATACATTAATGAGTAATGTATAGAAGAAGGAGTGAAAATTATCAACCTTATCCTTCTGCAAATATCATTTTTAAAGCCCACAGACGGCTGGTTATTTTGGCAACTTGCATTATTTTTCTGCAGACGTAACATAGCCCCTTCCTCAAAAACAAACAAACAAAACCTTCGAGAGACTACTGTTAACCTCTGCATACCACAATTTATGTTATTTTCAGGTCACAACCTATCCCACCATCCTATTAAAATTCCTGTTGATCAGTAGTTTCATCTTCAGGAAGACAATTTTGGATAACTGGTAACTCAGAAGTGGGTGTGACTTGTCTAACTGATATTTTTGTCTTTGTGGTTTCAACCCAAACTTCCCGAAGAACAGTTGGTCTGTAAATATACTCTTAAGAATGAGTCATACTGCTTGCTGAGATAAGCAGATATTCTTAGGCTAAGTACTTTGCAACAGCAAAGTGTGCTATTTAAGCACTTGAACTGTAGCACTTGGAAGAATCACAGTTTAAGAAGCACATATTTGAGGACCTCAAGAATTTATAGTCTACCCCTGCAAGTGCATGTTGACCTCCATATAGAATAGACTGTTGGCCATTGGGGGTTGCAGCTGAGGGTGGGAAAAGTTTGTGGCTTTGTCTCTGCCCCACTCCGTCTCTCTCTGAAAGCCATATGAAAGGCTAAGGGTCACATAAGGGCTGCAGGTTCTCCTCTCCAGTATAAGATAAAACTTTTTTTCCTCACTGAGGCATAGTTTGTAGCCCCCCCCCAAAAAAAATTACTTCTCCTGCTAAAATCCTAAGATCATAGAGTCGTAGAGTTGGAAGGGACCACAAGGGTCAGCTAGTCCAACTTCCTGCAATGCAGGAATGTGGGGCTCAAACCCACAAACCTGAGATTAAGATTCTCATGCTCTACTGATTGAACTATCCCAGTTGTGAGACCCTTTCCAAACTTGGTGACAGAGTGGAAGGCCAGTGATACATGCTGGAGCAAAGAATCAAAACTTCAAATAGAGCCTGAATGGAATGATAGGATTGTGGAAAGTGGTCATAGGATCATGGAAAGCTGCCTTGCACTGAATGAGACCACTGGCCCATCTAGCTTGGCCTTGCCTACACTGACCAGCAGCTGCTCTCTAAGGCAGGCTTCCTCAACCTCGGCCCTGCAGATGTTTTTGGCCTACAACTCCCATGATCCCTAACTAGCAGGACCAGTGGTCAGGGATGATGGGAATTGTAGTCTCAAAACATCAGGAGGGCCGAGGTTGAGGAAGCCTGCTCTAAGGTATCAGCCAATTCGTAGGAAAAACTCACTGTGTCAGTTTGTTGTTCTGTGGCAGAAGTTCTGTGTTGGAGATTATTCAAAACGATACTAGAGGTGGGGTAGTAATGTTACATAAACTAAAGCAGTTCCTCACTTAACCCCAAGCAATGAAATGTCCACTTAAGTAAAGTGTGGAATGTGCCAGAAATTTGAACTTCTGATGGAAGGGAATGCTTTGCAGGGGATTAAACATGGCCAATAAATCTGCCTGTCATTCACTCTTTGCACAAAGAGCTTTGTTACAGTTGCTCCTTGCTAATTGTGCCAGAATATAGGGTGAGATGTTTTGATATCAAAAGTAATGGCGAGAAAAGCTCTATTGTGGCATTTTCTTAGCTGGAATATTTATTCATAGCTTTCTAGTGAATCTAGAATAATCCCCTTTTAAAATGCTTTTGCTTAATTTTAACTGCAGGGAGCTCTGGTGGTATATGTGAAAAGAGCAAGCTTTATTCTGACGGCAAAAAGAAATCCTTAAATACTGGCATCATCACAGTACAGAACTATGGTTCCCACGTCCCTCCTAAGGTCTCTCATATCACCTTTGCACATGAAGTTGGACATAACTTTGGTTCTCCAGTAAGTATGAGTGTTACAGCTGCATTCCTAGCTAGCCCTGCTTCTACAGCAGATTAGGGGTACCCAAGAGTTGTGCTGAAATCCTCCCCTCCTGTTTTGTGTAAATAGAACTGATGTGAGTTGTGCTTCTCGCAAGTTAACAGTTTGTTGCCTTGACTCTTGAACGTGGGCAATCAGGAATTATCATACTTTCACAGTGCACGTATGACCTTGTGCAACAGAGCAAATGCTTCTCTCTCTCTCTCTCTCTCTCTCTCTCTCTCTCTCTCTCTCTCTCTCTCTCTCTCAGAGAAATGACATTTTAGAGCCTTTGCTATGGCATAGTTGAAAGAATACTGCCTTGTTCCTATACAGTTTGGCCTTGTTTTTCACAGCCTGCAGGGTCACATGTGCTAGCAAGCTTCTGCAAGATAGATGTTAACAAGGACTGAACTCTGCTTTCCAAGAACATGTCCTTTGCAAGCTTCAGTGAAATTACTAGGACTTGTGTGAGATGTGGCAGGAGTAGTTTGCAATAACCATGTGGAATGTGCTGTTTGTATAAATACAAAGGCGGACACACTCTCTTGTGTGGACACAGTTATTGCAACTTGACTTGCTAAAATGTAAGCAATGATATATAGTCTGGTTAACATAATGTGGAGAATCCATTTCTTTGTCCTGGCTTTTGATAGTGTTAAATATAACTCTTATCACTTATGCCAAATGTTTAAGAAAAAATTGCCACGTCTCTTATGGTTTATGTGACTAGCTTGTAGTGATACTGAACACCTTCCACTGGGATATAAAACATGTTGGGATTAGCAATGCCAATTTATGCTGAACTTGGAGTTTGGATGCTCAAAGCACTTTGAAATATTAAAATGTTTTTTGCTTTCATAGAATTATAGAATTGGAAGAGTCATAGAATCATAGAGTTGGAAGGTGCCCATGGGTCATCTAGTCCAACCCCCTGCAATGCAGGAATCTCAGCTAAAGCATCCATGACAGATGTCCATCCAACCTCTGCTTAAAAACCTCCAAGAAAGGAGAGTCCACAAGCTCCCAAGGGAGAATGTTCCACTGTCAAATAGCTCTTACTGCCAGAAAGTTTTTCCAAATGTTTGGTTGGAATCTCCTTTCTTGTAACTTGAAGCCACTGGTTTTATCTATTGCTAGAGTGGTTTGTTGTGGTTTTAAGTCTAAATTTTACTTCAGTTGGTGCTCAGACTGTTCATATTGTGCAGATAAGGGGATAACATATTGGTTATTAATGGATAGAAACAATCTATTGAATGTAAGAAAAATATAATATTGCTTATGGGTGCTGGTTGGTGAATGTTCTATGAAAAGTTTCCAAGTTAATTCCAGGAAAACTGGCTGCAAATATAATTTCTCCCTAACCCTGCCTGCCTCTTATCCTGGGGACATTCACTCCTCCACTAACACTATTACTGTAAAGCTGCCTTTAAGACAACAGAAAATTAAACCGAGAATTATCTCTCTTGCAGCATGATTCTGGAACAGAATGCACTCCAGGAGAGTCTAAAAACTTGGGACAGAAAGAAAATGGCAATTACATCATGTATGCAAGAGCAACATCTGGGGACAAACTTAACAACAACAAATTCTCTATCTGTAGCGTTCGGAATATCAGTCAAGTTCTTGAAAAAAAGAGAAATAATTGTTTTGTTGGTAGGTCGATAATTCATCCATGTTTTTTTGGGGGGGAGGGTGATATGGGAATAGGGTATCAGTATGAAATCTAGACAGTCTCAAGACTCCCCAATTTGTCATTTTTGAAAATTTCACTGGCCAGTTGTCCCTCCAATAGATAAAAAAGAAAGCCAAGCAAAACCAAGCAAGAACCTTGCTTGTCACCAATAAACTACAGCTCTGCTTGTTCACAAGTGTCCCACCCCCTAGCTCACACAGATGCTATTTTTCTGGGTCCTGTTCAAGGTGCTGGCATTTACCTTTAAAGACTCAAATTCTTGTCCCAACCTACCCATGTTTTGAGATCTGCTTGGAGCTCTTCTTCAAGGGCCCTTCTTAACAGATGTGCACTGTGTCACAACAAAGGAGAGGGTTTTTGTGTTGGTGGTGTCCTGATTGCAAAGCATCTTTTCACAAAGAAATGCACCACACCATTAAGTGGCAACCTTTTTACTCCTGGTTACATTTCTGTATTCCCAGGCATATAAATGCATGCAGTGCCTTAGCCTATGGTTTAGCTGTTGCCAAATATTATTGCTAAAGTTCCAGTTCCAGCAGAGATTCAGCAAGCATTCCTTTTGACTTGCAGGCATCACTTAAATATTTTTTCATGCCACAGGCCTATGTGGCTGTACAAAGGATATTTTTTTAAACTGACTAGTCATTTTAAGAATTTTTTCGTACAGTTTTTTTAGTTTACATAGCCATATATGGCTCTGATATTGCAGCATAGAAATACTTTTATCAATAAAATCATTATATTTGTTCACTATCTTGGAATCTACTGGATGGAGAGCAATATCCACATGTTTTGAGTAAATAGAACATTTTAAGCAACAACAAAAAATGCAACTTGTTTCCCATACCTGCTCTGGTTATTTAAAAGGAATTTCCCTTTTGTTTTGGTTCAGTTAATCACTGTGACCTCCAGTGTTTCTCTAAATATCTCACAATATATGTTTATTGTGAGAACACAAAGTGTTCTGAAGATCTTCCTGCTTTTCAGAATCTGGTCAACCTATCTGTGGGAATGGATTGGTGGAGCAAGGAGAGCAGTGTGATTGTGGTTACAGTGACCAGTGTAAAGATGACTGTTGCTATGATGCAAACCAACCAGAAGACAAGAAGTGCAAACTAAAACCAGGCCAGCAGTGCAGGTATTGATGTCCAACTTGGTTTTCACTATCTAACTGCTTGACTATTGCTGCCCCTGAACATTTTGCCAATAAGTATCTGTAAACCACAGTTTACAGTGGCAATTGAAATTATTCAACCCCCATTTCAAATTGTGTTTATTATCAAAATTAAAGACTTTCAGCTGTTTGCAGTGAGCAGATCAAACAGAAGCAATTGAAATAGCTCAATACAGTGGATGCTTCCCCAAATTCAGCTGGCATACTGGCTTCTCCAGTCTCACTATTACCCAACTCCCTGAATAGAATCCCTCACAACAGCACAAATACAACAGGTGTTGTCTCATGATGCTTGCTGTGTGCAAGGCCTGCCTGGGAACTGAATGCCCAGCACTGATGTGGAGCCTTTATGCCGTGCAGGCTCATTGGCACCCATTGCTGCCTCCTAAGGTGAGTAAGGTGCTGGCCTCATGTTCATCTTTGGCCAGTCTCTGTCGGGCTGCTAAGACTGGGGGCATCTTTCCAGGTCCCTGTGGGTGGGATGTGGATGCACCTCTCTTTGGGGTGGAGGGGGTTCAGAGACCAGGGGTAGCGGCTGCTGCCTGGAGGACTCCCAAGGAGAGAAGACTGAGGGAACACTCCACAAGGGAGGGTGTTCAAAAAGGGGTGAGGGGCTGCTGGCTCTGCAAGGAAGGTGTGACATAACTGGGCTCCTGAGCCCCACAGGGGTGTCACAGAAAGAATATAGTTGGTCAAGGGAGCCATGGACTCCAAAAGGTTGAAAACCCATGGGCCTAGGGGTTTGCTGAGCATCAAATTTGGCTGCATGTTAGAAATACAACGTAAGTCAAGAGAATGGTCCAAGAAGGTAAGTGAAGAGATCATCGGCCTTCACAAACAAGGAGCAGGATACAAAAAGATAGTGAAGGCACTGAATGTTCCTAGAGGCACATAGTTGGGAACATAGTTTGCAAGCTCAAAGTTAAAGGAACAATGGTTACATTACCTGGATGGGGCAGGGGGGAAAAGCTATCTGTGGCACCAACCAGATTTCTGAGAAGGCAGGCTGGGAAAAAATCTTGAGTGACTGCAAAAGAGCTGCAGCAAGACTTGGTGGCAGCAGGCACTGAGGTTTTAGTGAGCACAGTAAGGCACGTACTAAATGCAGAAGGTTTCCATCCCAGGACTCCCAAGACGTACACCACTACGAAACCAAAAGCACAAGAGAAGTCGGATCCAGTATGCTCAAAATCATATAAATAAGCCACAGAGGTTTTGGGATTCTGTTCTGTAGTGCAATGAAACAAAATTTGGAACTTTTTGGCCCCATGGATCAGCGCTACATCTGAAGGAGGAAGAATGAAGCATACGCTGAGAAGGACTCAGTGAAGCATGACAAGAGGGAGATAGACTGAAATTGCAGAGTTTTGAGAAATTAAAAAACAAAGTGCGAGACTGGCTTCATTATTATCAGATAATGGAGGCATACAATTTGGACAAGAAAATTGGCTTCCAGGTGGAAAAATCAAAATTAGAAACAGAACTGCTAGAACCCAAAACTAAGATTTTGTCAAAGATGTATAACTTGCTGTTGAAATGGAATACACAGGAAGAAACGGTGAAATCTGCTATGATTAAATGGGCACAAGATGTTGGACATAACATAATGATGGCTGACTGGGAACAGTTATGGACCACAGGTATGAAGTTTACGGCATGTAATGCCTTAAGAGAGAATATTATGAAAATGATATACAGGTGGTACATGACACCAGTCAAGCTTGCAAAAATCTATCATTTGCCCGATAATAAATGTTGGAAATGTAAAGAAACTGAAGGTTCATTTTTTCACCTTTGGTGGACGTGCCCAAGGATTACAGCTTTCTGGGAGATGATTTATAATGAAATGAAAAGGGTATTTAAATATACCTTTCTGAAGAAACCAGAGGCCTTTCTCCTGGGCATGGTCGGCCAAACGGTGCCAAAGAAGGACAGAACTTTCTTTATGTACGCCATAACAGCAGCAAGAATACTTATTGCAAAGTATTGGAAGACACAAGATTTACCCACTCTGGAAGAATGGCAGATGAAGGTGATGGACTACATGGAATTGGCGGAAATGACTGGCAGAATCCGAGACCAGGGAGAAGAGTCGGTGGAAGAAGATTGGAAGAAATTTAAAGACTATTTACAGAAATATTGCAAAATTAATGAATGTTAGAATGATGTCAGAATGAATTTAAGTGGTTTAAGCAGCAATGTTATAAAGGTGTATGTAAAAATGGACTGTTAACAGGTGAGAATCCAAAGTTATAAAATATTAAGTTAAAGGATTAAGATAAAAACAAAGAGGGAAAGAAATTGCTGAATTAACTAACTGAATTGGAATACAAAAAAGGGAGGTGTGAGGAGGTTCGGGAAGCAAGGAAATGAATGTAAGGCAGGGAAAGACTGATATATTTTTTTAAGTGTTTTTTATCTTTTTTCTGTATTTTGTATTTTCCTTTTATTTTTATTTTTGTATTTTTTTCCTTTCTTTTTATTTACGTAATTCTTTTCTTTGAAAGCTTAATAAATATCATTTAAAAAAAAAAAAGAACTCAGTGAAGCATGGTGGTGGCTCAGTGATGCTCTGGGGCTGCTTTACATCCTCTGGCACTCAAAACTTGCAGTTTGTGGAAGGCAGGACGGATTCACTGAAGTATCAGGAAATCCTAGGAGGAAACATGCCGTCTGTGAGGAAGCTGAAGCTTGGACGTCACTGGACAGTGATCCCAAGCATACCTCAGATTCCACCAAGGTTTGATTGCAGAAGTCCTGGAAACTTCTACAGTGGCCATCACAGTTACCTGACTTGAACCGCATAGAAAATCTCTGGTGGGATTTGAAGAAGGCGGTTGCAGCATGCAAATCCAAGAATATTACTGAACTGGAGGCCATTGCTCCTCAGGAATGGGCTAAGATTCCTCAGGAATGCTGCTGGAAACTGCCGTTTGGCTATGCATCTCTTTTGCAGGAGGTCATAGTAGCAAAAGCCTGCTCCCTAAGTACTAAAGATGCTTGCCCTGAAGGGGCTGAATAATATTGAGACTGAAGAAGCCAATGTAAGTTGCAATTTCAGCTGAATTTGGGGAAACCACTCGAAGCATCTGTTGTGTTGAGCTATTTCAATCTCTTTTGTTTGATTTGCTCATTGCAAACAGCTGTAAGTCTCTACATTTTGATAATAAACCTGATTTGCATTGGGGTTGAATAATTTTGATTGCCCTGATACATGTGAATAGGGTCACTATTTGAGGCTTTTGAGTAGTATGAGTTTTTGTTAAAGAACACCAGTGGTGACAAAGTCCATGTCTTTTTGTATTGTCGATCATGCTAGCTTTAGTCCTCTTTTCTGGCTCTGCTTTTGAGTTCCAAATTCCAATTTTCTGTTTTCCTTCTGCCAATGGGATAAAACACATCCCTTCTGTTTGGCCTTTGACTAGGCTGTTTGCTCTTATTGATGTTATTACCTCTGTTTTGCTTTTGTTGAATGTATTTTATTTATTTGTTGCCTTGAACACTTGAAAGGCAGCTAATAAATTATTTGAAACTGAAGGAAGTGCCACAAGTAGGGCTGAGTGTGTTACACGTGAAAGGGGGACCCACATGTTCTTTTCAGTGCCTTGTTCTTTAAGCTTTTGAATTCAGCGAAAAACTATCAATGAGACTTTAAACAACCCTGTTATACCCACAGTCATAGGGATTAAAGAGTGATAGGAGGCACCTTTTTAAGAGCAAGCTTATCGGTTAAAGTTTTGATCTATATTGGTGATGGGCTACAGAACAAGGGCTAAAGTTAATCCTTCCAGCTAAATAACGAAAGGGTATGTGTGGGCTGAATAAGGTGACAGGAGGTACCTGTTAAGAAGTGACAACTGAGTATTTCCCCTTCTTTTACAGCCCCAGTCAAGGTCCCTGTTGCACATCATCTTGTACATTCAGGGTATTTGGAGCAAAGTGCCGAAATGATTCTGAGTGTGCGGAAGAAGGGAGGTGCAATGGCAACACTTCTTTCTGTCCAACATCTGCACCAAAGCCTAACTTGACGGACTGCAACAGAAATACACAAGTTTGCATAAATGGAGTAAGTCTTCTAGAGATGTTACAGAAAAGCTAAGGAATCATTTTCAGCTTACATGCTGCTGGCCCAGGATGATTGTATATTTCCCCCTGCTGGAATAAAGCATTTCCTTTATTGGGTAACAAGTGGAGAACCTGTGAATTTTCTTAGTGTTTAGGAAATGGCATTCTGAAGCTTTGCATTGTCAGGCCTTGTATTCTGCCCAGTCTATATCAAGTGCCACCAGCTGATGCATCCAGTTTTATTATTTCCGGAGTGGGAAATATATTACTCTCTGTACCGAAAAAAGTTCACAATATATGGTGGTGGTGGTTCTTCCTGTACAAATGATGAACCTTAAGTTTTCTGGAATGTAAAGCATGTATGGAAAATAATTGTATCTTTTCTTCTCTAGCAATGTGCTGGTTCTATCTGTGAGAAGTATGGCTTAGAAGAATGTACATGTGCCAGTTCGGATGCAAAGGATGATAAAGAATTATGCCACGTATGTTGCATGGAGAAAAGTAAGTTCTCTTCACATTAAAACATAAATACTGTAAGCTTGGATTTTGATACTAGAATTTCAGATACTTTTATTCAATAAAACTGAAGCTGGGAAAAGTTTGCAGAACTCTTGAGTTATTCAGAGAACCTTACCATGAAGAAAGATGATTGCCTCAAGAGGTGGATCCTGTGTGCCATTAAGGACGCGGGTGGCGCTGTGGGTAAAACCTCAGCGCCTAGGACTTGCCGATTGCGTGGTCGGCGGTTCGAATCCCCGCAGCGGGGTGCGCTCCCGTCGTTCGGTCCCAGCGCCTGCCAACCTAGCAGTTCGAAGGCACCCCCGGGTGCAAGTAGATAAATAGGGACCGCTTACCAGTGGGCAGGTAAACGGCGTTCCGTGTGCTGCGCTGGCTCGCCAGATGCAGCTTGTCACGCTGGCCACGTGACCCGGAAGTGTCTGCGGACAGCGCTGGCTCCCGGCCTCTAGAGTGAGATGAGCGCACAACCCTAGAGTCTGTCAAGACTGGCCCGTACGGGCAGGGGTACCTTTACCTTTTTAAGGACAGCCAAGTGTGAGGACACAATCTATTGAGAGATCCTGGTAAAAGCACTTCTAGCCACTGAGGCTCCCTGAGACTCCAGTGACGGAGTGGGATCCAGATGCATCCCCAGACTGTGCACCTGAACAGGCAATTGACCAACATCTCTGACATGGAAGCCCCTCACCGACAATACCTCCATCCTGTCAGGGTTCAAGCTTGGCTTATTTTGTGCACAAGCTTTATTTAAAAAATCTCTGCTCCTTTGCAGCAGGAAATGAAATTACTCATGTGAGAAACCATCCCAGTGCATTGTGTGCTATTCTACTAGTTCAAATGGTGTTCCTCTCTTTTCTCTTTCAACCACCAAAATGCCTTGGCTCAGTCCTGGTTGTAACACTTCAATCTCATGAAGACTATTCATTTAACCTGAGGGCAGAAGGAACCTCCAGCCCACCAGCCTAATTAAGCTCACCAGACCTCTGAATTTGACCCATGAGGCCTTTCGGGCAAACTGTATCCATCTATCAGTTACCCAGTGACCTGTGATGTCAGGCGTAAAGATCTGTTATCTCTGATCTTGGCAGTAAGTGATGACAAGGGATCTCAGATCTTAGTGCTAAGTGCATCAGTACTTGTACTGATAAGCTTATATCTGGTCTTTAATGCTGTGGTGCTTAGCACTGAGATAACAAATAAGCCTCTTCCTGCTCTTTGTAAAAGGCAGCAAGATCTTAACCCATGATATGAGAAATGGCAACCCACTCTTGGAGCATAGCCATTCACCCACAGATTTCTTGCTTTGCAATCCTGGCTTGAATTTGAAGTGGGGCGGCAAAGGAAGAATCATGATACAACAAGTGATTAGCAGTTGTGTGGCCCCACCCACCTGTCAAAATGACCCATGGATCAATTTCCTACCCCTGATTTAAGTAATGATTGCTGTCCTGTACCTCTTACATTCTTTCAGTACACATGTAATTGTGGGCAGGCTGTTGCTTGTGATGCATTTAGTTGTATTGCTCTTCCTAAAAATAACATCTGTTCTTAAAATGTTTTTTGCTTTATCCAGTGCTTCCAGACTCCTGTGCAAGTACAGGATCTGCTAAATGGAAGAACTTCTTCGATCACAAAACTATTACCCTGCAGCCTGGGTCACCCTGCAATGATTTTAAAGGTTACTGTGATGTGTTCATGAGGTGTCGATTGGTAGATGCTGACGGCCCCTTAGCCAGGTTAAAGAAGGCCATTTTTAATCCAGAGCTGTATGAAAACATTGCAGAATGGATCGTTGTAAGTTTTTAAACATAAGAAATCTCTAATACTATCTTGTGAACTGTGGTAAAGCTTGCCATTGTCAGTTGTTTTGAATTTGAATTAATTCCCACCTCCAAAAAACCCCCCTTTGATTGCCACAATTCTACAATGCTACCTTGATGAGTAGTACTTTTACAAGAGCAGTAGTTCATTTTCTTCAGAGCCATTGTAGCATCTGCTTTGCTGATATGTAAATAGTTACCCAAAGGGTAGCATGCTAGCAGTTTTATTGCTGCACCACTAGGAGTCAGGTCCGCGCCCCCCCCCCCCAATATATGGATAATGGTAAAATTCTCCTGCAGTCATACAGATTCTGCTTTAAGAATGTTGTATCCTTTTTCTAATGAAGCAGAGTGGTAGTACACTGTTGAATAAAGTGGGGTGGGAGGATGACGAAAAGCCATTAAGAATTGCTAGAAGCTCTACTCGTGAGCTCTTGTAATTTCTAGTTTTCAGAATTTGCTTATGTGTAACATTGGCCATGATTGCTGGGGCTGATGGGACATATATGTAGTTCAGCTACATCTGGAGAACCAAAGGTTCCCCATTTATATCATATTATATTATATTATTATATTATATTATATTATATTATATTATATTATATTATATTTATTATATTTATTATTATAATATTTATTAAGATACAAATAGATAGATATATTTAGACACAAGTGGATAAAGCTTGTTGCCAGCTTTGGGTATGACAAAAAGGTGAAAAAGGCTGTTGTGCACTTTCCAGGCTTTAGAAGACAGTGTGCTATGTGGCTAGAACATTGGACTTGGTCCAGGAAGAGCTGGCTTAGATTCTTGCTTGGCCATGAAGCTTACTAGGTGACCTTAGGCAAGACATGATTAGTCTTAGTACAGTGGGGGTTGTCATGAGGGAAACTGCATAACCCTGTGCTTCTTAGAGGAAGGGTGAGATAAAGATCCAATAGGCAGGCACTGGTGCAGCTTCACTGATTTGTGTGCATCTGTATTGGCTGAGTGCCAGGAAAAATAGATTTTGATTTTTATATTTCTATGCTGCTTTTCATTCAAATGAATCCCAAAGCAGCTTGAAAACAATAAATAATAGTAACATGGTAGAGCATAATAGAACATCACAAATACAGCATGAATCAAATGAAATAACTAAAAAATCATCAATATAATAATTACAGTCTTTAAAACACTATTAACAAAACAGCAACTAAAAAACAAGCTGCGCTGTAATTAAAGCAAAAGTCATATGATTAACAAATCAATACAGCATTTATAATCTATAAAACAGTATTAACAACATGAACAAAAAAGCAGCCAAAAATACGCTAAGCTCTGTTAAATTCATACTGCACCCCCATGAATCATATTCTTTCACTCTGTTCAGCACATTGAAATACAGTGGTACCTCAGTTTACATATGCTTCAGGTTACATACGCTTCAGGTTACAGACTCCGCTAATCTAGAAATAGTGCTTCAGGTTAAGAACTTTGCTTCAGGATAAGAACAGAAATTGTGCTTCAGCGGCGTGGCAGCAGCACGAGGCCCCATTAACTAAAGTGGTGCTTCAGGTTAAGAACAGTTTCAGGTTAAGTACGGACCTCTGGAACGAATTAAGTACTTAACCTGAGGTACCACTGTACACATGTGCATAACAACTCCCTTCTGACGGCTCTTCAGGCCAGACATGGGGCAACACTGGTGAACCCAGCCACCCTCTGATGGAAACAGAGTCTCTCCTCAGAGTTTGGAAACAGCTCCCCTATAAGATCTCCTAGAGCTGGAGGGTGGGGCAAAGCAGGTGGGAAAAGCCATTACCTGCTGGCCAACTCAGTGTCTCTCTCACAGTTCTTCCTCTGGATATTACTGTTAGATAATTGATTTATTGCTCAGATAAGCGTCCGGCATGCTTCCCCATCACACACCTCTGGCCGGCATTCCAAAGACCACATTCCGATACTTCTGAGCATAGCAGAGTTTCGACAGCGGCAAGAGGAAACCAAAAAAAAAACCACCAGTGCCTTCTTCAGTGTGCTTAAATAAAGTCCACACAGGATCTTAGCAGCTAAAAGCAGTTTTATTTACAGCAGGCTATCCATTATCTATCACAGCGAACAGCATCGCGAAAACACGTCCTCTCTCCTCAAAAGCGAAAGTAGAGAGAAAAGCTCGGGTGTTTCATTTCACATTTTCCCTTTATTCACCAGGAGAACAGGAAATGTTATGTTATAATGAAACGTTTTCAGGGTTGTTTAGGAATGGAAAAGAATGGGAATTGCCAGATAAGAAACTCAGTAACTAGGTTTATTGCAGTAATGTGTTTTTGACCTAGCACATTTTCCAAACAGTGACCATTGCCCGTGTCCATGGGCATAGCCATGATTTTTGTTAAGGGGGGCAGGCTTTTGTTGGAGGAGGCAGAACCTCAGTTAAGTATTTTTCTTGATTTTTATTGATATGCGGGGCGGCTGCACCCCCCAGCTAAGCCCATGCCCATGTCCTTTAAATTTGGTCTCGAGGGGCTGATTCTCATCTCATTACATTAGAGAAGCTCTGCCATTGTCTTACCATGGTTGGTGGCTTGTTCAGGCCTGGATGCCACTGCATTCCTTTATTCCTGCTGAATTGTGATTGTCAGACACGTTCTGTTTCGTCTGGTGACCAGTCAGCCTCCATATCTGTACTACTTCTAATGAGACCTCATGGGAGACAGGTCGTGCAGTCAGCTCTTCCTTAGCAGCTCTCAGTTTTGTGTGCAGTAAATGGTAGTTGGTAGAATTCTTTGGTGCCCTCTGATTTCCGAATCTATAGCTGCTGTATATGTCTCAGTTGTAAATGGTTCTTTATACACTGCCAAAGTGCAGCCATTTCAGCTTCCTTTTGCCACCTTACTCTGAATCTGGCCAATCTAACTGCTGGTGCAGTATCCATCTTTTCTTCTCTTAACAAATTTTATGTTTGGTCACTGTTTTTAAAAATTTCAATAAAATGTTGTCCTGTTCCAGTTTTATCTTCAGCATTTCCAGGTACAGGGCACATTGTTAGCTCTAACATGCAACTTGGGGCTAAGGTTTAAATATTTTGCCATACAAGTATGTACTGTGTACCTGGGCATGGAAAGAAGTTCTCTGCCTCCTTTCATCACTGATGTATCACTTCGCCAAAATGATTAACATAGTTCCCAAATGCCACGTCAGAATAACACCTGTGGCCAGCCCTCTGCTCCCAGAAGATTTGCATATGATGAGTGCCCTTTGTGACACAGATTACAGGACAGAGAACGGGACCTGTTTCCCCACCCCAATTCCCACCCTGTCTGCCCACAGGAGATTCACTTCTATAATATATAAAAAGTGAGATGTCACTCGCCTCTTATTTGTTTTTCCTGCTCTTGTCCTGTGTTCTGTCTTTCTCTCTCTCAAATGCTACTCTCCCCAGCAAAATGCAGCTGCCATTGTCACAACCCACCAGTGTCCTGTTCCAATCTGTCCTCCTTTAGTAATTCTATTAGTGCGGTATTGTCTAGTTTTTCCTATGGAGTTTGGGCAGTTTCCAAGATGGAGCTTAACCTTTTATTCTCTATATCAGTCCTGGGAAAATTCACTTTTCTAGACTCAAGTCAGTTTTTACTTTTTTGGAAAATGGTTGCATTAATATATGGATGACTGCGCTTGATTTTAACCTGCAAATTCAAATTGAATTAAAGCCAGAAAATGTAGTGGAGAAACTTCAACACAATAATTAGATTTGCTAATGGTTAAATGACTTTTGCTTTGCAATTTGTGAATCGTCCAACTTCAGCCGTGTTTCTAGAGCTGGGGTGGGGGAGGTGTGAGGAGGGCAAGTGCCTGTCCTGAGAAAGCAGATGACCTGTGCAGGTTTGGGTAGTTGAACTGGTTTCTGCATTCATTTGCCTCCCTCCTGAGAACTTTACCCATTTGATTTTTCCTTTAGTGCTGTAACTGCTTTTATAACCACTCCCAGGTATGCTTTTATAAAAGTAGGTGGTTGACAGGCCCTCAACGATGCTGCTTCGTTCAGCTTTACTTGTTATAGTCAAAACAAGCCACCTACCCTGCTTGCATTCCTGGGGTCTGCATGCCCTCTGCTGCCACCACCAGCACCCCCTTCTGGTGGACCACAGAGGTGGGCAGGTGGGCTGCAGCTGAGGAGCCAGCAGCTAAGGCTGGGATCCATGTTCCTCTCCCCAGCTCCATGGGGGCTCTCAGGGGTCCTAGAATCTCATTCATAGAGACCTCTGGTGACATTTGAGGAATAAAGCTGTGGCTTTGCACTGATTTTAAGATGCAGTAGGGTTGTTCATGCACATCTATCCTAAAAATAGTCTTTTGTGTTCTGTCACAAAATTTCAGATATACTGGTGGGCTGTACTGCTTATGGGGATTGCGCTGATCATGTTTATGGCCGGTTTCATTAAGATATGCAGTGTTCATACCCCAAGCAGCAACCCAAAGCTGCCACCACCTAAACCTCTCCCAGGTAAGCACCTTCATGTTGTGACTTCTGTAAATTCTGTATAACCTCTTCTGTATAATGGGAAATGTCGCTGGCACCTTGTAGTAGTTGGACTATGAAAGGGCAGTGCTGTGTTTGCCTCAAAATGCTCTTGTATATAGAAGAGGAAAACCTATGAGAAGGTGCTGCTCTATTGGACACTCAGAGGCTTAAAAGTCAGCTGTCCCTTCAGCTGTCAAATCTTTGTGGACTTAGTATAATGGGTGGTATCCTTAACTCCTTCACACTAATGGGCTTGTACTGCCTCTAAAGCTTATGTTTGTTATTGGAGGTCCAAATGACCTAGGTGGCTGTTACCTGTTTAGTCTGGTGCAACAGCTGTATCTGATAGGCCATGTGTTGGTAACATTGAGAATGGATTACTGCAGTGTGCTCTGTGTGGGCCTTGTTCACATAGGACAAGCTAGGACAGAATGCAGCAGCTAGACTGCTGATGAGGGCAGAAAGCTGGCAGCATGTGACACCTCTGCTAAAACTTCTGTACTGGTTGCCCATGTGCTACAGGGCCAGGTTCAAGGTTCTTGTGTTGATATACAAAACTCTGAACAAAACTCAGGATGCTTTAAGGACCGCCTCAGCTGTTGTTTTTCAGCCCAATCACTGAGAACATCCAGAGGAGAGCTGTTGTCCTCTGTGTTGTAGGGGCCTGACTGGCCTCAGCCTAGAGATCAGACTTTTTGTGTCACCACCAGTCCCATACTGTGGAGCACTCCACTAGCAGAAACTGAGCAGGCATTTTGACTTTCAGGCTTCACCTGACAACTTACTTTACGCTGACAGGCCTTTGCAGTTGCATAAAATGTTGCATAAAATGGTCGTCTCAACCACTGTTTTGTATTGCTTTTCCTTTGTTTAATGTAGCCCCCCCCCCCCCGATGTTTTGCAGGAAGAGGGAGAACTGATCTTGAGTACTCTGTGCTTGGCATCTTTGTTCTTACCTTAGATAGGCAATCAAAGGCCTTGCACATTTGCATATAGCACATTAAGCCTTAGGTTTTGACTGGTCTCTAAACAGGCAATATGTTTTTTAAAACTATGCTTTTTTCTGTAGGCACTTTGAAGCGAAGGAGACCGCCCCAAACAGCTCAGCCTCCTCCACGCCAGAGGCCCCGGGAGAGTTATCAGATGGGACACATGAGACGTTAAGTGCTGTTTTTTGCCTTGGTTCTTCCTAGTGCCTACAGTGGGAAAATTTCACTCCAAAGAAAACCTATATTAAGTCATTGTCCCTGGTCTAACTTTCAACTAAAAAGCAGAAGAAAGAAAAAAAGGCAAGATGTGGAGATGTTCAATGCTCGCATTTCCCTGCCCCAAAAGAGAAGCGGCTGATCTTGAAGCAGATTTTTAACCGTCTTCAGCACCATGATTTCGACCTTCTCCTCCCTGTGCTCTTCGTTGTTGCCTTTTCTTCACTTGGAGGCAAACATGGCTCTTGTGAAACTCCTCTTCACATGAATTAAAGCATATATTTTTCAACTGTTGAGGCTAGGAAGCTAGACATTGGAGACATTACTTTGCCAATGTACATAAAATGTTATATGCAGACATTGTATTTCTCATGTACACCTGTACTTCTGTGTGCAATTGTAAAACAAGAGAATTGCAATATGGATGTTTCTTTGTATTATAAACCTTTTACGCTCTTAATGAAGAAATTACTGTTTAATTGACATACTCAGGATAACAGAGGTTGAAGGTGTATAAAAGTCTGGATTCTGTAATGCTTTATGCAGGAATTGTGAATCGGATCGAATCCTTTTTTAAATGTATCTATATTATGGTCAGAATTACTGCTAACATTCACTCTGGATGCAAAACCCAGATCTCTCATCCTGCAGAAGCCCCACTAAAATGAACGAAGCTCTGCTCTGATCCAAAGGGGGCTTGTGGAGGAAACGTTCCCTCTGGATTGTGCTTTCTCTCTCGCATTGTGCCGCTGCTGTCCTGGGGATAGCACATGCCAGAATGTTCCCATCATTAATTTTTATGTAAAATATATGATTTCTGAGAGCTCAGCATAAGTATTTTCCCAAAAAAAAAGGAAAAAAAAATCATTGCCTGTTAAATGATCGACTTCTTTTTTCATGCTTTGGTAGAAAGACAAGTGTGTTCTATTTTTCCTCAGAAGATTGCAACTGACTTTCTTTGATATGCTCTGATAGTCTTAATATGTGGTAATTAGGTTCCCAGTTCTGACAGATATGGGAGAGATGAAAAGTTGTTTAATTTTTTTGTTTAAGTATTTTGGTAATTCTTCAGCATGATACTGTTCTTAAGGATAACCACTAAAACAAAAGTAACTGCTGCAGAGTCTGCTGTAGTTGTGTTTTAATTGTGTAGGCTGGGGAATGTCCACAAAAGGCGCTTAAAGGAGTCCGGAAGCTCAACAGCACAATGGCCCAAAGTTTTTATTATGAGTGTAAATAATTGGCATTTTAAAACAAAGTAGAAACAAAAGCAATGTCATAATATGCTTAACTGCTATGCAGGAAATGGAAGAGGGCATTATTCAAGCTTGTGATACACTGCTTCTGTTTTTCCAAAAGCACCAAGCTAATTAGGGAACAAATGGCTATAAAAATATTTCTGGCTTTGCTTGGGAAGCAAATTTTATTAAGGGGTTGGCCAGGGTTTTGTTTTGTTTTCCAAGAGTATACAGTTTACACACACATTCTCATAATGTGAAGCAAGCCAGCAAGGCCAAAAATATTAAAAGAATATAATGAAATCTCTTCCTTGTAAAACTTGTACAGTATGTGGTGACTTTTTTCAAAATACAGCTTTTTTGTACATGGTTTAGAGACAAATTTTGTACATGAAACCCCCAGACCAATAGACTATAAATAATTCTGAAGGATCTTAACTAGTTAGAAATCTGTAGTTGCTTTTAAACCATTTTAAAATACATTTTGGGGTGGTTCTGTTCTTGTTCTGTTCTTCAGACTGTGCAAAGGCTGGAAGCTAGGTTTGCATTTCTAAAATGGTGACTTTTGTTCTGCAAGAGTTCATAGTAACTTCTTGAGTGTGGTAGATCTTGGAACATGTAAATTCTTTGCTTGTAATGTTCTCCTGTGGCTGGGGTGCCTGGCAGAGAGCTGGCTACCCTGTTTTATTTTGGGTCTAAGTTTCATGTTTTCTGCAAAGAGAAAAGTGCACTGAACTCTCCACTACAAGTTAAGATGTGGTAAATTAAAACAAGATTATCAAGGCAAATTGCAATCTAATACTACTGTCAGTTTAATGTCCACTGTGTTTTATACAGTATCCTTTTTTTTTTTTTTGGTTCACTTTGGAAATTTTTACTAAAAAGTTGCAAAAATAAAATAAAGTATTGTGCAAACAAATGTAAGGTTTTTTTTAAACTTGAAATGCATTAATAAATAGACCTGATGAAATCACCCTGGAAGTTGAGCTCTTTCTCAGAATTGAAGGGCAGTCGATTCTGATGTGCCTTCCTGCATTTCACTGCCAGAAGCAGGCTGTGCTTCTTAGTAGATCTCATTTTATTGGTGTGGCTCAAAAAGGGGGGTCTCAGTTAAACATGCCCCAAATCATACTGCTGCTGTATCTGCAGATTCTTCCTCCAGGCCTGTAAAACTTTATCTCAGTACAGTGCTGTGGTGTGATTATCAAACTATTTATGCTTTATTGAAACGTGTTTGTGGGTTGGTGGCTTGTGTGTGTATGTGTGAGTGTATCTATCATGTGTGGTGTTTTAGGGATGGATTGGCCTATTTCTGATCAGTGTCAATTCCACATACATTTTTAAGTACATTCTGTCTCATTTCTGCATCATTCTGTGAATTTTCTAAAGCCCACAAGCAAATTTTGTTTTAAAATGTGTATTTAAATGCTTTATTTCAGTGTTTTTCCCAAATGTATTGTATCTTAAATAAGCATTTGTTAACATGTTCTGGAACACTTAAGCAGAGAATTATATCACAAAGTTCAGCACTGCAAAATCTGAAGGAGAGTTACATTCCAATCTGTTTACCAAAATTCATGCACCACTAGTTCCACTTTTTTGCTAGTGTGCTTTTATTTCTTATTAGTGCAACACTTTGCATTGGTGGGTGGACTGCACAAGTAAACTGATAATGATCAGAGCAATTAGTTCTGGGCACTTGAATGGTGTGAGGCTTTGACCTTTGTTTTAAATATTGACCCCTTCATTTTATATGGCAAACAGATATTGAATTGGAGTTGTACTTTCAGATATGACACAGAGGGTAACAATCTCAAAGGCCAAGAGAAACAATCAAAAATACTACTTGGAGCACCTAAAGTAGCACTTTGTAAAGGTAAAGGACCCCGGACAGTTAAGTCCAGTCGTGGACGACTCTGGGGTTGTGGTGCTCATCTCACTTTACAGGCCAAAGGAGCCGGCATTTGTCCACAGACAGTTTTTCCAGGTCACGTGGCCAGCATGACTAAGCCGCTTCTGGTGCAACCAAACACCGAAACCAGAGCAGCGCACGGAAATGCCGTTCACCGTCCCGCTGGAGCGGTACCTATTTATTTACTTGCACTTTTTGGCATGTTTTCGAACTGTTAGGTTGGCAGGAGCTGGGACCGAGCAACGGGAGCTCACCCCGTCGTGGGGGTTCGAACCGCCAACCTTCTGATTGGCAAGCCCTAGACCACAGTGCCACCCGCATCCCTTTAAAGTAGCACTTTGGATGCAACCTATTTTACCGTGCACGTTTCTGTTTAAGGTGACTGAGTAATAGACATGCTAGCATGTTTTCCCTTATCTCCAAGCACTGTCTTTCTGGTGGACTTCTTTTGTGGAAAACTTTCCCTATTATGTGGGAAACAAAGGATTGTATCCCAGGAAGTTCTGCTCAGAGTAGACCCATTGAAACAAATGGACTTAAGTTGCTCATGCCCATTGATGGGCCTAATTCTATGTAGAACTTAACTTTGGATACAAGCCAAAAGAACAATTCAGTGCAATTGGAAAATGTCCAGCTTGTTTTCAAAAGATGTTTGCAAAGATATGGATGACAAATGGCAACTTAAGACATGGAAACAGTTGCTTAATTTACTTGAGCTTAAAAAATGCATTCTGCTCCCACTCCTGAATCTTAGGAAAAAAGGGGCAGGATTGAAAAGGTCCATAAAGACTAGATTAGGGACTCGTGCACCCATCCTCTTGTGTCTCTGCTTTGCCCTGGAGAAAACTCTTTCTTAGCATTCAATCAGAGCAAACAGCAATTCAGGTTTTTTCCAGATTGACGTTTGGTCTAATTTAGAGCCAAAGAACAGATTTTCTATGAGAAAGGAGTGGGGTGTGGGGAAAACCGCTTGAACCCATGCCCTATAGGCATGGGACAAGCAGAAGTGTGGACGAGCCCCTAGTGGCAAAAGAACGGCAGCCCATCCCTGCTGCTTCAGTCACCTGCACTACTAAGCATCATAACTTGGTGTAGGGCAACTGCTTTGCCTTCAAACAGTCCCTGGTTCAATCTTTAGTATCCAGTTAAAAGGTGATGAGCCCTGGATCCCTACACAGAAACATACTGCTCAGCTGTAGCGCCTTTTCCAAGTTGTTGTGAAAATCCTTAAACTAAAGTCTTAAACACACATTTACCTGAAAGTCTGCAGAGCATGTATATGTTTAGGATTCTAGGGCTGGATCCAGGCATACAGTAGCTGTGGCTAACCTGCCCCATTAATTTCAGGAAGTATGGCTAAGTCAGGATCAAACCCACAGTTTGCAGAACTTGATTTTCTGGTTCACATAGTTTAAAAGCAAGGTTTCAACAAGTATAGCCAATGTGTTCAGACCAATGTTTCATTTGGGGACCCTAACAAATTTGAAAATGGCTTCAGATGACCATGCTAGCCAGGGCTGGCCCTACTATAACACAGAGGGAGGCAGCAGATGCTGAAGGGAGGAGAGCAGGCAAAGCTGCAAGTGTCATGCCCTGCCCAGCGCCCCCTAAGCAAGCCTGCTCCTGTCAGATGCAGTGGAGGGTTCTGTCTCATCAACGGTGTTTGGCTTTTGTACGTGGAATGGGGAGGCTGCTATCTCTGTTGCCTCAGAGAACAAAATGTCTTGGGCTGGCCTTTATACTAGCCACATGCTCATGGGGTGGTTGCAATTATCACTTTAGCTTGGTCATTTGAAGCTTCCATAGCCTTGCAGAAGACTGCCCTTAGCTCTTAATGTTGATGCGGTTGAGAAGGTGGTTTGTTCTACTGCAGATGCTGGACACAGTGGGAATGTGTGTTCATGCCATACTAAACATACACCCAAACATGTGATTCCAATGAATGCTTGCTTTTAATTTAGCTGGTATGAAATTTAACCTTGATTTTGTGCTCATAAAGTGTGTTAGAATTATAGGCTATAATCCCAAAACACATTATGGGCACAAAATCAAGACTTCATTTTCACACCAGTGTTAAGCTTGAGCCATAAGCCTTAATTTTACTAATGCTTGTATGGCTAACAGGACTGGCTTTCCCTCTTAAGGGAAGCAAATAGGCAGTATTTTCCCCTGCAGAGCTGTCTAGCTGGGTTTGACCCACTTGGCATGAGGCAGGAGGCGGCAGCAAGATGGAGAGGAAGCGGTGTGTGTGCATGGCATGTGGCCTGCTTGCTGCCCTTGGGTGGAGTGGAAGATGCTCTCCAACGCCAGTGTTGGTAGAAGATTCAGCTACCAATCCAGTCAGATAATGCCCTTCGATAGAAGCACTGAACAGTCTTGGACCAGCCCTTCTAGATATAGCAAAGGGAATCCAAATTCCGAAGGTGCCTTCTACCATTTCATTGAGACCTACGAGTATAGGACAGTATATAAATTCAATAAATAATAATAATTGTTGAATGGGTGTTATATGAGTGCAGGAGGGGTTATACAAGTGTACTTTCAAAATCACCAGCTATGTAAGTCTTCTCTACGGTACAAACTTAATCTGTTCCGGAGGTCCATTCATAACTGGAAACCGCTTGTAACACGAGGTGTGCTTTCGCTAATGGCGCCTCCTGCTGCGCCGCCGGAGTGCGACTTCCGCTCACATCTCAGGGCAAAGTTCGCAACAAGGAGCATATTGGGTTAGCGGAGCGCGTAACCCAAAGCATTTGTAAGGGGGACGGTACGTAACACGAGGTACCACTGCAATGCTTTTGTATAGTGCTCCGGCATTTCAATGAAGTTTGCACAGGACACAAATGTCCCCCTGGACTGTATACTGTCATGACATGGTCATCTTCAGGTGTAGCGTTATGAACTAAATCAGCTTTCACCAACCCCTGGCCCCCTCCAGATGTTTTGAATTCCAAATCCATCAGCCCCAGCCAGCACAGGAGGGCTGGCAAATGTTGAACTAAGTCCATAGCCTAAGCTGTTGACTCAAAACATAAAAATGCCCAGACTTTTAAAAATAGGGACGCACATTAAGGTTTAATCTTAATGAGTCTATAAACCTCAAGCGATTCTTGCTCATTTTGAGATCTCGATGTGCTGTTTAAATTTCCTAACCAGATTGGACCAGAAAACTTTTTGTGTAAAATGGTATGTCCCTTTATTGAGTGAGTTGGTAATGAAAAATCCATGCTGTCTAACCATCTATAAAATATGCATATTCTGGCCTACTTAACAGCTGATTTAGTTGTTTTCACACTTTAGTCAACATTCGGGATAAATGTAAACAATTGAAGTTTGGGATCCAGCAGGGCAGGGTTTTCTATGACCCCACCCCACCCTGCCCAGCCAAGATATATACATAAAAATTATAGATGTTAAGAAATAAAAACCCAAAGAAAAGGTACAGCTTGAAAGTGATTGAAGAGCAGTGCCAGTTTTTCCAGGTTCTTGCTTATTTGTATCTTCACCTGAGCCGCTGGGAGCTTACTTCACATCTAACAAACATTTTCTCCTGGCCTGGATAGAGGTGTAAATCGTCAAGGCTTTGAGAACAGAATGTCATTCTATGCAGAAGATTGGGGTGGGAGAGAGAAGAGAGAGAAACAAAATATTACTTGTTTATTTAATTGTAATAGTCATATCTCTAAGAGGACGTGTAGTGTTTAAAAAGTGCACTCTAAAAATGGCATCATAAAATACTAGACTGGAAGCTCAAAGACCAATGACAGCCGTCAGTTCATCATTGCACAGCAGGGCACATGGATGATTAGCAAGGAAAGCCAATCATCATAACAGCTGCAACAGCCTTTAGAACAAAAGCAGTTTCATTGCCCGGTGCAGCACTGCAAAGCTGATGATCAGGTGGACGTCCTTTGGCAGGGAAGTCCACATAGAGAATCTGTCTTAAACCAAGTCATGTTATTGGTCACTTCTGCCATAGCTCTGTGATAGAGCATATGTTTTGCATGCAGAAGGTCCTGGGATCTTGCTCTGCTTTGCTAGATGGACTGCAGTCTGGGACCCGAGGCAGCCATAGCCAGGGAGTAGGCAGTGCTGAGGAAGAGGGGACAGTGGCTGGAGGCACCGTATGAGGCAGTTTCCTGTGTCCTACGATTGTCTGTCTACTCTGGTAGCAACTTTCCAAGGCCTCTGATGAAAAAGTCCTATTTCCCATGCGATCTGCTCCTTTTTAGAACTGGAAATGCTTTCCAAGTCTGACCTTCCTGCCCGAAAAACACAGCCACTTAACTATGGGGGTCTCCTCTTTCCTGTGGGACTGTCTCTATATTTTTGTCAAATTGGAACACACGTGTTCTATGATGTAATGCAAGATGCAGGGTCTTAATAATCTCTCTGTGTTTGTTTTTTGTGGTGGTGGTGGGGGTGGGGCAAAATCCATCCTGGTGCAAATGCAGACATTGTTGTTGGGCCAAAGAGGAAGGGCAGCTTGTCCCTTGGAGCACGGGTGAGGGACATGAAGTTCTCCAGGTAGCA